TTTTCATTTGTCATAATAGACATTTATGTGTAGAAAGAGCAGCAGATGATCAATAATGCAACATGCAGGGATGCCCAGGGATGCCTGTAAACACTTCACTTTAGCCGCTATGCTATTTGTAAGTGTAAAATATTCATCCGAAGCTTAATTATGTAATGCATAGATACTTGATTGAAACGTTTTAAAATCTATAGTTTTTTAAATATTTACATGTCACTTTTCGTTTCACTCGCACCTTTTTCTTGTCGAAGGTATCGGTGACTTAACTGTTTCATAAACATTAATGTTTATCGATCATGCCTAATGCTTTGATACCTTAATATTTCATCCTGGTAGAAATTTGTAAATGATATATGCCTACAAAATCAAAGGTTTGTTAGTCAAATTAAGCTAATGTACGAGACAATATTACATTTTTTTTATTAGTGTTATAAATAATATTTTGGTTCCTTTTTATAGGGCGGCCTTTATAAATATAATTTATTTGATTTCATGTCTTAAAAAAATAAAACATATGACCTTTTTATTTGTTTTTTATTCTAATAATGTAAAGACTAATAAGTTTTAAAATATTATTTATGTCTTACTACAATAATAAGTAGGTATCTGAAAACGCGGAAAACCAAATTGAATAAAATAGTAATGTTATGTACATGTAATGTAATGTTGCTCGTTGACTTTATATATTAAACTATTTTTATTCCAAACGCAATACTATTTGCCCGTGGATTAATTACTTGTAGGTACTAACAGTCATAACGCTTTTTCATTTTCATTGCCTTTTTCTTCTTTACATAATTTAAAACAAAGTCGTTCCCAATTTCTAACCATTTTGATATTTTAAACTACGCTGTACAGCATATTATTAAAAAAAATGTCTTAGGAATTAACAGAGATTTAAAAAGCAGGTGCAGACCGGACGTGGGTCGAGGAATATCTAATTTTAATTCTATATACATATGCATTTAGTAAAATAAGGATTTTAATATAAAATACTATAATTAATGGTGAGTATACTATTACTTAGTATGAGCTATTAAATAATTTTTCTTAATACATTCTTTTACATTAGACAACACTTTAAATTATATGGAAACGCCTGCCTGTTTCCCAGACTTAGTACAAGTTCATTGGTGAATTGACTGCACAAATAAATTCAGTGGAGCGTGTATCAGACACTTAAGAAGATTAAATGAGATCCGTCAGGAATGTCAAATCTTCAATCCGAAGTTTGAGAATGATTAATGATGTATAAATAATCAGTTCCACTAAAAACTCCATTATTTATAAAAGTTTCTGGACTCAGATTAGGCCTCGTTGAAGTTTTTTGATAGGGATTTTAATGATGACATGGTACTTGGATACTACAAAATAGTTAGCAACTTTTTTTATATACATAATGATAATCGTATATGCCTATCAGTTCGTTATTTAACTTCCATTACATATTGTAAAATCTCACACGTATATACATTATTTAAATCTATTATATTTGACGCCATGTTATTAGTAATGTTATTTGGAAATACACAATACACCCAGGCCAATATTTCTACTCATGTAGAAATATCTACATTGTATGAAGAATTGACACGTCTATCATGGGGAGTAAGTACACATAGACCACCGAGACCGTAAAGGAATTATATATCCCTAAAACACACTCGACTGAAATAAAATTATATAATATTAACTATCATTTTCGTCTTTAAGAATAGTGAGTTACCCATGGATATTAGAGAGAGTAGATACTTTGTAATCAGCATGTTTACTGCCTTTTCAAGCAATGCAACTGAAACTGATGCAACACAGCTTACGAAGCAGGTTTGGCAGCCGCCAAGCTGAAATAAGTAAGAGGCATTCACTTAGATGACTTTTTACTGTCTACTTTTGTACAGTATATATATATTTTTCTATATAAACCGTGTTTTAACAAATATTATTAGACTAAATGTAGTTCATAGAATATGTACCTATTAGAAAAATTCTTTACAGATTAATATTGTCAAAAAGCTAATCCTGATATTTTACTGTTATCATATAAAATCTTTAATAATCTGGTATATCTCTAAAATGTATTGTGTTTCAAAAATAGATATTATGTAGTAATAGATATTCATAGGTAGGATAAGGAACAGTGTGCACATAAGTATGATAACGAAATCTTGATTTAACATAGCCTACCTACTTAAATTATATCTGAAGGGTAAGTTTAGGATTGCAGAGTATATCACCGGGAACCAACGTACAAAGCAAAACGGAAACAGTAGGTAAAACCGTCAGAAACCGGCGGGAAGTCGCTAGTACATCCGGTGTAGGTTCCATAGAGCACTCTATATTTTGGCTCATTGTTGTTGCTTATTTACATAAAATGATTTATGGCGTGGGTTTGCTTCAAACGCCGCAAACATTAATTGATGAGATACATGCAGCCGTACACCTGTTTAAACTTTCTTTTTATTTAAACTGGCAAAAGCTATTTTTGATTGAAACAAAACATTTATCTGCTCAAATTCTGTATTTTAAGTCTGTAAAATTATTGCAATCATTGACTAGCCCAGTTATTTAAATATCAATACCACTCAATTTATAAAAAAAAATTGAGGAATAAAATTATCTGACTATTTTAAATAAGTATACAATAATAATGTTATATAATGATTCATGTATGAATTAGTCTATGTCTGCTTATTAGCAACGGTCACCTTTTTAATCGTGGCACCTAGATTGCTTGCTTGGCGTTCTATGCCATAACACGTTTTTTGCTTAAATTGCGTAAATAGACAATCGACTGTATACATTTTGAATAACGGTCATTAGTCCAATTTATTCATAATTCTGCTCTTCGCTCTACTCGGTGCTCTTGCCATTTGCTATGTTTTTACATATTTAAATAATTTTGTTGTGTGATTGTAAGCCGTAGCTCAATTGCTAGCGATTGACCCCATCAAGTTGTTGTCCACGTCTTTCCGGGATACCATTATGACATTATGATAAATTCCTCATGAAAGGCCCACAGAGAAACACCATTCTATTTACTTCCTAATTCACCTACTACTTATATATTAAACTGACAAACATGATATACAACAATCGACTCTAATTTGTATAGCTATACAGTGACTGTATAACCCAAAACAAAACTTAGGAATATTGTGCTTGTGTATTATATAGATACCTACTGTCAAATAAAATTACTAGATACTAATAAACCCTTTGTATGATTATAAAACTTTTGACATAATAATATATTGGTATATAAAATATAGCACAAAACTGCAATATACCATTCAGAAAAAAGAAATATTTTCTCGAAAACAATAGTTACTTAACGTATCGTACTGAAATACAGTCTAATTTTACTTCAGCGCCATCTACCATGACTCAGTGTACTATTAATAAAGAAATGTAGGACTAACAGTAGATGTATATACTTACATTTATAAATTCCGTCTCTCTAGGTCTTTGCTCTCAAGTCAGAAAATAATTAATTCAAAATGCATATGTTCCAGAAAAACCAAAAATTTTTTTTATACATAACTTATTATTTTCTTTACAAAATTACTAAGTTTTTGAACATCAATGTTTTGTTGTTATTTAGATTTTCCGTTACTCTTAAAAAAATAAAACTTCTAAATAAAAATATTTAATATTTCTGTATAATTATTAAAACAGTGCTCTGGTAGGGAACTCGAATTTTAATCACTGAACATTTTAATTAATAAAATTTATATAAATAAATGAAATAAAATATACGTCTTCAATGTGTCTTTAAAAATTCGTTTATTACTACATTGTTTTTAGTTACTAAATTTATTATACTTAAATTATAATGACTCTTACGTACAACTAACGCCATCTCTTAGCCCGTAATCTAATTGTTGTCGCCTAGAGATGGCGTTAATTATAGATAGTTGTAAATTGTCAGAAACGTGTCCCTATTCCGCATAATGCATTGCGGCCCCCTAGTCTAATCTAGTCCCTACTCCTTTACCAAACGATAACCGATAGTCTACTCTCGCCTGAAAATCAGTCTTAACAAATGCTTACAGACTATGGTAAATTTGATCGTTTTTGTAATTTTTTTATAAATGTCTAGCAAGAACTTAAACCCCTCATCATGTTACGACTTTTTAAAATTATTTTAGTCTAATTTGTTTTGAAGGTAGGGTATCCCCATGTACATCTCTAAAGCGTCATGTTCAAAAATGACTTGTCTATTCTAACAAAATAGTACTTTATTACTATGGTCATAGAGGCCTTATAAGCGAAAGACGGCGCTGCGGGCGTATTATGAACTCTTAATCCCAGGCAATTTACGGCTTAAACTTAACTGCCTGGAAACTTACTGGATTTTAAAGAGTTCATAATACGCCCCCTGGTCATAAATGCAATTGGACTCCTATCCTCGTCCTATATCTACCATGCACCTAGTACTTACAGAGAACGCCATTTATTTAGAAAAAAGATTTAAGTCTTAATTATAATTTTTAAGATTTGAGCAAACTATTAGTAAACTCGCGTCAAACTCATCTCCTGTGGTGGTGTATTATTAAGCCTAATGAAAATAAACTGTTTATTTTTTCTTCGATAAGAAATATTCAGCTGGCTGCATCGTGGCTATTACAGATTTAGGATTTTTTTACATAGTTGTGAGATTACTGCTCATTATAACACAACTATCTTAATCAGTTTAGAAGTTAAATATATATATTAAAAAAATGGGCAAATAAAATTGTTGACAAAATTCAGACAACAATTAGATACACAGGTCTAATTAGGGTAAAAATTTGTTTACACTAATTAGACCAGTTGAGGAGCAGTGCCCTCGCAACATGTTACATGTTGTGAGGGTACTGCTCCTCAACAGCCCTGGGAACCGTAATTAACATTTACTGGGCTTTATAATTCTCCTATCGTAATCATTATAGATGTGAAATGTACTCAATACGAGATTTCTAAGGTTGGCAACCCAAAGAGATACAACGAATGAGGAGAAAAAAAATCGTTACTCTATGTTTTGAATGTTGAATTATAATCGATTGTAAACAAATTTTCCTTCGCGACTTTGAAATGAATAATTTAATTCAATAAACATTATTAAAATGAATTTCCCAAAGTCGTGTGACACATTTGTCGTTCTATCAAATCATAACAAAGATAGAAGAGTTATATTTGGCAAAAATTCGGATCGTCCGCAAAATGAAGTACAAGAAGTTGTTTTTATTAAGGGAGGACTTAGAGATAAGAAGCTCAAGGTACGTAGTTAACCCATTTTGTACACATTTGTAAGATTGTATTGAATAAGAAAAACATATATACTATTAACCGACCATTTACTGACTGATTATATATATTTTATTGTATCCATTAATCAGAGACACAAGTAGTTTCCATTCATCAGAGAAAAATTCTTATGACTAATATTATTATTATAACAATAAATTGTTGTTAGTAATGTCCTACCATTTTGCAACAAATACTATTAACAAAAAAATAATATTTTGTTAATAGTATTTTAGTTAGTATATATCTGTAATTAGTATTATACACTTGATACATTTTTATTTTATATTATATGTAGATTATATTATTGGTAGAATGAATATTAATGCTTACAATTACTGATCAGAGAATTCTTTTTCCGGCTAGTCCTGAACAAATGTTCCAATAACAGTATTATTGTGATTTTTGTGAGATCGTTACTTTGTCTTCTGTTTCAAGTCACTATATATTAGGTTGTTCAGAAAGTCATTTCGTGTTTTCATGACAGAGGATTTAATTGTATTTTTGCACCCAACTACACACTTAAACTGTATAATTTTTATATGGTTTGAGAGCTCATATAGCAAGGCTTGTGTGTGAAAAATTCCAATTAATTCTATGCAGTAGTTTTTGGTTGGTGCCTTTTTAAATATGGAGAGTGAAAAGCAGTATTTTCCACATATCTTACTGTTTTACTAGAGAAAGGGCAGAAATGCTGTTCAAGCCAGAAAGAAATTGTATAGAGACTGTGTGACCGTGAGTACTGATGTGTATAGAGAAGGTATGTTAACAGTATGCCTGTGCCTGTGCCTGTGTGTGGTTAGCTAAATTTCGATTCGGCAATTTTGATGTCGAAGATGCACCACACTCGGGAAGGAATGTAAATCATACTCACTTATTTCATATGTTCATTCTCCATATAATATGATGATGATATTAGGTTGTTCTGAAAGTAATTTAGTTTTTCCTAACTTAGAATTTAATTGTAGTTTTTGCATTCAATTTCACACTTAAGCCGTATAATTTTTATATGTTTTGAGAGCTCATATAGCAAGGCTTCTGTGTGAAAAATTTTAATTAATTCTCCTCTTACTTTTTATTTCAATTAATTTTACTTTCCAAACAACCTAATACATTGTAGATATGCTTTCATTATGTTGTAATGATTGCAAAATAGTTTTTATAATTTTTCATGTTCAGTGCACTTATATAACTATAGAAGAGAGTGCCAATCCAGTAAATGATGTTATACTAAGTAAACCAGCATGGATGTGGGGTGCAGAAATGGGTGCTAATGATAAAAATGTTGTAATTGGAAATGAAGCAGTTTGGACAAACAATAATGATGGGGATGGGGATGCCAAAGAGAAGCGCCTCCTAGGAATGGATCTTCTTCGGTAAACCACCTCTCAGTCTGTCTAATTGTAGAACAATTTTCATTAATTGAATAACAATTTATAATAAATACTTTTTTGTAATAACTGATAAAGAAACTACTGCCTAAATACAAAAAAACTAGAATATAATGAATATATGGGCTTTAGAATACTGCAGTAATCTATAAGAGATATCTTTTGATTGCAGATTAGGCTTGGAACGAGGAAATACTGCTGAAGATGCATTATGTGTCATTACAACCCTTCTTGAAATATATGGCCAGGGAGGTCCATGTTCAGAACATGATGACTATCATTATTACCATAATTCTTATATAATTGCTGACCCTACTGAAGCATGGGTACTTGAAACAAGTGGAAAATTATGGGTAGCAGAGAAACTAGAAAGTGGCTATAGAAATATATCAAATGGTTTAACAATCACTACAAAAATTGATAAACACTCTGAGAAACTACATGAAATAGCAAAATCAATGAAACTGTGGGATGGAGAGGTCAGTAGTACCAATATTATTAAGTAGTTAAGTACATTACAAAAGTATTTATTTCAACTTTATTATTAATTATGCATATAAACAGTTATGTTGCAGCTAAAATGTATCTATAATTAATTATCTTTTAATTTTTAAGGTCTACTAATATGTAAGTTTATTAAACATTTCTCAAATGCTTCTCAAATTAATAAAATCTATTTATAATTCTAATATTCAAGACTATCAATAATATAATTTAAATTTGATTTGATTCATACCATTACAGTAATGATGCTCTGGCTGTATTGCATGATAACTGGGTGCCACTATATCATAGCATTTATCTATTCAAACTATAAAACAATAAACCATTTTTGCAGTGTATACTTTTTGGTACTATCTTATGTTTATACAGTTATGACAATTAACATATTTCTTTTTCTCAGACTAAATTCAATTTCACTGAATGTTTCTCCTCTGGGGGTGATGACATAAGACAGGAAGAGGGAGAAATACTCTTAAAAAATTCCACAGCTGGAATGTCATTTGATGTCAAAGATATGTTTTATATATTGAGACATAAAGAAAGTTTCATTTGTCGTGGTTGTGATGACTCATACCCCACTCAAGGAAGCCAGGTAGTTTATGTATAACGTAATATTGAGGCATTGTTAAATATATATTAATGGTGATGCTTGCTACCTCATCAGCATGTCATAAGTCTACTATAGTAACAAAACTAAATATGTATGACAAAATGAGAAAACTCTGAGGTCAATACATCAGTGCAAGAGAAAATATAACAATCCAAACAAGAAAATATAACAAGCTGCCTAACATATTGATATAGTATTAGGGCAATATATAAGGATTTCAACATTATACCTCACTCTGGTAAAATAAGTGTACTAAGTAATGTTATATTAATGTATTGTTATGATAAGTCAACATGTATCATTTATAAATAATAAACTATCCAAACTGATCTCTATAACTGGCTAGTGATAGCAAATATAAATATATATAATTTATTCACTTAAATAATTAATAATAAAACTACCTCAGGACAAATCACACAGCACCATCTACCTTCAATATAAGCTGAGCTTGACATGGGTACTGAACAGCTGATAGAATACTTAAATACATTTATTTTTAAATAGATAGGTTATATATAAGTATAATAAGTAAATCACGGGATCTTACATTTTATTTTTGTCGAGTTCTCGATATTTAGCAACAAACGAAGACGTGTGAAGGTAGACGAATATGACTGCCCATAAAAGATTTATTTACCGTCTACCCGCTGCTCTTCAGTTTACCCGTGATCATGGCCATTGAAACACTGCCGAAATATCGGGAACTCAACAAAAATAAAACGTGGGAAGATCCCGTGATTTACTAATTATACTTATAAATAATGACCGCGTCAAACTTAAAACAGTGTATGTTATATACATAGAAAAGACCCAGATTCATGAATACAAAGGTTTGTACTGTTTGAGGTATTGATCTCACAACCATCGAACGTAAAGCAGCGTACAAAACAGCTAGACCACCTAGGGTCATCAATTATATCATTAATACAAATATAGCAGAGTGGAGAAAACTACTATTGGTTACTAGTGGCCCCCTTGCTAGTAATAAACCATATTTATTGTCCTCCACACACTCTCCCTGGAAACGATCAAGGCTAATTCCTAATGAATTTCTATTGATGGCTTTTATCTTTATAGGTATCAAGTCTATCCGCCAACAGCATCAACATACATTGGTTCACAGGGACGCCTGACCCAAGCCAATCTTTGTTCAAGCCTTTCATCTTTACACCTAACCCTCAAGTCTCTCCTTATACAAAGAGTCCTAATGAGGTATAATTTATTTAGAGATATATTTTCGCTTAGACTAGTTATAGGATGCACTAAAGGGTTTAAATTATGAACTTATGCTGATACTGAAGCTGAGGCAACTAAATAATGATAATACAGAAATATGAGTAAATTTTTTTAAACGTCATTATAGGAAAGAAATACATAAAACTATAGAAATATATGTATTACGTCATATTTACTTTTTTTTTCTTTTTCATAAACTGAAATATGAATAATGAATAAGTAGGTAGGTATATAGGAGTTTAGTATTAGGATTTTTTGAAGTCCTATATAATTGTGGGTTTTACTAGTAGTCAAATGAATTAATAATTTAGTCCAACTGTTTATTCGAAATGTTGACTAAACATAAGATACCACTTCAACAATGACGTTTTGTTGTTTATTTTTGGTCTCAACAACAAAACAAATTTATACTATATTATTGATCACATGTAATTATAATAATCTTGATTTTCCGCAGCCTCTAAGGGAGCACTATTTATACAGTCTTCATGCAGCACGTGTAATAAAAAGTGATAATGAGACAATAATTAAAATATTACAAGATACGGAGAACGGATACATTGATAAAATTGAAGACTACATAAGAACACTTGATTCAGGACATAGCACTTTACATGAGCTTGACTGTATTATGAAGGAATGTGTTGAAACTGAAGTTAAATTATATGGTGGATAAAAATGTAGGTACTCATAACTGTATGTTATTATAAATAATAAAAGTTGATCAATGACTCTTTTGTTTCATTCAGAGTTACTTTGAATTTTATTAAAATTATTTATGATCCTCTAAATACATTTTGAATGTTCGCGCGATCAATGGTATTTAGTAAAATTAATTTTATTATATTTCATAACTAGCTGTACACACGACTTCGTCCGCGTGGAATTTATCCTAAGGTAGCCTAAGTTATTCCTTATTACATCACCTACCTGCCAATAAAGGTTCCGCCAAAATCGGTCCAGCCATTTCAGAGATTAGCCGGAACAAACAGACAAAAATTGTAAAAAATGTTATTTTAGTGTATGTACCGTATTTATATTCATATGCAAGTAGTAAAAAACGGTTATTTCAATATTAAAAACGAACACTTTTATTTATATGTATGGATGTGCTTGTGTGAACATTTAATCAATCTTATTATAATTAACACAATATTATTGTGATGCATAAAATATACGTCCTTTATTAAATTCTGACTGACGGTCTGCCTGTTGCGATGGATAGGAACTTACCTGTACACCACAAGGGATTACAATTAGAGCGGAATAATAAAATTCTAAAGTAAAAGGTCCTTTATTTCAATGTACTTATACAACTTAGTCTGAAGTATCACATGAATTCATAATTAAATCGAAATAAAGTTCTTACAATCATGGGAAGATAAATATTTATGCTACTTCAATAGTGTAATACGTAATACTCGCTACTAACTTGTACACAGAAACATATCTTTATCGAGATTATTTAATAAATGCGACATTATAATAGCTACACTATAATTTACATTTTTGGAAACAAAAATAATAAACTATCGTTAAACATTGAATAATTCTGTACTGCAATCTATGTGATGAGCGATGAGTGATGATCTTTATTGTATATAAACATAAATGGATTTTATTTCAGAGTCGCTTGTAACCTATACTGTGACTAAGTGATATGCAATATTCTCTTGTTTAATTGGCCTGACAAATCTTGATATAAAAAGCATGTGTTTCGCTCCTACTTCTAATATTTCAAACAAACAACGTTTTATTTATATTACGGGCTCAATTCTACTATTTTTAATTATTATAATCCAATATTAATAATTAATGAGATCTTGGTATTTTATTTTTATGATAAGTGGATAGTGCGGCAAACTTGAAATCAGTAACATTTAACAAATATTATCCTAAACATAACTTGTTATTATTTAACAGCACTACAACTAAAATGATTGTATTAAATCTTATAATTTATTGCGCGCTGAGGGTCCTGTTAAGATCCTCTAAACACACAATATCCATAAGTAATACTTAAAGTAACATCATATTTCTAATCTACAGCCACAAGTATTTAGTATGGTGGACACCAACCCAATGTTTTGTCATCGGCCACTACAATTTATAGAACAACGTCATTTTATTCGAGATATTGTGTTAACTTTTTAATAAAACGTAATCATAATATAATTACGTGTACTTATCAAACGAGAAATGAAATCAGTCTTATCAATAACTATTCTAAAATACCGTGAAACATTGATTTATAAAATATAGTGATAATAATAAATTTAAAATGGATAGCCAGAAACAATTCTATTATTGATGTTTAAAAATTATATATTTCTCCTAATATTTCTATTATCAGCGCCTATTAACGGTTTTTTCCTTAATATTTATTATATCAAATAATATTGGAAATTCTATTTCTTGCATTTTCACTGAATCATCATATCTATGTATTTATAAAACCCATTCTATCCACTGGATAGAGTTCTATTTTTAAAACAATGATAAAAATGTATAGTGTATAATGCATATAATTATTTAACTCTTATATTACTTGTGGCCTTTGAACGAAATAAAATGCAAACAATACATCAATTTCAAAAAGTCCTACAAATTCCAAAACAAGTTTCATAATTTCATCATATAATAGGCTTAACTACATAATAAGCTTACTTACATGAAAAAGCATGCGACTAATAAGGTCACACATATTAAGTGATTTCATTAGACAAAAATAAATATTACAAGTTTTTTTTACATTTGCATAAGTAATAAAAATAAAAACATCCTTAACAAAAATTATTCGAAAACATTACTTTCTATTTTTGGAGCCTAAGTACAAAGAGAATTTAATTTTAACAATATACATTTACAAAATTACACAAAAATGTATTTATCTTATGATTTATTACAACAAGCGTAATAAAATTAGTGTAATGTTCTAGAGCTATACGCTTCCAACGAAATTATTAATAATAATGTGTTTGATGCATATAAATTACCAAGTCATAAATAAATACTAAGCAATAGGTACACAGGTAGTTTCATTACCGGAGACTTGGAATGACAAACTTTATTACCTGTGTACCGTCATCATACTGATATGAATTTAACCAACTTTCTAATCCAATCATTACTGCTATTAATACCGTCCTAAATATTTAAATCATTATTGTACCAGTAGGGCACTATAATTCTTAAAATAATTATATATAATACATTAATAGACTATATTTGGATGCTAACATCTTCACTGTATATGGCCTGGTATATTCATTTCATAAACAAATATAATTAATTTATGAAATTAATATTCCAGAAATAATATTCAAGAATAAACAGATAGAACACTGACATCTACGGATTCTATTTGTATTATCTGAGGTAACGAAAATTATTTTAAAGAATAAAGATGCGATTAGACTATATTATTCTACTCGACTTAGCTTATTAAAAAGAAATATTTCATAGACATATTCATGTAATAACAGTAGTTACTAAATTAAAGTCAAATTTATTAGTATTTGCATTTATGCATGTTAATTTTGAAATTAGCGTCTTTTAGAAATATATCAAAATGATAACATTACAGTGGAATCCGTTTATTGACATCGCATAACAAATACGTCATACATGCATTTTGTAAAAAATAAATGTCCTGTTTTTGTTAGTATTTATTTTAATAGAGAAAAACGATATCGCCAAGTCAAATAATAATTTTTAATCACTCGTGATCAATTCTTCAAGCACAAAACAAAATGAGCCATGCACGCGCCGAATGTCGTCGGGTATCACGTGACTTTCCCGAACACCGCCGAAGGTGTTAGGATTCATGTCGGTCACTATAACTGGATGCAATTTATTAAAAATGTTTAATTAATAAAAAAAAATAACCACGGTCACCCATGAACCAAGATATACTTATACTTACAAACTTGACCATTATAAGTATAGAAACAAAAATGGATTTAAAAATAAATTACATAATTGAAATATTTGCCAACACAAAAGCCCGGATAATTGAGTTTGTTATTGAACATTAATGATAAAAAAATAAAATATTAAATTAAAACATGTTGATTTTATTATACATTATTTTTAAATTACACAGTTTTAAGAAATTAATCAATAAAAGATTAGAATTATAATTTCATTGCTTAAGATTTAAATTACAGAGATTAAGGAAATAAATAAATAAAACATTAGAATTATAATTTCATTGCTTATGTTGGTATGGTACTTATCTATTAAATGATAATATAATATTAATATGTTAAAATGAAGATTTAATTTTTTTAGTTGTTTAAGACGGAACTGCATGTCACTGCACATAAGCTGTTGGCAATACATGAATCACAATAAACGGAATCTACCGTATTTAAAATTCCTTCAAACTACTCTGTTTAGGTAATAATTAGTAATACACTAATTGGTTTCTTTAATACTAATAAAAATTTAATAGGCAAGACATTTTTTTTTAATGTTCATTTATTATGATTTGTTTATTATTAAAATGATGGCCTGTCGAGTGAATTTCAATACAAATAGAAAGAAATTTAAATAATGTATATAAATATAATAAGTTTATAGACCGTGGATCCCAAATAATGGGATAAAGGCAAGGCAATGGTGATGACATAAAATAACAATATAGCCTGTATACAAATCTATCCAAAAAAAATATTCTAAAACTAACCGAAAATGCTAAATAATAATCCGAATATTAATCCCAATTCTAAAATGTATGGCCATGTTAATGTACAATATTTATAGTAACATTAATTACATTTAAGAAGATAGATTTATATCAAGCGGCGTTATTAGACGGGATGATGTTTTTATGTTTGTATAATATAAATTTATTCATATTCGAAGATTTTTGAAAAGATGTATTAATTTTTGTATTTTTATTAGAAATAACAAATTCCTCTTTCTAAATAAAAACACAAAAATTGGGATTTTTGTAAAGGATTTTTAATAATTCCTGTTTAATTATAACTGTGCTAGTTAAAAACATATATTTTTCTAGTAAATATTATTATTGTATATATATTTGTGAATTGTAACTATTTCAGACAATAGAGGAATGGGAATAAAAGGGATGGTAAATTCCCCCAACAGTCAAGGCAACAACTACGGTGAATAAAATTAAGTAGTCAGCAAAACAAGTTGAGTGCTGTTTGCGACCTGAAACAACTGGTTTAAACAACACTATTTACACGTTGCTTAGTACAGAAGCAACTTCAACTGTTCCAATTTCAACAAGTCAAAATACACTGATTATACGGCACTTTGTGAATAAGCAATACTTTTATAAAGTCACATTGAAAGTGACAAGTACAAAATGGCGGTAATAACGTTGTCATTAAAAAATCCTAAATTAATTAAATCCTACTGCGTGTACAAATGTTAATTATCAATATCTACAATTTCAACAGGTATCTTAACTCATTACATGAGAAGATTCATCTTAAAAGTAGTCACTGGATACCTTAGTTTTATTTAGTTGAATTGTAGCAACAATAGAATCAGGTTGTTAAAATATTTGCAACACATTCGCTTGTAAAATTGGTCCAAATTTCATCTGTTTTCGATGTACACGCGTAATAAACGCAAATAGTGAAATAATATAAAATAAGCGTGCGCTTATTTTTTATTTTGACCGCCGCGTGGCGCCAACCCATAGACAGCGCGCTGATTTAAAAATGTAAAAGGGCAGAAAAGCAACTATGTCCATCACAGTTTATTTAAATTTAAGTGTATTGAAAAACGTCGTATGATATTCATACTCATTATAGCCATCATAACGCACTTATATTGTAATATACTATTAACATACACAACGGTGCGGTGCCACATCATATGCAAAGACTAGAATAGAACTACAGAATACAACGGTTTAAAAAATTGTATTTAATGTTAACTTTACACACGACACGACGATGCAGCGCTGTACCGTTTTGTGAATAACAGTCTAAGAAACAGTAAGACATAATAATTTGTGGTCATACATGATTTATAGCTTATGGACATGAAATAAAAAATTAGAACGTAAGAAGATAAAGCCAGGAAAATACATTTATTTGGAGGTAATTTAATAAAATCGATTCTATCTTCTAAATTGATTCTTTGGTGCCGACATTAAAAAGTACTTATTTTCATAGGAAGATTAAGAGGATTTCTTGTGCTTTTAGAACTGCGTCGACTGTTGTCAATAAGTAAATTACGTCTATGAACCTTACATCATAATACCGACATTTTTAATATTATTTATTATATTAATTAGTCCTACATGTCACATTGGAATATTATACAATTATTTTTGGAGGATTACATAATTATATTATCTGGCCCTCGGACATTCATACTTTTTCTAACTATTCTAACATGAATGCAGAAAAAACAACAAATGTTATATATCCTTAATAATTTCCTATTACACTGTTTCGATATTTACAATTTTCAGTCGATCATAAATGTTATAATAATAATTAAAAATATTTACAGTAAACAAACAAGTATCATAAACAAAAAATTTAGAGAGCACACACAGACGCTAAATATCTCTTCGTCTGGCGGAATAAGAGAAGTACTTCCGGTCAAATAAAAGTCAAAATCATATTATAGAATCTACAGAAACGACACTAATAATATTTACAGCGTCATTCACATTTGAACTCACAAGCACTTCATTTATTTTAATCTCGACGTCAAACAAAGGATTGTCCACGACTATAAAGGATAATACTCAGAACAATAACGTACACTTAGTTTAGAAATACACAGGTTTTTTATCTTTGACCGTTTAAGAAATTTAACTCACTTTAGTATCAAACACCTTAATGCAGTGTTTTCGATCTTTTAGACCTCTTCAATGCTTTGGAAATCCTCACCCATGGTAACATGAAATCCCTGAAAAATAAAAAAATAGACGTATCTCTTCATGGTACAACAGTTTCTTGATCTTGTATTATTATTTTAATCACTTATACTATACTATATAAGTAACTCATTAAAAGAACTGAAAATGAAGTTTAAGCAACTTCCTTTTTCCAACATGCTTTTATATCTAGTTACATTTTTAATTATCACCTCACAATATCAATACTGCTGGTATATAATCAACATTATCTATCTATGCTTATGTTAAATTAAATAATATATTTAGTACTCGAAAAGCATCTGGACAGAGTACTGCAAAAAACATGTTTCATCAGACAGAGAATTTGTATACTTTGTGTATAATATTATGATAGACTGAAGATGACAGCAATATTAAATCAATATAGTGATAGTATTTTAATGTGTACATATTTAAAAGACCAAATAAGAAATACTAACGAGTCGGGAAGGGCCGGGACAATTTCTCCAAAAGCCATCACGGGTAGCGTATCAGTGATTTCTATAAACCGTACGTCGCGCTGGGGTTGCGGCCATACTGTGAAAACAGAAGGCTGGTGGTGAGACGATGAGCCCCATGTATCCCTTTGACGCTGTCGAAGGCGCTCTACGTGTCTTTGCTCCCGAATTCGGCGCATGTGCCACCTGCAAACGTAACGACAAAAGTAACAGTATGTTACTTAAATAAAAAAAAAAGCATCGTTTAACACACCTGTATAAAATGTAAGGTATATCTTTAATGTGAAACTAAAATTGCGATTTCGATAAATGTTAAGTATAAAAAAATAACGATTTTTATAAAATGTTTCTTCGGATTTCTTTTTATACTAATTACAATTTTCCTGTAGCAGGATAAACTAGTCTAATTTGAATTTATTTTGCTAACTGAGTCTTAACCTCTTTTAAAACTATTATGTTACAATATAATAAAATCGGCAATAAATGTAAAAGAAGCATTTTTACTTTTACATAATATATATTCAAATATCCATAACTTTGCATTCGGTAATTAATGTGCATGAAATATTTTCTATCACATATATTAGTTTTTCCCGAAATACGACAAGAAGAATTCTCTTAAACGATTTAATCCATTATATGTGCCTTTTGCACTACATATTTCGCAAATCTGTTTAATAAATAAAGCTATTTTATCATTCTCTACAATATTATTATTATTATATATATAAATATATATATATATATATAATACATAATATTATAATATGAATCTATTTCTTTATATATTACTGAGTACACTTTGTTCTAACTAGCATTGTGATCAAATGAAAACCTAATCTAAAATAAATATTAAAAGTATTACCTTAATTGTCGCCTTTCTTCAGCTTCTAATTTTTGATGACGTTTTTCAAACACCTTGTCATCTAAATTTTCTGTACCTTCGAGTGTATAACAACTGGTGTAAGGTTTTTCCCGCCACCGTGGAACCTGGTTATAACACAAACAATAATAACCACTCACGAATCATGATGCTTTTGGTAATTTTGTATCTATACTTGTTTTAATTATTCTGCAGGTGGGAATCTAAAATCGGCTGCAATTTTAAATATTCTTGTATGTTTTACTCTACATGTTCACCAATTGTATCAATAATTATTTTCCTTAATGAAAAGTTTCTCTATATATCCCATGTCATAAATAATATTATATATTGAAATATATTTATCAGTAAAAATAGCTATGCCCGCGGTTTCACCCGCATGAAATTTATAGCCTATGTGTTATTCTGGTGTGTAAGTTATATTACTGTAAAGTTTCATCAAAATCTATTAAGTAGTTTTTGAGTGAAAGAGTACATAATAATCCATACTGACAAACTTTCGCATCTTTATAATATTAGTAAGATTATTATTATAATAGACCTACCTCAACTGTTGATACTTTGTTATCGGAAGGCGAATCTATGTCTTCTAATTTTATGTGTGGGTCAAGCCGATAATACCATGACAAATCGGGATCACCCACTAGCGTATGATAAGGCTTATTAGTCACCATTCCAGGTAATGGCGACTTCTTACCACGACAAGCAGCTGAAAGATGTTTATAGCAAAGATCATTTTGGGAGTCATCTGTTAAATAAGCAAAAATTTATATTAAATATAAGAAATAAAAAATTATGAAATTCATGGTTATTTTTGGTACGATATGTATATGTAATGAATGAACTTCCACTAAAGTAATTCTATTATAGAAATAATTCGTATTTACTTTATATTTCTTAGGTTGAAAGCACTTCAAATTAATGGTAAATTTGAAATTAGTCTGTAATAGAAATCTAAATATATTTTGATTTAATTCAATAATATAATATTGGTGTGTAAAAAAGTTTGGATTAAAAATTGTTAGTGTAGGTCAAGTTTAAGTGTCCAAGATCTTAGTCTAAGTCATGCTTACTAAAATCACCAGGCAATCCTTGTCACAGAACTCCTCAAAATGGTTGAACACAATGATAAATGTGCTACTATAGACTTACCTTGGTCTTTAATTTTTATTTTATTTTATATGTCCAAAGTTGACAAATATAATTTAGTTCTTTTTTAAGTCTTTGAATTTATGACTGTATTACAGAGAGTACAGTAGAGTCATAAATAAAAATTAGAAATCGGCTGATCATGACAAAGTTCCGTAATTTGAATCTGATTTTTACATACATTATACATTTTTATTACAAATTCGAAAATGAACTACTGTGAACAACAATAAATTAAAGTTTTAAAAAACCGTTACCTTTTCCTTTAATTAATTTAGGTTTAGCAGGAATTTCTTTTTGACTGTTTTCACGTTTAATGTTTTTCACCAGCCCAGTAGTGGAAAGTGCTCGTTTTCTACCACGTTTACTATCGTTCATTCCCTTATTTTCCAGACAGTCATCCTGGAACATATAACGTGCCTTTTAATTTTTTGAGACAGAGATATTAATGGAATTATACATAAGTACTTATATATAAGAACCAAGTATATACCAGAAGCAAAGTTAAAGATACTTACGCCCGCAATATTAGTTCCTATTAAACTAGCTGTTTGAGTTACACTTTTCTTAGACTTATCGCCTGCGCTCTTGTCGACTGCTGAGTATTGTACAGTATTTAAACCATCTATAGGAAACGCAGGCGTGAAGAACTCTTGTAATTCTACTTCCCCAAAATTTGGCAAAATTTGAGACGCTAAATTATCTGCATTCTCTCCATAGGAAAAATCACATAAACTTTTTTCATTTCTTGGTTTCTTTGAATACACATCCCAGTCTACCCGCGGCTCTCTTTTTACAATTTTTAAATCTGGTTTATCCACCGCCAAACTCTTCGTTAAACTCTTCGGTGTTTCCTTTTTTATTGTATCCTTTTGGCTCACATAGGGGTCCAAAAAATTAAATCTATCAATCTTCATTTTATTTATCCCTTTACTGTTCCCATCATTTGGATTTGAATCATAAATGCGTCGAGATGGAGTCGTGTTATCCCCCTTGGGGTCTGAATATATTTTCCTATGATTTGACTTCTGTAACATTAACTTAGGTATAGGAGATTGCTCTCTCATATCAGCTTCACCCAGTAAATAAGGATCTTCCCCTGTGGGAGTGGTATCTATTAACTGAAGTCTGTCTGAAAGGGATCCAGTGAACTGTGTAGTCTTCTTTGGAATAGTTGGTTTACTCTTACCATATGTATTGATCATTTTTGACTTTTTATTTAAACTGAATTCGTCGTCTGTTTTACCTATAATATAAACGTCATATATAGTATATAAATTCACTTCATTTATACAAATATAAAGCATAAAGAAAATCTCACTATTATCCGGCGTTTCTGTCTTTGCTGGAGTTCTTGACATTCGACTCAAACAACCTATACCGGAAGGCCGTCTTCTGTTCCTTTGTATCCTCTGAATAACAGGATTGCCACTGAAAGTACAAGAATAAAAATGTAATATGTGGATCTATAACATTAAAATAGCAGAGACCATAAGTACAGAATTGTTGAGAGAGGTAAATACATCTGAACTTGCGTAAATTTAATATTTATATTTGTCCAATAGTATAACAAATGATAGTAATAATATAACAAAATAATACTATTATTATTATTACCTGGTTGAAGTAACAGTGTACATAGGCTCTGGACGAGTTTCAGTCTTAATTTCCTTTTCTACGGGCGTACGTTTACTTTCAATCATTGTGAAATTGTCAGACTTTAACTTATTGTCCAAAATAGATGGGACACTTAAGTCATGCGGTAAGAAACTTGGTACTTCTACAAAATAGAATTAAAATACTTATACATATCCTCAAATTTTACTAATATGAATTAATTCATTATTCATATACCTATTTGTATTTGAATATGGACTATTCAATTGATTATATTTTTTCTGCACGTCTGTATATGATAACATTTGTGTATGGAAATTTTCTTATAAAATTCTCTGCAGATGTTGTATAAAATGGATAAGTCTAAGAATAACTTAATCAAACATTAAAGTTATTATTAAAAAAGGGGTGCCCGCAAATTCGTCCGTGTGTACATAAGTAGATGGTATATGTATAATAATGTATTATTAAAAGATTTCCTTAGCCTACACATTGACCCACAGTTAACAAAGTATTATTGTAAAATTTCATCCCAATTCCTTAAAACAGATAAGTCATGTCTCATAGCGATTTTATAGTTTTTATTATATGTAAATGATAATAAATTAAGATATACCTGTTTCTGTAGTTTTAGGAACCGTACATTTATCTTGACCAAATGGTTTAGACTTATTAACGTCACTTTCAAATAAAAATGTATTTGCTCTATTATCAGGCAACAGAAGATCGGGAAAACTATTTAACATTATCTGAAAATAAAATTATTAATGTTGGTTACATTTCGAATAATATTAATTGTACACTCTTGTACACAATTGAGTCGCAAATCGAACAGGTAAAAAAGCAAGTCAATTTTCTAACCATAATTTAATGATACCCAATGAAAATCCTAATAATGCCTACAGTGGAATTTATATTTTCTATAAGCAAGCTATAAGTTTTATAACTGTGGAATGCCATAGTATGGCATATATCTGATAGATAATAGGATGACTATATTCATTCAGAGAAAAAAAAGAAGCAGTAAAATGCTTACGTAAACTAAAATTACAGTCAACATTATTTTCTAAAATCATAGTAAAAAACACATTTTGCTATACAGCGACAGATTCTTGTTTCAGATTGTTGTGTATAGTACACAACAATCTGAAACAAGAAGCGCTCAAAATTTCACGGAACAGGTAAGAAATAAAAATCAAAAATTTTTTTATTTATTTAGTGTCTACATATCATACACATATGTCATTTAATAAATGACTATATAGTTTCATAAAGCCATCTTTACTCAAGCTAAACAGCTCTGTATCTCTATATATGGAAGATAATCATAGAAGAATATTATTTTTACAGTAATTAGCGCTCTAAAATGGAACCTTGACTATTGGAGTATGTCGAATACAACGTGCAGGAGTGCACAGGTAGGTGGCAAGCAATTCAGAACAAGCCAGACGATTTTGCACAATATAATTTAGTAATCTCATGTCCAGTACCTAACACCTTTCATTTAAAGTAAAAAGATCAGAAAGTCTGTTGTAGTTTACTATTAAAATTACTATGAATATTAATAGTAAATCTAAAACAGACTTTCTGAATTTATAGTTGTATAATAAACTTCTAATATACATATATGATTTACGTGTAAAAGCAAAGTATACTATTTTATATCAAATCAAGCTTTTACCTATGCGCATATGCTGGGATTTAATCAGTACTTATATAATCAAAATGTACTGTCATAAACAATTGTGTCGAATAGAACATGAATAGAACATAAACACGGGCATCATCAACTCTGTCAATAATATTTCTGTTAAAATAATATGGATATAAATTAGGAGTTCTATGGGTATTCATATTTGACCCTAATAAATTAGTGCTGGTTGGTGCTTTGTATTCACACATCTCGACTTGTAAATGTGAACTTACAAGGATTATTTAAAAGAGCAACACACAAGTTTTTTGCTTATTCTTCTTGTGATGAGACAGATTTCCGAATGAGCGGCAGATAAAAAAAAATGTTATGACTATTCAAAAGTGCTTAATATCAAATCTCATGAAGTTGTTTACAATAAAAATATAAAGAAGAATACCTGAGAACTTGACCCTGGTTCTGTCTTGACAACAGTGGATGTAACATTTGGTGGTGGTACAGGCAGTAGAGGAGCAGGATTTATGCTATGTTTGTGGGTCAGTAGTCTTCTATTTACTCTAGCTTTGAGCTGTAATAAAGTGTTATTCAAAATATTAACAAAAAATATATTATTATTCAAAATTGTTTGACCTAAGTCAAACTATCCTATCCTATGATATGGATATGTCAGAATGTTGTAGTTTGTCTCTGGATTAGTCTACCTACTCTAAATAAATTTAAACTTGCATATAATTTTTTGAGATTTGTGTATTATTTTAAAAAAATCTTGTCTAAATTACAGCAACGTTATTTAGACATAGTCTACCTGAATAAAAAAACAGCATTGATTAGTAACACAACACTTCTATAAAACTAATATATGTAAGATAATATAATACAGAATATTTAAGAACATTCAAATGAAATAACAATAAAAGGTACTTACAATAAAAGAAACATAAATATTTAATTTGGTTAATAAACTATGATTAAAAAGATGTGACTTTGGTTAGGATATTGAAGTAATATAGTCTATATTTCCATTTACCTTACATAGGTATTGCATATGTACAAATCTTAATTCCCAATAGATTGATAAACATTAATATGTCCATTTATCTATTAGGTACTATTATAGTCACAAAACAATCTAATAGAGCACAGAATAAAATAGAGGTATTTGGTTAATTGTTGTTTAATAATATTGGTTAGGTCATATTTTTAGTCCATATTTAATAATTAGCAAACTATTAATGTATGTTGTATGGCTGCAAAGCCATAAGCTAAGCGCTAAGGGCAATGAATTTTGTATGGCAGCAAGAGACGCTAAAAGAATCAATTATATTAATTTATTTTTATTAAAGTGATTACAAAATAGCAGAATTGGTTAATTTCCTAGTTACGCACAGCTTATGGTTTAGTTTTGAATCAAGGTACTCTCTGAATACATACTTAATTACTAATTAATTGATTGTATCAAGTGTAAAGTCATTAATTAAACAATTCAAATCCTCTATATTGTTATAGTTGGAAATATTTTAAGGGTTTTTGTTAATAGTTTAGATTTCGTGTTTTAATACTTATATTAGATTTTGACTCAAAATTGTGAGTCCTCACATTCCTTTACACTGAATGTCATACTTTGCCGGTTCCCTCCCAACTGTCAATGTAGGACATAATTTATTAAAAGATCATAAAACATAAAAGTAATTAGGTGGTCACAAGTGGCTATCCTCCAATATAAAAAAAACTAATTTCCCACTTTATAATTACCCAATGTCTTCTATAATTGGGTACATAGTGATTTTAATCACAATGATCCTAAAATTTACATTGTGTGAACTACAACTTAAATATTTCCTTTTTATTCTCATATATTAATTGATTTTTAAATAATTACTATATATACACTCACATAAATTGTTGTTAGAATTATTCAAATATTATAATTTACTATATTTATTTTGAGACATATCTATTAATCGCTAAGCATCATAGTTGTTTTTATATATAAAACTAGCTGACCCGGCAAACAGTGCTTTGCTATATTAATTATTTTTATACAGGGACATCCTATAAGGTAAGGTAAAAATCAATAAATGATTTTGATAATGATGCAAAAATTTTATGTTGAATAATTTGTTTCTTTATTTATTATAATTTTGCTTAAGATTTTTATCCTAATCATAGTCATAACATTATAAATAAAGCATTATTGTAAGTGTTATTATCACAATAACAAGAAAATTATTTAGTACCATCTTGTTCCTACTACAATTATATATTAATTATTTTGAAAAATCTAACTGTAATCATATATTGATCACAGTTAGATTTTGCAAAATAATTAATATATTACATATATAAATAATTTATGATAATTAATATATATACATACATATATATTATTTTAAGTGATATACTGTATACTTCTAATAATTGAAGTAATTATAGACTCTAATTTTACATAAAATGATAACATAGAAGGTCGCAAGCCAAATGAAATAAATAAAGCAAAAATTTAAAAATCTTAAAACAAATAAAATGAGGTTATGTTATATAAAAACAATATCTATACACACCATTGTTTCATATATCTACAATATTATGTAATATTTGCTTTATTATACAGTATTCCAACATACACATAATATCACAAAATAAACATGATTAAAATTATGACACTGCAATAGTGTATGTTGTAGTAGCACATAATAGTAATCGCACAGTTCAATACTTTAGATATAAACAATATACAATGTCTAGAATAACCTTGCACTAATTTATAATATAATGTATTGATATACTATCGCTATATATACATATATATATAAATTAATTGCTGTTTCTTAACCAAGTTAGGACTCAAAAGCTGTTTACTGATTTTAAATTTAATCTGTCTCCACTAAATTATTTAAGTATCACTGTTTAGTTCTTTAATTTATTTTCAAACACATTAATTATGACAATAATGGAATATTAAATAATAAGCAGACTCATTCAAGATTCAAGGACAATATGGCAACCACTTGGGTAAATAGGATTAAATCAAGAAAAAAAAAGTAGGAACAGGAAAGAAAGAAAATAATCAAAATGGAAGTTAAGAAAATAGAATATGTAGATGATTCCATTCATTTACATGTTCTATTACCAAGAGGCAAAGGGATAGAAAGGATAGGCATAAAGTAATGAAAAAATTAAATGTAATAAAAACAAATAAACATGGCAATTTACAGTTTTACTAAAAATTTAATAGATGGTATTAGTGGTAGACCCATCAGGCGATATAAAAAACTGCAACGATATTTACTTTGTAGTGATGATGATATGCTAAAAGGTCGCAGTAGGAGTTTCATAAAGGTTTTAGGTAATAAAACATATTACAGGTGAAAGTTCCACAAGTCATCCAGTCTTATATAAAAACAAAATATATCCTTAGCATGGTGCCGTTATAACAGATCAATTAAGATATTCATAACACATCATATATTTTTAAACCTATATTTATAAAGCATTATTCTAATAAAAACTTTATCTATTTTAAAACCTATGCTATAACTGGTATGCCTTTCAGCGGCAACATTCAACATTTTGAATATAACTTATCCATAAATACCAACAATGAATGAAATAATACCACTATAAAAGTATTTTAAGAAATACTCTCACAGACACAAAACAGTTATACTACAATACATTTGGCTTTGAATTCCTTTCCAGTTTGAATTACATTTGATGTTCAATGCTGAAATTTATTTGTGTTATATTAATAGGTTATTTGTTACATTGTTTAATGTATTAAATAACAATACTAGCACAACAGATTATATAGTATGTGTAGTACATTTTTTATGGAAGGTATATTACAAAAAACTTACTGTATCATTTTCTTGTTTTAAAAGCTGAAGGAACTTGTCCCTGTTGGTAATTACATCGTTTTGTTGTTGTATAAGGTCTAGATGAAAAACAAGCAATTCCCTTAGTCTCTTGTTTTCTTTCTCTACAGCAGCCAACTTCTCTGTGAGAGAACTAGGGTCTGGATTTGTATTAACTGTCACGTCCTTTTCTTCAGGAACGACACAGTGAGTAGAAATCTCCACCTCCTTTTCGAGTTGAAGGGATTGCCTTCTTTCTGAACCTTCGGAATGGCATGCATATAAATGATCAAAGGGAAATGTCAGTAGGCTATCTTTTGTGTCCAATGGATTTAATGTCGTTAAATCTGCCGTAGAGCCGCAAAAATTCACCAAATTCGTTTCATTTACACTACTGCGACTGTTCATTTTTATAGGAAGCCAATAGTAAGTCACCTATGACGAGCCTGCCGGCTGTCAAAAATTAACTAACCGACACTACACTATTGTTCGTTTCATTACAGTCTGTGTCGTTATATATAAAATGTAAAATTACAAAGTTAAAGTACCCACTCATTCAGTTTTACATTGTCAAAACAGCTACAAATCTACGTACTTTAATAAAGTGACATATCTTTCACGCACATGCAAAACGATAAAAGACGCATATCTATGCAATCGTTAGAATTATGCGTGATAAATCTACATATAACGTTAAAGCAAATCATTTGTAAGTGTAAATTAAAACGTAATATGTAAACGTACAATAAAACACATAAATAAAACCGACTTTTCGAGTAAACGTACTAAAATTTTTATGAAAATTTATCAACTGGCGTCAAGGCGTCAACCGTAGACATTTTTAACTTTTTTTACTTGTCAAATACGTAGTATCTTCTATTTAGTTTGTGCTTGTCATTGTCAAGATGTAAATTGTCAAAACTGCAACAGCAAACCATCGGCTAAGGAAATAAAGGCTGACAGCTCTACGATTATAGTACAATGTGGCCCATTATAAAATCAGACTCGAACATGCTCATACACGCATTAGTCACGCACGCCTAGTCCGATAATTACTACTGGCTCTATTATATAATAAATCAGAATTTATCGCACATTGTATTTTTTTAATAAAGTCTTCCTGACCCGTGTAATTTTAATTCATAATATTTTTTTAGTAATTTATGCAACGGATCAATTTATTTACTAGTATCATAGTTAATATCACACATCACCTTCGTGTTGTCGTCCAAGCAGCCGAAGTTAGTCAGATTTGGTAATAGATAGTGTTTAGGGTTCAAAGCGGCTCTGAAGGACTATGATTGCAATTGAAATAGAATAGATATTATATTATTTATAATTGATATTCATATAGTTTTTATAATTTTTTAGTTGTCTTTACACTTATATTCTTTCACGCAAGAGGGAATGTGAATGTAGACAAAGAGAACGGGAAAGATTGCGCGCACCGCCAGCTAGCGCATTCTTACGTTCTTCAAAGGCGCGTGCCTTAGCGCCTTAATCGATTAATTAATTGTCATTGCAATTGGGGGTCGTCTCCGACTACGGATCAAAAATATAATTTTAAAGTTATTAATAATTTATAAAACTTAATCAAGTCTGAAAAATAAAATCCGTAATAATAATATTATAAAGAAAATTTTTAAAAGTTACTATTTGACATAAATCATACGCAATAATATAATTCTGATGATGACAATACTTAAATGCAATCCCTTACGATCTACGGTCCCTTACGGTCTATCAGATCATAATACAGCTCAAACTCTCTCCGTACAAGTTAAAAAAATGAACAATATCCCAGAATATTGGTTCAAAACATACCGCGATTTTAGTGACGATAATATTAGTCAATTTTGCGAATGCTTGAAGAGTCTGTCATGGTCTGAGGTCTTCGAAGAAAATGACGTTAATAAAAGTTTTAATATATTTCATGAAACGTTAGTTCTATTCTCCAATCTTTGCTTCCCCACTTATAGAATAAAAGTGAGAAAGAAAAAATCCTGCACGAACTGGATAACAACAGGAATAAGAAAAGCCTGTATCAATAAGCGATATTTACGCTTCTCTTATTATAAATCACGGAATGTAACAAATAAAATAAAATACCGAAACTATACTCGTATTTTAAAGCGCTGCATAAATACTGCATTACGCTTGAGCAACGAAAAATACGTTCTAAAGTCAAAAAATAAATGTAGATCTTCATGGGATATAATAAAACGTAATATGTCAACAAATAAACCTAAACCAAGTATTGACAAACTTATAGAAAATAAACGATATATTACTAATCCCCTGGAAATTGCAAATAAGTTCAATGAATATTTTATTAAGATGACTAATTTTAAATTTAATAACAAAAGCAAAGGACAATATAATATGACACTAAATAATAATAATAATAGTATATTTCTATTTCCCGTTGACGCTTATGAAATCAATAAAATTATACATTCTTTAAATAATACACATTCTGTAGGATACGATGGCTTACCGACAAAGTTAATAAAAATAACTGCTAAAATATTGGCTCCAATACTCAGTTATATAATTAATAACTCATTTATTCAAGGAACATTTCCTGAAATCCTAAAAGTATCAGTAGTTAAGCCAATATATAAAAAAGGAGATAAATTAGTTATAGAGAACTACAGACCTATCTCACTAATACCAGTGCTGTCTAAAGTTTTTGAAAAAGCAATGCATTACAGAATCACTTGTTTCTTACAAAAAAACTGTATTTTGAAAGATGAGCAAAATGGTTTTACGAAAGGTAAGTCAACTACTTTAGCAGCTTTCAAACTTGTTACTAAAGTAATGGAATACGTGGATAAAAAAATTCCAGTAACTACTATATTCTTTGACATGAGCAAAGCTTTTGACTTTGTATCTCATACAGTATTATTGACTAAATGCGAAAAATATGGTTTAAGAGGTCAGACTCTAAAATGGTTACATAGTTACTTGGAAAATAGAATTCAGTACGTTGAGATAAATAAAATTGATAAATATAAACAAGAAAACACATACAAATCACAATCTAAATTTAACAGAGTAGGAGTACCTCAAGGTAGCATTTTGGGACCTTTACTATTTCTCATTTACATAAATGACTTACCAAATACAACAGAACATACGTGCACACTTTTTGCTGACGATATCTCAATAATAATACCAGACTGTAATAATAATTTGACAAAATATAATGATGATATAAATAATACTATTCAAAATGTTATCAATTGGTTGACATATAATAATTTAAAAGTAAATATATCAAAAACAAATGCAATACAATTTCAAAATCAACATGGCAATAGTTGCCGAAATCTAAACATTACGTGTCAGGGACAAACGATTAATGAAACAAATGCTTTAACGTTCTTAGGAATTGCTTTGGATAAAAACTGCACTTGGAAAACCCACATTGATAATCTATGTATTCAACTAAATCGTTTCTCATATGCAATATGGCGAATAGCAAAAATAGCAGGAACAAAAACCGCTATTCTAGTATACCACAGTTACGTTGCCTCTAAATTAAGATACGGTTTAGTTTTATGGGGAAATTCGGTGGAATTAAGTAGAGCTTTTCTTTCCCAGAAGAAATGTATACGAGCCATATTTGATGTTTCACCAATAACAAGTTGCAAACCGTTATTTCAAAAATTAAAACTGTTAACATTGCCATCTATGTACATTTACGAACTGTGCCTATTTGTTAAATCGCATCCTGAATTATTTAAAACATCTAATGATTTTGAGACCAAGTACACAAGGAGGCGTCCTAATAAATTATATTATCCGTTGATAAATTCAACGCTAGCAAGCTCTAATTGTTATCCAATGGCCATAAAAATATTTAACAAGTTGCCAAAGGAGTTAAAACAATTAAATAAAATCAAATTAAAAAAAGAATTGTATAATTGGTTGTTATCTAACTGCTTTTATAATATAGACGAATACCTTTCACAAATGGTGAAAAAGTGACTATTACTAATAAATAAATTAATTATAATAATATATGTAGGTAATGATGAGCAATGTATAATGACAATATTTCAATTGACAATTGTCTGTTGCATGTCAGAAATGACTAAATGTGCGAACAATATAATAATATTCAAAATACCACATCCAATGTACCACATTTTATGCAATAAAATTTCATTTCATTTCATTTCATTTCATTACGTCTTTTCTGCGAGTATACGTTGAAGAAGCACTTATTGAAGAAACAATATAATTCTTTTTATGTAGCTAATTACTAAAAAAATCTAATGAGTTGTATACCGATTAGTTTAAAATACTAACTTTCCTGAAGAACTGACCTATCACGAAATTACAGACCTAGTGTCATAGATCTTGAATCAAAGCGAACCTAATAACAGATTGACAATTGATATAGGATGAAATATTAATCTTCGCATTATCATTTTTTGTAAATTACTGCTTAATTTGTCAGTTACCTGCTCGGATGGATCAGTTACACCCGAAAATATACTGACCAATGGGAAGTCTAACGCAGATTTTATCTCAGAGTTGGCGTATGCAAGACTTACAGAGTTGCCATATTATGAAATAAATTGCTAATGAAAAGTAAATTCCATCTTTAGAACTAATAAACTAAAATAACTTTTAATATTTTGATTTGCTTCATATCATGATGGCCAAATATCAAAGATAGTGCCAATTTAAGCAATTTTATAATGTTGGAACATGTATCTACTATCATATCTGTTTTCCTTTATAATCATTACGTTAGCTAATCTATTAAGCAGATGAGTTTCGAAATAAGTATAAAATTTAGTTTAAAATTGCTCCATAATGAACTTAGTGCAATTTCAGTTAGTTTAATTCCTAGCAGGTACTTATTTCAACTTTATTATGGTTATGTATTAAATAAATCATATAGATTTTGCACAAAGTCGTCGGCCATAACTATTTCTGCCGCGCTTATTTTTATTCTATAGGTACCTGCAGCTATTTTTTATTTTGATTTGGATGATAAGGACACAGTAATACATCAAGTAAAGATGTAAGGCGTCATTTGACACAGTGATGCATGTAGGTGTTGTTCATTCATTCATACCAAGCCTATATACCTAGTTGATTGTCAGTTGACAATTGGCGAGACAGAGAAACGAAGAGAATAGACCGATTCCCGCCACTCACTTCATAACCACCATCTTCCCGATGCTTAAAAAGCAGGAATAGTTTTTAGGAAGGACAAGGGCTTTGACCTAAGACCCACATAAAACCAAAGTCGACTTATGGAAGTCCAACCATTCTGCTCTGTCCTTTGGACTGTACTCAACCAGGCGAGCATATGTCCCCAGGTAGTGACCTGCAATGGCCTTCTTGGAAATCACTTAATAGACTGCAAACCCAGATATTAAAATGGTAAAATGTTATGTCATTTCAAGGGACATCATTTCATCATTTCATCCGAGACTATGGCCCATCTATTGTCCTGCCTTTTGTGCCCAACATCCTGCACAAAGGAAGATCTAAAAAATGCGATAGAATGCGCAGAAGTCGTCGCAACATTCTGGGGAAAGTACATTTAGTTGCCATTGAAACGAAAGAAGAATTTTGCAATTTTCTCCCGGTTCCATCATCCATTCCAATTTCTATCCGGTTGATCTTGTTTACCATAAAAGTTACATAAAATAACGTCACACAATTTTGATTGCAGCATAGCTTTTTCCATAGTTCGTTAGACCATCAGTTTTTTAGATTATTTGAACTTAAATAAGTATTATTTCAATTTGGTAAAGAGATCAGCTAATCGTAATTGAAATTTGTTTAAAAATGTACTTGTTTTAATATACTTTCATACACAAATATTTTTACATATAATGTTAACCACATACTATAATTGAAATGTTATTTAAAAAAATAACTTTAAGAATTTAATTGTAACGAACTATTAAAAATAAAATATAAATGAAAATTTTATTTCCGCTGTTAAAGCTGATTTGACATCGAAATTATGTAATTCGCTTTTATCACTATTAAAATATTAATATTGATTGCCGGGTTGTTAGAGTCTAGAACTCACTTAGTAAAATTGGAATAAGCTATGTTTCACTTACCCCGCCAGACTGTACTATCTATTCTCTAGTGCTAAGTGTGTTATAAAGTAAATTGGGTGCCTGATTACATGCTCTCTGCTTACTGTAGTACGTATTCCACATTCGGTTCGTCTTGGTCCTTGTTTTTCTTCCAGGTACCTCTGCTACTTACTTCACATCTTCTAGTCTACTCTTACTCTACTTCGTTTTGTGTATTTTCACATAGTCTCAGACAGAAATGATGGCCACAGTTTTCCAATACCAATTATGGGGTAATATAACAACAACTTGAGAAATCTAGCACTGGAAAGATAATAATATGCTTACTAAATGCTGGTCTCAGTATTGCTCGGTCGAACAATATATGTTGTATGTATATGTGTAGGTATATAGTCTATAAACCTATACGCCGAATATTACTTTTGTGAAATGTTATAGAATTTTTAAATGTGTGCAATGGTTCCGGATATATTTTTGCGCTCACCATTTCATGATAAATTAATAAGGGGACCTCTAGCTCCATCATACATTCCTTATCATTAATACATTGCTATCTAAGAAACCTTTTCTTGATGGTTACGTTTATGTCGCATGGCACGCACAAGTGGAACAAAGTACTCCGCGAATTCTGGAACTTTGCCAATGGTACCATACATATTCACCGCGTGTAAGGAACCATGAAAATAAACTTCTATGAATAAATTCTCATGGTTTATACACTATTCAGTATAGATTTGGGATTCCGTGGCGTACACTGACTTTACCTTGAAAGTAAGAACACATTTGTTTCTATTGCGTTTAGTGATTATAAAACTGGCGCATCAGTTTTGGATATCGTATCATCCGCCTACTGGTAAGTTTCACGAGTTGTACGCTTTCATTCTATTTCTTGTGTTCCTCTATATAACACATATCAGTTAAAAATAAATATTCTTTTATAAGATATTATGAATGTTGAAAAAATAAGTTGCATACCATTTCGACTAAATCAACATATCAGCATACAAAATTTTGTTAATGACATTTGTATGTAGTTACTAGTTAGCTACTTATTAAAAAGGTTTAAATAGTCTGTAAGAGAATCAATGTGATGAGTTGAATTGCTAGTGCCAGCCAGTATAGTTAGCCTATAAGTATAATTAGAAGTACCTACACTATAGAACTACTTACTACTTCAGTATAGAATAGAATAGAAGTAGTCTTTATTGAAATAAGCTTAATATAAGCATTTTTGAATAGTGGTACCTATATATTTTCTATTTTAGTACACTTTCGATATGCAGACTCATCACAAGACACATTGTAATTTCATGTTTTAACTAAATCTTGTTCTGCAGTACATCTTTTAAGATTATATATATCTAATAATTTTTCCAATTTCAAATTGCCAAATAGCAAAAGTGATCAAGAGTTACTTTAGTAATAAAATAAAACACGAGTATAACGGGTAAGCCGCCCATCATAGCGCTCTAACATATTTTTTATACTGAATCGTATTATTAACGCGACATTGTTTTTAAGCACTTTATTTTAGAAATATACTGTCTTTGAATAATAAGAATTCATACTAATATTATAAATGCTAATATGTGTTTTTCTCCTGGTTGCTTTTCATCACGAAATGTCTGACCAGATCTTAATGTTTCAATGAAGATAATTTGTATCACTGAGACGCATGTAGGCTATATTTTGCCTAAAAAAACATGAGTACTTAATAATAGTTAATAGTGTAATAAATCCACTACGTGACTTATTAATAAAGACAGAGTTCTAAATATCATTACAAATAATTTATTTTTTTCTTTATTAATAGTCTAGATTTTTATACTTAAAACGCTATCCAAACAAATATACTTATTTTATTCTGACTACAGAATTAGATCGCGCAGTATTTGAATATGTTTTAAATATTTATACACATGCCTACTATGCTAGCACTTACTTAGCAGGCATTATTTAATAATCATATTTAATTATGATTACATAATTACGTCAGCAACTGTTATTAAGTTAAGTATATTTTTACGAAAAAAAGTAGATTGTTCACATTTTGTGACATAAAAGAAATTATACAATTACATATGGTTTTATTTTAAATACAGTACATACTACAGAATAAAATATTTGCATAGCATAAAATCTCAGTCCTCTGGAATGGCAATGCTCAAGGAAAGCCATGGGCGTCACATACTATAATGATGTGATATCCGTAGTACTCTATCAAATTAGCCAATCCCGTTACATACAAATGTCTTTGTATTATCTATGGCAATGTGTGATAATGAGATATTTTTTGTTATGTAATTAGGTTTTTAATTACGTTTTGTCAATAAACTGCTGTCCTATGTCCGTTATAACACGGTGACGCCAGTATCGCTGCGCTTTTTAGGGCAATGACTGCTTTTATGTTTTTTGATTAATTTTTAAGGAATTTACTTATTTATTAGTCTCTTATAATATTAATATATACTGTTACAACTTTTTGTATAAATACTTATTATATCGATATAAGATGTTCAGTTTTAAGGAGAATTAGTAATAGGGCTTAGTGAGTATATTTTCATCACACAACAGAGATCATCTCACGTAATTATCATTATGGATATTTAATTATTACATATTATAAAATAATATATCACGATTTTACTCCTTTTTATAACTATCTATCCTGACGCTAAGTCCATAGTAGGGTAGACAAAGACCATACACACCTTGTGCCCTGGTTTCGGAGTCTCCTAATGAAACATAATTATTGGTATTATATTCACAGAATTAAAAATTTTTTTACATAAAAAAATATTTTGGCAGGAGCTAAACACCCGTCCAGTGGGGATGAAACCCCACCTATACCGGAGGAAGAACTTGAACAGCAGAAAATCGAACATGAACGTCAAATGCAAAAGGTTGGTTTTGTAATAATTATTCTTTCATTGGTCACAGACGCTGATCTGCATATCTTTATTAGCCAAAATCTGTCGGTACGATGGAACGGGTTTTAAATAGTGACATATAACGACTCTATAAAAGAACAACTATATATTCAGCCTACAATATAAAACCAGAGTTGGAGTTGTTGTGAAATGCTTTAGGAAAGGTAAAATTTTCCTTTTGTATTAACAACATTTTATTATTTTAATTGAAAATGATAATCTACACTTTATCTACAGTCACAATTGGTTACAAATATTATATCACGGTTTATTACTAACGTAGATTAGTGATAAACATAAATTATATTTGCTTGCTTTCATTAATGTGATTTTAGGAAAAGGAGGTCCAAGCGAGAGAAGCCGAAGAAGTTCGACAATTGGATTTAGAATTATTACATCAACGAGCTATCGAAGCTGAGGAAGAACAGAAAAGAGAGGTAAATAGTAAGGTCTACATTGATAACTGCAATTATCTGTTTTCAAGAACCAGGAGTTAAAAAAACATTATTTCTCAAATTACCAAAGCCGAATTACAGTTATTAGAATATATTCCATGTAAAAAATCACAGAAAGTAATTGTAGTTTTATAAAGCAAAATAGTTACGTGTTTAGGTCTGAGCGATTAACTAACGAATGATAAACAGCAAACTTAATAATACTCATCAGAAACATAAATAAGCAGGCAATAAGTGTCATAGGCACTTTTATCTAGGATTTTAAAAGAGCAATTTTTTTTAAATACATACATCTAATATACTTATAGATATGCTAGTTATTTAGTTTGTTTGTTATCGGCATTACTGTCAATGGTTTCATTGATTCCATCTCTCAAACTTTCGTGTTTAGTCGCCATAAATCGCCATGATAGCCTTAATGCCTTATGACATATAAGTTAATGTATTTGTTTATGTTTTTATTTCGCAAGAAAATCTACTATGTCTATTTTAGAGAATGAATATTTATTTGTCTCTCCGCAAATTTTACATAAAATATACCTACTTATGAAAGTAACATTATGATATTATAGAATTTGTAAGAGATTAAGCTAGACTAAGCTAAACTAGATCGGATCACTGTATCTTAGGAATCCATGTCATAATCTCAGACGCATTGTGATGTCGAAAATGTACTGAAATTTTAATAATAAAACTTAACAACAAAGTGAATAAAAAGAAATAGCTTAATTTTAAAAGGTAGTATCGGTTGTTTATTTTTGAGTGTAAATATGTAAAGTATAATAATAATGTAAATAATAATTCCTTTTTAAACAGCTTTACTTTAAAAAATACAGATAGCAGAGGCAGTGGAGGAGCTTCGTGGCATGAACACTTCATGGTCGCACCACCGACTCTGTGATCTGCAGCGGCAAGCTGCCAGGTGGCGCCATAGTCGCCCATCAATACCCGACACTACTAAACATTACAGGGTGCGATCACTAATATTAGTATTCAACGTCAACAATTAATTCATTGATTAGCAGTTTAGTTTAGTTTAGCCTTATTTCCAATAGTCGTGGGCTCAATTCCTCGCACAGTCAAACATTTGTATTCATCATAATGAGTATCGGTATCAGTATCGGTCTGGATGTTTTCTATGTATATTATGCATGTGTTTACAAAAAATTTATCTTATGTATTTGTATTAGTTATCTATACCCATAATACAAAGTCTGCTTATCTTGACACTAGAGGGCGCTGTGTGACTTGTCCTGGGATATTTATTATTAAAATTTGAGGCATTAATCGTAAATGTCATATTAGAATAAGTAAATCGTCGTTCTTTATTGACATTGTTTCAAATCACTTTACTAACAGAGTGTCCTGAAAAAAGCGTGCAGTGCCCAGCTTGCCAAGCCACAGTCCAGTCAAAGTATCAGTGAAAGTGATGGCATCTTTATCAATCTATCACGATTAGGACCGTGTCGAGGTAATAATCGTTTAGACTTTAGTTATCTTGTCCTTCATTGGATAGAAATAAAAGCGTCAGTATTTTTATTACCATAATTTTAACAGAAATTTTCACATTGTATCAACTACTTACAAATAAAATAATTTTACTTCGGTTTTAAAAAAAAAAAAAAAACACCATGAATAATTCTAAAGTGTTTCTTATGATTTATATATTATGATATCAATATTTGTATAAAAATATTATATTTTTTCTATTAACCAATTTTATAATATAAGTACCTACTAACATTAATCTTAACCTACAAATAGGCGATATTTCCTGCATTTTGGAAATCACTTATTGTTAAACTTTACATACTTAATATAATACTACTTACATGCATGTATATATAAGTTAAGCTTGACTTAAGTTATAAAAATACGTATGTCATTATAATATACATAATTTTTATCAAATAAATATTTCTAGAATTCCGTGCTTAACACCATTCACTCGTATATCAGGTGTATCATAATATAATTGTATGTTATTAAAAAAGTAAAGTATATGGTGTTGTTTTTGCCTGTCTGAGCCTGTTTTTAATAGGCACCGTCTTATGATTTGTTATGTCGATACATATGTATAAAGGTGTTGGTAGAATAGATCGGCAGTGTAAATACTGATATACAGTTTTATATTATGCATCATTGTATTACACACGTTCACCAGCAGGTGTACGCTGTAAACTTATGTTAACATCAATTTCATTCGGACTTAATTGAATTTAGGTAATGTGTTTTTAAACGAATTCTGGGCTAAATAGAATATTTAGCCCAGAATTTAAAAACAATAATAGTAATTATATACATTACATTTAATGTAAGATGTCCAGGATGGAAGGGGATTTCTAGTATTGTAGTGTGACGGCATCATTGATAGCAAACGTTTGTATTCATTAGTATGATTGTTAGTATCGGTCTGGGTGTTTTCTATGTATAATATGTATTTATTTACAGAATAAATGTATCCATGTATTTATATCAGTTGTCTAGTACCCATAACAAAAACTCTGCTTAGCTTGGGACTAGATGACGCTCTGTGAATTGTCCTGAGAAGTTATTATTATTATAATTTTTGGTAAATCCGCCACTATGGGTAATGTGATCTGACTACACGCTCATCCTCATATCCTTAACTGCTTCCGCGGTATGCCGGTGTACATTACATCATCATAGGTATGCTAAAAAATACGTACGACGACAACTTTTAACTATCAGATCCACTCTAGACTTTTATAAATATCATTTTAAGATAAGACTGCAGAGTACATCGTCTTGTCAACGTCCATAATCCAATTAGGTATATCGAGACCAATTCAATTGAGTTCAAGCTCGGTATCTACGTGGACTGTAGGGTGTAAAGGAAATAGCTAGTCTGCAGGCTGCTCCGATTGATAAATCAGGTCACTGCATCACTGCAGTATAACTGGGCGTCAATCTACCTTTATACTACAGTTATAGAATAACTAGCCGAGTTCGCGACCTCAAATTCGTATAACGTAACGTTTTATTTTAAAGAAAATATTAGTATAACGTTTGTTTCTAAAAAAATTAGAATAAAGTAATATAGAAATTTTAAAGGAAGCTTAAAATTCATGAATACCAAATCGGATAAGCCATTTCAGACATTTGTGATCGCACATATATGTTTGAAAATCTAGTAATAGGTCTTGGCTAGTACTTCTCACCAATATTATACAAATGCAGTATAATATTGGTAGATTAACACTTAGTTATAGTGCAGTGATGCTGTTACTAACCTATATATAATAATATTGATACTTATATATAATAATACCTAATAATGATAATATTTATAAGACAATATTTTAATAATAATAATTGTTTTGGGTTCTTTAAGACAGTGATCAGGTACATTTTTTGATGTACCTTTCCATCAAACATATGTCATGTGTACATATATAACGACATTAAAAAGAAATATTTACAAATATTTATGTTCTGTTTATTAATTCAAAGTGTCAATGGTTATGATTATTTTATTACTGTATAACTGATATCAGTCAGTTATACTGTAATAAAATAACCATAATTATTGCCACACCATGCAATTAAAAATAATTCCCATTAATAAAGTTATTACTATAGTTATGCATTAATCTGTGTTACTCAAGTATATACTACTGAATAGCTTATAAATAATGCTATAATCTACGGTAATATTATAGTTGAGAAAGTGCGTCTGTCTGTCTGTTACCTTTAACCTTTTAGGAGGAACTGTGGATGAATAAATATTTACGCAATTGTGTCAACAGACCAGTCTCTAGATAGCGATGGATGCTGCGAAAATCCCAGATGTACAACAGGCACGGAAGCCAGAACCTGGCGTGCTTCAGCCAGCGATGTCAGCCCGAGGCCACGAACAGACCTTGTTCGAGCACCTTCGTGCCCAGGGTAACACATGTCAACTATCAATGCCACACTTATTTTCATTGATTAACTATGTCGCTTTGCTAGTATTTTTAGATTATTAGATGTAATTTTCATATTTTTTATTAATTGATACATAATATAGTATAAGGAATATTGAAGGGAACTATAATAGCTCTCTATGTATCATATCAAGGTCAACCTCCACGCAGTTCCCCATGGAAATCATCGCGATAAATTCCTGGGGTTTTACAATGACTTTATGCTCATACTATCATTCTCCACCGTATACCGTTAGTGCAGGCGGGTGCACCATACCATGATCTTAGATACAAAAATATAGATATAGAGGGGATAGTTATAGGGTTTAGTCCCATTGCTAGCAATATATAACAATAAAGAAATTTTTCAATTTTTTTTTTAAATGTAGCCTTTTATTTGTATATAAAATTATTTAAGTAGCATTGTTATGTAATGAAATATAGCATTATGTAATAAGATTATAACGCATTTAACAAATATTTTTTAAATACATAATGTATAAAGCAAGTATCTCAAATCAAGTACCCTTTCAAGCTATTCGCCCTGAAAACCATCGTCGTTAATTCTAAGCTACGATGGGGCGACTTGACTTCATGCTCGTTCTATAATATTAAAAAAATATAGGTCGAATAATATTAATATCTATAATGTATAGTATCCATAAGATAAATCATAATAAGAAGCTGCTGAACAGCAACTTATCATAGTTCTTAAGAAATAGGCATCTTTTATGAATTTTGTTTAATTAGATCATTTTACAATCATCAAAGACATTGTTTTTGTCTCCCATGTAACAACCATCATTCATATTAACCGGTAAACTAACAATGTCAATTAAAGTACTTTATAAAAAATAACTATGCAAATGTTTTATGTATACCTACTCGCAGCTAACATCACCAGTCATCTCTTTTGAAAACTGCATCTGTTAGGTACAAAGAAGGCTCGTTATCGGTGACCTGGGGCTGAGTCTAGAAATAGGTCGGATCGATATAGGGTGGATGGCGCATGTGCCAATATGAGCCGAGCCACGCGACTCCGCCACCGCGCATTCCGCTGTCACTAACTGGTTCTGCGCCTCCCGCCGCACACACCCGCAATACAGTCCACTAACTTCGCAGTTTCCAGTCCGCCGCTGCAACACAGCCTTCCAAATGTTGAGTACATAGAAACATCACACCATCCCGGTGAGTAACAGCTGATTGGCGACATACGGATCTCTGACTTATATACTACACAACTATTTAACATATTCGTTGATTTTATTCGTGACTATAGTCCAGTGCTTAGATGTTACAGTGTGAATCACTCGACTTCGTAACCCTTAGCGGACTAGATGTTAGCGTTAGGGCATGCATGCTTTTCTATGTTTACCTTACTATCCTTGAGTGTTATGAATCTAAACCCCCGTGTCCTTTCTCAATATTCGGCTCGGGAGCTGGCGTATGGAGACGTATGAACGTTTCATTACAGATAAGATGTTTGTAGGGAGATAAGATGCCGTTGCTAAGCATAGGAGCGGAATGAGGCGACACGATATGCAGTGTAAAGCGGAGGGCGGTGGTGGCAAGGAGGGCTCGCAGATGTCGCGCAGCGAGTCCACCATCAGCCGATGTACTCCGCACACGCCGCTCGGACCGCCCGACAGTGCCAGCGTCGACTCCAACCCCATGCCCACTATATATCGGTAACTGGATCCTAGCGGTCAGCCCATAGGGAGAAGATGTACTTATCAATTTCTCAGTTGTTTACTCACATATTTCTATGGCGTGGCGTACTTACAGAGAATATATATCTTCAGAATATTATACGCTGCGTGTATTTATGTACTTTCTATTTATAGGTACAGTCTGTAAAATTGATAATAGACGCGAAATATTCGACAACGTAACAAATATTGTGTAATGTTCTATTCGTTCTATTCAAGTCTGATATACCCTCACATTAAAATACAGTTTACAATATTGATTAGATGTTTTATCATGACTATGTGACGTCTTCTCCCTGTGGTAACTAAAAGTGAGAGCACACTACGCCCGCATCGCGCACCGCGATCGTCGCATGCAAATAGGTACCACCAAAAGCCTAGATTTTATAAGCAATTGTAAAGGAGTGGTTGAAGAATTAGCAGGGAATTACTTACATATTAAACCGATGTCAAATTATTGATTGTAATAAAATTGAAATGACAAAATTAACACCTGGTTTTCATTTTCTCTTACCTACACATTTGCTTATAGAATAGGTAAATATAGAATTCCAAGCGCTTGGCTTACCTCATGCTGATACGTCGGGAGGTTCCGCAGGCGAAGCACAGGTACGATTACCCTCATGTAATTGTGTTGACTTCTGCTTTACCACTTACCACTCTGACCTTCCTTATTTTATTATCTTGCAAGCTTCTATATAGTAATCTTTTAACGCTTACAATTCCATCGTAACAGATCAAAGATAATAGTGACAGTTAGTTAAAAAAAACATATTTCTTATAGTTGACCATCCACCACTCATTATGGTGTGTCAATAAAACCAATATATTTGTTGTAATTTCAAAAATTAAGTAGTATCGTATAAACAGACACGATGGAAAGATTTATTACAATATGTGGCTTTGTTGATTCACACACGTAATGTTCGAAAATGTTAGATTTCATTTAATTCATTACTAGTAGGTTTAGATATCAGCAACAAGTACTATTTAAGGTCTAATGCGTAATTGCGTATATAAAATATTTAGCAGTTTCCATTAGTACATATAGAATTATAGCTTTTACATAATAAAAGTAGCAACAAAAATTATAATATAGCTTTGATAAATAGCAAAGTTGTTAGTATCCACCATTGATTGTAGCAAAATAGTATTAGGTAGTGTATAGTAATTATATCATAGTACATGCCATATTACTCTAATTACCAAATAACATAAAGTGATGGGTACTCAATTTTGAAAAAAATACAACATAACAATAGTATAAATCAATATAAGACAACAAGATTATAATATTTATGAGGATAGTTTTGGGTACCCACGCCAGCCAGCCTTGGAAAGTATACATTAGTAGCTAGGTCGGAATAGCCATGTTAGGGCCATCAAAAAGGGGTTCCTGTTCCTGCTTGCAAAAAGATGTTTACAACCGTTTGAATACTATCAGTTTAGTTAGGAAGGTATGAATATAAAAGTCAAAAATTTTGATCCTGAACTACGTAACCATGCCAACATTTCTACTAATCGTCACTAGATGTATTCTGTATACTGTATTCGGTAAGTATGAAGTATTTCAAGATATAACATCATGCGTCGAAAAATAAGCTAATATTAAATTATTGTATTTGAGGATTCAAATTTTCCAATTAAAGATACACTGTATGAAACAACTCTTGTTTATTAATTAACGCGCGTGGGGGCCAATAACTGATGGGGGCCTCTAACCTACTCTGCCTAATGGTTAATTAGATCAAATTTCGGTGCTTATAACTTAAAAACTTATATTAACTACGAAATCTCCAACTAATATGCTAACGCAACTAAGTTATACGATCAATCGAATTGAAGAATAAGGTAAAGGTTGCTAAAGTAATGATATCGGCTATATCGTACCCCCATCATATCATAGCCATATGTTAATAAAAGTGATAAAAATACTGAACTATTCAATCGTATACGCTAATAACAATTGCATTATGAGACAAGAATAATTATAAAAGTAACGTTCTTATAGCTTAAATTATTTTAAACATTATTTGTATTTTTTGAAAATATTAATTACAAGAATTACTATCATTCAAACTCTAATTAATATTTTAGGTTAAACTAATAATTATGATTTAGTGATTTAAAGGCCTTATTTGTTAAGTCGTACCTCTAAAATATATAAATTCTTTAATAGTACCGTTATGACTTATGTATGTAAGTGTTTTTATTGAGGGTTGGTTTCTTTTTCTTTAATTTACTTTTTATATGTTTTCGGTTATAATTAAGTCTAGTCTGTAATATAAGCTATACAGGTACGTAGATAATACTACGAATACAATATCGTTATACGACTTTACCCCAAGATTACACTCCATTGTGCGTAATTCCTAATAAAGTTTCATCTCTGATGACTACACCACAATACATTTCAATACAATAAGAAAAAAAACAGCTAATAATCACACCTGTTTAATGTCAGAAACAGGTGAGACAAAGGCAACTACGACAACTACATTATTCAAAGTCTATCTCAGTAAATAAATAATTGATGGTTATTGATATTAATCAACTATTTTGTTGTAATATTTAAAATCTCATATAAATTTTATAAATATGACTTTAGTAACCAGTGGTACGATTAATGCACAATAATTCTTAATCGTACATATTCAAATTGTTAGAATGGGTTTTCATACAAAAGAATTCTGAAATTCTGAGAATACTGAAAACAAATATTACACCACTTTTAAAAGATTACGAAAGGAGGTACGGCTTTGGCAACCTTATTCTATTATATTATTTATATATGTGTACAAAATTAATTATTGCTAGCAAAACGACTAATTGGATATTACTGATGGGTTATAAATAAACATTTAAAAAAATTGTTATAACTATTGATTTGAATACATTGTTTTGTATTTTGAATAGTTAATCTTTGAACAACACTATACAAAAATGCTTGTATATTATTTTACCGATACAACTATGTTATATACATTACTGATTATCGATTTAACAATTATGACGTAAAAATATTTTTATTGTCTAGATGTCGCGCCCCAATCGCTTCCCTGGATTGTATGGATGATTTCAGTGCGAATTCACAGCAAATGTTGGATCAAGGTACGTAAAAAATTATAATGCTCTTATAATTAAATTTTAAAAGTATCACGGTCTATGAATTTTGATCTTAGAGTTAGTTGTACAATTCTCGGAATAATTGTTTAGTAAAGTCCGTCTTGACTATAATCTAAAATGAAGTTATGGTACAACTATGAACTCTAAACTAATAAATAATATTTCAATTTAGTGAGATAGCATTGTGGCATACAGAATTAGAGATTTATAACATTAGACAGGTAGGTATAATGACGTCTACCATATGTTTACTGTTATAATGGCTAACACTGCGAATTACCTAAAAAACATTTACTAGATTTTGAGATACAAATTTAAGTTGGCCTTGAGTAATATTAGAATGAAATAGCACAGAAACTATCTCATCTTTGTTTACATCATAATATGTATATGCTAAGACAAGCAGCTAAAATGCTATTTTAGTGTCCTTAGCGCTACGAAACGGTAGATTCTTTTAATTATTTATTCACTATTCTACACGTAAACGGATAATTAACGAAATTGTACCATTACATGAAAATGACTAAAAAACTGTGTGTATAAAGGAAATACGGCAGAAAGATTAATGTAACGATTTCTCTACAGCAGGTGAAATGAACACATCTAGACACATGTCGACTTACATGGGAAATCACGCAGCCATGCCTGCGGCGGTAACTCCTGGTCTACGTTATAAGAATTTGGGCAAATCTGGTCTCAGGGTGCCTAATATTGGCCTAGGAATTTGGAGTATGCTCAATGAAGATTGTGCTGAAGACGTCATCATGACAGCTTTGGAAAACGGAATTAATTTATTTGATTTATCTGAAGCACATTACGGTTAGTGACATATACCTGATTTACACTTGCATTATTTTAAAATGTAAAAAGGACATTGTAATTATCTTAAATAATTTAATTCCTGCAGCAAAAGGTGAAGCCGAACTTGGGCGAATCCTGAAAAAAAGAAATGTTAGACGAACCAGTATTATTATTACTACTAAAATTTATTGGAGTACCAAGTAAGTAGTCTTTATTAATAATATATATAAGAATATAATATTATTCATAACGACATGCTTAATCATGAATGGGTGTTATAATTTATACCAACTGTGTCAAAACTAGCTGTTTTTGTTGATAGAGTATAATACATTTCTTAATACCTACTGAGTATTAAGGATATTATTGTCAACTGTAACTAATAGCAATAAAATATTCCTAAAATGAAATGAGAAACTAGTTTTAGAAAGTGTTCTAGTGGCTTGACCGATTGCATTAAACATTAGTCAAGTACCTACATAGCTCTCATTATCATTTTTAGATTTGCTACTCGTCATTAATTGTCATGTATACAATTCGTTCACAGTACCACTACCATAACATAACCTAATATCTCACTTTTAACGTAGCGACCATGGAATGAAACTGATACCGTTAGCGTATTCCCTACTAAGATGAGTTAAATGCTATCTCGCTGTTATATACACATTTGGCTCTGTTAATAATAACACTTTAGCTTGTGTTAAATGCTTGTTGCTACATAGTTATAATACATTTTTGAACTGTTTATTTATTAGGTTTCCTAATAATAATAACAGGTCGGATGAGAGAGGTTTATCTCGTAAGCATATAGTCGAAAGTATTAAGGCATCGTTAGCGCGACTTCAAGTGGAATACATTGATGTCGTACTCTTGCACAAAGTTGATCCTGTTTGCCCGATGGAAGGTCAGTGTTAATGAAATAAATTAAATATAAATTGATATTATTTTTTATTAATAAAAATATGTGAAATAGACCTACTTGCAATTATTTAATAACATTTCAACAGAGATTGTACGGACCATGCATTTTGCTATCAAAAATGGATGGATAATGTATTGGGGTACTGCGCGTTGGTCTCCCTCTGAGGTAATTTAAATTTAAATTTTATTATAATAAGTTCAGTTCACCTATGCAAGGATATATTTATATGAATAAGTTCTTTTTAGATAATGGATGCATATACTAACTGCCGGCAATTCAATTGTATAACCCCAATTGTTGAACAGACAGAGTACCATATGTTTTGTCGAGAGAAAGCAGAATTATACATGCCAGAATTATATCACAAAATTGGAGTTGGTGAGTCATTTGTTGATCTGGATTTCTCGTTAATGTCATGGTATACGAAATACTTTTAAAGGTATTAATTCCTTAACAGGTATGACTGCATGGTCCGCCATAACCACAGGCAGAGGACTAGGCCGTGAAGAGATGACGGGCCTCTTCGCCAAGTCCCGCTTCAATAGAAAATATAGCACTTTTAGTTGGTGCGAAGAGGATCTTGCTGTGCCTGAAGTACAATACTTGTTTTCATTGATAATGTATTCATATAACATTTTATTTTATGGAAATGTTGACTTGAAATTCATTTTGAATTGACATACTTTAAAAGATATCGCTTTTAAAGATATATAATAATGTTATTAATTGTTTACAATATTTCCATATGAAAAAAAAGACTAACACGACTGCTATCCCAGATGAAATGGTCAGAGGAATTATCAATTGTCAAGGTCATAGTGAACATAACACTTGACATGCCAACATTTTGCTTGGTACATATATATAATATTAATAACTAAATGGTAGTGGGCGAGTACTGACTGCAGTCTCGAAATATTTTTTCTTTTATCATCGGCTATTCCGTCCTCTGCAATATATAAACTAATAAAATAACTATTAATTATCTTTATAAATACAGTTGGTGAGTTCAGAAAGCAAGGAGCACATTGCCGGAGAAGAACCTCGTACATACGGAGACAAACTACGCGATCTCTCGAACCTCGCAAATACACTAAGTGCGTTTCTTAAAATATATTATATTATTACTGAAATATAAATTGATTTCATACATCATAATGGGATAAATATTGAAGTCACATGATATATATTGTATTATAATTGCAGATTGTTCCCTGAGCCAACTGGCAGTGGCATGGTGTCTGAAGAATGAATCTGTTAATTGTTTACTGCTAGGAGCAAGCAGCGTCGAACAATTCAGAGAAAATATTCACGCTCTGCAGGTACTACTGTCTATATTATCAACAATTTAGGGGTCACAAATACTATAAATTAGCGTTAATTATTCCAGAAAAATATACCTACTTGTATCTAGGCTATAATAATGAATTCATATTCATGACTAGTCTATCCTTTCACGAAACTGTTGCTGTTCATGATTTAGAAATATAGAGTATTTAAAATTGAGTTCTATTAAAATTGTATACCATTAAATAAATAAACATTATATTTATTTATTAGTATAAATCAATTCCACGAATGTAAACAAAACATTTTAAATGAGTATCCATTTATTTAAATAATTTGTTATATAAGCTATATATTACTGTATTGTTTTTCCTAATAAAAAATAAAAGAAATGTTCACCTCTTTCAGATCGTGCCGCAACTATCACCTCCCGTAATGATGGAGATTGAAAGACTATTGGCTAACAAGCCACAGCGACCACCTATGGTCTCCACACTCGCCATGCGCAATCAACAGAATAACAACAACACGGTCCGAGTGGACATGACGTTAGTTTAAACATAATAGTCAAATACATATACAATAAGTAATAAGAATAATTGAAGTATACAATGTAAAAGCATCAAATTTAGCTAATTTTAATAACACTATTGAAATCAATTAGGAATTTGTAGAATTGTTTCCAAATATTATTTGTAAGGCTCAGGCTCCATTATTCTGGAAATTGCAATTTCTTGTCAAGACTTATGGAATTGGATCTAATGTAATTTGTAGATATAGATAATATAAGTCATCTGCAGTGATTATTATTAATGCCACTGAGGAAGAATCGATAATACTTAGCAATCTAATATTAATCCACATAAATATAGATTCTGCAATTTAAACTTTCTAAAATAAATTCTCAATGTAATGTTAGGAATGCTTCCATCTCAATTTTTATTCCAATTTACGCAGTGGTGCCACAACATCAGGCGCTGGAACACCAAAGCCTGAAGATGATAACGCTGTTGAAGGCGTGTCTACCCCCGGTAAGGAGTCCGGGAGAGGCTTTTGTGATATTCAGTGACCGTGGTGGCGCGGAAGCGCCGACACAGCTTCCAAATCTAGTAAATCAAAGGTATTTAGACATATATTTGAAATAAACTCTCTGCTATTACTAATTCATATTACTTAATTTCTTTATTTTTATATATAGGAATCAGTTAAGGATACGAAACCGAAATTTTTCTTGAACAATGCTGGAGAAGTCATCAAACGTACAGGTACGTACTATTTATTTCGAAAAGAGCCGTATCTAAACTAGATACTATACATTCAATGTTAAAAACAACTGTACAATTTTTATTTTACATCGAGTATAAAAAAATTGCCTAAAATTTTGATCATGTTTGATAATCTACAAATAAAAAACAGCGTTGAAGCTGTTTTTAGACCCTACATACATTTTTGTTTTATAATATATTTGTTAAAAGTTTATTTTATCATACTTGCATTAAGGACATTAGTAATTAATTATTTTTAATATCATTAATTAATAATATTTTACATTATTTTACAATATATTCTAAATAGTAAATTTGCAAGTAGGAGGAAATTTACTTACATACAGTTTGTAACAATATTAACTAATAAAAATATCACTGCATTATTAGAACAAGACGGGGTATCAACGGACGTAGTGATATCGGTCTCATCACTGAAAGGCAAGCAGCCTGCCACTGGTGGTAGCAAAGTGAAAAAGTCTAAATCGGACACAGCTCGACCGAGATCCTCTTCATTGCAAAGATCAACATCAGGACAACTGTCCGCTGCTAGAGATCGCAGGCGATCTAGACTGGATCTAGCTTCGCCAGGTGATATATGAATGAAATTTGAAAGGTTCCATGTTAACTAGTTAATTCTAATGCAGAAAACAGCAGTATTATAAAAAAGCAACAATAGAAACACAATTTAAACTATGAAAGTAAAATATCTATGAACTGCATAACATGGAGCGGCTTGATGTGTTATTCCTTGATTGTCGTGACTTGAAATTGTAAGGTCGATCATAAAACAAGCATGATCTTATTTCTAATGTGAAATTAATCAGTCAATCAAAGAGGCTAAAAATGAAAGTAAAACAGTCTTTGTGTAAAGTAAATGTAACTTAGAGGGTAGTATAACTTATCTCCAAATTTAGTGCATGTCAGTTCTACGTAAAATAGATAGAGATCAATAAATTAGAATACATCTAGTAGGTAGGATCAAAGAGGTACTCGTAGCTATCAAAGAGGTACACGTATGTAGATACTGGTCTTCCTACTTCCTTCATAGTGGACTTCAAAGATACTTAAATTAACTTTTTAGATGGTCTTTAAAATTTATTCATCATAGAAATTTCCTAGTAGGTGATGTACGAGGGGCAGTTTATAAGTTTACGATTTCAGATGTAGTACTGTATTGACTCATCAGCTCATTATTGATAATTAGTGTTATCATAATTGGGTGTAAAAACACAAACTGTGTAAAACTACACAGTTCTATCATTACGTACCTGGTTACCAACTTATTAGCTTCCTCTGGTATATCCTTACTACTAATCTCGGTCGACGTGGTGCGCGAAAGGATTGAAATGATTCCTTTGAATTACTAAATTCAGAGGCTGAGTCTTTAAAAAAAAAATTTAATACTGCTTTCACTTATCTGCAAAAAATTTAAAGTTACTATTTCTGGCTTAAACATGATTCATATTTGATTATATAAAAATTTGTTTATTAAATTTTTGAAACGATGACCATTACTACAATTTGAATATAGTAGTGTAGTAATGGGAACATACATCATATCTATGAAAATACTATTCTAGAAATGGTGGATTCGTGGATGATACAAAAAAGGCCTACTTAATTTAATTATACCTTGATAAGTATAAATTTACCTAAATAAAATAAAGTTATTCGCCTTCGTTTGAAAATAAATAATTCCTTAACTAATTATTTAATAAGCTGTTAGAATTAAAATATGGTTCTAATAAAATTACTTGTTCAGCAAAAAAGTATACTTAGATTTATGTCTAAATTCTACTTAACACTTTTTACTTTTAGTCCAATTTAATAAGACTTCGATACAATAATTCAACCAGCAGACTAGCGAAGAAGTTGGTTTATAATAATTTAATAAATATACTTGTATTTATACAAAATCAAAGAAACACACTCTGGGAACTAGACTGGGGATATATAAAATATCTGTAACGTTTTTTCTTAATTTGACTGTGTTTTCGGGAATAGTAACCTTATTTGTATCACGCACCTTATCTACAAATACCATATTACTACCTACTTGAAAAAAATCCCTCAAATCTATATATCTTATTTTCATTTAGACACTCATTTTGTATGTCCAACGAAGTGTAGGGTCGCCAGCACAATAGCTTGATTTCAACAAATACACTAGGTACCTATTGTAATCCTTTTGTCACCAATGCTTCAATGGCCACTTGCAATAATAGTGCTAGTTATCTAGAAACTACTAACGAAACCCGTGTGTAGTCTTTATGAACTTCGTACAATAACATTCAATTATTGTAACTAGAGCTATTATATACATTAAAAAAGAATTATTATATATATATATAAACCATAAGAACCCACAGAAATATTTATTTATATGTGGTTCCTTACTTCCTTTAGATTCAATTTTATAGATGTCTATAAATGTAATTACTAAATAAATGTTCTTGATGATTGTTCTCAATAATAATCATTTCCTATTACAATCTGTGTACTATTTATTAATGTAAGACTTAATTAAAAGATGAAAATATTATTTACGTGTGCAATAGTTAGTAGGTGTTATAATATTTTTGCAGAGTCAAGTACCTGTTGTGAAATAAAATATTTATTTTTACATTAAATAAATATATAAATGTACAGCTAATATATTAAATTAACATAATAATGTATTTTTTTATTCCGGGACGTCAATCTGCATAAAAGGAAACAATTATGTGTATATGATTATACACATTATATTAACGGGATATTTAACATGAAATTATTTATGAGCTCACGATATTTCGCTGTGGTTACGAACGTCCTGGCCACGAATTGATGTGTATATATAATATATATATAATTTTTAAGTAATCCTTGTTCTAACTTAATTAATAAGTACAATGAAAAATACTAATAGGTACCTGTATATTTACACAGGGGATTTTCTTGTTAGTAACCTGTTCATATCATTAAATACAGGTTTTTCAATGTTAAATGTTGTCAATAAATATTGCATGTATTATTCATTATTAATGTTTGAGCCAGATTAATGTCTATGTATTAACACAATTATAAAATTTAATTAAATATTGTTATTTATTTTCCCAATCCCCCTCGAGTATATATAAATCAAGTACTGTAACCAAAAACTTAGATAAATTGGAATAGTAAATTATTTTTACATTAGTATACATTACTTACATTTTAGATATGAAAGTATTTTCCCTGAATTGTTCCCGTGTCTACAGTAAATGGCGTAGCGCTTATTGTGACATAAAGCTTGGTTCATCAGCTACTTTACCCAAAAAAAAAGTATATGGCATTACGGATGTAATGAAACTATCATTAAAATATATACATATGAATAAATAACCTAATCCTTCACTGAAAACTAAATGTAAATACGACGAAACTCACTCATATTTTAGTAAATTGATTTTGAAAACAATGGACGGTCAAAACTTACTTCTAAATACCTCTTATAATTCGTGTAAGTACTTTCGTCAACCTATTAGTATAAGTTTAGTACGAGTTTTTGTCATTGTGCAATAGAAATATTGCACAATGACAAACTGAAAGTACATCAACCTACGCCTAAAAAGGTAAAACAACACAAAAACATAAAATACCCCTACATTAACCTACGTCCATCTAGCATGTTGTAAATCAGTATTTAAACGCATTCTCCCTCGATATATATATTTCACTATTCCCTTATTATCCATCGTTTCCAAATGACGGAACCACCACATTTCTACAACAAATATCAGCGGCATTTTGAAAAAGTATTCTTATATGTAACTTTTACTTTTATTCTGAGAAATTGGGCCTTAATCTAAGTATGAAACTAAAATTCAGTTTCAATAGGGTTTTTAGTTCCTATATTTAAATCCAATAAGATGAGTCTACCGCCGTCTCTGATATTATTTTTCTGTTATCGGTATATCCATAAACGGAAAGTCAATCAGAAATATAAATTACCGCTTAAAGATTTTTGGTACCAGCAAGATTCGAACGCACGTCGGACTTTGGTCTAAGCCGGGTCTAAACCGAACTCTATATCATTAAAAGTTAAAATCATAAAAGGGCAATGTCTTAGAATCGTCAACTATCAAATTTATATATGAAGAGAAAAATAATTTGTTTATACATAAAAATATCATAACATACAACATATCTTATAGACCTTTATGAGGTTACTTATGGTTTAGTATGTACTTGCTACGAAATTTACAATGACACCGACATGGTACTAGTAAATTAGCCCATTTCATACCTCTATTGGGTTCGTCCGAGATCCTTCTAAGGATAAATATAGCTACGTCTCAGATGCTAGTTCCGCTCGGTAAATGTCCATTGTACACGAGATAAAATTTAAGTGCCAGACTGGACGGACGCGCGACCACACTCAATACTGTCCACGCGACGTTCATTATGACAGCGGTATACTTCGATTGGCTGGATTACCTTGTCTTTGGAGGGATGCTATTCCTATCAGCCCTCATAGGAGTGTACTTCGCATTCTTTGCTCCGAAAAAACAGAATACAACTGCCGAATATCTTATGGGTGGGAAAACAATGGGTATGTTCCCTATATCGATGTCACTCATTGCCAGGTAACCCAAAATTTATGTACAACTGTCATTCTTTTAATATACTTGAGAGTTTACATTTTTGCAGCATCAACTGTAGTAATAATATGTCATATTTTGTTTTCAGTTACATTTCGGGTATTTCGTTGCTTGGTATGCCAGCAGAAATGTATACATATGGTACACAGTTGTGGACTGTAATACTGTCAGAGTGGGCCGTCTCTCTTACAATCTCTGTTGTTTACTTACCAGTATTCTACAATTTACAAATCACTTCGACATATGAGGTAAAGTTGCCAAAATTTCGTAAGAATTACCGGTATCAATGACATCAGGTATTCTCATCTGTCAAGTTACAGCCTGGAGTATGGAATACTGTATTATGAATACCTTGGTGGGGTCCTCCTGAACTCCTTATTTAGTATGAGGGATAATCGAACCCAACAACTAATTTACTCATAGTAATGTGCCTCACACTAGGGCTAGTACGTATGTTGTGCAATATGTTTATTCACTCATTCTTAGTGTGTTAATACCGTTATAGCCATAGATTATTTTTATCCATTGCCATTAAAGTAATCTTTTTTCAGTATTTGCGGCTCAGATTTAATCAAAACGTACGTCTTCTAGGATCCATCATATTTATTATCAAAATGATGTTATATATACCTATAGTCATCTATGTTCCTGCATTAGCTTTTAGTCAAGGTAACATATATAATAGCTAAAAATATAATACAAAATCTTGTTTAATAACTAATAAGTTTATAATTTTCAGTCACTGGTATCAATCTACATTTAATTAGTCCCATCGTCTGTATTGTGTGCATTTTCTATACGACATTAGTAAGTATGTTTTATTGGATAATGCTGACCCTATTTTTCCCCCTACTGCATGAAATAAATTGCCTGTCTTGGTTACATGATCGGGGTCAAGCAAATCAGATATTATTAAAGTGATGATACACATATTTATCAAGTGTATATTTTAAATTTTAAGGGAGGACTTAAAGCTGTTGTATGGACTGATACTCTGCAAACAGTGCTCATGTATTTTGGTGTGATTTTCGTTCTGGCCTATGGTACATGGAGACTTGGTGGTGTAGCTGAAGTTATTGCCATTAACAAAAAAGGAGATCGACTCGATTTTTTCAAGTAATAACCGTTAAATGAATTTTCAACTAAAAACAGTTAATTAGCTAGTCATTAATAAGTATATTTTGAAACTATAACAGAATACATGAAATTTTTAATTTATTTTGGCTATAATAGACTGTGATTAACATTTCAGTATGGACCCTGATCCCACAATACGACATACATTTTGGTCAACAGTATTTGGAAATTATTTTGGGTGGCTAGCATCATGTTCAGTAAACCAAGCCATGGTCCAACGATGTCTGGCATTATCATCTCTAAAAAGAGCTAGAATGTACGTAAGCATTAGTTTTATAAAAGTGCTTATACAGTTGTTTAAATGAATCAAATTTTAGAAAGATAAAAAGAATTATGTGAACTTGTGTTGGTTATAGGTTTAGTCCACTCGGATTTATTTTCTAGATTGGCGCTATTACAAATTTGAATTCAGACAAATACTTTAAAATGTACAGTCGAACAACAGTTGTTTAAAAGCACAACAAGCAAGTTTCTTGCTCTTATTTCCTGTGCTTTCCGAATGAGTGATAGTAACATAATTGACAACTCTTAAAAAGCACTTTCCTTAAGTATATTTAAATAATGGTTATTTATATTAATATATAATTTTCAATTATCATAAATTAAACTTTTAGAACAATCTTTATAATGGCAGCGGGAATCTTCATCATCGTCTCTTTATGTTGTTATACTGGTCTTGTTATCTACGCTACATTTGCCGATTGCGATCCTCTAACAACTAAAGCGATTAGAAAGAGTGATCAACTACTACCTTACTTCGTAATGACCATAACTGGTTCATTACCAGCACTGCCAGGAATTTTCATGAGCGGAGTTTTCAGCGCTGCATTGAGGTAGGATGGTATACCTAACGGTAAAAAAACACTGTACAGGTAAATGAACACAATTAGAACTAATTTTGAATTTACTTCAGTTCCATGTCAACCGGGTTGAACTCCATGTGTGGTGTAATTTTCGAAGACCTTATCAGGCCGGCGTATAATAAACCAATCTCAGAAAGAACAGCAAGTTTTATTATGAAAATCATAGTTGTTGTTATCGGTTAGTTCATTTGTACTAATTAAATACGAATAAGTGAATGATTTTTTTTAATTAATGCATCTTCTTTATAGGTGCGGCTTGTGTAGCCTTAGTATTTTTAGTTGAACATATGGGTGCTCTTATACAGGCTGGTAAAAGTTTGGCAGGTATTACAGCCGGAAGTCTCCTTGGATTATTTTCTATGGGACTTTTTCTTCCTTGGGCCAATGCAACGGTAATCAATTTTATTAATTGTTGAATGGTTCTTTAACATGTACAATATTCACAATGTCTATAATCTTTATGCTTCTTATAATGGTCTTTGATCATTAACCTTAAACAACAGTTAGGTATAAAGGTACACAGTATACCAAACTTATAATAGATGAATGAGTAATGATGAGAAATAAAAATATAGTATTTAGCAGTACTTGGAGCACACCTACATCTTGAATCTAAAACGGCAATTTCACTTATAAAGCCTGAGATACTATTTTAAATCCAGTTTACAATTATAGGGTGCACTGGTTGGTGGAATTACATCAACGTTTCTCGTCGGTTGGATTTCCCTGGGTACTCAAGCTTCTATGATGCGCGGTGATATTGTCGTCGTATCAAAACCTGTATCCATTTCTGGTTGCTTGGAAAATGTTACAGAACTGTCCACTCCTGCGCCAACACTTAATTTAAGCAACGTGGAATTTGATCGGTATTGTTATGTTCTTAATAGATCAATTTATTATTTAACCTAATTTAGATAATGCTTGATGCTTAATTTAATTTTCAATTATTATTATCAGATCCGGCACATTCTTCCTATATAGATTGAGTTATCTGTATTACACATTCGTTGGAATGGTCGTTTGCATCTTCGTGGGAATAGTAGTTTCATACTTTACCCAACCCAATGATCCTGCTTTGGTAAGTCCTCATTATTATTTTCTATCCATATCATAGACCATGCGTTCTTTTAAGATGATTGACATTCATTATCGTCATCATCACTACATTTAATGATATCACAATAATAGATCACGAACTCTTTTTATAATAAAAAAGTGTCCATGCCTCTGTAGGTTGAGTCTGTACTTTGTACTCAATTCTATGTAGCCCTATACAAAGCTTTTCTTAATATATAAGTAATAGACAAAGGAGTTAGGTACTTAAAATATATACATCCAAGTTATGAACACATATTTACTTCATAAAAAATACTATAATATAATTGAGTGTTAATATTTGTACGTCGGGCACGATTTGCTCTGCCCACTTGACTCGCCACACGTGGGCACGGCGCCTGCCTAATAAATTAATATAACTTTACTCGAACCAATTACTCAATGGCTTATTGAGATGTATGAGGCGTTATTCACTACACTAATGTAATAATCTCATTATGGAATTAACTTCCAAGTTATTACTTAATGAGGTATGCAAATATTTAATTTACAGATAAATTAATTTAACTTAATATAATACATTCATAACAACATAGTATTTTAGATTCTTGCATAAATGAATAAACTTCACTAAAATGACACTTTTTGTATGATATTACATATATTTTTTAATTGGCAATTTATTGTGTTATGGAGCCCGAAATTAATTACACTATGTAAAATAGTAAAATAATATTGTACAAAGTCATGTATGAAAATATTAAAAAATTCCTTGTAGCTTGTATAACTGTAATCAGCCAGTACATGTTATTGACTTAATGCATAAATACATAATTATCCGACATTTCTTCTGTAGGTTCACAGAGATCTGTTGACGCCGGTGATACATCGTTGGCTTCCAAAACAGCATCCTCATTGCCGGAGACCACGTCTGACTCAGCACGACATTGAACTTCATGCCCGAGAATTGGATCACTTGCGCACGAACACACCATACACGGTCAGTGAATTAAACATGTTCATTCTATTATAATTTCAGTGTTTTAGTTATAATTGTATATACCTACTTGGAAAAAGTTAACTTCAATATCGTCATCGGACATTATGAATTTTAGTCTACAATGTGTAGCTTACGTTAAGCTCTGAAACGGCTTAACCTATTGGAATGTGGTTTACGTTGATGTATTGTAGCAAGCATCTCATAACATTTGGTGTTAGTATTATCTTAATTAAATTAAAATTTATTAGTGGACAGCAAAATGTATCCGCACACATAGCACTACTTACCAGGGCCAATTGTGTTTTCAAGTAGGTAATCCATAAACTAATTGAAATACATATACGTAGAATGTCATTTAAATTGATGCAACCTAAATGAAGTAGTTCGAAGGATATTTATATAAATTATGATAAATATTAATATTAGAATAACAACTTATTTTTTTTTACAGAAAGTCAACGACAAGCGGGAGGACCTCAGAGTAACTAGAAGTAGTAGTAATAAAAATGTGCCAATAATCTAATACAAACAAATGTTTTATATGTTAAAAATATTTACATCTATAGCTAGTATATATATGTAAAGAAATATATATTATACATAGAATATTAGTATTTTTAATTCTTTATTACCAATGATAGCTTTCGGCAAACGCATCTACATAAACCGTCCTGGCCACCTATGTGGATATAATTTTGGAAACAATAAACCTCTATGTATATATTAGATATATGAATTTCTTTTACCAATTACTTGTATGTATGGAAATCTCTGAGTAAATGAATGAATAGTAAAATAAAAGCTAAAACTACTTTAGTTGTACACTCGTAAATCCAAACCACTTTCACTAACAAACAAAATGGAAATATGATAATAATTGTTGAACTTTAATACTCATTTGATTACGTGACTGTTGAGTTTGCTAGTAAGTTTAAAAAATATATTTACTACTTTGGGTAAATTTTAAGTACCTATTTTTAGTAACTGTAACTGGCGTTCCGTATTCATACTACTACATTCATACTTAATCATCCCGGTGATTTTCATGTACGATTTTTTACAGTAGACACTATATGAGAATTTTAAACAATTGTCATAATGAGCATATTTTTGATATTCGAATGATTCCGTAGTACTCGTAAGAGTTGACCAGCGTAGCAATGTAAATGACATTGCTGCGCTGACCAAATCTTACGAGTTAGAAGTACTAGGGAATTATTCATATATTTTTTTATAGTAGGATTGTGGCAAAAAAGCATATGGCCCATCCGATGGCAAATGATTACCGTAGCCTATGTACGTCTGAGACACCAAAAGGGTCACGTTTCCTGCCCTTAAGAAACCTTGATATACCCCTCTTATTAGAAATATCATCTACAGTCGAGTATTGTAATCTATTGTAGATATTTATTAAACCTTTTTATTATTACAGCTTACCTAATAATAATCATCAAATGAATTCGTCGTCATTGAACGTATATACAAGGTACCTAGATTAAATCTAAATTTATCAATTAATCAGTTCATACTAATTTGCAACTAAACTACTAAGCCAATTACTATACGTAGGTACCGTGATCACAGATTTTATGCGAATGAAAAACTAAATATTATCATCCTATAGATATATCATATTATCTTATCTGTGCTATAGATAAGATATGAAAATAAATAAAATTATAAGTTTGTTTATTAACAAATATTGAATTTATTAAATGAAGGTACTATCTACTTAACTGAAATATTATACCTACCTACTTATGTTACAAAAACTACACAATGGTATGTATTCTACATGATCAACTTGGTTTTGAAATAAAACAAATTAATGAAATAAAAATCTATATATTTAATTAATCTTAAAACTCTGTTACGTAGTATATATTATGTACAAGAACACTGTTGAGATTCATGACACCACAAATATAAATACTGTTTATCAATCACGTATATAACATTAAAAGTTAACAAAATTATAGACATTTATTAAATTACATACAAAGTTATTAAATTTTTTTGTTAGGTATATATTATATAATTATTATTGTTTTTTGTACATTATGTCATGTATAAAAATAATAAAGAATTACAATCTCAGTAATGTTCATTTTTTTCATTTTACAATACTAGGTACAACAGTAAAAAACTACAACAAAGATTCTCAATAATTAATACTTTTATAAAGTAAGAATAAACCAGATTAACGCTTGATATATTAAATAAAAATACTAATGTTTCAAAACTGTATTGGGCAGCGCAAATTTAAATAAAAGTTTAATTATACCTTAATTTCAAAAGCTTATTAGGCACTACTATTTGGTGTATTTTACGCACTGTTTACTACTAGAGATACCACCGTTCATTAATTTTATAGTTCATTTTCAATTTTCGTTTAGACACTAGATTAGGATTTCAGTTCCGTTCTCTTGCACGTACGCATGTTAACGGGGAAGAAAACATTCAGCTCAATTAAGGTAGCGAGCACCAAAAACATGGCGTACATGCCGAGACATGCACGACCGACGGCCGCGTCCAGCTTGAACTTGTTGAACCAAAATGTCAAATACAGCAAGAGTAGTGTAGACAATAAAGATATCGCCGAGTACTCCAAGCCCATTGAGTTAATCTTCACCTGTTGACATTCGACTCACATTAAAATCATAAACAAAATTAGCAAATTCAATATTTAAACAAATACTAACATTTTTAATACCATCGCATTTTTGCAAAACACAAAAGATCGCTTTAGTGAATAACATAAACTAAATCAAATATTCAATGTAGCTAAAACTATGAGTCTAATTTGTAAATCTATAAATTATTAGTAGATACAAATATGAGAAGACGCGTACATTACTTTTTTAAGTCTATTCACTCGCGGTAGCATAAAAAAATGGCAACATTATACTTTTTAAATGATTAGGATTTTTTGCTTTTGCAATATATCAACATTACCAAAATTCGCAATGCTTACACGATGTAGGTATTTTTTTCGCTTCACAATTTAAAGAATGAGAAAAATGTACAATAAAGTAATTTCTAACCCAATAGTGTCCCGGCTCTGCTGGAGTTAGTGACGCTTTAATGAGCCATGGCAGTCCCAAGCATAAAAGAATATCAAATGTATTTGATCCAATTGAATTACTTATTCCCATGGATCCATGACCTGTGAGGTAAATTAATATATAAATGACAAATTCAAATAAGCATTGCTTATTATAATAGTAAAATTCTTTTAATTGTTTTCTAAGGATTAACTTTCTTACCTTGTTTAGCTACAATAACGCTGGAAACTGCTTCAGGTACAGACGTACCAGCGGCAAGGAACGTGATTCCCATTACGGAATCTGGTATCATTAATGTATCTCCTAAAAATAAATATATGTATGTAAATATAGGTTTTTTTGTTTGTATTACTTAGTATACGTATTAATAGGGTAATTTAATAGAGACATTCTATATAATTTGCATTGTTTATAGTAAAATAAATGTTCGAAGAAAATAGATTTTGATATAATAAAAACAATTATTATTTACCGATAATAGTGATCATCCAGGCAACAATGTAAGAAAGCGAACCTATCCATACAATACACATCATAAACGTCAACGGGAACCAATTCTTAAATCGAGGCTTTTCGCAGTCTGGGATAGTAAATAAGAAAATTAAGTGAATGGGCCATGTCACAATCCAAGTAGTCTGAAACATTTAAGAGTTATAAATTATAGCATCAACAATTCTTAATACGATTATTATATTATTAACTATTGGCACCATACCTTTGTAAGACAACTTCTACCTGTCGGCCACTTCCAAAGTGAGTGCTCATAATCATCACCTGCTTCTTTAATTTCGTCTGTATTTGACTGATTGACATTATCTTCTGGATTGACAATATCCATGTCGATAGTTCTAGTTTCAACATCATTATTTATGGATTTTCCAATTTCGCCCAGTGACGTTTTCTCTATTTGCGATGACTCAATTTCACAATTCTTTTCATTGATGTCTGGGTAAGGAGATAAGGTAGTTTTTATATTTCCATTACGTTGGTGATATTCCATATCTAAATCGTTTTTATTAATCGATGGAGAAGACTTAACATTTTTAACTTCTGAAAAATTAAATAATCCAAGAAATGTCTTACTACTAACTAAATAGAGAAAAAATGAAATGATATATAAAAATTAACAAACCATTTTCTAAGCTGTCCTGTTTCTCATCTTTTTTGTGCAATACATTTGACATAAACCTCCAGCTTGCTAAAAATGGAACATATTTTTTTCTTTAGATATCAACTGATCACTCTACTCCAAACTGAATACTACAAACTAGTTGATACTCGACTTACCTCTAGCAAAATGTTGAATCGATTTGTCGTAATACATAATACAAATGTAAACTCCATATAGAAGAACAAGTAAAAATGCTTCATACCACTGTACATATTCGTCGTGCATAATACAAATTAGTATTGACACTGTAATTCCGTATGCAAGGCAATCTCTTGTCAAAGGCCACCAATCTAAAGGCACTACCTGCACATAATATAATAATTATTAAACGCCCAACTAAGAAAATTGAATTTTAGCCTCGGACAAAATATCGAGATCAGGAGTATTTCAGAACTATTGTTGACAATCAATGTCTCCAATATAGCTTTAAATATCATTTAGAAAACAATATTAATTTCTACACACGTAAATAGGACTATTTAAAGTATCAATTCTGTATCAAATAGTATATAAATAAAGAAAAAAATTCCAAACCATTCCAGCTCCAATACCACAGCATGCAGCTACGGCAAGAATATTGAATACAGCAGAACCGACAATGGTGCCCACACCAATATCGCCTTCAGTGATGAATGTGCCTATCACATTCACAAAAAGCTCAGGTGCAGAAGTGGCCGCCGCCATAAATGTCGCGCCGGCAACGTCGTTAGTCATGTTCAGCGCTGTAAATATTTCATTATTATACACTTAAATAATAATTAAGTCATTATATGACAATACTGCGATAATTTAGTCTGTACTGACTGTTCAACATAACTTATTCTAAATGTTTATATTTCTACTGCTCATTTTAGAGAAATTCTATGTTCACGTCAAATCTCATTAAGATTCATTATCCATTTGATCTCGAAAAAGTAACAGATTGACAGAGAAATAGACACTTTAGCAATTATAACCCAAGTATATGTAGCTAAAATATTATTACTATTAGTCATGATACGTTACACAGGTCTGTAACTTCAGACGATGTAATCAGAGGTAAACGTTTCGCTAGACTTGTCCATATCTAACCAAACACATTCATAAAAGACAACGCAATAAAGGGATTATCCTATAAACGCGTTATCGCTGACACTCCAGTTGAAAAAATATTTAGAAAATAAATCTTATACGAATTTTCTAATATAGATTAGAGTACAATATAATTTTACTAGCTACTCGCCCCGGCTTCGCACGGGTGTACATGTATTATATATATATTAGCTGTTCCTGCGACTTCGTCCGTGTAGAATTTAACTTTATTTTTCTAATATAAAAGTAGCCTAATTTACTCCTTATTACATCAGCTGCCTGCCAATAAAAGTCCCGTCAAAATAGGTCCAGCCATTTCAAAGATTAGCCGGAACAAACAGACAGTCTAACAAAAATTGTAAAAAATGTTATTTTGGTGTATGTACCGTATTTATATTCATATGCATGTAGTAAGAAACGTTTATTTCAACATTACAAAAAGACACTCCAATTTTATATATATTATACATATATATAAAATTGGAGTGTCTTTTTTCCTCTTGAATCACTCGATCTATTAAAAAAACCGCTTCAAAATTCATTGCGTAGTTCTAAGCATACATAGGGACCGACAGTGACCGCGACTTTGTTTTATACTATGTAGTAATGTTTAGATTTTTTTGTATGTTCCTTTATAAAACATATGTCTTACTTTTTTCAGCCGTCAGACATCTTGCTTTGTAAGCTGTTTTTTTGGTAGAAGGGTCGAGATATGGCAGTAAAATTACAGTATATGGCAGCATGTTTTATTAGTCCTGCGGACTGGTGATACATGAGTGATATCACGGGCTTTACAAGATTACGCGATCGTCAGTTACCATGAAAAAGAAGATGTCAGGTTGTATGACAATCTATTCCACTTACACCAAAAACAATAAAAAAACTTCTGACTAGTTTTTATTTAATTTTCTACATAAATTTAAATCATCAGCGAATAATATCGTCGTCCTGCACTGCGTGTGTATTGTCTTAATTGTCTATGAGCTTCTACAACTGTTAGCGAGTAATAGAAAAAAAAATACTCTCATTATGTCTAATAGTATAACATTGCTGAATTTTCTACGATTACACTTGAAATATTGTGAATACATAGCGAATATTGAATGCATTGAATGTTTTTTTATATTTACATGACTAAAGGCCAAGATAAATTGTAATGAAACATGACGTGATTTCACGTACTTGATTACCTCAAAAAAGGTACACAAAGTAACAGCTAGTAAGAAAGGTATAACTTTCTTCAGTGTTACAAAATTTTAGAACGCACCTTGACATATTTTACCCACGGCAGGTACGAAGAACTTATCGCAAACGACAGCGAGAGCGACAAAGAGGTAGATGGAGATGAGTGCATGGAGGACGATGGCGCCGTGCTGCCGCTGCTGCTCCGTGAACAGCCCCGCTGGAAAGTCGTCGATGGCCGGCGGCGTGCAGTTGCGGAGTATCCCATCTGATACAAATTATATTATATACATATACATAATTATACATATATTACGCTATCGAACCCGACCAAATTTGTCTACACAAACGTCTACGTCATCACATTATATCCATTTTTGTAACAATTTCTTTGTAGATCCGCTTCTATTGGTCGTAGCGTGATGAGTATGTAGCCTACAACCGTTCTGGTCGCTGGATGGTCGCGGTAATTACCGCGACCATCCAAACTCATAAACTTCACCTTTTTATAATATAAGTGAAAGTACAACAAAAACAACATATACCGTCTGGACTAGGTAGTCAGAGTCATTGCCAACTGTAATTCTCGTGATAATCGCAACACATACTTATATGAATCCAAAGTGACAGGGAGCAAGCCTACCACCCTGTCTGTCTGTCGAATTTATTTTTAGTTTCATATTAGTGATTTCTTCACTCAAAGATAGTCAAATTAGAAAATTAACACTTTTGTGTCAATTTATATTTTTGAGCTTTTCAGCTTTGTAGCTGATGTTTGTGTTGGTCATTTGAAGTCACGACATCTTGGCCATAATTCAGGATAGTAAACTTTTACGTTATGATGCACTCAAATGTAACGTTTATGATTTATTATACAGGATTATTATATAAAATAAGTCGTCTACAGTGAACATAAAACCCAAGCCGGCGGCAACCCGAATAATTTCACATAAAAATCTGTTTCGAAGTTTTTTAGAATATCGCGAAGATACGTACAACACATTTGTATGTAACTCTGATTACACTCTGATTACTCTGATGATATCATACATGCATCTCTGATTTTTTTTACACATAAATAGTAGAATTGTAAATTGTAGGTACACCTTGTTCTTATGCAGGTAGGCTCAAAATAGTTTTAATAATTCTTATATGTTTTACAGACTTGAACACTGAATTGAAATTTTCTAGTACGTCTAATGTAATACTTTGTGTTTCTTTTATTCCAATCGGATTACAAACCATAAAGTTTATTTTATTATAATGTAATATGCTATGAGTTAGGAAATGTTTATTCAAACATGTAGATAATAAAGAAGTCAATTCTATTAGACATTTTAAAGGGACGGGTACTTTTGACCTCTTTGTTAACACATACCAATGTCAATTGATTTACTGTCTATAGATGACAAAAATTTATAACCAGAAACCTATCGTAACTATAGAATATGTCCATCTGTTCTAGATAATCTTATATTTAACTATTCAATAAGTACTAATTTGTAGTATAATTATCAATTAAATATAGTTCAATATTTAATAAATATATGGAGTTAACTTACAATTATTAAATAATAGCATATTATCCTTCATAATATAATTCCAGTGGAAGTAATGTTCATCTACCATAGTCCTATTAACCGCTTCTTCGCAAATGATAAAGTCAACAAGCAAATCGTGGATAAATTGTCTCAAATGACCACTGAAATAACTTGTTTAACTGGATTAACCGATTTGAGAAGACGACGGGGCAAGCAGCTAGGATTCTGTGGTACTCTAAAGTAACGTATGTGCCAAATTATGCGTGTCATGTCTCGTTTAGACATTCGCACATCACCAAGTGCACTATGAAGGAAATTGACAGATCAAAAGAGGCAGGAAGTCCGCATTAACGCCGCACAAGTCTTTCGATCCCCTGTTCTGTCTGTTTCTTATCTCGTCAATAAAAAAATCGGTAATAATAAAAAATAGGTTTTGTTTTACCTAATCAAACGCTGACAGAGATGTTAGTATTAAAAATTGTTAATGCACCTATACATGTGCCTATTCTATTCAATGTGCCCATGTCATCCTTGATTTATTAAAGATTTTTTTAAAATATGGGAATTAAAATGCTATTTTTGTATATCAAATAAAGACGATTGGCTCTTATAGCGTTAGCTAACGACACTTATAAGTCACGTGAAGACCTATAGAGATCAACCTTGTTCGTTGACAGCCCTGAGGCGACGACGACCAATTGTCAATTTGCGCGAGGAGCGACCGGATGAGGCGCCGAGTTGGAACTCATGCCTCCCCTTCTAACTTTAGGAACGGCTACCTAACCAAGGCAAATGGCTATAAAGCAAATTTACCTAATATCACTCACTCTTGTCCGTTTTTAGTAGCCGTAGTAACAAAAAATCTTAAGATGATAGAATTTCGATTTTCTTTTATCTTCACTACGATTGACTATTGTAACACATTTTAATAGTTTTCAATTGTATCTTAAGTTCTATAGCTACATGTTGTAAGATTGGTGATAGAATTTAAAATTATCATATAAACTTCAGCTGATTTTACTAAGAATAGAAATGGAACTAGAGTTCAATTACTTGATATTAACATCAATTACCTACAATTGAGTAGGTATAAATGTACGGCTCACTTATTGTGAAAATTAAAGATTTTGTTCTGCAAGACCAAACACAAATAAGTAAGCGCAACTTTTACTACTTTTTTTTTATTTGTACATGTATTTATCCAATACACTAGATAAGTACAATCACTTACTTCTGGCTAAGGTGCGGCCTATGCCAGCAATAATGTAATTGTAATTGTAACCGCCGTTATGGCATAATCGACACTAATTCGTTTCCAGAAAGGTCAACAGGCATTGTAAATAAGTAGCTTTTTGTAGCCACACCTGTTTTTAGGTTTTCGTAAACACCATAAATGGTTTTATACATTGTGTGTACTATACTTTACACAAAGAACAATTTTAGCGGGAATGTAAATAAACAATTCAGTCTTGAATCACAAGTAGCGTTTCAGTCCTATAAAAGAACTCGTACCTGTTCTATTGAAAGCCATGATGCTGCTCAGTGTTCCATACTTACTAACATCGTTTGCCACCTTACGGAACTGCCGGCGGGTTTCCTATGCTTGTACATGCAACACTAAATTCACTTTCAATAACCCGCACTCCAGACTGCTGATATATATTCTTCTTCCCTGCGTTCATTCTATTCACTTACGACTGAGTGACCTAGCCATTCACCGGGAATTAGACGCACTTCCGACCTCCTTTGATAACCTTGATACGTAGATATACGTGTACTGCGCCAAGTGTGACAGAATCTCTGGTAAGATAATTACATCGGAGTTCTCACTTGACCATATAGGAGAATGTAAGAGTGTGATGTCGTACCTCGATCGGAGGTGTTCATATTGTCGTGGTGTTGTGCGGAGCGCGACGCAGGACGCAGGCGACCGAGGACGTCGCCACTGGCGTCCGAATGCCACCGTTTACGCTCAAACGGACATAATGGACCCGCCGGAGAGCTCGTCAAAAGAAGAATACGGGGGGCAATTATTTATTTCCATACAATACACGTAGGTACGTCGGGCGGCACTCAGCCGCAGTGCGGGAGTGACTCCCGAAGCGAACATCACAATGATGCTACACTAGTTGGTGGCCGATCACTCGCACCTACTCAACGTTCCCAACACTGTCTTTACCAATACTTCGTGCCAAAAGTCATGTTAGATAAAAACTCTAATAACAATGTAAAGTAGTACGTGTACAAATAATTAGTCTAGTGATATCCCTCATATTGTTGTCTGTACAAATCTAGGAAGACTAATATTTATGAATGTCCTTCTTCCTTATTTGCTTTTAAATATAGAAGAGGCTGACTTTCGAATATGGAACTCCCATTACAACTATTGGGAGTTTAATGCCGTGTATCATATATCTAAGATTTTAAATACAATTATCTCATGCCAATAACATTAGTAATATTTTAAAAGAAACTTATAAACGTATCTATCCACTATCCATTATCGTTGTGTCGAATGAATTGCTTTCAGGTATACTTATGATCAATTTTTCTCAAGTAAAGTAATTACTTTTAAACTTTCATTTTCGTTTACTACTCCGACTTAGACTCAAAGGAGGGTTCAAATCTGGCTGGCATACAAAAAAAAATATATGTCTATTAGTATTTTTGACTAAAATTTCGGTTCGGAAAAAATACCGAAAGAAACACAATTAACCCGTGAACTCGTGACGGCGGATGGCAGACTACTTGCCACATTGGTTTCAATTGTGAGCATCGAAAAGCGAAATGCTTGCGAATTCCAGCGAAATACATGAATTCGCGACATTAGGTATTTGCTCATCATCTGGCTATATAGTTGTAAAGAGAATACATAATTGTGTCTGTAGTAGCCATAACGAGTAGAGATTGACGAGTTGATTCAACAAGTGCGAGACGAAATAGCATATAAAGTGGTATTTTAAAACAAACTATATATATCGCAGATTAACTTTTTTTCTGAAGAGACAAAAATTTTTGGTGAAGCATACCATAACATAAGTTTCTGAAATTAGCGTGCACAAACGCACAGAGTATCAGAAAAATCTAAGAAACTTTGTTTTGGGTTCCGTCACATTGCTAAAGTTTTCCAATACTATTATTCTATTCTCTTAATAATAGTTTTAATATATCTTCTATGTATCGAGAGAGAAAGGATATATTTTATGTATAGATTTCAATGGTAGTCAATCGAGGAATAACTATGCAATCATTTTCAGATTGACAGTAGGTACCTATGTCTTTAAAATTTTTATTTATATTATAATATTGTGAATATTAAAGGAGATGTAAATTACTTACACAATAAATTAGGTTTATTACCTATGCATGAAACGCTATGGATAAGCTGAGCTCGAAGAACTCGGCATTAAGTAGCGTCTATCTACATTAACACAATCGCGCATCCTTACCTTCTTTGGTCACGTCTCGCGTAGAAACAATTCATCCATAGAGCGCCTTGTCGTACAGGGTAGAGTTGACGGCACTAGACCTCGTGGACGATCTCCCATGCGATGGACCACGACCGTTTTGACAAGAGCAAACCGAATAAATAGAAAATAATAGAGAATATACATTACTTAGAACATTTATTAAGTTCTTTTTTTAAATAGCGCACTTTGATTTCTATGACATACCCTACGTACTACAGAATTTATTCATAACACTCATGCTAATTCAAATTCATATTCATAAACCTAAATCAACGTATGTAACGTTTAATAAATGCAATAAATTTGTAACGACTGTTACCACTAAAAACTATGAGGCGTAGTGTTCTATCTATTCTAATATTATAATTTCGAAATTGTGTCTCTTTTTTTGTTTTCTTTTTGGTTGTTTTTTGTTACACTACTAAATTTCCTGAGATCCGTTTTCTTAGTGAAATTTTACATAAAGATAAATTGGAAATAAACTTCTTATAGCAGTGCTAATTGTGCAAAAGAACTACTGTAATTTAATCCGTAAAAAGACGGCTATAAGTATTTATGTATGTTATAAACTGAGATTTCTAAATTCCAAGTGCATTGGCGCACTGTGATAAGTGCAGTCAATAAGCACTTATGTAAAATGTGATTGTTTAATATTTATTCGTATTATCAAATAGGTATTTATTTTCATTTCGTCTCATGATGATAATCATGATACATAAGCACTTACATCACTGGCAAGTTACGAAGATAAGTACGATTTGTTTCAGAATGTTCCGCCATTTTGAATCAGTTCCGGCACACTTGTAAAAAAATTACTAAATTAAAATTCCGAAAAACAACAAGATTAGATAGAAAAATAGAAATAGAAGATATTTTTTTATATAATATGAGTTTAAATTGAATTTTAAGTTATACAATCTAAAGTTACTTCTTAACAAATGTTAGATTTTTTATTTATATTGCATAAACAAATACCTACAATTTAAAGACTACTTTATTGACACCTTTTAAGACAATTACACTATCTGAGATATGGCTCAACGAAATCAGATTTCTAATAATCTATCAGGTCAAACGTCAATTCGGTGGCCCTTCTTGTGCGACACATATGTACATAGGCGGCACGCAACAGTCAATTAAGGTTCATTAAAAGATTTAAGCATGAATTACAATCCAAGTAGCGATGCTGTGAATCATAGACTACTTGCGTAGGCGTATCTTAAGTGATGATAAGAAATATTGACGTTATTAAGCTTAGTTATAGGTATCACTGATTGGAGCAAGTAATGATGGAGGAAAGGGGTCAACAAGTGACAATGTGTTATTCAAAATTTCATGCGCATTTCAAATCTAATATATCTATGTATTAAAGTAAAAATTTGGAACCACTAAAGAAAAACTATAATGGAATACCAAAAACCCAACAGAATTTGAAAATATGTTACGTTACACTAGAAAATCTCACAAATGTTACCAAATACCATCACTACATGTCTTTAAAAATAAGTCACTACTAGTCTAATTGTTAAAAGTTTTTTTTTACAGTTCAGACCTATGACATGTTAGTTAAATAATCAATACTAAACCTAAAAATTAGATTGAATTACGGTACGGTACATTACGGTTCTAGGCAAATAAAAGTAATTTAATTCATGAGGAACCAAAAAATCTAAACAGAAGCAAGTACGATATGATTATTCTAGAAAAAAACTGCATTTGACGGCCTTAGTGGTTTAGCGATTTACCGCTAGCGAGATACCGTCTTACTTCCAAAGTTGGGGGTCTGATTCTTTGTACGATACAAATATTTGTAATAATGAGTATAATTGTTTGTATTACCCAGAAAGGTATTATTTATATGTATAATATGTATGTATTCACAAAAAAACACAACTATCAGTTGTTCAGTACCCATAACACAAACTCTGGTTAGATTGATACTGTTAAATGTGTAAAATCTTTGTACCTATATCCGGAGTGTGAGAGTGATCGTCATAATTATCAATATTATGACTCCATTGTAAATATGTGCTCGATATACCTGTGTCCCTGACGCAAATAATGGAAAGTTCCCTTACCCACTTGACGTGACGTCTACGTAATCTTTAGATTAATATTCTTAATGGAATATTTTTATTCGTAAACTTATAGTAGAACAGATAACAATATAAGTAAGTTAAAGTTCTATTAAAAGCAACACTGCGTTAAGACATTTTATATTTAACAAATTAATATATTTTCCAAAAATTAAATATTATTCATATTTAATACAGATGTAAATAAAAAGCAAGTATAAGTAGTAATATAAAATAGTAACAGGACTTCCGTACTTGGAAGACTGAGTCCGTAGTACAAGAGAATATACATATATTCTCGTATACATATTCTCTTCCACACAAATTGTATACAGTCAACTACCAGAAACACCTGAACCACACAAATGTAGGAAGTTTATTTTCCAATATTCTTATGTGTGAGAAATAACAATAAAATATGCTACATCTGGTAGCTATAGTTGATCTTTGTAACAACTTCGTACAGTGCACGAAGTAGTAACAAAGATCGGCCGGGTGTGGCTAAAATTTATTTTAAAAAATATAACCTTGACCATTTCTGTTATCGATGTATACCTACATATATTATTAGGGAAAAAGTTTAGGAAGTTTAACATCAAAAATAACACCTAATAAGTTGAACTCCAAAAATAGTATCTACATATATTCACTATCAATTAGGGAATCACTTAGAATTTGGAAACGAACTTAAATTAATTTAATTCACTCCCTAATTGAAATTCCGATATTTAAATGTATACTAAATACATTAGTTAGTATATTGTAGGGATATATGTATCTGTTACCCACATCATGTTATAACGCTAGTAAATCCATAATAAGAATGATTAATCCCAATAACCTTGATACTCACTATTTATCTATATAAGTGTATTGCGATATTTTTATTAAAAACAAAACTATAAAATTATTATATATAGGTAAGTATTTATGTAGTTAGATAATTAATTATTGAAGAATTGTATATGACCAATGGTTGAAATTTAGACTATTTTTAACCTTAAATATACAAATGAATAAAATACAAGAATCTATTGATATCTTCAGTAGTCATCATAGAGCTCAACGTTGTGTTGATAACCTAAACTGACAAATATGTTGATTACTATTAAACTTTGTAGGTACATAGTTCCAAACAGAACATATCTGGTTTAAACACTGCATTCATTGCATGCATTTTATACTATGTCTGTCTATGGTATTGTAGCCTTAAGATGGACCAATATGAATTTTAACTCAATAATCTAAATTATTTATTGTTTCTACTGTTTATTAACTACAATTAAAAATCCACAACATGCCTAAATAGACAAAATAGAGCAAATAAATTTAATAATTTAGGGCAAAATTAATATACAAGGGAGTAAACACTCTTAAAGATATCGAGTCTAAAGGCTACAATACCGTACTTATAGATAATATAATTAATATATATTAAGATTCGGTCACAATGTCTTGTCAAACGTATCTACTTCGAAGCAAAGAAATGTTTTCGAATAGAATACAAAGCACCGGGAAAGAAGGAATAATTGTGGCATTTTTAAGTAATGTCGATGGAATGGCATTTAAAACTGAGCAAATATAATGCATTGACGGAGAACCAGTAAAAATATGGGAACAAAACAAAAACATTTACTCCGTCATGGCAAAATATTTCAAACTCATATTGTTAGTCATTATTGTTCGTTTTTATTGACGTTATAATGATTGTAACGCTAGATATACTATATTTTCAAAAAGCCCAAATTTACAAACACATTAAATCTATAGAGAAAATTCAAATCATTTTAGACGGTGTTTTATTCTTGTAATTCTTATTCGAATAATCATAAATATCCCGATGCTAAAAGGCACCTACCTGCGCCTGTCAAAATGCGTAGTTTATTTACATTAAACCCGATAACACTGATAGGACACTATGTAATAATATTTGTCGATAAATTATCATTTTCCTTAAGGGCCCTAAGAAATTGTTACAGTACTGTATTGTCTATTCGTAGCACTAACACGTATATGTTTATTGCTCCTATTTTCGGAATTTCGGTACTAATGCTTACGAGCTGTATATACAGCGAAATATTCGAATTTTTCATTTGACAAAAATAGTATATCGAAACTAATAACAACGGCGCGATTTCTCCAAACGTTCTAGTCACACTTTCATTCCTAGTTTTTTTTTTAATAAATGGCAAATATGTTAATAAGGACTAGACAGCTTCAGTGTAAAGCAAAAAATCCGGTAGTTATAAGGGTGTTGTTGTTTTTTGGTATACCATTGATATATTTTGTGTTCATGTGGGCTTATAATAATGTAAAAACTAGTGACGAACTAATTGATTTAGACTCTGGTAAGTTTGTAAATAATATAGCAGGTAGATCTAGTTCAATAAATAATATAAGAAAATTTTATATATTTTTTATGTCATTGAAACTGAACAATCTGCCAGATCACAGGCCAATGCAGTTATATATATATATATATATATATATATATATATATATATATATGAACAGAACTAATTACATCCAGGGATCTTGTTACTCCGGATATTACTGCGTTGCCATTCCGTAGGACTTAGACACTTATGTACTTCTTATTCTGTAATATTACTAATTTATCTTAACTCTTCAACCAAAATACATCTTACAGAACAAACTATTTGGCGGCTAAAATTGACAGAGGTACGCACGCAGTGTAATTTTTACAAAGTCTGACTATATTATATAGGTATCATGTGCATGTCCATTTATCACATATTCCTTCTGCCGCAAAGCAGTGTAGTTCTTAACATTTATAGAGATTTTCTCGTAAATAAGTAACGATAGCTATGGCTATATTGAGTACGTGATTCCAATTTATATAAAGAACTTTATTTTCGTGTATTTTTTGCAGGTTTCTTAAGTGTTCCATCGCGGGAACTTCTAGGTATAGTTGATAGCGACAGAAATTGTACACCGGCTGCTATTCTAGAATTTCCTCCTGACGGATTCACTCGTTCACAGAGACAACATGTAAGTATTATAAAAAAATATGTTTGTTAACTAATAGATTTATTATTACTGTACGTCACGAATACTAAAATAGTAGGAATTGGGCAATATTAATTTGTATCAATTTGAATTAACCAACCGCTTATTTTGATGAACAATAGCAAACAAATAGGTACCATTCAGTGGATACAAAATACTAATTCTCTGATGACAGAAGAAAATTATTAAAAAAATAAAATCACATTATTATGTAATAATTAAATTTAAAACGCACTGGGAATTTAAAAATTTATTGATGTGAAGTGAAGTTCTCTAACATAATAGCAATCATAAGTGTTAGAGAACTTCATAAGGACTTCAAAAATATTCACTGCCAATAGACAAGACCCCAATAGTATTGTTCCTTATAACATTTCTATTTATTAATTTACCTATCATTTAGTGGCGGCTTCGCTTGCATGAATTGAGACTAAAGTAACCTAATACTTACGTCTCGATTCATACACGTACTAAAAACCGATACTGTTTAAGAATTAGTAAATGTAAAGTGTTTTAATTGTTACACATCACTATCTAATGCGTTTTATATGAACCCCAACTTAACTTCTATTCACTGTTCTCATCGTGTTTGTTGGTAGATGATAAAATTGTCAATTTTTTTGGCTTTTCTATAATTACTGTAATTTGTATATTATAGATAAACCCTTCCTTTTAAATCTTAAGTCACTGCTGAAACTGTATTAAAACCTATTTAATAGTTTAAAAGATCTAAGCGAACAGACAGCGGTAGCGATATTATATTACGAAATTTTATACTATGTAAAGATTTGTAAATATAATAACAGTATTTAATTAAATATTATGTAATCAATTTAATAATAGATCACTAACATTCATAATAAATACTCTGCATATTGATAAAAAATTAAAGACAAATTTTACAATAAAAATATGTGTACAACTTAATTAAAATTGTAGCACTCTTTTGTATTTTACCTTTAGATAAAAATATGCAGAGGCGACCGTCTAAAATTTCTTATATTATTTTTTGATTAGTTGCTAGCCGTGGGTATGCTTTGCGAGATAACAAAGTTGCCATAGAAACCTATTATGTGTAATGTCGCTTGCGTGCTTACGTTTTTCTCATCAATATCAGTCGCCAGCATCTTGCTGCGCTGCTTGTTATTAGATTTGAAGGGTGAGACGTTGCAGTAGAATTGCAGGATACAGAGTATTAGTTAATATACTCCGTACCTAAGACCTAAGTAATTGGTATCGCGTGAGAGGAACTAGGGGATTGTCAATGTATTTTGCACTGTCCTTAGTGCTATTAATATCGACAGACATCGTATGACGTCTTTATATCAGGTTAGTCGTAAAGGGTAGGTATGTACTAAGACGCAGACACGGATTTTATTAATTATAATAAACCAGAATATTTCACATACCGTCATCCAGTTCCAAGTTAACAAAAGCTTGTGTTATGTTTAATAGACAACTCATAGAAATGCTTAAATACATTTTTGTTTTGTGCATACATTCATAATGAACATCTACATATTATTGTAATATTATTTTGGTTGATTACTTTGGGCTGGTTGGCTCTATTAGTGTGGTGGTTATTGTACACAGAAAACACCCAGACCGATACAAACAAACATACTCATGAATACAAATGTTTGCACTATACGTCATGACATGTAACTAAACAACTTGCTCAAAGATACAAATTGAAAAAATAAAATAATGCCAATATTCATTTACATAATTTTAATTGCATATATTAGGTAACACTTCTGATCTTTTGTAATGTTGCATCTTGGCAATAATCGTGTGTATTATTTTACAAATCGCGTCGCATCGAATTCGTGTTTGCGAATTTAAATTCTTTAAGTAAATTCTAAAAATTCAAAATCAAATTGTTATAATATTTATTATTATTTTGGATCTTAAAACATCTCTCACAATTGTATGTACAATGTTCCTATAAGTAAACATACAGACATCGATCGGCCTGTTTCGAATTAGCTTGACAATGGTCACAATGAATACGATGCAAATGATGACAAATGTATACGTGCAACACGTACGACAAGTCAGCAGTCAAAACTACTTATTCAAAACGGAACTGAAAATAAATGTCGCTATATTTCAATTTAAATATTCGCATTCACAAATACATATTCATATAAAATCAATCAAAATCTAAAATGCCTTACATCATAAATTGATTTTAGCCGCTTATCAACGTAAAGTTGTATTAATATTTTTTCCGTACCGTCCAAATCAGTATACAGATTCAATTGAAAAGAACTGGCAAGAAACTATACTGAATTATTTTAAAACCAGTTTATTTACATATTATACTTATATATATACATATATATAAACACCTCTTTGAGCACAATGTCGTGTATATATATATATATATACTTGTGTTTATATATATAGGGGAAGAAGGGTGAATGGCGTTCACTTAAGGAAAACATGGTGCATTTTATAAATTATTTATTGCAAATCAAAATTAAGAGAAGTAACAAAGTCTTTAATTATTGAGTAACCAACAATTTAACATCAAAAGCGTATAACTTTATTCTACTAGTAGTAGGAAGACATTATTTAAAATAAACATGTTTGAGCGGAATTGCTCCTGACTATGAGTAATGCCGCTCAGGGTACGGGGTAATGTCTAATAACCAGCAAAATATATTAATTAAAGAAATATTCATAAGATCAATCTTAAATAATAAAAGTAAAATCTGCAATCCCCAATGTGAAAGTGATAATAGAGTAATGTGAGTGAAATTTGCTTTTTTCAATTGAATAAATATAGTACAGGCTTAGATGTCAAATCAATTTCAATTATTGTAATATAATATAAAATAATAATAATTATTAGAGGTAAGACAAATTAGAAATAAAAATATTTTATCCTTGGATACATAAGTAGAAATAGAAATAGAAATAGAAATAGAAATAATCTTTATTCAAATAAACTCATTACAAGCACTTTTGAATAGTCATATTTTGATTCTACCACTCATTCGGAATGCAGATTCATCACAAGAAGAATGAGCAAGAAACTTGTGTGTTGCTCTTTTTAATAGATGTTTTTTTTATATAAATAATTACAGTATAACAAGTAAGAGGCATGCGATAATCAACATAGAAGTCGCTACGCACTCATTATTAATGTAATAAGATAATATTGTCAGTGCTATAGATTTAAAGTTTTTCTATAAAAACATTATTATCGTTAACGAATTCTTCAATTTTATAGTAAGCTTTTTTGCAAAGGAACTGTTTTATTTGACATTTAAATCTTTTTTCTGGCAGATTTATAACATATGTATAAAGTAACATATGTATCTATCTGCGAATCCCACCCTGAACATGTAGCATGAGCCCAAAGTCCTCAGATGGTGTAGCGATACCAGAATTCATATTTTTTCCAAATTCCTGATAAATAATACATTTGTTATAATTTCTATCATCCACATTCATTTTGTCGTTACTGTCTTCATCGCAAAGGTGCTCTTTATTTCACTATCTGAAAAATTATCATATAAATTTTTCCTTTAAGATTTTTTATCATGTTTTTTTTTCTTTCTTTTGGACAAACTCATTTTAATCATAGTTTTAGCTGATTGGAGGTATTTATCGGTCTTTTCGGTCTAACAACTTTAGCGGAGATCCTTTGACGTTTTCTTAGCATATCTACAACAATAAAAAAAATAAGTTACAAAGGGGTAATGGCGCTCAGGTGAGCGGTATAACCTCAACCGGTCGTTTTGTAATTAATTAGAAATTTAAAAAAATCATGCGCAATCGGTAATAATTGATTGCATTACCATAAAATAGAATAGTTTTATTATCAGAAAAGTATACTTAATAATTAAATAATATGCATTAAAATTTTAGATTTACCGCCATAAAATCTTATGCAATAATTAGATCAGTTTGGCCGCAAACGTAAATCCGCACTTCACGATCACATGACGCGAGCTAACTGTCTGTTTGCATTGTTGTCTTTTAGAGGCTACCTATCCTCGTGCTTTAAGCAACGTGGATGGCGTGTTGCTACATTCCATTTTGATAGAGTTACAGAGGTGAGCGCCATTATGCGCTATTGCCCCTGCTTGCCCTATATATATATATATATATATATATATATATATAAGGGTTCTATTTATAGGTGTCTATATCTAACATTAAATGAAAATCCCGTGCGTAAACAATTATTGCAAGTCTACTAAATCCAGAAAATTCTATAGACCTACGCATATACGCTACGTGTATACACTGTTATACTACCGCTACATGCGCGGTCACGTTATCAATTTAAAATGAAAAGTGACAGTTTGGGGTGACAAACACACACAGTGACAGTAGTTCCGATTTGTTACTACACTGCCTGATTTTTTGCTTACTACTCTTTAGGATTAAACGTATATATACAATGATTACCGATTAGCATATTTCAATATTGTAAACCGTGAGTTTGAGTTTTGATTCCAGTTATATAAAAATAAAAACCAGTTTGGGACCATGCGAGTCTTTTCTATTTCCACTATATCTAGTAATATAGATGAATTATGCACAAGTGTAAACGATCTATTCTTATAAAAAAAGTATAGGAATCAAGTACCATCATTGTATGTGAATTAGTTTATACAACTCCTTTGAACTAACAATTATAAAGTTTTGTAAAAGAACTTTTAAATTCTGCTCTTGCTTATTATAGATATATTGTCTTTATGACTTTTAAATTAGAAAAAAGCGAGATCTTCAATCAAATTCAACAAATCAGAATGATCTATCGGATGCCACATTATGCCATGTATTAGAGTAGCAGACTTACAAAGTATACACACTAATCAAAACAAGTTAACAAAAAATTTAATGAATTTATGGAATGTCTAATCTAAATTGACGAATTTCACAGAACATTTCTAATTAATAAGCATTTAAACAGCTAGTATTGGTGCACGCGCAAATAATTACTTACCTATACGCAAAATAACTTTCAATCAGTCTTTTCTTTTTTCAGGGTATCATATTAGTGCATTGTGTGCTGGCAATGTACTGTTTTTTGTTACTGGGCGCTGTTTGCGAACAATACTTCGTGCCGGTCATCGACATGATATGTGAACGTAAGTAACTTTGTGCACTTTATTTGCAGTTTAAGTAATATCTCATCTAGAGCTAAGGTATTCTCATGTTAAGTACATAACATTTCAATAATTTAATGCGGATCAACATAATTATATCAATGATAATTGCATTGAAATTTAAATAGTAAAAAACAACACCCATTACCTACTAGTTTTTTGCGATTGAACAATTGTTTGAACTTTCTTGTGTTGATTTATATTCTTGTATAATAGTTTGACTTATTTTGATTCTTTACAAGTAAATATGGAGGAAAAAATGCAACGGTTTCAATTTCAAGAGCTCGCTAGAATTGCGGACAATTTCCGCTTCTACATATCCTGACATTGTTTTTTGTACATTCTCACTATAACAGAAGGTACAAAATCGATATGCACTTATTAAAATTGACATAAAGTATTATTATTTTTAGAACCAAAATAACGAGTAAAATTATCAAATTTATCATATTACAGGATGTCTGATTTTAAAGCCCAGGACAATCGTGTCATTATCTGGCACCGATGGGAAATAAAGTTGATATGGAGGCAAAGTTGCACCTATGCGCAGTTCGCAACTATGTACGTGATAATTAGATAGTTTATACGGTTGGTTGGTTTAACTAACAACCAGATCAAGCTATTACAGATCCAGTCACAATCCGATAAAAGTGAATTTATTAATTATGAAGCTGTAAAACATACTCAATGTCTATACTCAATCTTGCTAGCAAAAACTTGAAATTTGTAACTAAATCTAAATATCTGGGCTACTGGGTCTGTAATAATGAAAGACAGTCTCTTCTTTTATGTTTCATGCCATTCATGTATTTTTTCTTTCGTATCCTCTCCCTTTTCGTTAATTCATGATCAATGGTTTCTTTACCTCGTCTATATAATACTACCAACTTTAATATTGCGTTCATAGCTCATAATAATCAAGTAAAGTCATCTGCAGTATAAGACAAGTATAATAAGGATATTTTAAAAACCGCAGCTTTGGAAAATATAATCCAAATAGATTTTCTACAAAATTGTCTGCTACTGCGATTTTCTACAAAATAGTTTACTTTGTAAGCTGTGTTTCAATTTGAAGGTTGAGATCTGCTAGGGTACGGAGGTATGCCGCATAAGTCCGAAATATCAACCGCTGATGCCATATAACGATATAATGTTAAAGTTAATAGTCATTTTGCATTACCCGTTTCATAAACAACAGCTGCTTATTAAAATGAGTTCACCTAACGTCTTTATTATCTTCCAAATATGAAAGGTTTGGATATGGAAGCGGACATTGCTGGAGCTACATTTATGGCAGCAGCGAGTTCTTGTCCCGAATTGTTCATCAACTGTGTTGGAACGTTCATAACCGAAGGGGATCTTGGAGTCGGTGCTGTAGTTGGGTCAGCTGTATTCAATGTCCTGGCTGTACCTGCTTGTTGTGCTTTGATTGTTGGCAGGGTGAGTAAACTCTAAACTTCTACGAGTAAATTTGACGCAGTCATTATTATATGTATATGATTAGTAAAAATCACGGGATCTTACCACATTTTATTTTTATTGTTTGAAACACTGCCGAAATATCGGGAACTCAATAAAAACAAAACCTAGTAAGATCCCGTGATTTTTAGTAATTCTACGAGTAAAGTATATATATTAAATAGAATAGAATAAGTATAAATCAATGAGATTCAATTATATATGGAGATTTTTTTTATACTGTCTTATATTAAAATAATATTCACAATAATAAGAGTATATTACATTACTAATTAATCCAGCTTATTTGAGTAAAATTACGTCACATCTGTATCAATATAGATTAAATCCTACATTAATGAAAATTTATGTTTATAAATTTATTTTGATATGCTATGGTCTCGTATTTCTGTACTCAAGTTAAACTTCGTGATTCTTAGAAGGTCCATCTCGAGCACTATATAATTTCACTACATGATGTATATTCAAATAATTATATCTAAGCGGTTTTTATATGCCTAATTCGAGACAGTTGTACAAATTTATTTTTTATTAATTTTTCTGATACTTGTAGGTAATCGATCTGGACTGGTGGTCCATATCTCGGGACTGCCTCATGTACGCGATTGCTGTCATCGCCCTTATACTCACTCTACTTGACGACAAAATATATTGGCACGAAGCGCTTCTGCTAGTACTTATGTATACTGTATACATTATAAGTAAGCATATATATATTATCATATATCATTATTTAGGCATTTATTAAAATATGTCTATAACTTTTACTTAGCTAAATATTTTTTTCCTTTTAGCAATGGTTTTCGATGGCTGGCTGAGTTCACTATTCAGAAATGTTTGTTGTTTTCAAAAAAAGAAAAAATTATACACGGAAATATCACCTCTAATAATCAAAGGTGAGTCCTATTTCACATTTAACAGTTCCTACTCATACCTATAAAACCCAAGGTTCGAACCCCTAACGGTGCCCTCAGACTAAAGTCGTATAGGTCAGGTGGGAGTTGACTTTCAGCCGCTCCATAAGTCCTTCCGCGGTCCATGTATATGTACAATAAAACATATAGATAAGATCTTAATTGCAGGCTTTTTGATGAATTGACTCTCAATTTTGCAATGCTCAAAACGAGTAATGGACATTGGAGGATCCAGATTGAAGTATTTTACTGATGAGACGGATGTTTAATTATCGTTTCTTACTTTTGTATATGGTTAAACGACAATTTTTTTAAATAACATCTTTGAACAATTTTTATTTTTTATTTCAATTATACACCATATTTGAAATGAAGTCTTTTTATACACTTTACCTCTTGCATTAAGCAACATTTAATTTTTTATTTTGTTCTTGTCTTTTTTATTAAAGACAAATGCCCTCTGGATGGTCCTCGGCGCATGTACACCACAGAAAATGATGTGGAGAATGGAATGGAGATGACAAAAAGATGTGATTCTCCTGCTTCAGGTAAATATTACAGTTTTTTAATACAATTTATTCAGTGAACTTATTAAAGTTGTCAGTTTGCACATAAAGTCTACTTCGGGAAGATAATTATACTTTCGTTAAGGTGGATGAGCAATGATTTATGGAAATTTAATCCTTTTATTATATAATAATACGTTAGTTAATAAATGGTCTCAGACAGTGCGGTTTCAGAGCAGCTACTTCCCGCATACGCTCTGATTGTGAAATGAACTACCTGCCAATGTTTTCTCTAGACCAGCTGGTGGTCTTTCAACAAGAGTATTAAGGTTTCTTAAGGGGCGGTTTTATTAGCTATAGTAATCATTTACCATCAGACAGTATGCACGTAAAAATAGGAATATTTGTAAATGGATTTAGCAATTAGATGTTTGATTACACAATTACATTTAACTGGCTCCGCAAAATTGGCTGGCTAGAGAAAAATTATCATTAATCGAATTAGGATATACCTAATTCGTTACATGATACTTTTTCTCTAAATCCACGAGACCAAAGTTGCTGTATTTATTACCATCAAGCTATAAGTAAACAATATACATATAACGCCAAAACAGTCAAATAAATAGAAAGTAAGGTAGAAATGTTTACTAACCACTGAAGAACAGATGTTTAGCATGTAAATATATATTTTAATGACTAACTATTATCTACTTTTGTGTGTATATCATTTATCATTAGATCCATATAATCGTTGAAGTTCAATTGAGTAAAAACGTCCAAATTATTCTTAGATACTCGCACATTTTTTTTATATGTAGGGAATATATATAATACTGCCATTTCAGATACCAGTGACGAAAGTTCCATATGGTCCTGGCCAGATGAGAAGACTTCTTCCTTAAAAAAGTTCTTCTGGGTTCTCACCTGGCCTATAAGTCTGCTTTTATGGGCCACAATTCCGGATTGCCGACGTCACCCTCGCCTATATCCTCTTACATTTATTATGTGCATCTCATGGATCGGCGGAGTATCTTACCTCATCGCTTGGATAATAACTATTCTTGGTAATCTTGACTGACATATATTTATTTTATACTTTTCACAAAATACATACTCCCACACTCTCCATTACACTATCAATATTATTATTGCTATTTCGGTATTACCTAGCAATAGTATTTGTTCAATCTGACCTAATCGTAAACCTATTGATTATTTTGATGATACTGTATATTCATGTGATATCTACATTAGACTTTATGTTGCAATTGAGTGCCCATATTTCTAAATTGGCGGGTAGACTTATTTCAGCTGCATATATGGTAAGAAGATTTACACAATTAACAAGCATTACAACGGCTAAACTAGTCTTTTCATAACATTATGTCTTTCGGTATTTTATTATATTAAGCAGCTGACGTATGTAAATATAATATTCATTATGCAAAAGAGGCCCATTTGCTCCAAATTGGTATCACCTATACTATAAATGGAGCAAATGTCGTAAATGAAACGGTCGTAAGTGTTTTAATCACACACGGAATTGCCTATATGTATCGCTACTGTAAATCTCTGAAATGGGCTATATAAAACTAGTATGTGAGATGGCAAGAAAATTCTCTAGGGATTAATCAAGAGTAAAAAAAACTATGTTATTCTCTTATATGTCTTCATTAAAGTGTTCTGTATTTGACAGAAAAGTACATACAACATAAAAGATCTTTATATAAATTTAATGCTTTAGATGTAACAATTTATCAATAACTTCACACTATTTTTTATACTAAGGAGACACATTGAATCTACCAGACAGTATAACTGGATTGACTATTCTTGCGGCGGGAACGAGTTTGCCTGAAGCTGTTTCCAGCGTATTAGTTACAAATCAGGGTAAATTTTATTTAATACTTTATTATTGAGAAAATAATAAATATGACAATTATGCTTCTTTAACTGCTAAAGAAGCATAATTATCATATTTGTCACCCATTATATAAATATTATTACTTATGTAAGAGTTATTTGTGTTAAAATGGATAATATGTACCTACAGTCAGTAATAATTAAAATACCTTGACACCTTCTGTCTTGCTGATTCAAAAATAATAATCTATATTTTCAGGAAATGGTACAATGGGCATTAGTAATTGTATTGGATCAAACACCTTCGACATCTTACTCTGTTTGGGACTGCCATGGCTTGTGAAATCATTATTTTACCCTACTACACCCGGCAATCACTGGGTATGTTAAGTACATTTATTTCTTTCTCTCATTACATTGTAAGTTTAGTTACATAAGTAGACATTTTAAATATTTGTCTTTATATTTTTGTTTTCAGGTTACGATGAACTCTAGTGGTATATCATATAATGCTATCTCACTTTTATCTACATTGTTTGCCCTGTATGGTTGTCTGGCTTTAAATAAATTTCAATTAGATTGGAAAATAGGCATCACTTGTGCCACAGTGTACGCGGGCTTCTTAATTTTTGCAAGTCTCATCGAACTAAACGTATTTTTTAACGTTAATCTGCCTACTTGTCTACATTGGTAAAATAGTTGTATTAAAATATGTGTAAATTATCTTTTAGTAGCTCTAATAAAGTTGTAGTTGCCTAACATACAGTCTTTGTATATAAAATTGGTTTATTTTTAATGCGTAAAATTAATCTGTTGTGTTCATATGAGCCTCCTCATTTGTTATTTATTTCTTGAAAATAATATAAAGACCTAGATTATATATGTATATTCTATATATATATATATATATATTAACCATGTATCTAATCCATTTAGATTTATGTTTACTCTCACTGATATTGAATGACACTTCTGAAATAAATAAATATTAAGTGATTTTAATTTTATTAATTATATTATTTATTACCACACGAACATTTTATATATACAACAACTTGTATTTTAATATAGTTAGTGTTAATTCTAAAGTATAACTTAATGTATACCTTTAATGTATACATTTATTAATACTGAATAATTAGATTAGAGTTTTAATATAGAAACGCTGTACCGTTTCATACATATATTTTGTTTTATTTATAGTACTCTGCTTAGGCAGCTTAAAGTATATATTACTGATATTCTCATGAATAAAGAAACTAAACTTAATGCTATAGCGTATTATTCTTATATTACCTAAATCCTAGTATCATTTGTCATTTTAATCTCAGATGATGGATAGGTATATTTACGAATGTTGTCATTGTGATGAATTCATTAAACAAATGCTTGCGACAGGTGTCCTTATATATTTATATTTGTTAAAAATGTTTAGCTTCTCGGATCCATCATATGTCTTAAACAAATAAACGTATTACTTTTTTTAATAGCAGACCACGAATAAGGCTATTTAAATAAATAAATTACAACAAATTTGGAACTGCAGTTTTCAAGTTTTATCAAGAAAATATAAAATATAAATCCATGCCGATTCAATTTGTAAAATGTATATCAAAATATTGACTATATTTTCTAACCCAAATCGCAATCAATAAAACACTTCGAGATCTACTTGCTAACAATGTAAAATAATAAGAAGTAGATTATAAACCAGTAGACAGTTGTTTCGTCATATAACATAAGACGTTCAACTTTTCCATGTCGACGCGCTAACATGTAAAAACATAGACAATACATAATCGACATTGTTAATTAGAAGTGCCTCACGCGAGTGCCTGCATCGATGCACGCAGTTCTCATTGCGAACGTATCAAGTTTGAATCTTCTACTTCTTACAATGCCAGGAAACGTAATTTAGCTAATAAAAATGAAACTATCATCATCAAAATATAATATAATTAAATAATTAATATATTTAATGAAGTACCTATTTAATAACTTGAATATAGTACAAATCTACATTACACCTACTCTTTCTAAACAACATCTTGTTGCCCTATATTGCATCATTTGTGTTATGTAAAGATGCGTTACGTTTAATCAAGTTCTAAGAATTAATTGCTATAGTGAAACGTGTGAAAGCAAGACAATAAGATAATATCACAGATTTTTAGTTACCGTTACAGGCTACCTCGGTAGGATAGTTCTAATTATTCTCTCTAAAAGACTAGGCCGCTGAGTAGTCATGTACATCATAGATGAATGTAAACCGGATGTGGGTTGCATACAGAATTTAAAAGGTCTCTGTGATTTAGCTTGCATTACGAAAGGATAAGGATGTTTTGCCAACGGAGATACTGAAGTGCCTACCAAACTAATAGGTTTCGGAAACTTAATAGGTTGTGTTTTTACAACTTCTTGCTGGCTCGCTCCACCTAGTAAAATTAGCGGAATGGAATTTTGTTTGTATGGTTTTGTGACTATATTATCAGTTACTCGCTTGGTCTTCGGCCGAGCCGTCGTAGACGTTTCTATTAATTCATTGAATATGGAGTCTTCATAATCTCTGTTTTCTTCGCCGAATGGTGCAATGAAAACAACTTGTTTCAAGCTATTAATATCATGTACTAGTTTAGCATGTTCCTTTACTATTTCCTCGGCACTTGGTAGTAATTGATCAAACCTTCGTGCTCTCTGATTATTCAATGGTAAGTTTGGAGTAGGTTCGTTTTGAGGCCATCCTGTAAAAAGGTAAACAAAACTTATATAAATTATAGAACACCTTTCCGTTATTTACTGTTCAAGTTATAAAATATATATTATATATGTACATACCACGTGGTATTTGTATTTATATATCTGTATAGACAATAACAAATGCACATTATATTAGTTTAATATAATTAATTTACTAATAGAATTAATAATTAATATTGATTAATAAAAAATATATAATATTTAATAATTGGCATCATAAGATACATGTTTCATTCAATTATATAAAGTAATTTAGACAAAAAGTCATTAAGTGGATACCTCAGACCAACAATATATAGGGATATAGAACAGGATACAAGCTAAGATTAAGCAGTGAAATTACAGGATAAGAGGAATGCCACGATAATAAACGGCTACAAATGAGTGGGAAACAAACGTCACATAAAAACTTGTCTGTGATACAAAATCTATATTCCGTATATAGGATGTATTTATGTATATATTCGACCATCACCACTTGCCGTTAGGTGGGTCCTACGCTTGTTCACCCTCCCTATTATGTAAAAAAAATCCTTATGTCTGGCATGGTCTAATCACCTTAATCCATTTGTCTCTTTATTTCTTATATTATATTACCATTATTTTAGACAACTAAGAACAACATGTGTCAATATCTTTAAACTAAATCATGAATTTGTTAGAAATTGAATAATGAAGTGGTAGTATATTTACCATAGTCAATTGCCCTAGCAATTCTGCGGTGCGTTAACGGCGGAATTACGAAGCAGTCGACCTAAAACAAAATACATATCAGGAAAGCATCATATAAATAGTAGTCGCTATTAAATTAACAATAGAATTAAGTTCATTAGCTCGCTAGTGGCGTGCAATCAGATAAATGCTTTTTGCTACATATAAAATAGAATTCGCACAAATGCAGAAAGAATGTTTTGATTCATAGATATGATACGCACACACAATATTAATATTTTATGTTGTAGAACCACAAGTAGTAGAATATGTTGTCTACAGAAAATATTAGAATTACAATATTTTTAGTAATATGTAACATATTGAAAATATATGAAAAGTAGCTAATAAGTATAATACTTATTAGTTATTTTTCAAGGTTTAATTTTTATAAATATTTTACTGTTTAAATTCTATCTGTCAGTTTGTTACATTTTCACTGTTAAAAGTCTTACGCAAATTGGTAAAAAAATTACTGAATAGACGGCTTACTAAGTTATGTATTAGGGAATGATCTAATCGAATGAAAGTGCTTAAATAATAGGTACTAGATTTAATTTCAAGCTTAGTGAAGCAGAGGTATGTTGTGCCTGATGAGTAAGAGATGTTAAGGGTTTTATGAGGAAAATACGAAGATAAAAGAAAACTCAACTACTACGATAGCGATATAAAGCTTCCTTCGGATCACTGTGGTCAAGTTGTTAAGTTTAGTAATCAGACTAAAAAAATACCAATCATAAAAGATCAAAGAGACAAATAAATGCTTACAATATTAATAAATACAAAAGCACGGTTAAATATAAATTAGACTTAGAGTTACAATCTGTCAGTCTTAATAATCCTGATATTCTTTACACCAAGTTAATTAGTCTTTTGTCAAAAGAATACCAGAATATTTTCAAGAAAAGAGAATATTGTGTTAAATCTAAATTTACAGAATGGGCAACAGTAGGAATACTTAAAAGTAGAAACATTTTATTTGATTTACATGATCAAAAAAATATAGATTTGATGACAAATTTACGACTTATGTGAGAAATTACTCTAAAATTTTCAAACAAGTTTGTATTGCAGCTAAATCTAATTTTATAAATAAACAAATTAATCAGTCCTCTGACAAAATTAAGACCATCTGGGGAATTATAAACAAAGAAACTGGACGGTCTGAAAAAGCCTGCAATCAATTCTCATTAAATTATGACAATAAGTTAATAACAGCAACAAAAGATATAGTTCATATTTTCCAAGATTTTTTTTGCTAATATTCCGATTGATATCATCTTCTCTAGACTCATCTCCAATTCGAGCAAAAACTTTATTGGAGGCTAATGTCAGCCCTTGCTCTTTAACATTTAAATTTTCCCATGTCAGCCCTTTTCATGTCATAAAAATATTCAAACAGTAAAAAATACGGAAGATCTCTGGAACATGTCAGTTAAAGTAGTTAGTTCATTCATAGATATTGTTGCTCCTTATCTAGCTACTATTTTCAATAAATGTGTTGATAATGGCGTGTTTCCTCAATTAATGAAATTTAGCAAATTATCTCCACTCTTTAAATCTGGAGATATATTTGAGCTAGGCAACTATAGACCAATTTCTATTTTGCCAGTTCTAAGTAAAGTATTTGAAAAGATTATGTTTAACCAAATGTTAAAATACTTCAGGGATAACGGACTGCTTCACGGTCAGCAATATGGTTTCACTGCCGGCAAGTCTACTACTGATGCAGGTGTAGCGCTTATTACACATATATTCGAATCATGGGAAAACTCACAGGATGCTCTCGGCGTTTTTTGTGACTTGTCGAAGGCGTTTGATTGCGTAGATCATGAAACACTTTTGTACAAGCTCAAACATTATGGTATTAGAGATAATGACCTAAGTCTAATGAAAACTTATCTAGAGAATAGGGTGCAAACTGTAGATATTGATGGTGTAAAGTCTAAGGGAACTAATATAAAAATGGGCGTTCCTCAAGGTTCAATATTGGGCCCATTTCTCTTTTTAATTTATATAAATGACCTTCCCTACATGGTAGAGAAAGTTGCAGATATAGTGTTATTTGCGGATGATACTTCGTTAGTGTTTAAAATTGGTCGCCAATGTAATCAATTAGACGATGTAAATTATGCTATCTCTGCTATACTAAATTGGTTCACATGTAATAATCTATTATTGAACTCCAACAAAACTAAGTGCATTAAATTCACGCTGCCTAATGTAAAACAAGTAAATACGCAGCTATTGCTTAATGATGAAATAGTAAATTTTGTTAATGATACAGTTTTTTTAGGAATAACAGTGGACTCGAAGTTACAATGGGGGCCCCATATTTCAAAATTAGCCAGTAGACTTAGTTCTGCTGCTTATGCAATTAGAAGGATAAGGCAATTAACAGACGTGGCGACGGCAAAACTTGTATATTTTAGTTATTTCCATAGCATTATGTCATATGGCATACTGCTATGGGGTAAAGCTGCCGATATAAATACTATATTTATTTTACAAAAGAGAGCCATACGTTCTATTTATGGTATGGGTTCTAGAGAGTCATTACGTCAATGCTTTAAACAATCAAATATCCTCACCGTTGCCTCACAGTACATTTATGAAAATATTATGTATACAAGGAAAAACTTAGATAGTTTCAAGAAACTTAAAGACTGTACAAGTAGAAACTTACGCAATAAAAATAAGCTAATTTTACCTACATGCCGTCTACACAAAGTTAGTAATTCATTTTATGGTAATTGCGTAAGATTCTATAATAAACTGCCAGAGTCTACGCTAAATCTTACAGAGAGGCAATTCAAATCTTATATTAAACAAATGTTATGTAAAAAAGCCTATTATAAGATAGATGAATTTATAGATGATAGCAATATATAGCAAGAATAAGTTTATTTGCGGACAACGTTATAATTTTAATTTTCATACTGCTTTCTTGATATATGATAGCGTAGCGGCTTTTATATTGATTGCCGCATGCATCCTTATGTAAAGTGCGAATACTGTAACTACCATATAGTAATTTTTGTAGCTGTGACGTGGTCGTGTGGAATGAGTAGTCATGCTCACTAAAATGTCCAGACATGTGGCGGCGTGGTGGGCCCGGTCAATGGGCTCCCTAAAATATGGTCGAGCGCAGTGATGGCTGGCTCATCCGTCATACTCGTGAACGAGTGCTGCTTGTAGGGACTGGTCTGCTCTTATCACTACGACTGATTTAATCTTATTGCATGATTATATTTGACCCAAAAATTAGTGCTTGTTGGTAGTTTGTATTCACACGTTTCGACTTGTAAATGTAAACTTACAAGGATTATTTAAAAGAGCAACACACAAGTTTCTTGCTCGTTCTTCTTGTGATGAGACAGCTTTCCGAACGAGTGATAGATAAAAAACAAATTGTTATGACTATTCAAAAGTGCTTAAATTAAGTTTATTTGAATAAATGGTTTTCTATTCTATTCTATTCTAATTCTATAAAGGTACTTGAATGTTACAAAAAATTATGCCTCAAAATATGATTATAAAATATTAAAATTTTATAAAATTCATAAAGGTGTTAGCTACACTTAGATTATATTATACTGCCACTGATTTAATTCTTAATTTTTAGGGCTAATAGCACCATCTCTAACAATTTTCGCTATAAAGTCCAACCTCCAGTTTGTCCTCTCTGGAAACAAAGGTGATTTTCCATTATTGTCCAAATAACCTTCTACTCTTTAATGAATTTTTATATTATACTTAAATTTTATGATTTTTTTTTTTTGACATAATCTTTTCTATAACAATGCATTCATTCCCGCCAATTAGTATTTAACAATTAAAAAAATATTGGAATCATTTTTACCTAGGCATTGCAGTAAAAATAGAAAGTATTCATTGAACTTTATTGTAGTTACTATCGTTTCAGGTTTTAAATTACAATCTTTGAAATGATATCAATGAGTGTCTATGTGAATTTCCAATATTTGCTTATTTAAAGATTTATTTTCAGAGCCCTTACCAGCCAATAGATATATGTTTGTGCCTTACAATTTTACGTTTTTTTTATACACATACCTAGCTAATCACAGAATATGTGAAACAGGTGATTAATGAAATCAGCGCTAGCGTGACTACTAATTAGCAATAAGTATACATTTCCTGTAAAATGTACATCATAATTAGCTAAGATATATTCGAAAGGTGCTAGAAAATGCAAAATAATCAACTAGGTTTATTAGTTCCCATTTGTTAATACGGTTATAATTTTGCCGAGATAGTTTTAACACGCAAGCAGAAATTATGCGAGTAGGTATCTATAAGGAATTATTCTAACCATTTTCTATAACAATTCGACATTGGCATCGGTGGTTAACGGTTCAGCACACCGCTTTACTTCCGATGGTCGCGGGTTCGATTCCTCGCACGAAGCATTTGTATTCATGAGTATGATTTTTTGTATCGGATTGGATGCGAGTAATTGTTAATGGGTTGGCGTGTTGGCATGATATTCTAACTGACTTGCTTCTTGCTCATCCTATTATCCTTATCTAGTTACCACTAATGTATTCCGATTATTTTAGGTTTGAACGGTAATGATCTAGTTTATACAATAGTGGAGCATAATAGGACGAGCCGTAGTGCATGCGGGTATGCAATACTCGCATTAGTAATAATACACAATAAAAATTATTCTGAAAGTGACCTCCACTTTAGGATTAATCACCAAAATATTAATTGGGACTTTCTAAAAATACTGGAACTAAAAAGACTTAAGTCTAAAACTTCCTCCCTGCTTCCATCAGAAAATATTCGTAGTAATACTACTAAATATTAACTGAAATAGCTTCGCAATTTACTTGTAATGAAAAACGTTTGGTATTAAAGATTGATTATTTATAGAGTAAATGTAAGAAAAAAATTTAAACCCTCATTTTTTTCAGCCCATTAAAAAAATATGAACAACAGCAGTACACTTTTAATGCATAATACCAAACTTATTCCTACATTGTCCCTTCTTTTAAAACCGTGACTTGGCCTTTTTAAACATATCGGCAATCGTTCTTATTTGCTTTACTTCATACTACGTAGTTTACACTAATTATAGTGGGACTGGTAAAGTCGAGTCAGCGATGGTAGATAGGACAGAAAAATTAAAGTGAAGACCACATAAGGGTGGACGGAGTGTTGGCGCCCTCCTGCAAGCTAGACCGACGACTACATTAAGAAGGTGGCCGGGATTGGACGGATGCAGAAGGCGTAAGATCACACATGGTGTAACACATTAACGAGTCTCTATACCAAACAGACTAAAACGAAGAAGATGATAAAACATTTATAGCCTAAATCTATCTTATATATAAAATCCTCGTGTCACAATGTTAGTTACCATACTGCTCCCAAACGGCTTGACCGATTTTTATGAACTTTTATATGCATATTCAGTAGGTCTGACTATCTATTGTCATACCTCTAACTGATAAGGGTTGTCCACCCCTAACATTATTTTTTTCTTTTTTATTTCTAATTTTTTATTGTGTCATTAAAAAATACATACAACCCTAAATTTTCACCCTTCTATCACCTACCCTACCCCTTTTTTATAGCGTTATTAATTTATATGGCAAAACAAAGTTTGCCGGGACAGCTAGTTATTATATAAAATAATATATTCTTTAGAATCAGTACCAAATGGGTGAGATGTTAGAAATATATGTATTTCCTGGTACTGAGTAGTAGTATGTAATATTAAGTTATCTGTAAATTAGTCAATGGAACAATTTTTATACCAAAATATATATTCCTTGTGGTCTTATTTTAATGAACCTGACATCAACCTATTGAATTATTAGTTAATTCATAGACATGCATGTCTATTATACCTACATATAATTTAATATTATTATGTGCTTAAATGTATTTATATATATATATATATATTCTTATTTAAGTATGTATGTAGTTTGATATATATATTTCAATTTATGAATTTTATTATAATAAAATTCATAAATTGATTGAAATACCTTCTTCCTTTTATTATTTACTTAAATGCACCGCCCACTAATCTCTGTTTGTCCTATGGTCGACTGGGAGAAAATGCCTTATGGTGTTAAGTCCGCCATATGCACCTTTATTTTGTTTTTATATTTGTGCATTAAGTTTAATAAATAAATAAAATAAATATGACTAAATTACTTAGCCTTGACGGCGTCGGTCTTGTTTTGATTTCGCACACAATATAAACATTTGTATTTATGAGTCTGATTGTATTGATAATAATAAATAGAAAACATGGCTATTTTCTGTATATACATTATGTACTTATTGACATAAAATGTATTAAATAAATTATTTCTATCAATTATCTACTGAACATAACACAAGCTTTGCTTAGCTGCTAAATACAGTTGTGTAAATTGGCCAGTTTGTTTTATTAATAGAACAGACTTTTATAACTGTATATTTTATCTTACATCCGAATTAATAGATAAAATATGTTATTGAATTGTCTATAATAAAATATAATTAATCGCTCTCTGAGATATGTCTAGTATCTATATGAGAAAAATATGAATATCGGCTAAACTATTAGGAAGCTTTATCATTGTAGAAGAACCCAAACAGTAACTGATATAATTATTTCTTTGTCAGTACGTTTATGCACGCTAATCTCAGAAAAGGCTTAACTGAATTGGGTGTGCATTTTACTAATATAGATATTGTAATTTCCTTCACTTAAATTTGTTTGGTAAAAATCAGTGTGCAAAGTCTTAACCTATTGTTATTCTGAATACCACAATACACGACTGCAAAGTCGCGGGCTCAGTTAGTAAAAAAAAAATTAAGAAAATTTCTATATAATAAGACATACTTACTAGCTTGGTTATCTCTAAGTATGATGGTGTGGTAGGTAGGTAATACAAAAACGATGATGTTTTTGTATTATCTACATAATTTTGATAAAAATAAATAAAAGTAACATTAATAAATAAAAATAATATTTACGCCTAGGTACATAAACAAATCACATTAAAACGAAAATAAAAGTTTCAATATTGGAAAAAGCAATGGTTACCTGCGAGGGTAAATCAAAATTTCGCTTCTGTGTGAAGAATCTGAAGTCTAAGGTGGCGCCTACAAGAAGCACCGTTGATAGTCGCCACACAGCCGCCAACCGCCACATCTTTGCACTACTGACTCCCCACACCAACCAGTTACCACTACGACGCCTACATCACCCGACCACTCTACATTTTACTTTTCGCTCCCTATTTTTCTACAAGACCCTTCCATTACATACACTAGCGTGATTGTTAGTAGTACGTCACGAAAATTATTAGGAAATAATCAAACGTAACTAGGTATATAGTCACATATTAATTGCTAATTGTTTTCATTTAATTGACTGATACAGTTGACTATTAATTTGATGGATTATGTTTTCCGTGTTAAAATAGCGATCGTTTCACAATACTATGAAAGCCTAAGACAACATTTTTAGTTAGAACCCGAGTTTACACCAACCGGCAAAGATAGCCGTAGTGACTGAAACCTATGACTAATAAGATAATATACATATATACCTTAAAACCTTTCGGTTTTTACTAGAGGTACACTCGATGTTTTATGTGTTTACATTTGTACAAAAAAATTAACACTTATCATAAACATAAACTTCAGTAGTACCCTAACCAGTGAAATCAGTGTGAGACAACTCTCTTTACGGTTGTCTTGTAGATTTCCTTCTTCGTCTATAAAATTTTCTTCATTTACCGTCGCTGTTGATTGCTCCTGTGATATGGTACTCCCTAGCGCGAATAATTCGTGAATGAGTTGGGGGTGCATCTTGAGGCATAAGTATCTTAGGCACCATTTTCTATATGAATGTGGAGGACTATCAATGTCCGCTGACTCTCATTACCTGTTGTTTCTAAGGCAGTATATATCTTTACTAGCTATCCACTCGCGGCTTCGCCCGCGTGGACATAGTATATACGTATAGGTTATCGCTCGGTTAAAGATCCGTTTTCAGTAGTGGAACATATCGTTACATATCCTAAACCTTCCTCTTGAGTCACTCTATCTATACTGTCTTTTAAATAAAAAGCATTAAATTCCGCGTAGATTTTTAATATCAAAACATACATAGGTGTATTACATAGAAAATATTTTAACCGGAAATTGAAGCCGTTTAAATGGTACTGGCAGATCAGTTGTGATCATCGGTATTCTTGGTATATAAGCTAGTTGCCCGGCTGTCGTGGCCCATGCCGGTGGTAATGGTCGGTCCAATAAAATTGTCCTTCAATTCCTTAGTAAGCAGCCTCTGATGGGTTTACATTTATCAAAATCATGATTGGATCATGCTTTTGAGAAATCGTATGGTAATAGTCCAGAAGGGTTTAGTAAAAATTCCTGTGGATAACGAACTGCATTTTCTATTTTAGTTACGCTGTCGACTTATTTGTATTATTTATTTGTCCGGAAACTTTTTGAATGTATTATCGTGCTACTACTACTGATACTCCCATACCCCAGTGACGCCTCTACATCGCATTTGGTTTATAATAACAGAGGAGTAGGTTTTTTTTCTAATATTTACATTGTTAAATACGTGATATCTTTCGAATGTAATGTCCGAAGTGAATAATTCAAAATTATTCACTTCGGACATTACATTCGTTATAAGTCATAAGTTATATAGGTACAGGTATTGAAGCAGTCCTTAATATGAGGTAATTTATTTTGATAAGGATTAATACCAAGATACCAAATAAAGTTGCTTTTCTAGCGGCGGCACTTCAATTAAATTTATAAACAATAAAAACACTTATTGTGACGTAACTATAACAGATAAGACATGCCGTCGCGACATTTTTTATAGATAATGATGCGCTCTGCAAAGTTGTAGTACATCAGTTTGTTCTATCATCAATAGTTTTCTCAGCGCATGCGGTGTTAGGTATTGTTTGTGTAATTTTTTCACACATTGGGTTTTGGATTTATTTTGGGTTTATTGGGTTATTGGAGATTTCGTAAGGATAACTAATTTTTTTGGAAATATAATATAGCCTATGACACTCAGGGATAGTGTAGCTTCCTAATGGTGAAAGAAGTTTTCAAATCGGTCCAGTAGTTTCGGAGCCTATTCAATAAAAACAAACAATCAAACAAACTTTTCCTGTTTATAATATTAGTATGATGTGATTCACTACTAGTGTTTACACCTATGGATTATATGTCTTTGTATGTGATTTTGCAGAGCTATTTGTAGGAAGGGGGACAGCGTGTGATCTGGTAGCATATGCCCCACATGAATTAATATTCTTAAGGATTGTACAATTGAGATATTTTCTGTGTTTTCGTCGTTTGTCTCTGTCTCTGTCGCTTTATTTTACAGAAAGATATTTAATGAAATAGCATTTATTTCATTAAATACCCAAGAAAAAATAAACCAAAGCAAAGTAATCAGCATAACGATCATATTACTTATTAATGTCAAATTGTACATTGAAACATCCATCATGATAAGGTATCTTTATTGGAAATTCTTAAATGATACCTATTTTTTACAAGATAACAAAATATTACAAAATTTAATGGAAAAAAATATTATAAATTCTTTTCAAATATAAACGTGTTCTTCAGGTTTCAAGAATTGCTAATCCGCTACTACATTTTTTTGGCAAATTAAAATGAAAGAATATACAATTTCTTTTAATCTTTTATAATTAAATAAACAAACTACTTTTAAATAATAAATATTTACCACGCACCTCCAATGTTACTAAGAAAGTAATCATACATAGAAATGTGTCTCCATAAACACATAGATTCACATAAAACTTTACCTTTCATTAATCATAATAATAAATGAAATACATATATTATTAAAGATTATTTAACTAAGTCACAAATTTAAATTCTGACGCAGTTAAATAATCCTGCATAGCGACATCATTGCAAGAGACTGCAAATATAAAAACATAGTGGTGGATGACTATATCAGTTTAATATTATAAAATATGTCAAAATACCATTCATACAGGTTAGATGGTAACATAAATTAAACACTAGTTATTTTAAAACGCAAATATACATGTGCTTCTCACACTATCTAGTCTGCATTGCGGTAAATTGGTGCTTAATTGTGTTTATTAAAACAAGTAAAACAGATATTTTACACAAAGAACACGAGCAATATCTAAATATATAAATATATTACAAAAAATATAAGTGTTACTAGTCTCCGCTTCGTTATTGTTAGTGTCGCTAACGCATTTTAATATACTATTATTGATGCCCTCTCAAATGTAAGACAAAATATTTTCTATAACAAAATATTCTGCCCAAAATTTTGTATACTACTAAATCTATATAACACAAGGCTTAATTAAAATACACAAAGAGTATGATAAAAATTATTTATTGCTAACTCGACATTTCGAGATGAGCTATAGACTACTCGTTGTAACACTCACGGTATGTATCGTACATAAGTTAGCTTTTGTCCATCATTTAACATAATCAAAGAAGTTTTATCACTCGAAAGAACAGAGAGCATTACAGATTTGTTGTATCAATGCACTTTTTCTAAACCAAAATTAAAATAGATCATATAGACAAACTGTCCTTAATATTTCAATTATTAAATATATATATATATAGCTACAGAATTGCTTGGTAATTGGGAACTGATTGCTTAGATTTAAAATATGAAGGTTAAAATTATAAACATATATATTTATAAATTATTAAATAAATTAAGTTACCATATAGAATAATTAAGGACATTGCGGTCTTCCTTGCACATCCCTTGTAAAATATAACGTTCATTTATAGAAACTAACACTAAATATATTTGTTAACAATATATAATAGATAATATTAATATCCATATTTTAAAAATACCTTTAAATATTATATGCTGTATAATATTAATTCCATTCGTGTTTAAAATATATTCAGTTTTTACCTATTTATTATCTTAATAAAAATAGTCTCTGCTAGGAAAATTAATTTATTAAATTTCCTTGCGGTAGAAACAAATAAGGTAGTGTGAGATGTCCTTGGTAACCAAAGAATAAAACGCAATATAAAATTAACAAAATCTTTGTACTATTACTACTTGCCCGCAAATTATAGTACCCTGTTATAAAGGTTATATTAACTTAATCCAATAATATTTTATCTATAATTATTGAGAAACAGATGACCTGTTTAGCAATGACACAGGTTTATCTAGTTGAATAATATGAGATAGGTTATAACGAAATACACATTGATTAATCTTAAGAAGTAGATATTTGTTTTCTTATTAATCGCTTACATATTCTGTATTACCACATTTAGTCAGCTGGGATATATTTCGATGTAAACACCACTATTGCGCACGTTGCCATAACAACATTAATTTGTTATTAACAATATTGTTAATAAAGGAGTAAAGAATTAACCAGAATGTCCTTACTTTCGGTAACGACATGGACGAGAAATACATTGCATAGTTCAGGAAACAAGTTCTGTTCTATTATAAAGTGCTAAGTGTCTATAAAAGTCGTTGGTCCGTGTTCGTCTATCTACGTACATAGCTTTACACATAAATAAATAGAGATCATACAAATTGTTACGATTGTCGGTTACTGAGAATAAATAACTACAAAGGATTTGATAGTGATTGAGCACGATAGATATAGTTATAAGTAAAATATACACAAGGCAAGAGCTGTACCGACAAGTGCCCACTTGTCGGTACAGCTCTTGCTACGTACTTGCTTGTACGGCTCTTAAATTATGAATGAAAGACCTACACGCGTACAACTTCACGTCTAGCTAGTTGGATGAATGACGTGGACACTTACAATGGTGAACATAACATATAAAACTCTTTTATCTATTTAATTCATTTTATATTTACATATCTGCTTTATTGAAGCAGTGCTGATAAATAGTAAGACACCAATTCTGGGGCACGATATGATAAGAACTATTAATCAGAGCACACATAAATTTAGAATGAGCAAACTAGCTACAACAATGTCAATTCAAGGAAACAATCTAGCAATGCCCTACAAATGTACACTGTCTATGTATAAGTAGAAACAATATGCACATATCTCGAAAATAATTGTTATTTTTCATTATTACCATTGCTTACTATCTTGAAATTTCGGGTAAGAGAAGAAACTATATTCTTCTCTTACCCGAAATTTCAAGATAATAAGAATAATAAAAACTAGAAAATAAATTTAAAATCCATAATTTTAAATTCCAAAGACATGCTACAGAATGGAAGATTTTTGTAAAAAATGTTTCACGAATACAAGTGTTTCTTTTATTATTATTATTAAAAACAATGACAAACTTATTATACAAATTATCCCGAAAATCAAATCTCAATCAAATCAAGCGCACATAATACTTTTATATTATAAAGTATTTTGGAGCATGTGATAATATTTTTACTTTAGTTTTGTTTTTGAAGGATTTGTAAAATAGTTACATTTTGTAACATTCGTCGGTAACTCCTTTATTATGCTAATTAAAACAATAAATAAGCTTATTCTATAGACAAAATAAAATATAGATTTTAAAGAAAAAATATTATGCAGTAAACTAAAGACCTATTACTAAGCTTGTATTTTATTCAATTCTGTTTAAAATATTCACAAAAAAATTAACACCAGAAAAGTATAAGTATCGATTGATTTATAGGCAAAATCGGATTCCATCAGGCAATTCGGATTTAAAAGAAAAGGAGCCTGATTAGTACCTAATGAAGTAAAATCTCAATTAAATCAGTTGCATAAAATACTTTCGGAAGTATTTCGTCCTCGTGATTATTTTATTTTATTTCATTTTTTGTGTTTATAAAATGGTTCTATTATTGTAACACTCATAGGTAACCTTTTGATTATGCTAATCAATTCATTCAAAGAATTAATGGGTTCTTCACACATAAAAAGTCATTGACACATACAATTGCTTCCTTTATGGACTAAACCAAATTTAGATCTTGAAGATAAATTATCATGCAGCAAAATAAAGGCCTACTACTAAAATGATACACATTTAAATTCTGTTCAATAAATTCACCAAACAAATTTAACAGTCCCTAGAAAAAAGTACATTTTTATATCAAAATATATATTGCCAACCGCAATGTCAAAATTGTATGCGTCTAATCAAATTAGTTATGTCAGTTTATAGAGGTAATGTGTGAGTTCCATACATATGAGGATAATATATAACATATGATTATACAAGTGATATAAATGTACTTTGTTCAATGAGGAGCTGTATTCAATAATCTGTAGTCAATCAGTCACATAATTTTCCACATATTTATTTTAGTTTATTATGCAGTCTTTATACCCTATACTATACAACCTTAGTTGTTTTAATAATTTAATAATTGTATTTCTAACAAGAACTACACAACATAACATACTTATATTTATTATGATATATTATAGTAATCTAACAAATGTAATAAAATTCAAACGTGGGGTGACTCATAGACAGCAGTATTGACAAAAGTATATAAATACTGCCAATATTCCAAAAATTAAATATTTCTACTTACTATCAATGATAACAATTTAAGGCTAATTAGGTCGGTATATAAGAAAATATTTCATCGGAACTTATGTGAAAATAGGTTGTTTAACGACAATTTCCGAATTACAAAGTGATTGTCTAAAAATACGTTAATCTTTCGATCCTGGTGTCATTGATACAAAAAATCAATAAACATTTTATAATATTTAATTGACTACTACTCTTCTTGAAATACTAAGTAAAGTTTAATTAAAATAAAATAATTTAGCTAATTGTGAGGTTCCAAGGAACACCAAGTAAAATTTGGACAACGGCAATGTGCAATTCTGTCATTCGTTAACTAGAATAGACAACAAATAAAACTACAATACCTACTATAAGAATATAATTCTTACGGAAATATAGGTAGGTTTTTATGTTTCCGTAAAGATTTTCGTTGCCTTATTATCTTATTTAATTAAAATGGTTTTGGTTGGATCCGAGTATGTCTCTGTATTTAATATTTTATGAAAATACAAATAAGAATTAAATCGAACTTTACGGTACATAAGATAAGTCATTCTAATCAAGCTTTATGCCTTTTGGTAAACGGACGGCAGAATTACAATACTAGTGTCACCTCTTAATTAACAATTCAATTAAATATCCAGTGTTTCTAAATCAATATTTGTATATCCTAAAGTAAATATAATATAAATATTAAGACAGTAAACTCCTTCGATACATAAAATACGGATATAAATAAAGCAACTTCAAAACAAATTATATGAAAATTAATCACAGTTGTCTTTATATTTCTCTTCATTTCCACAACACGTGTGGCAAGAATGAAACATACCTATCATAGTGTTACTTGGTCTTACAGTGATAACGAGAGTATTATGCACTGGAGTCTTCAGCTACTGCATATACTTTATATGCAGTAATTAACTTTATCTGTTCGCATACCTACATATATTTCCTATCTGTGTCTACATCACGGACGCAGTATATTATATAATTTAGATATCTGAAACGTGTAAACATTAATACATATTAAACAAAATGTACAATATATCTTGGATATAGGTATCTCTTAATGTTATTTTATTGTTAGTTCAGAAATTCGCTGTATTTAACACTGTTTTTTTTTTAATTTATATATCGAGCGAAGTCTATACATAACTAAATGTTTACAATGATTCCCTTAATAACAGTATATAATAAATCTGTCTCGTCTTTCTTATTTGGTGAGTTGTAGAAGAAATATACGTATCACGAGATAATGGTTCAACTACTGTGGTTATGCCTAACACTTACGTGAGTGTTGGTTCATTCCTGCTAATCATTAGTATACATTCCCTTTATAAAATATTATCATTAGTAATTTAATTAATTTACATATTATACTAATTACTGTGTTCCCAATTGATTATCGTTTCTATATTTTCTTATTATGCTTCACTATATGTACTATATCTATGAGAACAAGTAATATAAATTTATTATACATAATCGCGGTATAATATATCACAGGCTTTGTAAGCCTAGGCAGTGATACGCGTTCCTTTGGAACTATACTTGTAATATATTTTTTTAACTACACATGCATATTAGTATTGTACATGTATACGGTTTTAAAAAATGTAATATTTTTATATATGTATATGTGACAAAATACAAAAATCGATATCGTGTCCGAGTCTAAGTCAATTTACGGAATGTACACTAATATTAGAGAAATGGGATGATACTAAGACTGTCTTCTTATCTAACATTATTATATTAATAAAATGTGGTTAAAATAGATCAGATATTTAACATTATCTCGTGTTGTCTGCAGTCACAAATTTCATATGACTACCTGAAACTTAGTTAACACGTGATTATGTTATATATTTATATTATCTACATAGCTTTAAAAGAAAAAATTAGTCCTGCTTCAAGAAGCGTGAGCGATGATCTCCAGGAGGCAAGGCAAGCTTTCAGCCGCTTATGAAGATGCTGGAGGGCTGTAACAAAATGCAATGTAACAAACTTAGATATGTTACATTTACAACCAACAAATACTAAAGCATAGAGTTGAGACTAAACTTAGTTTGTATACTAAAAATACTAAAATATAGTTTGCATTATGACACTCTCTGATTTTATTTTTGTATATATGTTAATAGCTTATTTAGTATATCATAAATAAATAGTCTTCTTTGAAATTCAAATTACTCAAGTAAAGTTAAACAATATTATACTAATTTAAAAAATATATAATATCAACGAGCCGACCTTGTTTAACACAAAATAATACTATCTTGCAGTAAAAAGGAGCTTATATTTTAAGTGTGATCGCTTGTACTATAATACATTAGTGAAAACTGCACTCAACTGGAAGTTTTACTTTTTGCCTTATACATATAAAATAGAAACAGAGTGTAGATGGCAAAGTGCGGTTTTGGCTTCTGTTGCAGTAATAAAGACGTCTCGTCTTTATAACATCAGCAGAAGTCAACACAATAGTGTTTAGAATTGTAGCAAAATTTTTCAATTATAGCAAAATGTGTCAGGAATCCATCGTCAAGAGCGCAGTTCTTAAATTATAAATTAATATATGAAATTATATATAAAAAATATATTATTGTATTGCCTAATATCATACATATAATAAAATAGTTTAGCTATATCTGTGCATAAAATATTTTATTGAGATTATAAAAGAAATATTGAATTTTAAATCTAGCTTATCCTTTGTGACCATTAATTTCATAAAAAGTTGTAAACGATTATCTGATATATTATGTGATACAAAATTACTGATGTATTTATTCTAAGCAAGCTTCGTAATAGTGCCTGTTTTATTCCAATCAGTTCACAAATAAAAAGGTATGATAATTGCAATAATACCCGCCGTTCTATAAATGTTGCTTTCGCTATAGCTGGCAAAGCTAATAGTAATAATGTATTCGATTTCACGCAGCCAAAGTTTCGGAAAGCTAATAATATTATCATAGTAACATATTCGCTACTGCAAGGTTTATAAACAAACTGATAATATAAGCATGTTACATCAGAATGTTTAACTATTTATATAACGTAAAATTATTATAATCTTTTGAGAACTGAATCACTGACCCGACCTCATGATTAAACTGATTTTTTTAAATAAATGAAAACAGATTACCCGTATGTCTGATTGGTATAAAAAAGACCTTGCTTAATATTGGTGAACATGATTTAATTTAATATAACTTAATAGAGATATATATTTATTAAACATAAGAGATTAGAGAGTGGGAAAAAAGTGTGTTAGTTGGGCGTTGATGAATATCTAAGTTAAGCTGATGATACTATTATTTTAACCTAATCAAAATATGTGGAACTAGTTCAGGGGCGTCTCGAACCTATAATCATCTCTTTTAGGCTGGAAATTAAATTAATCAAGAAAAAGTTGTCAACACATTTAGACAGAACAGCGCCGCAATAATAACAATTGGCCACTGGGAAGTTGTGTCGAATTATGAATATCTCGGTTTCGCAATCACTATACGGCGGATAATAGGGCGAGATAAAGAGATAGGGCGATATCACGAAAAAAGCTGTATATTAAGCTATAAATTACAGAGGATTTGGAAAAGTAAAGATCACGAAAAACATTAAAATTCACTTAATGAACACTTTGGTGATTCGTATTTTCCAATATGGTAAGGATGCAAAAAAAATAATGGAAAAATTGTTGCCCTTGATATATGCTGCTGGCAGCGAATGCTGCGAATACCTTGGATTGCTCGTTAAATTATCATTGACTATGCAAATAGAAATCCTCAATTATTTTCACACATTAGCATTTCTTACATTAATTAAAACGATAACTGTATGGTACATATAATAATTCAAGGTTCAATAGAGGACAACCGGGGTCTATCACCAACGCGATAGACTGACCTTATTAAAACGGCCACAGCAGTTCATTGGGAGATATTCTCGCTCAGCCAAAAACCGTACCAGATAGCGAGTTTGTATTGCATTGCATTGCTCTATAGCCAAGGAGAAAACCTCATAGACAATCCACTCATATCATAAAAACAATGATCAAGAGTGTACCACCTAAAAAGAGGATACTTACAAAATAAGTGCTGAAATTTTTGAACTATGACTTTGAATTTGAATTATTACTTTGACTAATCACTATATGTGGTAAACAATTTCTAGTTGCATACAATTTGTATGGAAGTACTAATACTACGCACAGCCCTGTTTGTCACTTTTAGGTTTTTTGTGTTTATTGTCTATGTTAATACAAAATATTCCTGTTATTATATATTGTTTGCGTTTAGTATAGAGATAGACATATTTGGTATGCTTATAAATATATGTTTTTTACATAAATAAATATATATTTGCTAAAAACTGACTGAATATAATAAACTCAAAGTAATATGCAAAAATAAATAATTATAGTTTCATTTTATCAATTATTTGCTTGATCTGTGATAATAAGTATATATAGCCAAAACTTTATATTCCTTTGAAGGAAAATTGTGCCGTTGAGGAATATAAAATTTCGCACAGGTATACTTTATTTACAGAAAAAATTTAAATAAATAAATAAAGCTAATATTTTTCTTTATTTATGCATAATAAATACATTAAATCGTAAAAAAAAAACATTACATGCTACTACCATGTATTTGACTTGACATACAAGTATATATGATCTTTTGTTTATTGTTAAAATCTGTAGTCAAATTGAGAATAGACTATAATTCAGTTCTAAGTTTTGATTCCTAATCTAACCTAGAATAGGAATCCATTTATCAATATATTAATAATCATACATATAAGAATCAAATTATGTTAAATGGATATTAATTTCCTTAATTTCAATTAATTAATTTAAATTATTCTATTAATTCTCTTCCACAAAACAATAACAGAATAAATAAAATATATTACCTTATTTTTCTTTAGTTGCTGTCGGTGTCGTGGATTTGTTGGGTTGGGGTATTATGGTAATCTCATCGTTAATTTTGAGAGGTTTGAGAAGAGAAGTTTTTGTTGGTGGTAAACTCGCCTTACTTTTGTCCATAACGCGCTTTGCAACAACACTATGTGCTGAATATACATGATTCTCAAATTGCTTGTACATGCTGAATGTCGCCGTACAGACTGTACATTTGTATGATAAATGTGCAGGTTTGAGAGTTAAGTTATGATCTCGAGCTACATGGTTCAATAGCTTCCACTGGTAAACCTTAAATTGTAAAAAAATAATTACCATTTATATTTAAAATAATTAAAAAGTAGTTGTGATTTGTATTTTGTGAATCATATTCTGATCCCTGCTTCACAAACTCAGCCTAAAAGAATCAATGTTAGTGTGACCAATTAAAACAATTAGTAAATTAAATAAATTATTAAAATTATATGTTACATATATCAAGTATCCCTCCAATAGTATTTCTAAATAAAATAGTTTTGCTATTGTTTTATTTTATTAATATCTTTATATATAAAAATTAAGTGTCACATTGTTTGTCCGTGATGGACTCCAACTACTGACTCCATTGCAAATTTGATTTGCATACTGTGTGTATTTTGATCCAACTTGAAAGATAGAATAGGTTACATCTCAAATTATAAGACCCTTAGCCACAGCAAAGCCTGGCCGGGTCTGCTAGTTATACAATTAATTGAATTAATGTCAACAAGTAATTTGTTAGGCACTTGTTATGTCTGTGAATTATTTTCTAATTCATTTTTACTTACTCTGCCACAAACTGGACATCTGCCTGCATCTTTTCCTTTATTTGCGGCCTCCTGCATGGAACTGGTAACAAGCCCGTGGGAACCTAATAAATGTCGCTCCAACCCTTGGTCAGTGAAGAACCTGAAAAATGTAAACAATACTGAACATATATTATTATTATTACTATATAGTATGTAATTTTGTTAACAAAATTAGCACTTACTGACAATACAGACATAAGGATAGTAATTTAAATTGTTTTAGAATTATTTAGGTATTTTATAATCAATCAGTATCTATCAATAAATATATAGTTGAACATACAATTTTTATTGTTATATTATACATTTCTAAATTTATGTAATTGTAAAATAAATTAATAGTTCTTACAATTATATTTATTTTTACAAAGGAATAAACATTAATATTTTAATTTAAGTGATATAGTAAAAAATAATACTCCATACCTAAATTGACATTTTTGACAATTTAATGGTGGCCTGTTATAAATCATTTTTGGATGTATCTTTACTTTGTGTATCCATAGCATATGATTTCTTAATTGCTCCAAATCCTTTATGTATCCATCACAAATTTCACAAATAACAAAGGCACCTTTGGATTGCTGTGTAGGCGTTGGTTGTACAGGTTGGGGCTGTCTTGGTAAAGGTGTTATGGAAATTGATGGCTGATGCATTGACTTTGGTTTGCCATTATTCTGTAAATAGTTTTGAGTTAAGGTTATAGTTATTATTAATAAATACTTTACATATAAAATTAATACACTAATAAATAATTAATATTATCACAACATACTGTAGCTGAATAGTTAGATGACATAAGAATTGATTGGGCCGTTGGATTGTTGGGCCTGACAACAACACCGCCGCGTATTATAGGTACTCCTTGGACGGACGTGGCGCGTGATGGCACTGGCATCGGAGATCGTCCACGTGGCCGGTATCCAGAACTTACTCCTGCCATTAAATTTGGTAAATTCATTGCAGGCCTTATGTTGTTACCCACTTGACTACGATTGAATGCACTCTGATAAGGACTCATTATACTATTACGGGCCCTTGCCATCTGAAATATATATTACTTTGCATTATAATATTCTACTAAAGGATTTAAAGAGATACAAGAAATGCAATCAATGTTTTACTGAAATACCTTTGGTATTTTTGCTGGTGGCTCCCATTCGATGGGAGGAGATAAGTTTAGATCAGGTTTAAACTTTTTCGCACATGGTATAAGATGACGAGCAAGTTTACCCTTTCCATTATCTTCAAAAGGACAGTTTGCACACTGATGATAAGCTGGTGCTCTTTCTAGCTTGCCTCTGATATTATGCTCGGCTTCCATATGGTATAAAATGTCATGAGGACTGCGGATTTCAAATGTACAAAAGTTACATTTATAAACATTATTCTTCATATGTGGAGTCTCCAAGTGATGAGTCATAACAAGTGATGACTCTGTTTTAAAACTACAAAATTCACATTTTTTCTGTGGAAATGAATAAGGAGCATTGTTTTCTTTACTGAATTCTAAATTTTTCTTGAGTGAAGCTATAGATGTCTCTGTAGCTTTAGTACTCTGTCCAGACTTTTTCTCTCTATAAAGTTTCCGATTCTGTTGTTTTAGTAAATCAGTTTGTACATATTCTTGTACAAGATTTAAGCCAATGTTTATAAAAAATTTACCAAGTGAACAGTCAAAATAGTTATCTGTCTTTCCAGAGCAAACTTTTTCAGCTGTCAAATCTGCAACTTCTTTTATGTCATCGATTGAGTCGGCTTTGTCTTTTATTACAACAGTTTTGTCCTCATCACTTAACAATTCATCATCTGAATCTGCTGAACTTTCTCCATCCCATGATGCATCGTCGTCATTTTTACTGTGATGATCTGAAAACAAATATGAGTATTAAATTATATTAAACAAATATTGAAAATGGTAACATAATGCTTATAAAGTAATGAAAAATATATCTAACCTCTTTTTTTTTTCTTCTTTTCTCCTTCTACATTTTCTTTGATATCTTCTACCTTAGAAACAGCATCATCTTTCTCTTTTTCCAATTCCCCTTCTGAGTCATCAACTTTTTCACCCCTTTCCTGTTTTTCTTTTTCTCTTTTTTCAGTTTCCTCCTTTTCTTTCTCCATACGTTCCTTTTCTTCTTTGGCCCTTTGTTCTTCTAGTTCTTTACCTAATATATCTACAAATTCTCTAAACGGTTTAAGTGAAGGTTTTTCATATACGTAAGGTACTATAAAAGATGGTGCCTCAACAACAAACATATCGTCTGTCAACGACGGCAAAATTGAAGGCTGTGTACTTTGTGCAGCAGTACTCTGTGTAGACATATTGTTTTTACTGCTTACTGGGGTTACTGTTGTACCCCGAGCAACAATACTCTGATACAACTCTTGTGCACTTATGCTTGAATTTGTAGATGATGTTAAATTTTTACCCTGTTGAACTCCGAAACTTTTCCCAGATATAATAGAGTTAGTATCTATAATTACTACAGTTGGTTCCTTCTTCTGATTGTTACCATGATTAGATTTCATTTGTTTCGCTGCCATCTCAACCAAGGTTTTTGTATCATTAATAACAATTGTTTTGCTTTTACGAGTTAAAGGATCTTCTAGCTCTACTTCCTCTACATCTGATTCATCTCCATTTTCTACATCATCATTATATCTCTTTCGTTTTATGGCTCTACTACTGCGACGTAATTGAACTTTGTTCTCCTTAATTTCTGCAGTTGGGTTCTCATCATTAGCCACAACACAGTCATCATTATCACTATCAATCTCATGAATCTCTGGACTAGGAGAATCATGAGCATTGCCATTGTGGCTCTTAGTTCTATTCTCATTATCTACTATTATTATATCATTACTTTTATTTTCTATGTGACCATCCTGTAAATAGTCTCCATGCTCAAGTTCTGAATCTGAGTTAATACTCACAGTGTCTTCAGCTTTCTGTTCATGAGACATTTCAGATTCTCCTTCTTCAGAAGAGTCTTCTTCAGAATCAAGTTCATCTGTGTCCTGAAATCAAAGAGGAAAAATTCCAATTGGAGTGATTTTTTTTATTAACTTCCTTATCTAAACATAAGAATCAGAAAATAAAAGTAAAGAAATAATAAACCCTAATAAAAAAATTGGTCAGTATATGGTCCAATGGTTCTAGCTATAGTTGCTATATAATATAAAATTTTATAGTGCTACATTTTTATAAATATATAAATTCCAAGGTATGCTCCACATTTTATCTGAGTGAAAGGTACAGAATTTAATCTTATTATTTAAGTTATTAACATATTACCAAGATTTTATACAAAACAATTATAAAGTTTTATAAAATCTTATGAGGCTAAGGGTCAATTTTTAACAATTATTGTTAAAAATTGAGGGTGTATGTGGAATTTATTTTACACCTATATAATGACAGTAAAAACTATAAAATCTAAAAGTACACTAGTGATAACTTTTAAAACTTAGTTAATTTTTATATTACTTATTTAGTGAATTCAAATTAAACATTATGTCTGCACTTGTATATATATATAATGTATTTCAGAAATTATGTATGATTGTCTATTAATTTATAGTAATAAAATAAATATATAAATTAACAATATGACTTATAAAATTAAAAAATAACAACTTACCTCTTGATGTGTATCTATAGGTGTGGTATATACTTTTTCAATACTTTCCTGTTTACTGTTTTCATCCACAGCCTGCATGTTCTCTGGGTCCATTGTCTCAGACTTGGGCTGAGGGCTAGTCTGGTATGAGTCTGGATATGATTCATTACTGTTCACACAATGATTCTCAACAGGAATTTTATTGCCATTTTCCTTTTCAGGATCTTCTAATATGCTTTCAGTTTGACAGTTTAGCTGGGCAATTCCACTGGCATTACTATTGTCATTTTCCAAATGATCAACATTACTATTAGTCACTACCCCTTGGCTGGATTCACTATCTATATGATTACTATTATCTTCATTATTGCTAATCTCACAGTGATTTGAAATATCATCACAGTTCTCAGAGGTAACTTTTACATGATTGTGTTTGTTTACTGGTGAGCTTGGTAGAGAAGTCTTCATAGGCTCTTCCATAGTGCCATTCATACTGAACCAGTGCTACATTCCATGTGTTACACCTGTCAAAACATTGCCATCTTATTTAGGTTATAATTCTAATGCTATCATGATCATAGCATAATATAGGTACCAAGTGTCTGAGCGTCACATTTTTTATAGTGAACACTGCCCCCTCCCGCTGCCCCTCTTCCCCCTGGCAAGGCGCTAGCAATCAAAATGGCGGTTCCATGGTACCGCACTGTGGAGCTACGTGTACACTAAATACCTACTACAAACGCGAAGGTCGAATAAGCATCGCACAACTAGTAGAATATATCAATATAAAAATAAACTAAATATTATGTCTTGCAGCTTTGTTTACGTACTGAAGTCGTGTGAGCGAAGTCAACATTTATGTACAAACTTTCGCTACAAATTAAGAAAAATATATGCTAATTTGCATTTTACTGTAATAAAATTAATCAGAAATAGAAAGTTCCAACTTTAAAATATTGGGACGTTTAAATACTAAACTGCACTACATTTTAGGATATCTACCCTGTAAACAACCTACGCCGGTATATTAGTAATTTCCCGCCTCAATTATTATTATAAGGTTACAAAGTAATTTTATTCAGAATAAGCAAGTTAAACACTTCACCCGCTCCAGCTCGTGCGTTGTCGCGCTGGACCGCTTTCTGGTTCTCGTACACTACTTGGTTATTTCAATGGTGGATTTCCAAAACAATTTTCTTCTTTAAATTTGTACACACAAATTCACCCGATCAAAATTACAATTATTAACAACAAAAGCACGTTAGTTAAAAAAACAATATATATGCAACAAAGCGAATTCTAAAGTTATAGTCATCTAATTACTATAAAAAACTTCTAAGAGAAACGTATCGTATCTATCGAAGAAATGCAACATGGCCGCTAAGAGTCAGTCACGTGACATACTCAGTGGGGGAGGGGATATAGGGAAAGAGTACCACCACGAATAGTGGAGAACTGGAGACCAAATTTTTATTTTAACCTAGAGGTTTATCACATTATCATTTTTTTTATTGCTGGAATAGAAAAAAATCTTAGCTTAGGAAAAAGTAAACTGATTATTGAAGATAACCATCTATATGCAACCCATATCTATAATTTATTTATTAATTAAAACACAACATTATTTAACATACGTGACATATGTAGGTTCATTTATTTTCCAAATATAATAAATATGAATACTGTATAAGTTTTGTTTCTTAATGCACTTAATACTGACTAACAATCATACTAATTTGACTTAATTTACATTAATCTTTTTACACTTACTACAAAATAATGTCTTTTTCCATTTAATTTCCAAAAATACATGGAAATTTGTGTCAGAAAAGTTCAATTATTATGTATAGTTATATAAAGATTCATGTACTATGTAATAAATTACGCAAGTACGAAGAAAGAAGTTAAATTGACTTATATAGATAATTAAAATAGACATATGATTGATAAATAAGTTATCGGAGTTATTATGTATATGTATTATGAAAGCGTTATTTTCTATAATGGCATTTAATTGACAGACTGGTTCGAAGTATAATAAAATAATATTCAGAAATTTGAGGACCTTTGGGTAAATAATCACTAAGAATTGAATAATAAATGTCAAATATATGACAGCTCAAATTTTTGCTAAGCTCTGGCACAGAACGTTAATTCATTGTACTCAGAATTTTATATAGACATGACCAAGACTACAATATAGAATGCACCTATTAGTCCAATCAAATAATATAAAAAGACACATCATTCATTGCCAGTAAAGCAGGTGTTTTTATTGTAGTGTTAACTTAAACTGAAATTAAATTATTGTAACATATATGATCTTAGCATAATTTATACGTTTATTGAGTTTGATAAATAATTGATAACCATAAGCTGGCGTAGTTGTTACGAATATTAGTGAGAAGTCACTTGAAAACATTGTGATATGGTGATAATAATGGCATATCGAGTTTTATTAGTATTTATTTTCGCTATATGTGTAAAAACCGAGGAAGAGGCATCAACGTCTCGTATGTCTAAAGCAGAAAGACAGAGCTTGAGGTGAGTCTACCTTTACCTATTAGTTGTAGTATTTAGTATTCTGTTATCAGACAGAAATTTCCTTTACCTGTATAAATAAATATTTATTCGTATTTGATATTATTTTATACTCAAAAAGAAAACAATGGAATATTAATTTTTTTTAATAATAAAATCCTTGTTACAAAAGATTATTATTATTTTTGTTATTTCTGGTATAAAAAGGATAATACAAAAAACATAAACTTACTGACTTTATTTATTGTCAGTAATCATAAATGTGTGTAGCATCTTGTATTTATTGTATTTTATAAATCATTAGCATCATAAAACATTATATGATTAATATAAACTAGAAATTTATGGATAAAATTCATCATCATTGATGTGAATATGTATGGCAGCTTAAATCAGTGAAATTAAAATAGGTGTAATAAGATAAGATATTACTTAGCCACTTAAATCTTATTTAGCAACTAAACAGACCAATTCATTGACCACTTTGTTAAAGTAACTGAAAGCTTGTGGCAACAGCTATCTATTCTGCAACTTACTGAACAATACTTTTGTGTATGGCTAGTAGCAGCTAATTTTATTTACCAAGTGTATCATTTAATGGTATACAAATTAAATCCTTATTATTAAATGTTTACAATATTTCATTTTTCCTGCTTTTATTAGTCATTATGACTCGTATGTTAATTTAGGTTTATAATTTAATATATGTTTGCACAGTGTTTATTATGCTGATGTATTGTGTAATATTGTGTTTGCTACTCAGAGAAGAAGCTAGGAGCATGTTCTATCATGCATATGATGCATACATGTATAATGCATATCCTGCTGATGAATTAATGCCTCTCAGTTGCAAAGGAAGATGGAGAGGGGTGACACCAAGTCGTGGTGATATGGATGATGTTCTTGGCAAGTAAGTATGCTTACAGTAAATGCAGTGTAAATAAATATAATACAACATCATTAAAAATATCTTAGTTATAGATGTCAATTTTCAATTAGTCAGTTTCTAATTATGTACAGAGATAGAAAAAATATATCACTCTGTGGTAGACACTTAGAGAGTAGTAAATTGAGTTCCAAATATTAAAGTTAGTCTGTTACTTTATGTTGTCAATCTTATAAAGGGAAGGTATTTCAAAATATTGGGTTTTTCTTAGTATAGTGTATACTGCTAACCTCCATACTCTGGACAGTGTGACCCATGACTCTGTAAGTGGGCAAAGTAATACAACCATTTCCAAAACAGTATGTTTTAAATTTCTTGGTAGAAAGATAGATTACAAAATATTTTATTAATGATTTCAATACCACCAAATAAATAATAAAAAACAAAGTTTGTAACACAAGAAAAACAAAACCCTTTTGGCAAAAATAGATACAGATGTCATAAGGATATTGAAGGTAGATAGACTGTTGAATTCGGCTGGTACCTCAACTCTAATTGAGGTATCAGAATAGTATTGGATTCCTCAGAGTTACTAAGATACATGTCTTGGGCAAATCCCAGGACAATTTAGTGACATCACTCCGAAAAGTTTAATCGTTTCTACAACAAAATCTAAATTACAGTAAAGTGCATACAATGAACTTAGAAATACAAAATGAATGGTTAAGTATAGATGAGTTCTGGTGTGCCTTGATATATGATTGTTTTCTAACCTTTTTATAATTCTACCTTAACACTCTCCGAATGACCTTTCAAATCTGGCTATCTTTTACTTGTGAGGTGTGAGCTGTGTGAGGCAAGTGGTATAGCAAGGTTTCTCTATAAAGGTGATAACTTACATCACCATGTTAGAATTCTTCAAATTATACATGAAACTGTAAGTCTTTGAGCAACTACAAACAAAAATCAATTTAACTTTATAAAAGAAGCAACTATCATCTCTGAATTCCAAAAGCAGGCCCTTGTCAATCCTTTGTATTGCATTTGACTGGAATATTTTAAAAGACACATGAATAGCATTATAAAATGACCTACAACCTCAGGGATTTCATTGGATGTTTCATCACCCAGACTGGATTTCACTGTACCATAGGAAACAAATATACCTAAAGACCATGCAATAAAAACAAATAAATATTGATACTAATGAATTAACTACATGATTATGTGGTTAATTTATATACGATCGAAGTGGGAGAGAGAGGTATAGCAGCAAAATCTCTACTATTTTCTGAAATAACGTGGCCTGCAGTAATTTCTAGAATGTGTCTCTAAAGCTGCAATAGCAGGCATCTGTCATATTTGGCTGCGAGGGCGAGAACCATGATGGTGAGTGTTACCATATGTCATCAAGTAAGTAAGGTACCCCTTGATAACATACTTGCACCTGGGTTTGTACCAGGAACTGGTCGGAGATCCCCTCTCTGCCACATGATGGACCCCGCTCTTGAATGCTAAGAAGTTCGTTTCTTGATAATGGAAAATAAAAAAAAACCATTCTTTCATTTTTAAAGTTTAGCTACAAGTATTATTTGAAGTAACTGTAGTGTGCGGTAAAGAGCACATTTCCTTTTTGTGACTATAGTTAGTAAATTCATCTGATTTCATTATTCACCCTTGACCTATAGACAATAAGCCGACGCGTGCCAGCTGCAGCGCGGTAATCTGATTTTCACATAGCAATCGAACATGACACTGCTCGCTACAAAAATATAAATAATTATTAATTATGGGCATAAACTAGGGGCATTCGTGATGTGATAAATTGGCTTTTAATATCACACAGAATTGTCTCTGTGTTTTGAAGCAAACATGTAGTTATTTCAGTTACGATTTAAGGGAACACTATATCCTTGTTCAAGCGATATATTTTGATATGGATAATACTTATCATTCGGTTTTGTATATAACGTTTAACAGGAATTATTCTTAATATTTCAAATATCAGAGGACGTTTTATGTCTAATATAAAATAATTTTTGGACATTCGGGCTTTTAGATTAAATGATATATCTTTGCAAGCTCTGTGTTATCTATCAGTGACAATCATACAATTCATGCCTGAGTTGGTCAGGTGTTATTAAATGTAAATTAAGCCTGCTATGAAATATATCAGTGATAGTGTCAATTAATCGGGCCTGTTTAGTTTGTAGATGAGTCAAACAGTTATTTGCCAGCTGATAAGGTAAAATACGTAATAATTAATATATAGTGAGTTAAAAGTGAGAAAAATTACTTTCAATTTGTAAATATCACTTTTGCCGTATTTTAACTAGTTTATAATTTGTGAACGATAAAATTCTTTCTATAGTTTTGTTATAAAAATTCATACTTGAAAACGCGATAACAATAATTATTCACAAGGTCGTCTTAAAAACACTAAGTTTATGTGTGTTATTTATTCATTACTGATTCCAGTTGCATTGAAAACTGTTATATGTATTTTAAGCAGTTTTGGGACATATGACTGTTATTATCCCTCTCCATTTGTTATTTACAATTAACTATTAAGTGACGTAATTGCAAAGACGAATAAAGTTATTTATATATAAAATAATGATGTATAGAGTATGTTATGTTTATAGCGTTTAGTTTAGTCCAATCTCGGGATCCAGATCTGACCTGCAGCATGTGATAAACTGAATGACAAAAGTCTTTCTCCTCTTTTCTCTTCTCTTTGATGAGCCAGTGCCGATAATTGACCTGCTGAATATATATTGCGTATAACCTAATAAATATATTAATAAATAAATGAAGGAGTAACAAAGATACTGTATCTGTGCTGCTATTTTCATTTGATTTTAAAATTACGATTGGTTCTCGATACGTTTTGTAACAATGTAATGTGTAATAATTACGGTACTTCTTGTAATCTAAATGTAAATGAATCATGGAACGTGCTAAATTGCAGCCATTCGAATGTTCTACTATTTGTCGAATAAATATTTTTTGATAAGTTTGAAGAATCCGTGTTTTATTAATCTTTATCAAAAGTATTAGGTATTTTTACTAGGGGGTTATCACTAGCACTCTACTGAATATGAAAAATACTTGTTTTTAAATAGTGCATTGATCTTGTACTGGATTCTACAGAATTCTGGTAGATACAGATTCAATGGTATATTTGTTAAGGTAAAAATATAACTCATGTTCGTGTAAACGTAGATTTGAAAACTCCATTAGTCTTGCTGGATTTCGAATCGGTTTTATATTATATAAAAATTAGAACATAATGGAGTTTAAGTTTGATTCGCCTAGATAGGCAACGGACTACCTTTCGAGCACAAGATATAGACACAGGGTAATAATAAAATCCGAAAGACACTAGGCACGTCCTCTGCCACGTAGGACATGTAATGTGTTGTATTCACCACGACGTTAACAGTTAATAACACCTCTGAATACACCATCTCCCAGATGAACAGTCGAGACGTTCTGTGTAGGTAGCTTCTAGAAATTTGCCGCCTTATGATGTGTAAAGTTAAAAGCATTAGTGCAATATCGCGCTGTATACCACTGTAAGCATCGAGAATAATATCTGTTTTATCTGTATTTGTTACACTGATACCTATATATCGATACATACAATAAAAATAACATGTTTATTGTTTCCAGTTTCTCTCTTACACTCGTGGACAGTTTGGATTCTTTGGTGGTGTTAGGAGACTTTTCAGAGTTTAGTAACGCCATTAAACTCGTCATTAGGGATGTGACATTCGATCATGACATCGTGGTGTCGGTTTTCGAAACCAATATTCGAATGCTGGGGTAAGATTAATTCAAATATGTTACCAAACTGTTAGTTACAACTCTCTAGCCTCTTGAACTTTTTGTCTATTCAACATAGACCATGCCAAATCTACCATACATGTACAAAATTGTTTACATATTGTTCATATGTATATATATATACACATAGAATTCTGTACACGTGTTTGTGACTCACTCCTCCTAAATGGCTGGACTGATTTTTAGGCTTATTTTTATATCCTGGATGGTATGAAAACACTATTTGACCTGGTATGTGGCGCTGTTTTTCTGGGCAGTACGGCGTTATCGTGGTTTGCAATGTAGTACATATGATTGATGTGATATAAAACTAATAATTTCAGCATTAACATTATATTTATTTATTGTAGCGGTTTGCTGTCAGCTCACGTCCTAGCAATGGCACTTAGAATGGATATATCAGTACTGCATTGGTATAATGGTGAGTTGCTTACAATGGCGGAAGACTTAGGAAGAAGACTCCTCCCAGCCTTCAACACATCTACAGGAATCCCCCACGGGAGGGTAATTAATTAAATATTATAGTTAAATAATTATTATCACATCAAGCTCTGTGTCCAGCACTGAATTGCAGTAGGCTGATCATGATGATGATGAGGATATTGCAAATTGACTTTGAAAAAATTAACACTTGTCATTGTGTATATTGCCTATCCTTTTTTATTTTTTATACCTAGTAGTAAATATTTTAAATTTAAATTCCAATTAATCATCGTAAATATAGTGTTGGTTGTATAAAAATAATACTGTCTAACTTAGGTGAATCTTCGCCATGGCATCAGAGGGCTATCAGAGTCGAGGGAAACGTGCACTGCATGTGCAGGCACTATGATACTGGAAATGGCTGCGCTGTCCCGTCTCGTGGGCAATCCTATTTATGAACAAAAAGCGCATAAGGCTATGGACAGATTGTGGAAAATCAGACACAGGTAGTAACACAAAAATATAATAACATAAGGATAAAAAAATTAAGATATGGAAAATTTTTATTCATTTCAAATAAATTTATTAAGTACAAGTTAACTACCTAAAGAGCTGAAAATCCCTTTTAATAAATAGTAACCTGAAATCTGCAATTTTTGTTGGTTTCATGTGTCCTAAAAGTTTACTTATGAATCCAGCTAGACACTATGTAAGAATATTTATTATAATATGCTTACGTTGCCTATAGCGTTTTGCTGGCTACTGTGCTACATTATCACGTCCTAATAATATTGACATCCTATAGCCGGATACGTAAAGGAGCTCTCGGCGAGTTCTTCTAACCTATCTTACAGTTATATTGTTACTCCAATGGAATTTAAAAAGGATATTCTTATATAATTTCAGAACGTCAGATCTGATGGGTACTGTTATAAATATTCACTCCGGGGATTGGGTTCGGAAAGACTCTGGAGTTGGTGCCGGGATCGACTCCTACTATGAATATTGTCTCAAAGCTTATATTTTGCTTGGAGACGAGAAATATTTGGCCAGGTTTAACAGACATTATAATGCAGTCATGAAATACATCAGCAGAGGTCCGGTTATGTTGGCCGTGCACATGCACAGGTAGTGTTATGAATTTCATTTCTAAAAATGAATTATTTTTAGTTGTTATAGACGACAAATTATTTTAGTAATATAATCACTAGAATAGTCTTCAAATAACACATTTGTAATACCGATTTAGCCAAGAAGGATAAACAAAAGCCTTATTGTTTCTCTTTTTGAATAAATGTTGTACAACTCTACATGTTTAAGATTTAGCTTGATTGTTGGAGAATTGTTATATTATTAAACATACAACTGGACAAACATACATCAAAATAAATGTATAGTATATAATCAAGTAATTTGTAATTATAGGCCACACTTGCAATCGCGCAACTTCATGGATGCATTGCTAGCGTTTTGGCCTGGCCTCCAGGTTCTTCTGGGAGATGTTCGACCAGCTGTCGAAACACACGAAATGCTCTATCAAGTAATGCAGAGACACACATTCATACCGGAGGCGTTCACGTCAGACTTTCAGGTATTTAATTACCATTTGATCAATCAAATCTACCCCAGGGTGGATTATGTAAAGACTCGTCTGCATAGGTACCTCAGTCGCACCTAATTCTGCTGCCAAGCAGCCTGCTTTATGAGCTGTTTTTTCATTGAAGAATGAGAATAGGCAGTTAAATTACAGGATGAGAGACATGACATGTTAGTACTCCGGAACGGCACCATATCAGGGATACCACGGCGGTGATATGATAACGTGATGTTCATGTATTTAGGCGGTGGTTACCACTTATCATTGCTTGAAACGTCAGCTTTTTTGCCAATCCAATTACAAAAACTAGATGAGATAAATCTTGAAATAAGGTAAATTTAGTACGCAAGTTTGTTAGTAGATGGCGCTGTTCTAAGTAAGTGTACACTAAATTATACTCTAGTCATGGTATGTTTTCCTGTTAGTAGTAAAAAAATAATTCGTATTCTATTAATCGTTTGATCATAATTTGAAAATAATCTAAAACAGTGTTCTCATGTAGTTGAAATTAACGACAACATACCGTAGTAAATTAGTAATTGACCTAGTATGATAATGGGTATTTACGGTTATTCTAGTATATTGTTTGCGAAAATCGTTTTATAAAAAAAATATGAACAGGTAGTTGATATAAGTATTTTTGTTTGTATGTTTTTAAGGTGCACTGGGGTCAACATCCTTTACGGCCAGAGTTCCTAGAATCTACATATTTTCTTCATCGCGCGACAGGCGATGATCACTATCTTAATGTAGGAAAAATTGTATTGAAAGCTTTACAACAATACACCAGAGTGCCTTGCGGTTATGCCGCCGTAAACGACGTAAGAACTCGAATTCACGAAGATAGAATGGATTCCTTCGTCCTCGCCGAAACTTTTAAATACCTATATATGCTTTTTGGAGAGGATAAAGATTTGCCTGTGAAATTAGAAGACTACGTGTTGACTACGGAAGCTCATTTTCTACCATTGTCTTTGGCAACATCGGGCCGGAATTCAACCTTCTTTTCTCTTAAAATTGATGATGAAGATGAGGATAAATATAGAAAGTGAGTATTCTATAAATAATTTAAGAGATAATTTGATTTAAACATTTAATTATTTTCTTGCTTACTAAAGGCAAATTATTTAATATTGTATATTATATTATTCAAATAAAATAAGTATATCTACGACGTAACATATGGCTTCTGTATGGGATCAGTAGCTTATCGAAATATTATTGAATTTTAGAATATAAATTGTAGAAAATAATCATAATCAGATTATAATGTGTATATTAATCATAATATACATAAACTTTTATATTAATAAATAATCAGCATATGAATGCTGTTCGTAATATTTAGTAATGTACAAGTTACAAGCCGAGGCTTTATCAAATTTGTTATTATTATTAATATCACAAATTTCATCACATAATATTCTTACTTGTTCTTACACTATGAGTACAATAGATATAATTGTATGTGAGAACAGATTAAGTATATTATGTAAGATAAATTATTAGTTTTAAGAATAATATTTCTACTAGCATTTTAACTAGTAGGCTGTATCTTAATGCCAATCATTTGTATAAATCCGTTCAGTAGTTAAACATTTTAATTAGCATATAGCAGTAATCCAGGACACACCACACTGCGCCATCTAATCCCAAACTAAGAGTTTGTTTTTGCAAACATCATTTAATTATTATATTATTGTGATATCTATTCAAAATTTTTTCTTGTATAAATTCTCACAGTTTTCGCTTAAATTTTTGCAGATACAATTTATAAAGTGCGAGACACATACTTAATAATAATTGTTGTAAAAGTGATATGTATTGTTAAAATCCCTAATATTTTGATAAATATGTGATTATATCCATTTACTCAGTGCTTGTGTAAATTTTGAAGATAAATTGTTTGTTTAAAAAAATATTAGAAAGGAATATTATTCAATTGGTGGTGCTATCAGCACTTTTGCTATTTAAGAGTTTTAAATAATACCCATCAATGTATTTCAGAACATGTCCTAGCACGACATCGTTGATCGCCGAGAAGGTTCGTCAACCATTGCGTCATTTGCTGGGTTCATCAGCAGCACGCCCTCCAGCACGACTGCGACCCCTCAACGACCCTCGTCAAATACACGCTCTCTCCGATATGGGTATCTCAGTCCTGACATTGCCAGATGGAAAAGTACAATTACTTTATACTACAACAACGGTAAGTCCACATGTATTCAACGCCTTTTCAATAAGGTTCATATTTCAATTCGGCTTTCATAGTGAAATATTTCATAGTATCCAAATTATATGTATGTGTAATATTATAATCATATTGTAATATAATATCTGTGACTAGATTTCTGTAAATAATTGTTCTGGCTTAAACTCTTTCTTCTTGGAGTGACAATAGCTAAGAACGTGATTAATTATTTGAAACCCAAAAACACCTTGCACAGGAGTAAATCCACACTTTTTTTTGTCATTGCCACTTGTAGATAGATTTTGACGACTCTTTCATAATCAATGTTGTTTTCATCTACACACCCACACACATACTTTATCACACTTCTGGCACCAAGCAGGTTGCTTATAAGTTTCAATTGGTAAGCTACGGCAGTCAAATTACTGGGTACGGATGAATATCATCTTAGTAATCTGATCATGAATACAGACGACAGTTGTCTCTTGCAGTCCAGTGTTTCTTTGCCTTTTCAGTTATTATAAAATATTTCTGTCAGAGTGTCACCACTCCTCTTCATCTACGGAATGTCGTAAATTATTATTATTATTATTAAAAGCCGACTAGGGAACAAATAGGAATTAAACCCTGTTCGAAATTAGGATTGTGAGGAGAGACCCGTTTTCTGCAGAATTGAAGGGTTGTGAAAAATTTAAAATACTATTTCTGTAATTAATTGTTTATTCTATTATTATCTTTTATTTTAGGCGAAATCGGCAAAAGATGCTGCAGAAGGCTTAACGTTCATGCGGGAAATGTCGAAGTGGAATTCCCTGAGCGACATAGAGAACGGTGTGGTTCCGGCAGGTGTCTATATTAATGACAAAGTAATCGCTGCCGGCCCGGGCCACTTCGGGAAAGACATTACAGGCCCAGACCGATATAGTGGCAATGTAGCGGTTGTTACGCCTCTTGATGCCTGTACTACTGTATTAAACACGATTGAAGTCGAAGGTAAATACGCAATTGCTAAACGGGGCCAATGCACTTTCGCACAAAAAGTTCGCAACATGCAGGCAGCTGGTGTCAAGCTTGCGATCATAATTGATAATATACCGGATTCGACACACGAAAGTACCGCTCTATTCGCAATGTCTGGTGACGGAAAAGATGATATCGAAATTCCAGCCGTGTTTCTCTTCTCGCAAGAGGGCCAATACCTATTAGATGAATACAATGCTAATCCTGAAATTATAGTTACTGTCGGGGAACTAAGATCTTTAAAGAGAGAGTACGAAAACATTTGCGAGGAAGGTAGCTGCGAGGTACTAGAAACCCCTCTCGTGACTTCAGATAAAGAGAATTTTGACCATCTAAAAAAAGTGCTAAGCCAATTAGTAACACAGTTCGAGTTGACACTTTCAAATGAAGAAGGGACTATTCAAAGAACTTGTAGCGAGGAGTCGGAGAATGTTTACTTATCAAAAGACAATTTTGTGAGCAATGATAACCACGTAGAGGGCCCGGCAAATGTGTGTTCGATAAATCATGAACAAAAGAAAACTACAGTAGCAAAGAAATACGAATCGTTAATAAAGAAACCGGGCGAGTTTTGACATCATTCCTGTTTTCATTGTGAATGATAAATTCCTATAAACATTGTTGTATATACATACATAAGCATGTATAATAATTTGTACATATTGAAAGTAAGATATGTAAGAAATATTAATGAATTTTGTGCCTTTTATTATTTGTTACTAGGTTTGTTTCATTCGATACATCATGAAATATACATCTTGTTACGGATGTTTTCAAATATCTACAAAATAAATCGACAAATTAATAATAATTAACGATTTGTAATTTTATAATATTGCAAAAATTGTGTACATGTAAAGTTTTATATAATATTTATTATTTGTTACGTGTACCTTTTTCAATGAGCTGTGTGTAAAATATATAGGCTAATTGTTAAATAAGAAAAAGTTCAAAATGTGTTCCATTATGCCAGTTGGCCAGTGTTTATATTTATTACGAAGAGATCCTACATATACATGCATATTTTATATAGATTATAAAAAAAGGTGAACAAAGTAAAATAATTTTATTTTCTCATACATTCGTAATGCATTACAATATTTGATACTGTGAATAAAGGTCATATTTTTTAAATAAATTGTTTTATATGAACAAGCCAATAATATAATAACATATTGTAAAATATCGGTATTATATTATTAAAATCATATTGGTACGATATTTTATTACATTAGTAATAATAATGATTATTGTGGTGACTAAGTAATAGCACAATACGTCTCCAGTTTTTTCCGCCCACGCGATATTTTAAGTCGACTAGGATTCAACACAAATACATCAATGCCAGAGATGTACAAATTAAAGTGAAACACCGCTCTAAGCTGCGTGGGCAGCACTGTAATTGGTGGACTTCTCTCTAATGAGAAGACTTCTTAAATATCCGAGTACAGCAGTGGTTCGATGGTGGGTTGTTTCTTAATTCTATCTGAACTCGATTAAAGTTGTTATTTTACATATAGGATGATTTGAGTGCAGATTTCAGCCGTCGAGGTGTGTCAGGGCTGTAATCTGGTGCGGGGACGGACGGTTGCCACGAGTCGCGTTCCCGTTGCCATTGAGCAGTGCCGTTCGATGGCAAGCTTGGAGGTTTCGCAGGCATCGGTGGTTTCGACTCTTCCAGATATGAGAATGGTCGAGGCGACATCGTTGACTGGTTGTTCCATGAATATGAACGATCGAATGCTGGACTGCAATTCAAAACGATGTTACAATACGTAATTGTAGGCGTAATATAGAGTAACTATAGGTAATATCTAAATAAATAAAACTCGGATCACATTATCAGTAATATTGAACTTCGAATCGAATTAAACTGCTAGACCGTATTTTATGAATTTTGGTTTTCATTTGTTAGGTTTGTAAATAAGCTGTAAGGCTTTTTAATATATTATTTCGCTTTATATTATATTCTCGTATTAAGTATGATACATGGTAATACAAACGACTGTACCTGTTATCAATAAAACTTACTTTGCATAACCCGCACGTGGAGTGTCTCGATTCTGGCTGCGACTATCATCATCGTTAACAAACACAGGATTTGTATGATTGCTGTAATTTTAAAATTAGTGTCATTTATTTTGTTTGGACATATACCAGTATGGTGTGCAGTTCCTTTAGGACCATGATAATGGTCGCAACGACAGATTATCGCCACAACACAGGTTACAAAGTAACAGCAGCTTACTTTGTAACCTGTGTACTTAAAGAGTGAGATAGGGTACGGAGTTCTAGTATGGCAACGCCGAAGGTACAGGCACAGATAACATGATATGACTTAGTAGAGGTAACACCTACGTCACATGATGAAGTGATGTCACTAACCACAGTCATATACAATAAGGTGACCATAAGACTCCCGTTTTACCTACTACATATGTATGTCATTCATAAAAAGAAGACTACCGACAGCTTTATTTCATATACTTAGAAATACTATATATGAATAGATGGTTTGCTGTACAGGTGTAAAATATATGCGTTACACCCGGTCACTACAGGGGGGGGGGGGATAGTGTGTTTTCACAAATGTGACCAGCTGTGACAGAAGTAAAAAATATGAAATTTGTATGAAGTAAATTATAGAAATAAAAACGTACCTTCTGTAGGGCGGGAATATGGTTTCAGGTTGTTGTTGCCACGGGTCTTCAGTGCTCTTTTGTTGTCTGCAATAAATATAATTTCTACAATAAAGTACATTATACATACATACATTCAAAGACTCATCGGTTAGACACATGAATTCATTAAACAATTTGATATACCTAATTAGCCCGATCCTCAAATGCAACTAAATTTTAGTAAAAAATTATTTGTAGCAAATTATGCTACCATTCACATTTGAACTAATAATCAGTGTCGCCATCACTGGACAAGTTTTATCACATTGGTACTTATTAATATACAATTATGTAAGCACTACCTACCCTCGGAAATGTTGATATGAAAATTCAGATTGTTGCCATGGATCGCCATTTGGTCGTTGCTGCCTGTAGGCGTAGAAAACATTACAAAAATACTACTTATCTATTATTGCAATTAATACTTACGGCCTACCATATTACTGTGGTCTAACCATCGCCATTCAGACCACTTGTTAAACAGCGCTAAAATCTGTTTAGTAGGTAGGCAGTTAAGCGTGATATCGTAAAAAACATACACGTAAGAAAAGCTCTACATCAAATAAGGCAAAGCATTAACAACGTACAAATATTTATTAAAATTACTGTTACTGAAATAATTATATGTATCTAGAGTTTCTTTCTTTAATTATATATCATTGACACATCATCATCCGAGAAATTATAGCAGAATACAGATAGAAATTAAATAAATATAGTATTTTCTATCTATATATACAAAAAAAAAACCAATACTTGTACTAAATAGTGTAATAAATAGTTAATAACTGGAGATACTTTAGTATTTCTCTTTTAATTGATAATAGGCATACAGGCGGAGTCAAAACGATAAAATCTAATTCTTACACTACGTTTTATAGGTAGATATTAGATATTAAATATTTATGTCTTTATTTTAGATAAAGAAGTATTTAGTTCCATTTAGGTCTAATCTTTTATAAGACACCAATAATTGGGATAAGATAATATTGCATATATTATAGCTGTGTAGGTACATAGTTAGCAGCTCCTTTTCTAATAGGTACATCGCTCTTTGAAAACTTACAACTTTGCCGGCTTAGTTTGAAGTTTTTTTTATATTATTATTTATATGCTTATATATTCAATTATGTGTATGCAGAACTTGGCATTTTCTCATAAGGAGCAAATTTCATTCAAATCCGTTTAGCTGCATGCGTATATTACAAATAGATAATATCAAAAGACAATATTTAGAATAGAATGGTAGGCACAGACAATTAATATAGGTTTCAATCACTAAACAAGATGAAATAAATGAAATCACATTTAGGTAGTTAAGTATACCAAGGATATAATAAAGCGAAGGGATAGTAAATACGAACAAAAAAAAAACTTACTCAAATGCTTGTAGAGCACCCATTTTATGAATAGCATGCTGAAAAATAACACAGAGAATAATGGTTTTGTTGTATATTTCAGTACCTACTAGGGTAGGGCGATATTCTCCAATTTTTTGTCGTCATTGTAGAAAATAAAAGTTAATAGTTGCGGTAAGAGAAATTACAATTGGAAGATCTTTTTAAGAGATCTTATTAATATTAGCATATTCTATTTTTTAAATACTGTAGGTAATTGACGTGCGTAGAGTAGGTATACGAATAACTATTATTAAAGTTAAAGAAAATATTGATAGTTTAAAAAATAAAACATAACAGCTTGTCCCTTTGGGGTGTATTTTCTCATCTTTCTGAACCTCATAGTCGGAATCCTAATTAATAACAATTTCTGTCAAAATTTCTTCCTAATCCGTGAATATTTACCGGGTAAATAGGCAGTTTTCGCTACTTACGTTTTTTATTATACGTAAATATATTATATTTTATACGTAAATATATTACACGTAAATAAAATATTATACGTAAATATATTACGTAAATATATTAGATTATAATAAATGTTACCCATTACCGAATGCAGTATTGATGAAACTTGCACACATTTTGTGCGTAAAACATTCATATGTGTCGGTTATTATGATAGTCTCATACAATTATTAGGTCTGCAATGTACAGCAAGTTATATATATCATGTCAAAATTTGTTGTTAATTGGGTTCAAATTTACGACCACCAACTATACAATTTTGAAACAGAATAATCAACCACTATATAGGTATATTCCTACTACCATAGAGACTATATTCCTATTTTTATTTTTTCTATAATACATAAAAAAATATACTCACTACTGTACTTTTCGTATTTTTTCTATATTCTATTAAATAGAATATTATTATAATTAGTAATATAATATTGATGACGTGAAAAACGAAGCCTTTTAATGATACAGTCATAAGGAGTAGAGCGCCGAGGCTCAACAATTCTTGTAAAAAGACTGTAGTGCCCGGCATCTGAAATTGTAAAGTATAAATTTATAGATATTTAACATAGCTCTAACAATACTTAGAAAATGTATTAAGCAAAATCGTAATAATATGCATAATTGATAGAGTAATTATTCCTATACTAAAGGTACTTAATTTCTTTACATGGTATGGGGGTGGGAAGATGACAACGAAGTGTGAGCTTGTGTGACGAGGGATTTTCTATAGGTTCTAAATTTCGTGACAACACATTTTAAACATATTATATCCTAGTACGATTTTTAGCTATTAGCGATGAAATAAAAAAAACTCTGAAGTATTTACGATAGATGCGACGTCATACTAGGACCGCACAATTGTATGAAGTAACTTAATTATGTAATGTAAGTTCGTGGAACTTAATTTATGGTTCCATATTACCTATATACTTAATATATTATTCCACAGAAATCAAGTGCAATCTACTATAAGAACAATAGAAGATTTCATAGGTTATAAAACTATCATGAGAATTGTCATATAATATGCCATAATATTGGTAGCTGAAATGGCATCATTGAAGTACCTATTTTGTAAATATCTTGATAATTTTTATTTACTAAATTTAAAAACTAAATTGATACTAATTTAGTTTTTAAATTTAAAAAATTACATATTAATAATTTGTTTATTAAAAATTATTTTATTTAAATGTTAATAAACAAATTAAATTACATATTAAAGCTAGTAGGTATATATGATCACAAGTTCACAACACCTGTAGGGGTAAGTAGGTACCTATTAGACTTAAATGAAATTATCATAGTTATTATTTGAGGTCTCACCGATTCTTCTGTGAATGAATTTATTGTGTTGTAGTCCATTCCAAAGAATATTGCTGCGGTGAAATCCACTATGAGCGACGAGACCGATATTATGATGTACGTGTATACAGCTGCTTCTATATTCTGCGCTGATTTCTTCGTATTTACAACTAAAAACAAAACCGAAAGTCTTTAGATTCATGTCTAAGTAGCAATATTTCTTTTATTTTGGAACTTACAATAGTAAGCTGTTTGGTCCACCTGATGGAAAATGATAATCATCGCCTCTATGCATAAACTCAATATCAAGGTATCAAGAACTAATGAATATCAAGGTATAACACTAATGTGTTACCTTTCTGGAGGACTTATATGTCATACCTCGGTACCTTGTCAATTTAATTCAGTCTTCAACTAAAATAATTATTATATATAAAATACGTAAAACAGAGCTACATATCCAACTTTATGTAAGTTTATTTCTGTAGAAATGATTACCTATTGAGATACCAGATTTAATTATAAAGAATGTTTACAAATATTATAAAGACATTTGATCGTTTATTTGTTTGCATTGAATAGGTAACTGCTGGATGGATTTGAAAAAATATATTACCATTACAATCGTGCATTAACCATTAAGAATATAAACAATCGAATATTTCTATAAACGTTAGAACATCCATTTAAAATCTCGATAATGTAACCAAACGTGTAAAAAAATACACAATAAAATCACTTATATAGCGTCCGTTGAGGAAATTTTTGAAAACTAGCTGGCACGCGCTACTTGGTCTGCCATCACACTCAGGTACTTGACATATTTGGTCCAATTTATTATAATAACTCTTTAACTCATAGTCCATGTGTTATTCTGATGTATAAGCTGTACCTATTACTGTAAAGTTTCATCAAACTCCGTTCAGTAGATAGCATTGAAAGACAAACAAACATCCATCCATACTTACAAACTTTCGTGTTTATAATATTAATTCATAAGATAGAGCAAAGTGATGTACTACAGTTTTATAAGACGTCAATATCGAGGGGTAATAATACCCATACGTAATCGGGACGGTCAGCTGCATAAAATAAAATACTATAAATCTTGAGACACGGAACAACACCGGCGATTATGACAGATTGAAACGTTCAAGTAGGTGAGCTCTAGAGAGCTTTTACTTTATTATAGAATTATATATAGGTACACTGTCTTGTGTGTGGTAGCCCCATTCAAAATCAGCGGTATGGTACTTAAGGATTAAGTATGGTACTTAATTATAGTACAGTATAAATGCTGAGCGGGAGTCACATTCAGCGTTACTAGTAGATATGTATTAGCTTTTAAAGTGTATAGTAAATATTAAATAAGATATATAATATATATAAATAATAAATAAGAATACTGTAATACTGAATAAATGTCTTTATTATTATTATTATAGTATTCATCAATTGCAAAAACATTTAGTTCATTCTCAAAATATATCCATGTCCTACATGTAATTAAAGTGTTGTCCTAATGATCTCAGTCTCCTTAAGTCTTGTCGATAATATAGACATAGTTTACATCAAACTCACATAGGAATTCACTTTTCAATTACTGTACATGATAACTAGCTGTGGCCGCGACTTATATGTTATAATGACCTTGATCAAATAAAGAAAAAATATTCAATAATCTAACCCAAAATGGGCAAACAACAAAGTTTCATCATTCTGGCTTCAAAAATGACGATACTTCCGTACAACCTTTCATCTCCCCTTTTAAGCCCTTACAAACCTTTTTTCGCATTAAAAAGTAGCCTATGTCCGTTCAGTGTTATCCAGGATCCAGACTATCTGTGTACCATATTTGATTTAAACCTGTTCAGTAGTTTTAGCTTGAAAGCGAGAGAAACAGAGACAATTTCGCTCGCATTTATAGTATTAGTAAGAGATATGTATATAGGTATTTAATACTTAATACTTAGAAGGATTAAAAACTTGGTTTCTATATTCATGTATACTACAACCCATACAAAAAATACTGGTGATAATATAAATACACCGTCGATATATCACCATAAATTATATTTGTTAAAATGTAATCAAAATCAATACAAAACTAGACATATAATGACACAACTTCTGAAAATAAATATACACATAAGTACTTATACTGCCGTGATTCCTATTTTATTTCTTTATTTAGTTAATAAGAAACATACCTGAAACACAAACTATAGCTGATATACAATTGAGTATGCTTAAACTCAAAATAATTATCACCAATGCGAAAACTGTTGATTCTGTTGTAATATTATCAAAGTGTATAAAGTCGCTGCATTTTGCCTCTGAAAATAAGTTTCACATTTAATTGCTTAAATTTGAATTAGTCGTAAGTCTGAAATATAATATGTATTTATGACAGATGCATATACATATATGTTCATATAATTAGGTATCAATACAATTTAGTGATACGTACTTCGAAACCTAAAAACATGCATTTAGAAACTAATTATATCACAAGATAAGTTATCTCAGAAAAAGTAAAAAACAGTAATGTGCAAATCATTAGGTTTTACATGAGTGAAGTTACATAAATGAAGCTTGATTAGAAAAATATAAAATTAGAACCTTTAGTAACTATAAAGTGCGTCTTAGCGATTATACATATAAGAAAGATAAAAGTTTTTAACGATTTAAAAAATCGGTGGTAAACATGACACTGTGAAGAAGAAGAAGAAGATTCGACATGCCCGCAGCGGTACGTACTAGATTTTTTATTTAGCTATGCTCGACATGTGAACATTTTCAATTTGCATTAATTACAAAAATTAAAGACTGAGAAAGTTCAATCTATAATCTTTTAAATTACTTATTTTATGTTTTTACTAGTAGCTTCTTTATAATGTTGTCACGCAATAACATCACACTAAAATGGAGGTAGACCGCCAGCTAATTTACCATTACGTTTATAATAAAAATATAATGCAAGCACTAACGTTAAAGTGCATACATGGAGCACTCATTCATGGGTGCTATCATTATCATCTACGTTTACCTCTCACGTATATTGTAATTAAACCACGTCAAAAGTCGATCAAATTAATAACGCGTTACCATTTAGTTTCTCATTCTATTTAATAATACTTACGCGTGAAGTAAATTCCAAGAAATAATTGTACGAAGATCGTCGTATCATTTGGGGAAGAAAAGGTGCTATCACAGTCGCTACGGTAATGTATTGCTAAAATGCATAGCACTACGTACACGATGCTAGTCGCCTGAGAAATAGTAATGAATCACCATGTAATAAACTAAATACTACGTAATATTATGACACATTACACGTTCACATATGAATAAAACGATATTTGTAATAAATAAAATAAAGTATATCTTAATTACACAGTGTCAATCAACGAACAAGCATTATATATTATAATTTATTTTTTTAATAAAGTAGACAAAGTTATTTGCAGATTACATCATAGCAAAAAATATAAGCGCTTATTGGTACAACAGAAAATATCTAAAAATGTATTTGCGTTTATATATATTATATATGTTAACAATAGAAACACTCGCAAAAGACATTCGCTCATTTCACCTAGTTAATTTACAATCGATATATTTTATTTATAAAAGTTCAATTGAAGCTGCTGTATGAGTATCGATCTCAATCAAAATATAACGCAGACATGTTTGATGTGAATCGATAGTCACCATTACCTAGGCAGGTACTAAATATTTAACGTGCGAATACTTACAATTGTCATTCCACAGGACAGGCAAACTGTTAAAATTAAGTTTGACGGAACTTTGTTATTTGTAACTTTATCCATTATTTATTGTCATTTATTAACATTTAAATGAACACACATCATTCTCACTTATTGTACTGTTATGAAGGGACTGCCATTACTATCGATGTTTAATCGTATCGTGATAATTGTTATCGGCAGGAATTAATGTGGACACTATCTGTTACGTATTGCTCATGCTTAAGACGAACAATTGTGTGAGTAGGAAACGTGAAAATCCTGTAAGACTAAATCTGTACAGGTAACTAGTGTTTCAATGAGTCGGCACAGATCGCGGAAAAATAGGCCTTGTTCTGGTATTTTGTACAGATAAAAGTAAATGGGTAACTGTATGTATAATTAAATATTGTAACCTACTAATAATATCTACATATGCAATCGATTGAAATTTATTATTTATAAGCAGGATAGGAGCATATAGGTAGATATATATTTATAATTTTACTTTTTAGGAAACAGAAGGCGTGGAAAATGAACTGAAATGAAATTACATACTTAAATTAAGTAACTATATTGAACAACAACTTATAAGGATACCTACTCCTATATAGAAAGTAACGGCAAGTATTCGTCAAGATTCCAAGTAAATGTAAAAATTAAAATAATTATTAACAATATATAAGGCGATAATTTTGTATTTATGATAATTTAAATTTAAATATCTTAACAAGTTGTTGTTTAGCATTCCATACATACTTATATTGGTATAGTACAGTCTAGTAATCAAATCTAATCTTTTAATGATATTTATCGTTCAACTTCTGTAACATGAAAATCTACCAAGAATGTTATTATCGAAATAATATCTCTAATACCGAAGTAGCAATAAATTGTTCAGACACTATATAAAAGTTTTCAGTTTGTATTTGTATTACAGTTAGAGGTTCAAATTACGGGTTACTAAGGCATAAGATGTTAGGCAATTGGATTTAAGTGTTGAGATAATATGCATGGCTGTATCCAAGGACTCGTATATAGACGATAGTGACCACTCCCCAGTTTTTCATTTATATAAAAAACTAAAATGAATTGTTGACTGATGTGTTAGTAAATTTAATTATTAATATAAAAACTTCACTAACAGTTATTAAGTATTAGTTCGTAACTGTATATAATTCTAATCTTGGAAATTATCAATGTAGTACATTGGTTTGATGGCATGAATCATGATAACGACCTATTATTTTCAATGGATCAATATGGAATAGTCCTCCCACCCCACAATAGTGCACTAACGGCACGGACCTTTATAAGCAAGGGGTGTGACATACCTAGCCCACTATCACGTTAGCCAGGAAAATTAGTAGAAGGTTTTATTTCAGCACTGGTGTGATGTGTTTTTTTCCTGTCTATGTTTCTGCCATTATCTGAGAATAAATGATTGTATAAACATAGACACGACATTTTACATTCTTTGATTGACTTGAGGGACAGTTAATCACAGAAACTTGAGGTTAAAGTTAGGTTACGTTACATTTACATATACATAACCGCCTGCTGTAAATAGATGAAGAAAATACATTTTGAAATAGCTATAACTCCAGTTTCCAGTTCTGGCACTTATAGAAGAACACAATACAGAATATTACTGATACTTATTCTGTTCTGTGAGTAATATAGAATATAAGTACCTATATAATTATATCAACAACGGATATTACAAATATGTACAAGATACCGTACCTCAATGACTAATAATTATAACAATAACTAAAATATGACTAAATTAGAAACATTGGTGACTGGCTTGATATATTTGGATTGGATACTCCAGCTATGCAATATCAAATACGGTAACTCCTTCTTGTGTTGGCGCTGGTATCAAATTCACAGTTATGTTGTTATTTATGGCAAGTTCCATTTTTCTTCAGTTTGTCACCTTCTCAGACTTTCCAACAATAAGCCTAATAAACCGAATTATCAGCGTACCATCGCAAGTTTACTCCTTGTACTTTGCCCACAGATATTTAGGACGGACTTTGGATAGTCAAAGGTTTACTGTATTCCTTTACGTTGTGACTGTACTATCCGTTATAGAAACATTATACATGATAAAAATGACAAATTTTAGTTTAAATTTTAATAAAATCTGGTTTCTTTAACATTTGAATACACAAGATTTCCTCCTGTCCTATTTAAAAAAGAACATTGTATTAGTTATCATTTGTGGGTAATTTGTCAATAATGACTGCATTCAGACGTTATTTACATTTATTATAAAATTGGACAAACTTAGGAATGTCTACGTGATAAAAAGTCTTTATGTGTTTCACCTAGAACATTACAAAATACACTGTGACGTCTATGATGCGTTGCTATTCCTAAGGACTAAGTTCTTATGCCCCACGTCATGAAATGGAGTATAGCTTGCAAAACAGGCTGCTTAACGGTAGAATTAGTTGAGTAAGAAATAGATACCAAATAAAAAAGGTGAATGAAAATTAACATTTAATTATACATCGGTAGGTAGGTAAATCATACCTATAATAATATAAAAATATTAAGACGGATGTTAGAAATAACACTTAGCGCCATCTCAAAATGAAATGAGATCTGAAAGTGTCATACGGTGTAATAATTACAATGAACAATTTGTAAATATATCGAACAATGGAAGGTAAAGGGTATATATATCACGAACTGTATCTGAAAAGTTGGTATTGTTACAATTTATAGGTAAATAACAATATAAGAAAAATACTCGGAGTATAAATTTTGAATGGAGTTTTGTTTGAAACATTATCAAGAAGGGAAGTAAATTAAAAGAACATAAGTATAAATTTAAATAATGTGTACTTATGTAATGTAATGTAATGTATTCATCTAAATATGTATTATCTAAAACTCTGTGTTTAAAGATACAATATTTTTGATACATCAAAAATGACTAATAAGCATTAAAAAGAACTAGAATGCAAACCTTACTTACATATTAAGAGAAATTGTTATTTACCTATACAAATGTTAATTTACTTGCACAATTATCATTATAGGCTTCAAATATCCAAATTACAATAGCTATAATGATCTGAAATACAGCGATAGCAAGCATTCCATCCATTGAACTCACCAAGTTCCTCTAACCCACAAGGAATGCAAAACACGAAGATATAAAAAACAGAAACGCGATAACCTCGTTTTTATATATAAAGCAGAATAAATCTAAATGTTTTAGCCTCTAGGGAAGTCTTCCTGGGTTTTTTCAACACCTTGAAGTACTGAGACCAATTAGGATCCAGAGTGCGTTGTGTTTTTTTTTACATGAAAATCCATTTCATTAATACTATCACTGAATTTCAGATTCTTATACCCCCCAAATTAAAGGCAATAATAAATTGCGATTTAACAATACATATACGCTATATGTATTATTAAATAAACAATCTTAACCTTCCATGTTAGAAATAACATGTGGTTTACAATCTAGATGAGATGGCTTAGAACATTATACACTTTCTCAATTTACTTACTATTAAATCACAGTATATAGACAATTTTTATCCGTCTCCTAATTACAACACAGTTAACATTACAATTGTCCTCACAATTATAAGTAACAAGTTTTGCTTAATCAGTACTTCAAATTATAGTTACTAACAAATATTTTCAACTTAAATTTTGCAAGGTAAACTCATTGGATACAGTGTTTACACGACGAGAAATATATATATTGAGGTCACATTTAAGAAATAATTATAGAATAAGTAAAAAAATTACATCAATTTTAACGTATTAATAGATAATTTAGGTTCATTCTGAATTTGTTGAAATGGTTGTTAGAATGCGAATAAAAAGGCTGAAAAAGCAATTTTCATTACATTTTAACTTGGTTTAATTTCATTAACAATCGAGGTCTTAGTTATTAAAAACTAGTCTGATATATTCCACGAAACTAATTGACAAAATAATTTCACTGTAGTAACATAATGGAACTACTTAATAAGACTAGTAATATTCACCTTGTTTCTTTTCTAAATAATGGTACATGCACTTCTCGAAATTGTTGAAATGTTGTGTTATCTCATTTTACATATCTCATTTTCAATGTTTATAAAACATTTTGAAATTAGAGACATATCTACAATTAATACGTAATTTGATAATAACAATTGGATTTTCTGCTGTAACAAAATAGTATTGTAATGTAAAAATTGTGTAGACTATTATATATATACAAAATTGTTCTATAAAATTTCAAGTTACACACGATGCCCACATACACCTGTATTTTTGAGGATCACAATGTATAAATATTACAATTAACTAATTGACATTATTAAGAGATTTTATAACAATCCATGAAGAACCACGTCACCGTGGTGCTGTGTCTAAACGATTTCTTCTTATTTCAATATAAAACATCAGATTGCGTTATCGTTGCTGTAAGAAAAAATAATATATACATTAGTTTTTCAACGGTTTGTCTATCGTAAAGGATAGTAAGCATATCTTTTCTACATTTCGTAGCTCTGTAGCTTTGTAAAACTGTGCATTAATATTCTGTAGATATTATAAGTAATGATGTTATGTTTAATTATTAAATTACCGTTACTTAAAAATATCCTCTCTCTTCTGTCTCGTAAATCATCTTGTTGCTTTGAATAATCAGACACACAAACTGTTTTAGTTTTAATATTTGTAATGATATTATTAGGAAATGTTAGTATATATAAGTATCATGATTATATTGTTTTTGAAATAAAAAAAAACACATATATACATATATGTTCTTCTACTAGAATACTACGGTAGCGTTATAAATACGCTAAGTGTAGGCAATATGAGTATATACGGAATTAAAAATAAACAAAGCATTAACAATCCACTAATTTTAATAATTGTTATTCTACCTTTTATATTAGCACATTACAAACGGCTCCACCACCCGGGATGCCCGTATCCATTTTGTTGAAATTATAGAGGCAACATCACTTGTTAAATGACACGGTTTTGTATTTGGCAAATAATTAAGAATAGCTTTAGTGCTAAGTTATAGTAGAAACAATAATTATAGTATAGTAGAGATACCGAAATATACATTAGTGCAGTAAGGCGACGGGATTTAATGACCACTCTCACAGAGGATAATTTTCTATAGTAGATGTTAATTAAGTTTTTACAACTTTGGTAATTTCGCTGGAGGATTAACTTTAATTCTGTTATTCAGGACTTATCTGCTTATAATATTATATATAAAGATAAATTAAAATAAAATAGATTACGATAACAATTTCTATATATACTTACGACGTGATTGTGCTAAGGCTTCTCGTTTTTGTATTAAAGAACTTAAGCTAGAGGCGGCACGGTGGACAGCTGAAATAAGTATTAAAGCATAATCACAGCATATAGTGCGTTTCTATTATAACTAGTTAACTTGTGACATTGAGATTTTAATGGCAATTAATGTTAATATAGCTAATATAATTTGCTATGTGCTATAATATTTTTTTTTTAATAACGGAAAGCATATGTATGTGTACGTAATTTGTGAATTATTGGTTACCAATTGTACAAACAATATTTTGTAGGTACCTCACGTAGGTACTTTTAATTTCTTTCAACGAAAGAAAGACGTCTTCGGCAGTATATTTTAGTATTATACTTAGATACATATATGTTACTACATTTTTACAATTCATATTGCAAAATGTATAGAAGATTTTTATTTATATATATAAAACAACATTTTAACAGAAGTGTGACTAGTTTTAGATAAGTGGGATGTAAATATGAGCTAAATGTCAAGCAAGTGTAATAAGGCATGTGAGCAGGTAATTTAGGAATGATAGATTAGTAATTACTGTGTTTTCTGTAAAACCGAGTGTAAAATTCTCAATAATAAGCTTATATTAAGATGATATCTTTACAATCTGCTGACATAAATAGAGTTACAGTTATTAATATAACAACAAAATACGTACATGCCTTTCGGAATGGTTGTATCGCCGTGTAGTCCGGCAGCGGCACAGGTGGTAGGTCCTCGTCGGGAGGTAGCTGATCTCGCATACGATGCGCAGACGCAGGGATATATGCCCACGGTCGCTGACCCTGCAGTTCAGCGGCTGTTCCTCGTCTCCTATATAAAATAAACATGACATTTCTTAGACGATCAGGGCGACTAGGCACTCCAAAAAGAAACGGAATTCACTTGAAAAGAATGCAAGAAATGAAAACAGCGATTCTGTTTTAAAAAAATGTTCTTAGCCTGTAGTTAATTATTGACGAACAGACAAGATTGACATTATATAATACGACTACATAGCTGCTAATTCTATGTTGCACCGTTAATTTACATTCGAACTGGAAATGTAACATCTGCATTATATTAGTGTATATATATATATAATTGATGACCTCAGTGGTTTAGTTTTTTATTATTACAATATATGATTCAATTCTCGCACAGTACAAACATTTGTATTCATGAGTATGGTCTGGGTCTTTATTATATGTAAAAAAATGTATTTTTTTTCTAATAGTAGTTTAGTAGGTACAAGCTATGTTTAGTTTGCGATTAGATGGCATTGTGTAAATTGTTCTGAGTGATTATTTCTTAATTTTTTTTGTACACACACAGAAAAAAAAATAGCATTAATAAAATAAAAGTAATGTACAAGGGCGAGCTTATCTCTAAAAAGAGATCTCTTCCAGCAAACCTAGAAAATGTTATAGGATAATTTGGTCATTAGATCAGCCATTCATATGTGTACGACAAATGAAAAAAAAAGGGAAAAGAAGACATTGAAATTATATAAATATTAATAAGTCACACTATAAGAAGGAATAAACATACACAAATATATGAATATATAGACATACATAAATAATATATAAGGTTTCGATTAATATATAATTGTAATACATATATATGTATAATAATACGTCAGCATTGTGAAAGGTAATATTTTTTAAGCGGCTTTTAAATATACCAATGCTAGAGCTGTCACGCAGTTCGTGTGGTAATGAATTCCACAATCTAATAGCCGACACAACAAAAGAGTTTGAGTATGCCTGCCCAGAGTGTACAGGAGTCCGTAAAACTAATATATTTTGGGATCGGATATGTACTTCTGTCGGATGGAGAAAATGGAATCGTTCGCGGAGATAGGAAGGTGCAGAAGGATTATGCAAGATATTGTATAAAAGACTGAGGACGTGTACGTTAAGTCGTAGTTGAAAAGGTAACCATTTTAACTGTTTACGGTACTGTGATATATGGACGAACTTTCGCAAACCAATAATAAAGCGAATGCACACATTCTGAAGACGTTCCATTTTGCTTTAAGCAATTCGACAGTGGCAGCGAGAAAATAAACATCTGCATAATCCAGAAGAGGTAAAAGGAGCGTATTGGATAATTTGACCTTCGTTATGAATGGCAGAAAACTTTGAAGACGCCTCAAGGAGTGAATTGCCTCGTAAATTTTCTTACTAACGTGCTTAATGTGAGAAGACTAAGAAAGGTCACTGTTTATGTAAACACCCAAATCCTTTACAGTTTTAACGCAAGATATTATATCTCCATTATATACTACTGACGGAATGTGCGTTGTATCTAATAAATTCAGCATATATTTGCTGCCAATAATGATGGACTGTGATTTTTTAGCATCCACGAGCAGACCATATGCCTTAGCCCATTCACAAATGTCATCCATATTCACCAAGGAGATGACGTTATCTATGGATCGGAGTTCGAAACTGCGATACAGTTAGCGATGCGATACAGTAGATCATCAGCATAGAAATGGAAGTTGCAAGAGAGTACTTTTGTCAATGAATTAATGAAAACAGAAAAAAGTAAGGGAGAGAGAACGCCACCTTGTGGGACGCCGGCAGTCAAATCGGACCGGTCTGAGGTGATTCCATCCAGATGAACGCACCCCTGAGACCCCTTAAATATGAATCAAACCATTCTAATACCAGTGGAGATACGTTAGAAGAATCAAGGATGCCAAGGAGGATATCGAAGTCAATAGAATTGAAAGCGTTGCTGAAGTCTAATAAAGTAAGGATTGTGAATTTATTAGACTTCAGCATTGTAGAAATTGTAGAACTTTGAGTAAGGCAGAAATTGTACTATGCGCAGGACGAAACCCCGATTGAAAGTGAGATAGTAAGTTGTTACTGTATAGATAGAAATATAATTGTTCATGAACAACATTTTCTAAAATTTTGGATAATACGGGTAGAATAGAAATGTGACGAAATTCGTTAAAAGAGCTAGGATTATTGGTTTTGGGAAGGGGAATTACACGAGCATTTTTCCAGGCAGACGGGAAAGAACAAGTGACCAAAGAATGATTGATTATGTGAGAAATTATGGGCACGAGCTCGTCAATTATCAGTCGAATCATTTGTATGCAAATATTGTCATCACCGACTGCCTTAGAGGAAATGGAAAGAATAGATTTTTAACGTCACACTGGCTAATGATTTTGAAGTAAAATGGTTCGCAATTGGGTTTAGACTGGCGGCGAAGATTATCAAGAATAAAAGCTTTGATACTGTCAGTAACGGAGACAGAAGGCGAAGAGAAATGCTTGTTGAGCGCATTATAGTCCAAATTAAGAGGACAATTTGAAAAAGACGATTTGCCAATACCCAATGATTTAAGAAGTCTCCAAATCTGAGCTGAGTTGCAGCTGTGAATGGATTCATGAATATGGCGTCTCTTTGTATCTCTACACATCCGATTACACCTATTCCGCAGTTTTTTATAGGATAATAAGTTATCCTCAGATAGAAAACGCTTGTATTTCCGTTTGGCCTTATCCCGTCTCACCATCGTATTCCTTATAATCTGAGATAACCACGGGGCTGGGAGATGTTTGACTTACACTTTTCAAATCGGAGCGTGCTTAATGAATTGAAGTTTGCGATCATATTATACACCGAGTTACAATCTAATACGCTGGACCATTCAATCCTTCCTTTAGCGTTTATCCCCTTAAAATTACGATGGTCGAGAAGTTTAGGTTTAATTTTGGGAGACTGTAATCTATATGATAAAAATATGAGGTTATGGTAAAAGAAGGGAGAGGTAAGCTGGCCAAAATTACAGACATTTTCAGAATTTGAGACAATCATAAGGTCTAAAAGGGTGGGTATGCTATTAGGAGGATAGTGAGTGGGTTTGAGAGGAAGTAGGTTAAGATTAAATGAGGAAACAATAGAGGACAGTTTATGAGCACGTGAATCATTCTTGAGAATACAGGTGTTAAAGTCACCAAGAATTATACATATATTAAATAAATTTTCATAAACAGGACAAAAGGACTCAAGGATGGATTCAAGCTGCTGGAAATAGTCCACCCGAACAGAAGGTGAGTAAAATACGCCAATTAATATATTGACAAATAAGATTATGGTTATGATAATTATAGACAATTTTACCCTCGTGCATCCTGCTCTGAAGTTGAATGTAGTTGTGGCATTGATTGCGAGGCACGTGGCGGAGTGCGTCGACCAGAGGTGTCTATTACTGCCCTGTCCAACCTGCGCTGCTGTTCAGCTATTAGGTTCTCTAAACGTTGTGGTAATGATAGTAAGTTCTCCGGAAAATTCACTGTTCGTTTCTTATCTGATTCCACCAGTTGATTGTTAGAAGACCTACAGTGAATAAAATCTTAAAGGTTACGTACTCTTAATAGACAAAATTATATAAAGTATATGAATACAGTATAAAGAATATTTAGTCTTATACGTATACGATTTCTATAGTGAAGTAATTATAACAATGCATGCTCTATTACGTTGCGGTCTGAAAGGTTAGCTAATGGAATTACTGATCTATAACTAGGTTACATATGGACATACTCGTATATATAACTCGTATCTCTTTTAGAGTGATTAACTTCACATATGTCCTATATGCGAATTTAATCAATTGAAAAGAGATATTCTTATTCAATATTGAAATCCGCTTTGATAACAAATTTAAAGTTGCTGCTTCTTGTTGAAATGTTGGTAATTTTTTTTCATACTTCATATTTTATAAGAACTGCAAAAAATAAGCAAAACATGGTGATGTAAGTTTTATCTAATCTAGTAATAAAATAAATAATTACGAATTAACCTCGCTGGAGAACCATTTAATGTGTCTGGATTAGAATGCACAGCTGGTGGAGATGGTTTCTTAAACAGCATTGCTTTCATTCGTCGGAATGACTGGCTCAGTCCTGGTCTGGGGATCCTGGTACTGTGGCTAATTACACTGGATGTCTCTATGTCCTTGTCACTAGTCGTATCATCCATCATAGTTGGAGTCTCCACTTGCTGAAATATCAAGAATTTTGTGAATGTACGTAACATACGTAAATACATATATTATTTATAAATATTTATCTATAATTACACTGTAACTAATGAAATTATTTACAAAAATAAAATATCCTGTCCAACAAGCTCCTAATAATATCTACTATGCCTTTTAGATTATCCCTTTAATACTATAGGTGCCATATAACAAAAAGCTAATAAAATTTACGCTAAAGCCCTACCATTTGGTTTCTTGACATCTTAATATCATCTCCATGGTAAAAATAAGACAAAATAATTTAAACCTTCACATATTGATGACAAAATACATACTCGAGTTCGAATCGTTATAAATCAAATTGGCCTGGTGGGCAAATGTTCCGATTCCGAACAGATGTTCCGATTAGTAGCATCCAACACAATTACTCTGCTAAATTTCGAGTGGAGATTACCATTCTGGGATTAAATATTAAGTAGACTAAAATCAGAACTATGATTGCTGAAATAGTGAGACACTCTTATCTATATATGTACTACACGACTACACGAATTTTCATATTGGTTTATCTTTGATTATTAAACAATAACGAGTGCAGCTCCAGTTTTGGTAAAGTAGGCAGACAATGGCGCTATAAGGTATCAGAGGTCACTAGATTACATTTTATATATAGTGAGCTAGTTTATTTCGTTTTGACGCTGGCTCTATCAATCATCATAGGCACACATGTAGTAATACACTGTGGCTTATATAATCCAAAGATATTTTTTACTGGTTTCAACTGTTGTGTCTTCAGCCCCTATAAAACTATTTTTTATGAGCTGGGTTACGCTCTTTATATGTGGATTCGAATGAGGTGTTTGTGTGTGTTATATATGTAATAGTTACATCAAGTATTAAAATATAATAATTATAACATAGTCCTGGTTTATATTAAAGACACAGGCAATAATAAAAACATGAAAATAACAATACAAAATATAGCTTGTATGTCGCTCGCTAAATTCAATCTCAATATGTATTCATTTTATACCTATATATTTAAATCTTTAATTCTATACTTACCACACCAGTATGGACATCGATACGTCTTTTAGCATTGCCGTCAATGATAATGGATATTACAAAAAATACATTCATAAAGAAAAAGATAACAAATCGTGAATATAATAAGACCATCACCCAGGACGCCCACGATGTATCCAACTCCATGCCTTGGGTGCCACTGGCAATGCCATCAATATATTCCATTATATCCGATAACGTCTGCACAAAAGGAAAAAAAATGTTCATAACTTATATTATTATGTGAATAATGTTATACCTTTCTTTCGAATATTCTAATGCCGATGACTGTATTTGCCCTTTATCTTATTAATAATATCATAAACGCGAAAGTTTGTGAGTACGGATGGATGTTTGTTACTTGTTCACGCAAAAACTATAGTACGGATTTAGATTAAACTTTATAGTAATATAGCTTATACGTCAGAATAAAACATCGACTATAAATTTCAGGCGGCCGCGAGCACAGCTAGCAACTTTATAATTCTAAGGAATTCCCTACAAATGTTTAATTAAAGCATGTTTTACGTACTCTTGTATAGAATGAGTCGTTGGCATATATGACAGTAGCCACTATATCTACCGTACACATTGACACAGTAACAGTAATCCACGGCCAACGCATACTTTTCGACTGTTCATTCTTTGCTCCACCCACTGTAAAAACACATCTTTATAATTATATTTATAAAACATTAAAAAGGTGGCACTCTAGCAACTTAGCCTGCCCTTAAATTAAAAAATAATCCGACTGAGATCTTACGCAATGTATAACATAAGATAATTTAAGTTTTTTGATGAAATCTCTCTGCATTTTCGTACTGGACTCACGCTGTTTGATAGGGTCAAACAATGTGACTCTAGCACAATAATAGTCGTGTACGCGAATGGTTTCTCCTACTTTTTCCAAATCCTTGTTTCCTTTCCCTATCTACGCCTATCCTAATAAAAGTCCGGTAACACCTTAGTGTTCTGATGTTCCAGGTACTCATGGGTAGTTGCATTAATTTACTATACCTCATATATCTACTATAAATTATACTTCTCACCCATTATAATAACGCTTGCGATAATCCATAATATACTAAGACCGAGGATCGTAGAGTTAACCACAAATGTCCGAAATGCAGTCAATGGTTCTTGAGTTAGTAATACAAAGGCTTGGTTTGACATGCCGTCTATTGCTTGACCAATATTGATTCGAATACCACAGTATACAGGATCTGCGGAATGTTAATTATAGTAGATTAGTATAGTAGTGATGTTACATAATAATTTATACTTAACAAAGTCATGACAATCATCAAATATGATCATTAAATTATGATACATATATAGAATATCCAATATCCACACAAACCGTATCCAGTTAATATTTATTATTATTTCAGAACCTTGTAACCTAAATATAAAGTATATAGATCAGTGGGTACTTACTGTGAAAATATAATATTCGTATGTAGATGAGTAACGGTAATTCTTTTAAAAAATCAATTATACAAAAATATTGAGCTAGTCCCAATCCACTGAGAATCATCTGCGTCACGGCTTGCAACTGGAAGAATAAGTAAAATTATAGCTTGTTAATAAAATTATAAAAAGAAATCGATTTAAAAAAAAATCCATAAGTGCGTATTAGGTTTATTCTTACATGCCTGCTCAAATAACTTGCCTATGTTTCAATGTTTAGAAGTAAAGAATCTTATTACTTAAAACGTTTTTTTCGAATGAAACAGATCTCTACTTTAGAGATACTTAAGTTCTCCGTTACTAAGAATGTCTCCAATATTTATTTAAATTGCAATAAAGAATATACATATTACATGTGAATAGTTGTAAAGATGTTTGTCATCAGTTATCTTTAAACACCTAGATGATTTTGAATGAAGTTACAGTATTAGAATATATACAAGCTATACCTACTGTGTTTTGTAATTGATGCGAACAATGAATCAGGTCAGAGAGTATTAAATAGACAGTACTTATTTCATGCGAAATGCAATTTTAGACAAAATATTATGTATTTTCTGGATGCCAGAATTAGTGGTCTTGTGGATGTTCACTTTATCTTACTCTGAGATAGGTTATTTCGTAATAAGCAATACGTAGGTAACATGGTAAAGAATTGATCTAAGTATTTCGTCTGGTATGACGAGTGAAAGATAAGATAAATAAAACGTAAGTAATCGCATAATATCAACAATTTATGGCAGTACTTAATACTATTGTGGAGTTGTGTATAACATTTATATATGTATACATAAAAAATAAATAAGTATTAATGTGATCGATGAAAATAAATATATATCTATATAAAGTAAAAATAAAAGGAAAATAATAGTTGGAACATTGATTGCAAAATATTTTTATCTATATACTTACCTGTTTTTTTATATGTAGGCAGTAATCATTAGTAGGTCTGATTAAATTAGTCATTTAACAATAAGACTGGTAAAAAAGATAAAATGAAATTAGATTAAATATGTATTTGATGAACCATTGTGATAAAAAAAGGTGTTCATAAAATAATAGAGATACAAAATCAAAGATCTTTTTAATGGCATTAGCAATGTCAAGCTAGTCACCAGAGCTCTGGTATTTAGTCAGTAAACTAATTACAAAAGCGCTATTATTTTGACAACAAACAACCATATACCACGTACAAATGAATAAGATGTCATTATGTGATTAATGAATAGTCATGTTCTAGCTATGAAGTCAACAAAAAATGGAGTCTAAAAGTTTCAACATATGTTTGCTTAAATCCACGTGCCATTAATCTGTCCTTATATGTAATATGGGAATATTACATGTAAAACTACTTTCACTCTTTTTCTTTTTGAACACCTGTTTGCAATCTACTATTTCTACTCTTTCAATCTTTGTTACAATCACACATGTTTAATTCCCTTGCTGACTAATAGCTTCCTTCCTCATCCATACCAATTTTCACTTACTGATTAATCTCATTCAATACATTGCTCTCTCCATCTTCAACAGAATGATATTACAGTAAACCACAACTACAATAAATATGTAGTAATAGGGCATACACGGAATTTCTACATACATAGTACCTAATCTCACATGTACAGCTATCGTACACGTTGTTGTATATCTTTATCAGTGACATGAGAATTTTTTACTGATAATAAAATGGACATTCTTTAACTATTGATGACGCATTGTATGGATATATACATATATTCCCAAACATTTAACGACCTTTATTATAAATTGTAAAAATTTCAAAATTATAATTAGTATAAGTAGAATTTAATCTACATTCTGTTCTTACATATCTAGCTTTGAAGAAATACTGTGAACTGGATTCATATTTTACGTTATATAAATTATATATGTGGAAGGACTATGTTATAGTGAACCCGACTATGTTAATGACTAGCGGCCCACCCCGGCTACGCAGTGATACTTAACAAAACTTTAAAAATTAACACCACACACACCCATACAATATATGTATCCTTCTATGTGCTTCGGGGGTTACTAAACATAATGTTTGTTTACATTGAATTTTTTGTTACTCTTTTTAATTCTTTTAGTTATTCTTTTGTCATTTGATAATGTAATAACAATAAACAATCCAATCTTAACTATTCATAATATTAAAATATACGTATATACATTTATATAAATATATATATTTGGTGTATACCAAAAAATGCTGATGTCTTAAAAATCCATGTTACCAATACCATTCACTTTTTCTTTATCTATGATAAATATTACGAGATAATGGTGTGCGCATAATGATCTGAATTGGAACATTTATATATTTTCATTATGATTCTTAAACTAAATTCGTGTTTCAAAGACATAAAAAGTGCGATTGTATGATCTGGTACTCCACAAAAGTATAAGGATAATTTTGACTTTTCTCGATCACATATCCAACAACCTTGTAAAAATAACATTATATGTTTAATACCATAAAGATTTTTTTCAGTTTAAAGGCAAGAAGCAAACAATTTCAAGCAAGCAAGCAGATTCACTTTCAAGTGTATAATGTTAGTTACTATAAGAAATAAATGTAAAGTATATATTATGTTAATGATGTACAAGGTATAAAAGTAAGTTTGTTCAAATATAAAAGTGCTCCACTTACACTTTTATAGCACTGTTACGAAGTAAAATTGGGAGCAATACTGCATTGGTCATTTAAAATAAAACTGATATAAAATACATTCGCTTGGCTGTATGTCATAATATATATAGATATATAAGATGTATGAATATTAAAACGAATAAGTATTTAATATAGAGACATATACGATAATATAACATAAAATAAAGTTTCACCAGCATATGTGTAAATAGTCTTTGCAAGGTTACTCATTTTGAAATTATTATACTATGTTATTTACATACATTTGCATAGAAAATGAAATTTTTACGCTCTTGAGTTTCAAATTACTCGACCCTACGAGTAGTGACAGCATACATAATTTAGTTATATCGCGTCAATACAAACTAAAACTTACCAGAGTCATAACGCCGGCGGTGATCATAAACTTGTTCATCATTTAGAGAATCAGCAACTGAATGTGTAATAAAAATTTAAAAACGCAGGAGGCAATCCCTTAAAAGCGCTGGAGCGCTGACCCTCTACCACGAGGGGACACTCGCACTATATCCACGTTAATCACAGCAGCATCACACTGAAGTCTGAAGCATCTGAAAACGCCGCTTGATCCACTGATAAGTGATAAGTCTCCTCAGATTAAATTTTACACTCCCGGCATTTTATCTGAATCACGTAAAGAAATATTTAATAGTTTTGTGTAGAATTCGATTGGAGAGGTACCTATAATCGTTATTCACAATAAACATATATATTTGTATTAACCGTAATGAAGCAGTATATTATATACGTCATATAAAAAATATATATTATATCAAATTTATATGAAATGTCAATCATTTACCCGCGGCAGAACAGTGAAAGTTGAGCTATGCGTTTGAGGTTCTCGTCAACGCGCATTCGTATTGTTGATTAATGGTGGGGCGATAACTTCGTCTTCACACTGGTGAGTTAATCTAAAATTATTATTCTATTAGAAACTACCTAACCCGTGCAACTTCGTCTGCGGCACATTCCGTTTTTGCAGCATTCAACAGTGCAACTCTGCTCCTATTGTCATAGCGATGCGTTATACAGCTAATAGCCTTCCTCGTATTAACGATAGCGCATTAGAGCTATCTGACTCTAAAGAGTTTTCAAATTCGGATCAGTAGTACCGAAGATAAGATCGAACATCCAAACTAAAAAAAAATTGCATTGTATTTATGATTTTGGTAAGATATCATAAAATATTAAATTTCACACAGCACCATCTAATGCCAAAATTAGCAGAACTTGTTTTCTGGGTACTAAACAACTGTTATAAATACATAGATATATTTTTTACCTATCACACTCATAAATAACATATATTTATATCATGCAGCGAACTGAACCCACGACCATATGTGTGCTGGCGGTGGCGGTGTGCTGTAACAATAGACCATCGAGGCTGTCATACTAAGGCATTGTTGTTACCATAACAACATTGTACCTTTGAATTTCATATGGAATGCTTTGTAAGCTTTTATTAACACACCAATGTTCCAACATTGCCTTTGACGTGGTGTTGTATGTAAGCCATTTGTGGTCTAATACTCCTACTCCATCAGTACCTACGTTGTTTATACCAGTAATTTTTATTTAGTATCGATTTCATGAGGTTCTTAAAGGTAATCAGTTTCTGCTTCAATTGCCCGGATAATAAAACGAACATTAAATGTAAAGTTATTAATAATTATATAATATTAGGATTTTAAACAAATCGTAAATTATGTCATTAATGAATTTTAGATTTTAGTTTGTAAGTATTATATGCATACATATAAGAGAATGTTTACAGCAATAAAATTTTAAGATATCCCAAAAATATATCAAATTTATCTCTACTATTAAAAATTAACTCTCAATAAGTGACAGTATTAAACTGTACTTATTGTTAGATTTCTTTACAACCTTAACATATCAAACATTTTAATATAAATAACGGCGGCATTTAGCGCATGCTCAAAATAATTCACGCATGCGCGTCTAAGAATTTAATGATTAGTGACTCGCCCTAATGTTAATACATTACCCTTTGGACATGATCAAAATGCCATTTTCATACTTTTATAACATATAATGTTAGTAGTAAATGAAATAATATGTAGTGGTAATATTTATAAAGAACAATTAAATAAATTGAAGCAGGTGAGGCTGAGGACAGAAAATTGTCGAGATGAGTTCACCAAAACTAAACGAAAGGTGTTCGAGCAGTTTGAGCAACGGCAAAAAACTGCTAAGCAATGATTCCAAAGAAGATTCTTTAGATAATTCAGTAAGTTTTTTCATACTAATCATCCTATTTTTATATTATTACTGTTCTATCTAAGGTAGACTTAAAACAAAGTCGTCTGCATGGGTCCATCTGTCTCACTTATGTCAGCCGCCAAGCAGCCTTTTCTCTAAAATGTTATTTCAATAAAGCGTAAAATAAGACAGAAAAATTACATGACACCGAGGCATGGCGTTTTAGTCCTCCGAAATGGCGGTACGAATCCTTCGAAATGGCGGTACTAATCCTTCGAAATGGCGGAAGGAGTCCTCCGGAATGGCGAAATGTGTGTTCTCCGAATGGCTCCTTCGACACTCATGGGATACTGTTCGTTATGCTATTCAATAAATAGGGAATGGATATCCCTTACAATCAGATGGACCATCAGTGGTTTGCTAATTACAAAAAAAGCTAGTAATTATTTATAGTTTCACTAGGCAAGAAAGTTCTTAATTTTATTTTTCTTATATTTATTTATAGATAAGAGAACCAGGAAAAGGAGGAGGGAAGGGCGAGGAAGATTGGCGAAGACGTACTATCATAGTTGAAAAGAAAAACGGCACCTATGGATTTACGCTTCAGAGTTATGGCATACATTATAAAAAGGTTAGTATAAATAATTAAGATATACATGCAACTATGCAATTGTGGTTCTACAAAAAATATACATATATATATATATATATATATATACATTTAGGGTCCTGAATAAAGAACCCACTCTCCAGTAGGTTTAGTTTAATGTTGTTTTATGCAATTTTGTTCAATTTTGATTGAAAAATCTTAACATTAATTAAACATTTCAATTTTATTACTCATTTCGAAGTAATTAAATACTCTAGTAATATATTTACCATACCATACCACCATTAAAGCTAACCGCTAGGTTAGTTTTAATGGTGGTCAAACTAAATAGATACAGTGTTATAGAAACTTTTAGTTTTTTAAATATCCTTTTTAAATAGAAATTAAAATTGTATCACTTAATTCAACGTTCTTTAGTATTATATAAGTGACTAATAAATTTAGAATATATTTATTTTTTATCGATTGGTGTCCATTTCCTTACTAATGAATTTGCTTAAATCCGCTTCCATTAGCATGTGTATTATGTGCATCTAAATACCACTACTAGAAGCATCACGACCTTCCATATCAGTGATCAAATTCCAACTGTTATTTCATCTACACCCATGTTGCTACACGTGTTTTGTCTCTCTTCGAGGCATCATTAGACAATGAATAGAACTTGAGTATGGCTTGGAAGCCTAGTTTCGAATCTCTTAAACTACGACTGGAATGTAAAGATAAACAAATAATATAAGTCCTTTGAGCAATAAATTGTGTGGTTAAAATAGTGTCCAGACTCATCAACATGATGAGCATTAGCGTTAAGAAGTTTCAACGTTTACGTTTTAATTTTATTTATGTATCCAGTAACGAAAATAATAGTGACAACATTACAATTTAAACAAATCCAATGTAGGTATATATTTAGTCCAAATTTAATAATTTAATAATAATATTAATACTTTAATAAAATCTGTACGCTTAGCTTAACCTTTCTGTTTATCTTTATCATGCTCTCTTAGCAGGCGTTTAATTTGATATAAAAAAAATGTAAGTTAATTTAAAAGATATGGCGGCTACCTGCACTCCTGCAATCATGGATAGATTTTATTTCTTACTTGGTTCTAAGCATGGCCGTATAGGTATATAATAACTATATACCTATTGAGTTTAATGCTATGACCTTATATTATTACAGGAAATGGACTCGAAAGTTAAAAACACTATGCAAATCCAAAATTGTTGGGGTATAAAAATTTCTTATTATTCAGTATTTATTGTGATAAATAATTATTGTTTCAGGAACAAGAGATAGAAGTCATCACGTATGTTGATCATGTAGAATCTGAAGGTCCAGCAGCGGCAGCTGGTATGCGGGAAGGTGATGTTATTTTATCAATCAACGGCGCAGATGTGGAACGGGCGGATCATGCCGTCATAGTGGATTCTATCAATGCCTGTGATGCGCGTATGCGAATGGTTGTAATATTTGAAGATTGTGTACGAAAAGTTGAATTACATCTTAAATATATCAACCTACAAAGAGCTATTCAATCTAAAATGCGTGAACTCGAACAACTAACTATTCGCGAAAGACAGCTTTTTGATTCAAATTGGAAAACCCATAGCTTACCTTCACAAAAGAAGAAAAACTCCCCGTCGGATGTTATATCCGATAGTGAAGAAAACAATGTCGGCGATAATATAAATAACCCCTATTGTAGGCCTACACTCTCAAGCGAAAATGTTACCGCTGCTAAACCACCACAAACTAATGTGTTTATGTATCAATATCTTGATCCACGTTATGGGACTTGTCTTATACAGCCAAATATACACTCGGGGAGCTTTGTCATTACTGTAGGATCTCCACGCAATAGACGGGACTGTCATCATTTTGTTGTAAAAACTCCAGGAGAATGTCATCGAGCATCTGATCATAAATCAAGTAATACGAAACATTCAAAAGTCCACAGAAGTAATCACAGTCACAGTTGTGCGCCTTGTGTGCCAAATTATAATAATCAAGATGCAAATAGTCTTGAAGCTTATGATCTTGCTAGCCCCTGCTGTGATCCTCACTGCGTACCTAATACTAAAAAGAAAATTAGACGTAAAAAAGATTGTTCTAAGGAACATAAAAGAAAAGATAAATGTCATCAAGTCGATAAATCCACACAAAAGCCTGATAACTCCTCTCATGGCAGAACAAAAAAAGTATGTGCTCCAGGACATTGTTCAAGTCGTTACCGTTATTTACAAACAGAGTCTACTCAAACGAGTCAATGTAGTCTGCAGTCCTATGCGACTAGTAACGCTACAGTACCATGCGATAACTCCGCTTCAAGTTACAGTACTTCGTTAAGTAGTGACACTCTCTTTTGGGATAATGATCGTGCTGAGAATAAGTCGTCTCCAAAAATACAGTATCAAAGTTCACACCAGCACGTCAAACCAAAATCTTGGGACAATTTAACAACAAAAGCATTTGGTGGTTATGGTTTTGGGTATGGCTACTTAGACACAGGCACAAAACATTCAAATCGATCAAAAAGTCATGGGAGAAGTCATAGCGGACGAAGTACTCAAAGTCATCATGAATATCAGCATCATTCACAAGAAAAGCACACTCATCGACAAAGTGCGATACCACATCATTATTCAATTTACAGCAAAGGACATTCACGATGCGCACCTACTAAATCAACAGAGAGCCTTATCGTGGTACCTAAATATCAGTTGGAAAGTAGTGGCTCCGAAAGTAGATTAGCATGCGATTGTACAGAAACTATTGAATATTACCGCAGAATTAGCGTCAACAAAAACCCAGGAGACACGCATTCTACAAGCTATTATTCTCATCAATTTATATATCCTACGCATACATATAAGAAAAAGGACTCAAACGTTAGTTCCGAAATAACAAGGCTATAATCAATTTTTATCGCTATGATATCTTTAATGCTCAATAATAGGCCTAATAGGTTATATTGTATACAATTATAATTATTGAATTAGACATATTACAATAATATTACGTAGAAGTAGCGCATGTTTTAACTGCTTTGTACTCACTTGTTGATTCATAGATTAATAAATGCAATTGAACTGCTTTAGAACTTTCAATAAAGCAGCTAATACTAAGTCTAAAATTTTTTTAATGTCCATGTTTTTAGACTTCGGTACTTAGTTGCTATTTTGCCCACCTATTTTCAACCCACTACTGAAATTAGCCAAAAATATTTTTCCTTTTAATAATAAATAGAGTTTGCTGTTGTGTTCAGTTTTTCCTGAACAAAATACTCATACATATGTTTTTCCCAATTGATCACCGTACAATTATTATAAGAAAAGAAACAATATAATAATTAAGCATGCGTAAAAATAACGTCATATATACCGAGTAACTCGAGTTGAATTTTATCAATGTAGGTAATTATTATAATAATGATACTGCCAATGAATGTATGTCAAATTTAGAACATTATTGTTAATATATGGTATAGCTTGTTATGAACTCGGAATTTATTACCTACACATAAATATGTAAGTACTTTTAATAAGAGATCTTTGTCATATGAAGTCATTTTATTTATTAGAATGAGTACCCTACCAATTCGTAAAACTCGGCAAGTAGCCTCAGTATGTCAACAGGTCAGAGGATGACTTTTGTTTAAGGTTATCTCTATGAACATGCAACGAATTAACGGTGGTTATCATTACAAGATACATGGAGAGAGCATGTCATAAAGATCACAATTAAAAAATTGTGACCTAAGAGATATATTAAATTCTCAGTTTCGTTAAGTAACCAGATATTGAAAGTCAAATAATTGTGAGTAGGTAGGTATATTTATAAAATTAGCAAAACCAGTGATATAATCTCAATCTGATAATGTAACTGACTTCCTATGTACGAATTCGTAAGTGTGACAAATTCATACACTATCGCTAAAACTGGGTGGGTGAACTTATATCTAATATGGGTTCATCTTGGGTTGCGAACGGGCGAGGGTCAGATGGCGGACAGTGCGCCTGCGACGTCCGCGCTTCGGCAGACCGCCGTCGGGCAGCACCCTATCGGCATGCGTCGAGTTCTAGCGCGTCCAGGGCTGGAGCCCGTATCGACGCCGCTGCCATTACTGCCTATCTCCTTTATCACACTTTTATTGTTAGCATACCCATTGAGCTTTCCTATAAGCGCCTATGCAGTTCAAGATATGCAGGTAAGATTTACAATTAAACAGAAAATGAACTAAAAAAAGTTTTAATGTGAATATCATGTCTATTTTTTAATTAATTTGATCACTGTTATTAATCTGTATTTTTTCAGCGGTATATTGTATGTAAAAATCTAGAGTCGCAACTCTGTGTTACGTGGTTATTTCATTTAGAAAATGAAAAGGATTTAAGTAATGAATTATATTCATGGAGTAAATCAAATCAATTTTGTGGTCTCAGCGATTTAAAACTAATTTCACCCCACCGAAAATTTATTTTGGTAAGTATCTATATAATTATTATTAGATAAACATATACTATATACTTTTTTGTGTGTGTATATATATATATATATATACATAAATTTAGTAATGTTTGACTTAGTAATGTAACAAAAACAAAACTAGTCAATTCTGTATATTACGTAGCCAAAGATGTAAGTGCTAATCTTTACGTACTTAGAGAAAATTTATTGATCATAAAAATACGAACGGAAACCTATATATTATATTGTGACCTGGGATTAATATAATGATAAAATGAGGTAGACGAAATTTAAAAGCATGCAGATATATTTTGTTAAAAGTACTATTAAATTTATAAGTAAATCAAGATGGCATTTCGCAATCTAGTAGTTAGTACCTAGTATTATTTTATCAAAACATTAAAATTTTTGTTAGCTTTGCGAATTTATTTAAACATTGCATTGCGAAATTTATAATACTAAGTACTATCAATTGTTGTTGTAATGCCTAGATAATTTCCGGAAGAACAAGAAAATAAATAGTTAGTTACATTTTGTTCTAAATATTTATACCTAAATATTATAATCTCAACACTTAATTTGGTGACCTAATTCGAATATGATAAACAATACTTGCTCTTATAATAATATAAGAGCAAGTATTGTTTATCATATTTTTGTCTTATTAAGACAAACTTGCTTTCAAATTGACATAACTCAATTTGAAAGCAAGTTTGTCTTATTAAGGTAATATGCTATTATTAAGATTTCCCTTTGTTCAGATATTTATTTTACAACGCTTTTCCGCCAAATACTTATAACAAATCATTGAGGCGTTTTGATATTTTTCTAATCGATTGTTAAACCTGCGTTTGTCACATACAATAATATATTCTCAGCCCATGTACAAACAAAATATTTTCCTCATAAAACTTTGCAGTCACAGGATGGAGGGTTACCATGCCTTAAGTCTAAATTATTTCATTTTCCCTTACTTTTCCGGTATCCTTATATCACTTTAACTTTCCTATGAAATTTGACTAACTCTCACACTCATGAATGTACATACTCACACACGATGTATGTATGTTTCACAAGGTATTAGATAAAGATAAGAACACAACTTACGTATTTGTGCTAAGTAGGAAAAATCTGTAATCAAATAATCAATCCATCAACAATATTCGCATTGATCCAGAATCTCTGTACATACATAATCATTATATTTTTTTACATAAAACATATTATCGCTGTCTCACCAATTTAGATGATAACATAAATTGTCAAGGTTGAGTTGATTTCCTTGGCCCGTTTTTGTTGCACAATTTATTATCATATTGAGACCAAGAACTTCCTTTAATATGTCAAGGAGATTATTTTATTTTAACCAATGTTTTGATTATTATGTTTTAACAGGTAAAGCCATTTAATAGAAAGTTAAACTCTAGATCTAGACCCATATTCTGCAATAGATTGAAGATTTTGACTAAAGACATATTCCATTTGGCTGATGACTCTAGTATGTTGCGAAGTGTATATAGAGAACGACGGCAGACAGGGTACAACCCAAGGGGTCGGTATAGAGGACAAACCCAATCACAGTATCTAGCGATAGATGGCGGTAATGAAAAAAACGAAGGCAAAGCAGAGGCACATTCTGCTGCAGATTCTTCAAGTGCTAGCGTTAGTAAGTATTTCTGAAAATGTCCATTGTATATGGAGATAAAATATATATAATGTAGTATAATGGGTATCAAACACAATCTATTGGTTACATCTACCTACATCAGTGCTTACGAAACTTACTAAAATTTCTCGAAAATTACTAGAGCTGAACCTTTTATCTGTTCCCATCGGATATTTAGAAAATTCCCTCTAAACGAACTACAAGAGTCGAGTCCCGATATATCTGTCAATCATTTGCAGGCTGGATAAGTCTATCAGATGTATACATGAATGCTATATATAGATATAGGCATATTATCGTAGGGATAGATATGGTAATTAGGTCAAGGCTGAAATGTTTATGTAGCTTATATTTATAATAATTTATTGTATATTAGAGTAATATTTTATTATAAATAATGGTACCATCATGACTGTCATGTTAGATGATATACTCAGAGGTATCGTTAAATGTCGAACTCTCCAGCATCATCCTCCACCGAATTACTTACCATGTCTATATTTGGTTAGGTATATAGTTTTTAGGTTATAGGTCACTGTATTTAGGCGCCTTATCCTCACTAATTGATAACGTTGACGAGATGCTGGTATTTGTGGAAGAATGTTAATATTATATCTCAAATAATAATTATAGAGCTACAGGAGAATCTTAGATCAGGTTTGGTAACAAGTGATAGAATATTACCAGAGTATTAAAGAGAAATATTATTTGACACAAAGTATTTTTTTGTGAGCTGTGATTGGAACATACGGTCTTTCAATGTAATTTGGAGTACTAAGCATTAGGCCATTATGATTCTTTACATACATAATTATTTGTAAACTTGGATTTATTGTAAACTGGGACCCCGAGTTTGTCAAAATGTACTTATTAAGAAAATGAGACCAAATCTTCCCTTATTAGCACTACTAGATTTTCAGATATTTATTTCACATAAACCTTGTCGAATTTCAACCGCAGTATATGTAGTTAGCCATAGTCATCGGAGAAGCTGATATGAAGTAATGCGATTATATTTTATATTGAACGTTAAAGAAATGCTATCTATTTATTTATACATACATATATTTCAAAATATAAGGTAGTAAAAAGCAACAAACTTATATAAATAAAACTAAGTAACTGTTTGAGTAGACAAATTTAAATAATAACATGTTACAGGTGGCAACAGCGGCATGGGGCAAGCCCAAAGTCAAACTATATACGATCCTAGTTGTGATGAATGTTATGGTCGCACTGACTCTGGCAATGTGGCAAATTTAAGTCGAAGGCCTGGAGAAACAGGTGGAAATGGAGTAACATCACAGGGTCTAACGCCTGGTAGAAACATAGTGTCTTCTAACCAAGGAGTTCCAGATAACAACTTTATTCCCAAACAATATGGAAATCAAGGGAACTTACCTGATAACAGTCATGGTATACAAACTCAACCAAGATACAATATGAATGGACATAATCAAGGAAGTAACCAAGGCGGTGCACCAGTTAATGCTTACACTCCTAATCAAGTCATACCTGGACCAGGTGGAACGTACCAAACAAATTATCATCATGCAGGACAAGAGGGTGTTCAAGGAGGAATACCTGGGGGTGATTTTCATGGAGGTATACGTGGGGTTTTACCTAGTGATGGGTCCCAAATTGGTCAACCTGGACGTAGTTTGCAAGGTGGTCCTGGAACAATTTCACAAGGTCAATTACCTGTTGGGGAAAGAGAAAGAAATGGAAGTGGTGTTCAAGGACAAATTCCACAATCTCAACCCGGGTCTATTTCTCAAGAAGGATTACCAATAGGGACACCGCAAGCGATAACCCCTGGAGGATCTGACACTCGAGGACAGCCTGGAGTAACATCACATGGAGCGGCACCTGGTACGATCTTACAAGGGGGGCAACCAGGTATTAATGCTAGAGTTGGGCCTGATTTCATGCCTGGAGTAAATTTACCAAATACATTCCAAAACGGTGAACATACTCAATTTCCACAAACTTCCGGAGGCTATGTACCAGGTCGTTCTTCAATACCCAGTGGTAATGGAAAGGTACCTATAAATTCAAACTGGCCACTAACTTCCGGTCCTATACAAGGAAGTGACGGTTCAATCTACTATTGTTGCGTAGTTAATCCTAACTATAGCTCAGGAGGTTATAATATACAACCAAATGGTCAAATTGATCAACAGAGATCATATGATTCTCGTCTGAAGCCATACAATACTGGAAATAATGGCGTGGGTTCCTATGGAACAGATATTTATGGTACTGGTAAACAAAATGTCAATGGACCATATGGAACTGGATCAACCGGGCAACAATTACCTTATGGAGGTACGAGAGAGCAGACACCTTTTGATACTGGTACCACAAGGCAGCAAGTGCCATATGGAACTAGTCTTACAAGACAACAGACACCATATGGAACTGACTCCACAGGACAGCAGTCACCATATGGAACAGGCACACCAGGACATCAACCAACATATGGCACTGGTACTATAGAATCACAAACACCATATGGACATGGGCATACATCACAACAAATACCATATGCGACTGGTACTACAGGACAGCAAATTCCGTATGGGACTGGAGGAACTGGACAACACACACCATACGGAACGGGAATGACAGGTCAATCAACACCGTATGGAACTGGTAACATAGGACAACAAACGCCGTATAGAACCGGCACTACAGGACAACATGTACCATATGGAACTGGTAGTTCAGGACAACAAATTCCATATGGAGGTGGTGATACCAGGCAGGAAATTCCACATGGAACGGATACAATGGTTCAGCAGACACCATACGGAGTAAGCACTACAGGACAGCAAACACCATATGGAACTGCTACGGGTTCACAAATACCATATGCAACGAGACCGCTGACAGGGCAACAAATACCATATGGAACTGGCGCAACGGGACAACAAACGCCATATGGAAATGGTGGTACTGGAGAGCAAACACCGTATGGAGTTAGCACTACAGGTCAACAGACGCCATATGGAACTGGCACTACAGGTCAACAAACACCGTATGGTGGCGTAACAAGTACAACAGGGCAACAAACACCGTATGGTGGCGTAACAGGTACAACAGGGCAACAAACACCGTTTGGTGGCGTAACAGGTACAACAGGGCAACAAACACCGTATGGTACCGGCACGATGGGACAACAAATACCTTTTCCCCGTACTACGGCAGAATTACCATATGGAAATGGTAATGTCAGGCAACAAGTACCATATGGTACTGGCACAACGGGACAACAAATACCATATGGTACAGGTACTACAGGGCAACAAACACCATATGGTACTGGTGGTACAGGTGCACCAGTACAACAACCATATGGGACTGGGAACACTGTAGGACAACAAACTCCATATAACACTGGAAGTATAGATTCATATTCAAGAGGACCAACAGGACAACAAGTACCCAACGGGCAAAATACTTATTCATATAACGGGGGTAATACAGACGCTCAAAATAATTTACAATATGGCCAAAATCAGGGAAAAGGATACGACGATCAAAGGGTAAGAATTTCCAATATTTAGAGAATTTGACCAAATTGAAACGCATTGTAAAAACTTCATTTATAGTCATCAATTAATAAATCAAAATAATTCTGTAAGTTATATATATAGTTTCACATAATAAGCCATCATTGTATAGTATAAAGTCGCTGTCACTGTCATTTGTTTTTATTAAATATTGTTTGATGAAATATTACTGCATTGTAAAGTACATTTTTTTGTTCTTTCAGTACACGGGTCAAGGCATAGATCGCACTGGTAAGTTATAATAAATAAAAATATATATTATCTTTAGCCAAGTGTATCGAAATATCTATTGTCTTTGAAATAATGTATAAGCTTAATATTATTCAAAATAAGTCACATACAGCTAAAAATCGTAATTCCTAATTTAGTATAAGATTCGATACTACTTATTTATTTTTATAAGTAGCAGACTAAGAACAGTAGGTGTATATTAGAAGAAGACTAATTACAGTATATACTAAATGATAATTTCTTCTTAAATTATTTCTATTTAATTACAGTTTAAATCTTTTAATCACTATTGAACAGTTGCTCGAAAGTTGCAACAAAATTTACCATAGATATGAAATTTATATACCTATAGCTAGTGTAACGATAGATGCCAATGTGGCTCCAATAATTTTAATCTAAATGACATGGATATATAATTAGTTAACACACATATTTCAACTCGGTGCATTCATTTTTCAGGAGAACCACAAAATGTTTTAGATCCTAATTCTGTAGTGCCAGATGACGATGACTCTCAAGCTGAAGCCGGTGTTTCGCAAGGTGTAAATGGAACTACAGCTATTGCATCCTCTAATGGTGGAAGCAAAAAAGGCCGTGCAGAAACGAATGTACAAGGTACATATACGGGTACTGGATCATTTTCAGCACAAGCTGCAATCAGTGATGATAATAAAGGAGCAGAGAGTCAAGTTTCGGGAAGCAAAAAGGGAGCTACTAGTAATGCCGTGGGCAGGGGAAGAAAAAACAAATCACAAGCTGCCGTTAAACTGGGTTCTGAGACAGGTTCCATACAGACAGATTCACAAAGCAGTGGAGTCATGCATTCCTCTAATACTCAAGTGCAAGGCAGTCTAAAAGGAGGGGTTGCTGACGCACAAGCTCGAGGTCCAGGCAGTACCTCATCACAGGCTCAAATTGGTTTCACACCTTATAAAGATGGAGATAAGTCACATGATCGTATTAAAATGCCCTTTGAGGGAGGTGGTACAGCTTCAGCACATTCAAGTGGTCGAATGGGCACATCACAATCACAATTAAAAGGCACTTTCAAATACGGTATAACTTACAATGGGGCTGCTCAGGCTGGAGCAAGTTTGGACAAAGATGCTGTATTTTCTAATCTACAGCCTTTTGATAAAATAGATGTTTTTAACAAAAACGATACAAATATAGATATTTATAATACCGAAAATGAAGATTCGTCAACCCAACCCTTTGATGTCGATTTGTCAACAGAAAGAACTATCGAGGAATCTTTCAAAACATCAGAGGTGAGGCATTCAGATCACAGTCATTCTGATCATCACAAAACTGAACCAGCAAACACTACTAATGGCCCATCTCTTGTCGGTAACAGACGCGCTTTTCCATCGTCTTATGGTAACAATGGCGATTACGAGTATAATATAGACGACAATCCACCAGAAGAATATGACATTGACGATGTAGCGGACGGCAATGATGCTGGACAAACGGAACAAGGGGAGTATAGTGTTTACGATAATTACGCCCGAGAATCAGATACAACACATGAATCTCTAAATAGTCCAAGTCCTAAAGGTTTTAATGTACGCCAGACTACTGGCAGTAATACGCAACATATATTGATAGGCTCGTTAAAAAATCAAGACGCAAAAATAACTCAAGTTAAATCCGAACGACCTGACGAAAGCAAAATATACCAGCCTGGAGAAAGAGTACCCGGTACGGGAGGATACGTAATACCAGTAGGATTTACTGGTAGTGTAAAATCTGTTGCATCTAAAGACAAAACGTATGCTGTAGGTTCTAGAGGTTCTCCATCACAAGCTCAAACAGTAACGCTCACACCGGGTACAGGTAAAATAAAATATACATACCCTGATCGATACAGCAAAAGTGTACATCCTAAAGACTTAAGATCTCTCTATAATTCTAAACCAGTTGACAATCGTTATGTCTCAGTTTCAAAGTCAGTAACACGCGATCTGGATAGTGAAAACAATATCCGTAAACAATACTCCCATACTTATTACACAAAATCATCCTCTTGTGGATATTTTACCTTTACATGTACAATGGTAAGCAGTTCAGAAGGTAAAAAAAAAGTGTGCAAGCCTAAAATTCCTACAAATCCTGATGGAACACCAATACGATGCTAACGTTTAAGTATTTACTTAGTTTCGTTTATTGCTAGATATAATAATGTTGTTTTATTCACAACTATAATTAAATTGTTATTGGTACCGTCTAAATTAGAAGCGTCTGTTTGTTGTCATAGAAAATTGTATATAATTGTTAAGTAATAAAAGCTTTTACTCGTATTAGCCTTATTTTAATATGTATCCAACAGTTCTATCACGTCAAATCTTCATTACTCCACGTAAGTTACGAAGACTTGCACTTCTGCTCATTACCGTTTCCAAATATTAAGGATAGAAGGATGGAAAGTAAAACTAAAATAATTGAAATACATAATAAATAGAATTGATATATTTTATTTGAAATGATCAAGGTATACTGTTTTAAAATACAATATAATCATCACATTGACAGATAAGAACAAACATTTAAACAATTATTGCAAATCTAGAACACTTTCTAATAAATGTAAAGTAAAATGTGCTCATATATCTAAAAGTATCTATGAACTAAATAAAGATAGTCACTGAAACAAAATACATGTATTTTCTAGCCACATACCGGCTACAAATTTGAAAACAATACATTTCTTTATTGTATTCTATTTTCTTTCCCTTATATAATATGAATATGAATTTCGATTTACTAGTTAAATAAATTTAACGTTTCGTTTTGATTCAGTGACAATCTTTACAAATTTTGACTACAAAATCATTAATTGATCATAAATATGTAAACTCAATACGTGTATAAATTAAGTCGCAATAGTACCATTCATAGTAAAATATCATGAAAATAAAGTCGGTGGGAATGTAAACTGTCTTTTTCTAAATAAAAGAAAAAATATTAAAATATAGCTATCCAAACCACTGAAATAAAGAGATTATACTATTACAATGGTCAAAATACAGGTCCAAGAGATCTATTGTTTCATTGTAAATTAATTATGACAAGACGTGCTTGGTGAATGTGGCAACAATGTACAAAATAGTGTTTTTATGTAGATATTAATATTAATATCTACATTAATATTTGTGTCTAAATGTACAAAAAAATATCAACGTTCACATATTTATAGAAGCCGACTAAAATAACATACAAAAATGTACTATATTTTTTCTATATTAGAAAACTAATAATAAGCAATAGAAAACAACTGTTTATTGTATATAGTATATTAGATTGAATGGATTACTCAATCTAAAATGAAAGAAAAAAAAATAGGAACCTTCCATGCAAGTTTCCAATACTTATACATTTAATTTTAATACAATATACTTTTGTAACTTTGTACGTCTTCTTCTTTCTTCCCAATAAGGATATTAGACGTGTTTAGTGAATAAATCTGTGATTTGTTCACTTCAGGTCATGATCAGCTTTTAGATTGAGAAAAAGATGGATACCGCATTTTTGACACATTGAATTGACTAAGAGCCATTATTAAAACAGTGTTCTTGAGTAATGTTACACAATCAAATATTAATTAGGTAATATTTAGGTATACCTATCTCAATTGTTTAATTAATTTACAATGAATCTACTTTGAGTCTGTTCTTGTTTCGGTTCGAGAAAACAGAAAATCAGTAATTTAGCTGTTGTAGCTAAAATTTCCGGCATAATAACTCTTGAAGGGAACAATGAACTGGACAATTCTATTATTATTTCTAGTAGACAACCAGGGGCAAATAATAAACACAGAAAACATATCTTTTAGAAACGATATTGTTGAGACCCCAAAGTTTTGCTAAGAGAACAACTATAAACATAAATCTTATATTTGTATACATAAAAGACCATATCAGTAAAAAAAATTAAGGCGTAATGTCGTCATAATCGTATAAAATTTGTTAACATATATAATGCAATGTGCTACGAATATGTAAAGTATGTTAAACAGAAATCTCGTTAATATCGTGGATTACAGATTGGTAAAGAATGGTAATTCCTTAAAAATATTCTGATAATTTCGTCTTTAATAAAAAATGATGAAATACGCGAAAAAAGTGAGCAAAATATAGCACTTGTCATATTCTTTATATTCTAGTCTTCGTTTTATGTTTTAACTGTACTTTAATTACTGTTAACCATATAACATAAACAGTTTATTACGAGGGCCAGTAATTAGGATCATGGTTAATGCAAAGAGGCCCAAGTGCAGAACTATGCGCTTTTTTTAAATAATGTTACGTATGCGCTTACGTCATAATAGAGCCTACGTTAAATGTATATTTACAAAATATGATTTGTTTTTATTTATTACACAAACTGCACGCAATGAATATCAAATTTAAAATAATGTGTATGGAATATTGTACACTTCAGTCTAATATCAATGGAATGTATTTAGGTAAATAAACGTGCATATATATCGACAATATTATATGTGCTGTACGGAACAAGACTTTTTTATTTTATTTCAGTTAAAATCATTTTTTCATATAATTATCAAACTACTTTAATTGATATTTCTACTTTATGTTTTATTAGATAGATCCGTACTGTAAGACATATCGCTTCAAATTTAATTAAATGAGTAATATTTTGTATATTTGTATAACTCCTATTCTATATTAAAATGGCTCTTTATAGACGAAGGGAATATATTTATGTATAATGCTTTTTGGACATTTACAGTACACAATGTAATATTTTTTCATGGCAATATTTAGACTAGATGAATTAAAATAAGTAGATTGCCTTTTTCTAACTTGAAACTTGTATATACATTATATAATAATCAATACAGTACGGAACTGTTTCAGGAAATACTAACACCAAGAAGCTAGAAACCAATAGAATTAGATCTATAATGGCAACCATTCTTTGTACATATTACATGGCAGGTATATTTTATTGTATAAATAATTTCTACAGATACAACGTTATAGTGTGACTCATTATAAATATATATATATATATATATATATATATATATATGAAACAAATTACAGTCACGGATTGTAATGTTTGAATAGTGAATTATTTAGTTATTTAAGTAGTAATAATTTATTGAGCTAAAATTCATTTATCAATATCAATATACTAATTATTTAGAAACTCGTTACTGAAAATTTACAATCAGAGTATAGTTAACAAATAGTTTCTAGATTTGAGGTGTCTTACATAGACGCATTTTCTTATAATATGATTTAACAAGCAATTCGCAAACGTATTATAAAATTTAGTATACTTTTAATAAATTAATATATGTTAAACTCGATAAAGTATACTGACATTAGCTACATTAAAAAAATAAACATTACATGCTTTAGACTCTATCCTCCATGAGTTAAAATGTAAAATTATTTAAAAAACATACCGATATAATTAAACTATATATGACACGATATACATCAGTGGAATGATCAGAAATACACACAACCCATAACATTACCCAAAACATAAATTATTTTACACATACATTCAAATATACAGAAAACACACAACACAATATACGAAAACACGGGAATAATATAATTAATAATATAATCATTCATATGAGATCAATTTTCAGAGTAGTATTATTAATATAATAAAACATAATAAGTACATTACGAGATTCAAAATGGCGAGATTATAGGCAAATACTGATGGGTAAGGAACTTGTATTTAAATGACTTTATTTTATAAAGTCCACTAGTGTAATGCAAACACAAACATTACAAATATACTTTCACAGTAAAGATTTTTAGGTGAAGCTAATATTACATTTATTGCTGCACAGGTCATTATCAACTCTTGACCATGTCGCAATATTATTTATTTGCAAAGTTAATAAAAATAGTAAAATTAATTTAATAATTAACTTTAGCACTCATGCAGCAATTAATGTTTGTTACACACATTTTTCTTAAGTTATAAGATTCGACCACAAATTTACACTTCACTTAATAATTAAATGATTAATCTAATTACTAAATTAGTTACTGTAATAATATATCAAACTCAATATGTGTATATTGAATTTCATTGAGTGGCCGTTTTAAATATTCATATAGTGGTGATGTTTAAGGAGCATCAGTGCAGTGTACCTATATTAGCGTGTCGTGTGCACAAGTGTTCTAAAATAATTTAGTAACTAAACTGGGTATATTTGTTAACATATAATAATTTAGAGTGAGCAATATTACTTATAAAATGTCATTGAACTCCATTACATATCGATCGTGCTAAAATTGGTCCAATCGATTCACCTGTAGATCATGTGTATAGAAATAAACTTCTCCTATTAATACATTACAATGATTAAAATTTCCTACTTATTTAAGTAGTTTTATTAAATAATTTGGTTACTGAGACAGTTTAGTAACAAGTAGACTTAATGTTTTGCTGGAATTTTTACGTGGTGATGGTTTTATATTTGTATTTTATTTTAATGTTCATGAAATTTAAATTCTGGCGCTAATAGGTTTATAAACCTATTACAAAATTAGCACATAACAATTTTATTTTATAAAGGGACAATTTTTGATAACTAAAATAATAAAGTGTGTAAAAAGTAATAAATGTAAAAAAATATTAATAGTTTTTATAGAGAGCATGTAATTAAAATACATGTTATATTCCGGCTCAATGGATATCATAGTTTAGTTTTTTGATCTATTGCAGTAATACAAAAAACTGGGGTATTGCGTTAAATTCATTATATTAGCTAATTCATATTAGCTTTAAGCGATGGAAATAAAATCACAGGTTTTCACCTTTTAAGTAGCTCCGCGTAGACGCTTTAGACGTTCTTTCTCTAAACTGTCGATAGGTGGCTCTCGCTCGAACGATGTCAATTCCAGCGCTGAAAAAACAATTATTGGCATCATACAGACATGATGTTTAGATATATGGCTTGTGTTATGGGTTCTAGACAATTGATATAAATACATAGATACCATTTTTGGTAAATACATTAAGTAATATACATTATATAGGAAACACTCGGGAGATGTAGAAACACTTATATCTCCCGAGTGTTTCCTATGTAATGTACTCATAAATGATGGCCTCGGTGGTCTAGCGGTTCAGCACATGGTCTTGTATCCAATTGCGGGTTGATTCCTCGCACAGTACAAACATTTGTATTCATGACATTGTTTGTATCCTTTTGAATGTTTTCTATGCATATTATGTATGTATTAAAACTATATATTAATATCAGTGGGCTAATTATGTAACACGATATGAAATTGTTTCTGTTGAAGTTGTGATGCAATATAAAATAATTTAAATTTAAAAAATGCGATCACGTAAGATCGAATGACGGCAGCATAAATAATTTCTATCGATAAAACACTACTGTGAAGTTGCAGCGGAATATTGTTAATCCGACCAATTTAAAAAGTGAGTACATTAGATAGCTTATACCTTTAGCGGGATACATTTAAAATTATTGGGTTAATACACTATTTGGTTGATTTGAAACAATTTTTATTGCGTTCAAAAATTAAAAATAAACTGCAGTGTTCACTTGTTCTTTTATTTTAATTTTATTAATAGATATTTAATAAAATAAAATAAAGAAAGTCTATTCTATTCTAATGAAAAAATAAGGTTAATAATTTTGAATATTTTATACAAACTATTTATAATCATTAATAATATTAATCTAACCTACAAATTAAATTTTCTTTTCTGCTATAGATACCTAGGTAAGTACGTAGGTATCCATATAAATTTAAAATGATATGGGCACATCTTTTTAAATTTATACATAATTGTAAAAACTTTAAACAAATATATTAATTACTTTAAACAAATCACAGAGCACCATAAACGTTCCGTATGTCGTTCACAGAGCACCGTATTCATTGAAATAGTTTTTTAATTATATTAATATCATAAACAACCCTAATTTTATACTAAACGTTTACTCTAGTTGATACAACATTTTTTTATTAATTTGGACCACCATTTTTTATTCAATGTGATTTGGGACAAAAATAAAATATCGATTTGGCAACACTGATGTCGCATTGTGAGTCGTGACAATTTTCGCATTTTAATAAATTTAAAACCTTTTCACGACTTTCTACGTAATATTTAATATAATAAAAATATATGTAATACTGAAAATTACCAAAACAAGATAAATAATGCTGCTAATGCTGATATTTTAAAGATTGTAACCAAAAGAAATACCTTCTAAATTGTTTCTCATAATGTAATGTTTATCAATCGTTAAGTTTGGCTTTGGCTCAGGACACTAAACTGAAGAAGTAGCTTCAACATACATAAATATAAATTTATTGCACTCCAGTCTGCAATAAACGCATAGTTAGTTATATAAAATTCCAGCCATTGACCGCGACTTCGTCCGCGTGGATACAAACTTTTTTTTACCTATATAATAGTTCCAAATTAGTACACTAAGTTAATTCTTATAACATTAGCTACTGCGATTGAAAGTTTCGTCGTAATCGGTCCAATAACAAATAAAATTTATAATTATTTTTTTGCAATATATAACGTTCTATACTTTCATATGCCTTTATTGAAAAGCTGTTCATCTGAAATTACAAATAGACAATTTAGTAGTAAATTTCGATGAACTATACTTAGAATAAAGAGAGGATAAATACCGTTTTCAGTGAGCGTAGCCCTGTCGTTAAGGAACCGCCAAACTGTAGGTATGGGAGGGGGTGGTGGCGGAGCCGGTGGTTCTTCAGTTGCCAGTCTTCGTCGCGCAAGTTGTGTGCACACATGACGTGAGAGGAGAGAGCACTTCTCGAAATTGACGCGATTACCAGCTAACCTGTAAACATTACGGTTTCACTTTATATAATTGTAACGACAATTAAGCTGATTGCCCACCTGATGGTAAGTGATACCCATCGTCTATATAAGAGCAGGACATTGTCGACTACGTACGGACCAAGAGTATTCTTACATTGATGGTAACGCAGCTGAAGTCCACACAATAGTGCTGCCCACTCTCATGAAGGAGACCAACACGTTATCATATGTGATATGACACTGGTGATACCAACCACTCACGCGTTGCCATTTCAAAGATCAAATATGTCATGCCGCATTACATTGATCACACAGCACAGTTTATTAGTCAAGCAGAGATGGGTACCTCACCGAGGAAAAGTTTCTAAATCTAACCCCATTTAATATTTTTTTATATTTACTTTTAATAGAAATAAAAACCTACTTTGTTAACCTATTGCTTATGATACTTACTTTGATGGAGAGCCCTGGTTTGCAAAATGTAAATCCCTGCAAGTGACTGAAAGCAATGGTACGGCCGTTTCGGTAGGAGCCGCCGCTAATGCTGCCCTGTACCTGTACCCCAACAAAAATATACATTAAGGCCGTCACATCGATTTTATGTAATAACACTCTAATTAACATCTATTATTGACTGGAATCATCAGTAAATCAATCAGGAAAACAAATAACCCTAAATTTGGTGTACAGACAGGGTACAGAACATTGTTTTATTATAGGGAAAATGACTAATATAAAGATACAATCAGGATCGGAATTTATGCAGAGTTATGCATAATAATATTACACACTAGTGATCTAGATACTTTAGTGTTACAAATGCATGGAAAATAGATTGCAACTGATAAATAAAGGGGAAAGTATATTAAATACGAGCCCGTACTGAATACTTTAAAACAAACTTGCTACTTCAGTTCAGTTTCAGTATTGGAGAAATATTTTGTTTTATAAAAAACGAAAATAGTTTTTAGACCATACTAATTATAGAAAAATGTGTGAATTTGTAACATTACTACAAACTCACTACTTATTAATTTATTTCTAATTATCTACACGGTAAATTAAGTTTAATTATATGTACAATTTATTTGTTCTTTTTTTTCATTTATTGTTTATATTGTGTTTTTTACATTGCACTGAATAAAATATTTATCTTTCTTTCTTTCTATTAAGGTATGCCATAATTTAAATTTATTACTACCTTCCATATATATAAGGTACCTTGCATGATTGCCGCTGGGTTCTACACATAACTCCAATTGACGCAGTTGCTGACCACACACGGCAGAGGTTCGGCTCCACTGTATAAGTATATAAGTTCTCAAATTAGGCTATAATATAACTACTACAAATTATTTTAATGTAAATAAATGTTTAAGTAATTATTACCGTCTTCTTAAGTCTTGTAATGGGAGACATATTGAGTCCACTGATAATAGCCATGAGGGAGTTGAAATTTCCAAGATTGAAACATTCTCTAGCAGTCATTACCCATTGTTCAATCACCCTGGCTCTAGATTTGCTTTTGACCGCCTGTAATAGAAATATACATATATGCTTTTTTAACGTAAAAATATTTATAACACAGCACATATACGTATGTATTCCAAATCTATGGTCTAAAGTATTAAATAAGCTCTTGAACTAGTTTTTAATTTAATTTTATCAATAACTATAAAATAACAGATAATGACTTAAAAACTAGTACGTAAAAGTACCCTCTTAGTACCTGTTGGTAGTAGACTCATAATCTTCTGTGTTTATGAAGTTGATGATTGAGATATTAGTTCCGGAATGTTTAAATCTATCTATCAATATTAAATGTATAAAAAATATTACCTTTAGTATATCAGTGGCAACTAAGTAACTTAGTCTATTGAACCAATCAGCATATGCTTCTAAGTTCCTTGTGCATTTAGTTTCAATATGATGTAAATTTATAGTGCTCTTGCCACAAGAAGTTGACTGAGGAGGTTGCACTGGAGCAAATGTTTGAACAAATTCTTCAGGCCCAACAAATGATAGTCTGTGCAACTCGACTATTGTTAACTGGTTCGCTAATTCTACCGGTGATAGACTTAGTGTTAAGATGTCACCCTGAAAAGATAAATAAATGAAAAAAAAATTAACTTAGAGATACCGATAAGTTTTCCTCCTAAAATAAAGCAAGTAATGTATATATCAAAATAAAACAACTAACATTTAAAAGAAAATAGTCAAAAAAGCTCAATATTATGTTTAAAGCATATATTCTTAACTAAAATTTATTTGTACCTGTGCCAATTGATCAACTGATGATACTTGTGGGATTTCTATCAAAGTTTCTTCATACTGTTCAAGGGCTGTTAATTTATCAAGGAGTTTTTCCAACATGGTTGACACTTCTGATCTCACTGAAGCCATATGTTCGGCTGCACACCTATTAAGAGTTATACTTATAATAATAGATGGAGTTTAACTATTCAAAATAAAAACATATTCAAACTATTATATATATAAGTATTACCTTTGTGTTATGCTTCGAACAAGGGCCATAACTCTGTCGTCACGAAAATCATAAGGGAACATACTAGTCCATTGGTTTAATACTCTTACAAGTGATGCCATATCATTCAGTTCTTTTTGAAGAGAATCCTTTATTTCAGCTTTGCCCTAAAATATAAATGATATAAAATAAGTCCAACCTAAAATAAATACCCAAAATATGTAATATTTTAATTGTTAATTGATACTTACAATTTTATCATAGTTTTTAAAATACCGCTTACACATTTTACTCAATAATTCATGCGGTCTAACAAAAAGACGAGAGCAAAGTAAAAAAGTAAATGTAAATGATTTGCTTGCTCCTGGTCGTATCATATCTACTAATGAGTCCAACGCAGCACTCACTATCTGTCCATCCTTGTATTCAACATCTGTTTTCTCAGCAGGGCAATTTACATATGGTAGACCTGCTAATGTCTTCACAACAGGTGGCAAAACATTAGGTATCTGAAATAGGAACTTTAAGTTCAATTGAAAAGTATTAGTAAAGTGTACATATATTGTGTTTAATTTTCATGAAGTTGCTAGTAATCACATTTTATAAAACAAATATAAAATGTATAATAATCTAATAATTTTACATCATACTTAGGAGTATTCTATTAGTTTATTATCCTGTCTTACCTGAGGCGCTTCTACTTTTTGCGTGGACACAAAGTTAATGCCACCATTCATCACAATATGTTTACAAGTAGCTTCTGACATAAACTTGTTTCCTCGCACCATTGAATAATAATCATCATTCTGAAGAAAAAATATCTATTTAATTTCTAAACACTAAAAGCTGTCCATAGAATTTTGGTTTGTTATGACAAATGAATAAATTGATGAATAAACACTGCTATTTTAAGAAATATTTAATTAAAGGATTAAATTTAATTAATATATAATAATTTAAGAATAGGTATGTCACACATGTCATATATATTATTTCGTCCTCAAATATAGTTATGTACTAAATACATTTAGAGAACTGTTAAACTTACATCATAATAAGACAGTCCAGTGCCATGCAGCAGAGTTGGATCAGGAGGTAGTGGCGCATGATCAGTGGGTGGCGGTGGGACTGGTGCGGGTTCCGTGGGTGCAGGGGGTACTTTCACATTACACCCACTACATGAGGCCTCATTCAGTTTACTTGCGTAATAATACATAGCCATTCAATTCCTCAATGGCACCTTATACTAAGGGCTTCAAATGAAGCCTTAAGGGAACATTTTACTTTAAGGAACCCATTGGTTTATCTGTGAAAAGCATATTTAATAAATTTGTATAACTCAACAATTTATATAATCAACATTCTAATTGAATAAGAGACCCTACTATAAAATTAGAATAGTGGCTATTGAGAATACACAGATGAGTACATATAATATACACAAATTATTATATTATGTATATATAATTAATCATTGACAATTGAAATGTTAAATTAATAACAAGATGCACAAAGTCAATATCTGTATTTATATATTAAAAAATATTGAACATACCAAACTAAATTTGAAAATAATAATAATTTAAATTATATTCCCGTTAAATTAAATATATTTCGAAATATAAAAAAATAATTATTAAATTGATCCTTGCACCATAGTCCTCGTAAAACAATCTGTGATTTTTTTATTAAAAAATATTGCTTTGAAATACCAAACAGATAAATAAAGATTTATAAGCGAAAGCGTTTTATTTTTATATTACTGTTATAATTCTAGAGCAGATGTATTGATACAGTGTAGACGCGAAAGCATTGAATTCAAATTGAAGAACATAATAAATCCACAAATAACAATATATAAGCAAAACAGTAGTTCTTATTTATAATTATAATTTTCTGTTTTAAAAACATCCAACAAAAAATTTCTCACCCAAAGCTGGGTGAAAGTTATATCGGATTACTCCGCCTTACCTTTTATGCAATTTGACTATGTTGCTTGATAGCATATAATCAAAGTATTAAATTCAAGCTTAATACTAAAAACAATTTCACAAAATTAGTAACGATTTCATAAATTATTTTTAATTAGTATAAATATTAAATAGCGCCAATACGATATAGGTAACGTAGGTATATAAGTACTTATTATTCTAAACGATACCATAAAGTAACGTTTGCTTTTTAATCCCTTTTTGTTATAAGTCTCTTGTCTATACTTTTTCTAGGTAGTGTTACCATTTACAGAAAAAAGAAATGCTTCACATTGCTTTTTTATGATTTGCCTGAAACTTTACAAGTTATTATGCATTTATATGCCTACCTCGGAACAATCATCAATACTTAAATGTTAAGGTACTTGCGAAAATTTTACTTATACTTAAAATTAAATAACCAATTAACGGTATCACGACGATTGGAACAGTGACACAATATCGAAAACCCAATAATAATAAGTAAAACATGGTGACACCATGATTTTCTATTCAAAACCACTTTCTATAAAAATTTAATATTTATACATATTTATTCCATAAATGAAAGAAAAACTGTATTTTGGAAATGTTTATAGTATTATTTTATTAAAAACAATGAAATCTTTAATCTGTTGCTGTTGCAGTATGTTTATACTGAATTTTATTCGTGACAACACTGTAAAAAAAATAGTGCAGCCAAAACTACAAGCGCGTTTTTCGCGGGAAATTCAATATTTGAATTTCGTATGAGTCTGTATCCAAGGATATGAAATAATAAATAAAAAATCAATATACTTACTATTGCTTGCTATTCGTTTAGCAGTTAAATGGATAAAACAATATGTTCTTGAGATAATATGTTTTAAATATTTACTAACGTAATATTTAATATGTTGAATGGAAACGTAAAACGTAAGCAATCAACAACTTTGCCAGCAATTGAAACACTCCAAAGAAACGTTCGCAAAGTTCCTACACACTATTTCAGGTAAATTATTAAAAAAGTGTATTGAAAAATAGTCCTATAAAACCCATATTTTTACAATTTTGTAATAACTAATCAATATTAAATTAATACTTGCCTAACCCATTATGCGTACATTTCTTATGCATATTATCTCGCAGTCAATCCATTTTTTTTTGTCGTCTTCTCCCTTTATATCCACCTTCATATTAAGTATTTTTATTGTACTAACTAATTAATATTAACATTAGTATAAAATATATTAAAAAATTGTTGCAGAAAGCCCCGCGATATAGGTTTCCATTTACCTCATAAAAAACTACTGGATAAAATTGAATATGTTAAAAGAGAACCAGAGCCACTGGTATGTTTAATACATATTTATAGCACTCTTTATTATTAATACGTAAAAAAATCCTATTGTAGATTTCCTCTATATTGCATTGCACTAAAACCTACTTAAATTTGCGAGACGAGAGCTAAAGATAGAATAGAGATTTGGCATGGAAAGCTCTCTCAGCTATGTTCTCAAAATAAGTGTGTATTATGGATTGTTTATTATTAGGTGTGACCTAACTCTAGGCCAAAGACTGAAATCCATATAGGTACTTATATTTACCTTTTGATCCAATTCGATGAGTAAAATTACAATTTACTAAAATTAAATAAAATATAAATAGTAATATAAACTGAATACGTACTTAGTTTAGATATGACACTTTCTATACGATGTCGACGATGTATTTTTTTTAATTAAATAGACAGGATTTACAGCAGCTCAGGAAGAAAGATACAAAAACGAAAAAAAAACTGCAAGGTTGCAACTTGAACCGATCAAGTTGGAAGATAGCCTCGGTAAGCAATATTTATAATTTTAGCATCTCTGGCGTATATAGATAATAAATCACTTTACTAAATCAATTTTATATAATACAGTAATTTAATTAATCGGCCATGTACTTGTACCCACGTAATTTTATAGCTAGGGATATTTTGTCGACTCAAAATGAACATGTAATTTACTTTTTGCAATCATCATTGGTTTTGTATGTCAATTTAAAATGATTTTGTATGTACACATCGTCTATTTAGTTTTTTTTTATTATTTTAAAAGAATGTAATTTAATGAGAATTTATTTATCAACAGGCAATGTTAAAGATAAAAAGAAAAAAATTAAGATTCGTGAATCTAGGAGCAGTAATATCCAAGTATTGAACAAGGATCCGTTGAAAGTAAAACCAACCGTTGCCTCACAGAAAGAAGTAATCGACCACGTGAGAAATAATCCCTCATGTGGTTTTCTCTATATGGTCTATGCAGTACATCCACAAAACGTTTACTTTACACCGTACTATTTAAAGTAAATTATACATTTTTATTACAATATTTTAATTGTACTCGATTGATTTACGTAAATTGAACGACTTCTTTTGTTCTGTATTGCGGGAAGGGAATATGAGTAAAGGAGACTAGTTGGTCTAATCAGGTCTAGTCAGACTGTCAGATTCACCTTTTCTCATTAGATGTTATGTTATCTTTATATTAATTATTATTTTATATTATTATAATATTTGTTTAAAATTCATTTGATCTTTTATGCGTGATTTAGAAATAGGTACCTAGCTAAGCATCAATATTGTCTGGACTGAATGGAGTAAAGAACAATAGTAATGTACCAATTACGTTTTTGCCAGATCTTCTCAACTGAACTTGACGGATAGTGATAACTAATTATGACGTGCATAATATATGAATAAATATTTGTTTAGATTTAAAAATTAAAAAAACATTTTAGACTTAAATCAACTAATATTAACATTAACTGCTCAATTCATTTACGCATTTATCGGCTACCCGCCCCGGCTTCTATAAATTTAAACCTTCCTCTTGTATCTGTGAACTATATCTATAGATAAAAATTGCATTAAAATCCGTTGAGTGATTTAAAATATCTACTCGAACCGACAGCAGACACAACTCGTTTTATATTATACCATATAAATATGCATCGAACTTTTCAGAGTCGTACCTTACGAAAATATAGATAAGAAGAATTATTTGACAATTAGTCCATGTGGAGTTACACATTATACGAATGAAATGGTATTCACCAAACTTCCAGATTGGGAACAAGAGTATACTATATTTGTACAGCTAACTGACGTAAGAGTATTCATACTAAGTACTAGTTCAAATTTGTTTATCAAATATTTTATCTTTAATTTGTTTAAACCATGTACATAAACATTTTCTCATTAGATATTTATACACAACAAAATATCTTTTTTAAATGTTACAGCTCCTGCAGTGGTAGACATATACTAAAAGTACATAATCAAAAAGTAACTAATAAAGCAATAATGAAATGATCATTATTTCACTAAGTGACTAGTTATATATTTTTCAGATAAAATTTTTTAGAGTTTACCGTTATTGGAAGGCATTTTACGTTTGGAGGAAGTCAATACTTTTTAGAAAATACAGCAAAACGCGTTCTAAATTAGCAAAGAAACTATTCATTCTGACTCCAGTACTGGGTAAAGGCCTTCTTAGTATTCAAGCAATGTGCTGCGAAATGTATATGAAGAGTTTTGCAGATTTATCAAAGGATATGGATATCGCATTCTTCTATTTCATTGAAATACAGGTGAACTACAGCGATATAGTAACTAAATGTTACTTATATAAATATGCACAAATATTTTACCTACTTCAATAATAATAAAGTATTTATAAAACTACTTTGATTAAATGAATCTAGTCGGTTAAAGAACTTTGATTCTATTATCATCTTATAATTTCATATTTGTCAAATGATAACTTGGAAATGTTAATTCCTCTCTATGCAGTGAACGATAACTATAATGATTACCAATGACAGTGAAGAAAAAATAAAATTCTATGATCAGCTACACTGCCAGACTACACTGGTATGAGGAAGCGATTATATATAGATTTTGTTTATTTATATTATAAATTACCTATAATAATATACTATATACGATTACCTACCTAGTCATTTGTCATATTATTATATTTAGATGAAACGGATCGAATACATTAGAGAAAAACTCGTCGAATTCCGTGCTGTAGTACTAGAGATTATAATACAGGCCTGCCACACTGCTTTGTACCAACAAGGCTTTGTATACGATGACCGAAATATACCCCCATTCCAAATAATCAGAGGGAAACCTACGGGAGGCATGTCATATACAGAAAAAGCGAACAAGAGAAAATATTGCGAGAGACTAGCCTGGTAATGATATTTCAACATTACTATAATCATCTAATGTAAGAACCATTAAAAATATATAGATAAAACAAAAACTGTTATTTAACTTGCCGGCACATCAATTTTTGATTAGAACAAATTAATAATTAAAGTGCACTCGATTTCTCCCGCTTTAAATTTCGATATATAAATTTTAATAAAAAAAAATATAGCTTATATGTTATTCTGATGCATAAGCTATATTACTGTAAAATTTTAACGAAAGCCGTTCAGTAGTTTATGCGTGAAAGAGTAACAAACATCCATACGCCCAAACTTTCGCATTTAGATTCTTAAGATATTATAAAATAATACTTTAAATTGGTTCAAATACATACAATATACATATATAAAATAAATACAAACAAAAATAAGATTAGTTTTAAAGCAAAGTTTAATCCTGCTAATGACCTAAGCTATATGAATGAAACGTTAAAGTATACATATTATATCTGTGGTTAAAGTATTTCTTATAAGGTAATAACTCTCTTTCATGCAGCTTTATAAAACTGACAGACTATATGACTAACTATATGTTATATCGTCTAACAAAGAGATCAAACGGTATGATGGCGGGTATGTTACGTACTCATGTCCAATTCACGCCTGATACAAATCTTTTGGAAGGAACTGAAGTTGATGAAGTTCTTGAAGTTTTACCAAGACCTACTGAGATATGCAAGGTAATATTACCATAATGTTATTGCGATTTTCTACATACATATAATCAAATTACTATGATTTTTGCACGATCACGATCTTTGTACTTTACGATACTACTATATACTGTACGGTAACTACTTTTTGTAAATTATATATCTACTTAATGGAATTTCTTCACAGTGGGCCTTATTTCAAGTAGATGCTTACGTTCAACCAAATGGTACGGTGGAATTAAATCCCAGTGAAAAAGTAATATCAAGTTATATGGAAACAATAACAAACTATTGGGATGAATATGTGAGAACATTTCGTAATTTCCTCAACGAAGACTCGTTGCAGATTTTCGTTCAGCCCACAATAATGAGTAAACAAGTAGAATGGTCAGCTGGAGTGTCGCCCAATTTGTACTTCTTGATGAATCAAGACAAGGACATGTTGACAGATATTACCTTTATACCGCTCTCTATAAAAAGCGCGTATGAGACAGTATGGATTTTCCTACAGCGCATGCAGGGCTTTATGGATGACTTTAAAGAGGCACACGAGATGGATATCAATGTAATAAAAGAAGAGAGAGATGTCAATGAGTTTCGAAAGTTATGTGACAGGTTGAATAAACAAATGGAGTCCATTGAAGATGTAGTTAGCTACCAACCGTTGGGACTATTGTTTTTGTGTTTATGTCCATTCCAGGAGTTGTTTAGACCTCAGCCTAAAAGATTATTTGAAGTGGTCGCTGTTGTAACACCAGAGTAAGTTGTTGTTACATCTTTAATAGATTTCTAAATTATACATTTTATAACTATTCACAATATGCTAACTAAATTATGTAATTGTTTATCCTGTAAAGCATCGGCCACGATTGCATTGAGGAAATCCTGAATGGTATAGATAATATAACAGAAGATATAACTAAAGAACCGGAGAGTGCTGGTGAATTGGTTGCTTTCAATTTCATGCTGGACGGATTGGAATCGCGCGCGTGTTTCCTCGAGGAACGTCTAGAATACCTTCGAGAACTTTATGATTTGATGGGCGAGTTCAACATCGTGATACCACCAGATGATATGACTGAATATTTAGGTAACTGTTGTTACTAACTTCAACGAAACAGATTTTGTTTACAAATAATTATGAATCCCTTTGTGTCCGTACTATTTTTTTAAAGCTATATTGTATCATTGTATTTCTATGATGATTAAGATTAGTAAAACCTTTTAACTTTTATAAGCGCAGGGGTACAAATTAGTGTGAAGCATCGAAACATCCTATCAAGTGTACCTTCATAAGGTTTAACCATTGTTCCAACTGTTTATAAAGTATTCTTAGTTAATTCACTATAATGGGATAACCAACCTGACTTCATATGCATTTTTCATTTTTTACTAGTGTCCAACCAGCATTTATATTTCATGATCTTCAACAAAATATGTCGTCCCTATATTGTGTAACATTTAGTTTCAAATTAGCAATCTGAAACGTGAAACAATCTGGGTATAGTAGCGATTCTTCAACATTCAGTCTAATGTTATTTGTAATTATTTCAATACTGTGGTACCTATAAACATAGCTATTCTTATTGCAATTTTTTTCAGGCTTAAGTGTAGCTTTGGGATCTCTTAGAACTAATGTAGACGGTCGCCTAGAGACGCGCAGTAAGCTAGCCGGTATGTTCTCCAGCCAGGTCGGCAAAGACATCATGCAGCTGATGCTTGACGTTAATAAGCTTCGAGATGAAGTTGTGGTAATTTTTATTTGCATATTTCCTTGTTTAAGCAATCTGAATGACAAACATACTTACTGACCACCTAATAGTTAGCAATAGCTGTCGAAAGTATATAACATGAAAAGCACTACGAATATCACGTTATCATGAAATGCTTCTTACACTGCTCATGTATTACCATTCCTAAAGACTAAGATTTATGCCCCGTCCTGAAATTTTACTGTCAGATCCATTAAAAGTGACCGAAATAGATGAGACAGATGTACTCCGTACTACAAAGGTTATATCTGAAAGTAATTTTGTGTATTATAATATATTACTAATCAATATACATATTACTAAGCTAATCAGCTATTAGAAGAATATATTACTCATACTTGAGAGGCAAGGTAACAATTTATAACAAAAGACTTTATTTGTTTTAAAATACGTATTAAATATTTAACACATATTACAGGCGACATGGTTATATGATGAGAAATCAGATATGGAAAAAGTTACGGAAACGCTGGACGATCTGTTAGAAAGACTCATGGTTTGCTTCGCCCGTGATAAGCAAATACGTGAATGGCAGAAGATATTTAAGGTACTTTTGTTGAAATAGGTAAATACAACCTATGAATAATGAATAATGTGACAACTAAACATCGATGTATGTTGATACAGATGCCGCCAGCACGATTGGAACAATTGGATGAAGCTATAAATGATGTTAAACTAAGACAACTACTATGGAAATCTTCGAAAGAGTGGAACGACATGTTTCAGTCATGGTATGTGTTATGCAATATGTATGTATATCTGTATTTAATATATATTCACGACCGTTACCTTGATAAACAAAGTTTTCAGTATCGGCCAGATTCAAGGTGACAAAGCTCTCATTAGTCGCTTCGCTTTATCACCTTGTAACAATACAATATTCTAGTAAATTATTTCATAAATGAAATAGGTCTATTACTAATCTTAACTAATATTACTGTACATTTCTCAGGTTTGAAGTACCTTTTAATTCTTTGGACGTGGATGAAATTCAAACTACTACTATTAACTATGGCAAAATATTTAATCAGCTCGATAAAGGTCTGCCACCAAATAAGATTGTCCCTAAATGTAAAGAAACTATTGATATAATTAAAGGAAAGGTACGGATTTTATATTAAAAATACTCAATCAGTTAAAATGCAATTTCGAATTAAATAATTTTAACTATATTTTCATTTAGGTCATGTATAATACTAATATTATTAATGAGTAATGTACTTAAAAAATTTAACCCCTCTTTAATTCATAAATAATTTTTGTTAGTTACCAGTAATGTCATACTTGCGTACTCCATCTTTAAAACCACGACACTGGGTGAAGATCGAAGAGATCTTGCATACACGGATTACTCCCGATATGGTTCTCACATTACAAAGCTTCGACGAATTACACGCTTTTCAGCATGCTGATGAGTTAATGGAAGTGGCTGGGCAAGCCAGTTCTGAAGCTGGCCTCGAAGCCTTACTTAAGAAGGTAGTTACATAAAAATGTAGTGCACACACAACACCACCCCCACTATCATGATGTCCTTCTTGTCGTAAATCCGACAACAGCGACTCATTCGTGTCTTATTTCATGCGTCTTATGTGACTAACAAAACCAAGTTTAAGACTCAGTCGCATTGAGTACAGTAGTGGTTAATTATCGTAGAATTCATCATAATAGGCTAACTGATTCTATTTCATACTTATTAAGTTACCCTTCACTGATGCAACGCTGGAGTATAGTTATAGCAAAGGTAGGAGCACCATTCCATATTCATCAATCAACATAAGTAATAATGAGTTTATTTAATTTCTTAATTTCAATTAATGTTATTTTTATATTATAAATAATAATTGTATTTGTCAATAGGTTGAAGAAATCTGGACATCTTTAGAATTCCCGGTATTACTGCACAAAGATGCACGTGACGTGTATGTACTCGGGGGTCTCGATGAGATTCAGGCTGGTTTGGACGAAAGCAACATCCACATTAGTACTATCCTAAGTTCCAGGAATAGTGGTCCTATTAAAAGTAGAGTAGAGGAATGGGCGAAAAATTTAGACCTATTTGCTAAGACGCTGGTAATTGTAATATAATTGTATAAACCTATGCATCGCATTATAATATAAATATAACAATTTTAAGTGAAACTATCAGAGGCGTTTAAAATTTTAAAGTAAAAGATATGTTTTAATTTAATGCATTGTTAATTGCAGGAAGAGTGGTATGCATGCCAGCAAACTTGGATCTATTTAGAAGTTATATTCTCGGCTCCCGATATTCAAAGACAGTTGCCAAATGAAACGAGACTGTTTACCATTGTGGACAAGTCCTGGAAAGATATTATGCGTAAATTAGCTAAGGTAAATAAGATACAAACTTAAATTACTCATCTGTATATATTTTACTCCACGAAATACAATAGATACTCGTAAATATAACAACATATATACGATGTCTACATTCAGTTGAAGTTTGTGTAGTATTCCTAAGTAGCATGATAAATAACGATAAAAAAACTGCATTCTAAATAAAAAGTGACCGTTTATAGGTTCCATTGGCAATGCCAGCCGCGACTCAGCCGAAATTATACGAAGAGTTTGTTCGCAATAATGAAATGTTGGATCAGATCATGAAATGCTTAGAGGCATATTTAGAAACCAAACGCGTGGCTTTTCCAAGATTCTTCTTCTTATCGAACGATGAGTTACTTGAAATTTTAGCTCAGGTAATCCTTCAAATTTCGTATATTTATCATTTTCAAAGAGTTCACAAATTTTATTACTTTTATTGAAGATTAACAAGTTTTTTATGTTATGAGCCTTTTTGTAACCTCGTATATGAGTAAGTACATCATTACATAATATTAAACACTACATTATTTTTAGACCCGTAATCCTCATGCAGTACAACCTCACTTACGTAAGTGTTTTGACGCCATTGCAAAATTGGAGTTTGGAGTAAAGTTACCTGAAAGCGAAATGGAAATAACTGAAGACGGCACACTAGTAGAAAAAGAGATTTCGTTCCAGACAAGGGATATGCTACAGGCAAAACTAGCTAAGACTGCAAAACCTGAGGACCTTACCACTGATATTATTGCAATGTTGTCACCTGAAGGGGAACGGGTTAACTTAGGCAAGGTACTTTCCATTTACGTGTTTGATTTATTTTGCCGAACTCTGTACAGACTACTACGTATAGATAGATCTCCTCCACTTATTCTAACTAAGCAACTTGCATGTAAACCTGTAACGTGTTTGCTAGTCGAAGGGTTAGTAGGGGTAATTGTCTTATACTAAAATTTAATAGAATACTACATTAGAATTTGCCAATAAATAAACTGCAAATAATGCCGATTAATTATTAATTTTACACTCTGTTTAGAATAAACCTAATCATAATTTATCCGCGATTTCTCATGATGTCTTGTTCCTTTTATTCTGTTTAAAGCACCTAAATATGTATTGACGTTACTTATATATTCTACAGTTGTGAGTCTTTGGTATATTCTATATTTGGATGATTTCTTTATTAAGGGTCTAAAAGCGCGTGGAAATGTGGAAGATTGGTTGGGGAAAGTAGAGGAAGCGATGTTCGCTTCCGTTAAGAGATGCATTAAATTTGCATTGAAGGACTACATGGGCAGACCTCGTGTAGAGTGGGTAGAGCTGCATCCTAATCAGGTAAACATTCGACATGGTTTTGTAATAAATATGTAATTTCATGACTGAAACAATAAGTGTATTTACATCAAAATAATTTCTTATTTACTTTCTTATTATAATAAAATTATTTTTTGAAACCTCTATAGGATTTAAAAGTAATTTTATTAATATAAATTAACCTTCTTTTACTGCAACCTACCACATACAGTACTATTATGTAAATCACTTATAACTTTTAATCATTAATTATTATTCTCTATCTCTTATTATTTTAAACATATAGAGAGATACCAAATTTTAAGTTTCGTATTTCTTATATCATATGTCTCCTTCCATTATTATTTATTATATGTTAATTTATAATGCTTATTTATATTGACAGGTGGTTTTAACAGTATCACAAATAATGTGGGCTAAAGGCGTTCATGAATTATTCGATTTGGATATACCTCTACGCATAGACACAGCCTTGTTGCAGTACGAAAAGAAATGCATAGCAGATTTGAATGATTTAGCGGCGCTGACTCGCAAGGACCTTAGCTCCCTGTTCAGGAAAGTTCTATGCGCTCTGATCACCGTAGACGTCCACGCGAGGGATACAATATCGCATATGGTGGAAAAACACGTACAACGATCGTTAGTATACTTTTTTTGTTTATGGTATCGTTTCATACTAATGGAAAATGGTTAAAGTATCACATAGTTTTATTGTCGTAGTGTATAATATGTAGACTAGGAGAACCCCGTGTTAAATGATAATAAAAAAAAATAAAAATTGTTTTATAACCGGCTTGATATACAAGTATCTATAATGCCGTTATATTGGGAGAGACTCTACAGGTTATGTTCTCTCATTACTTGCTTGATTATAGTCACGCCATAATATGCTAATTAAGGTATTATTTTTTAATTTAAAATAAAAATTATTAATTTTGATAATTTATTAGGAACGATTTCGAATGGCTTAAAATGATACGTTATTATTGGGAGGAAGACATAGATAATTGCGTGGCACGCATGTCCAGCGCCATGTATATTTACGGACATGAATATTTGGGAGCCGGAGGTAAAAATATATTTAATTGTATAGTTTAATTTTTCTTTTTCTCTTGTGTCTATATACCTAAAGAAATGTATATAACATTTCTGTAGATTAATGATTATATAAAAATTTTGTTTATGGGTAAAAATTACTACCTGAAAATCATAATGAAAAGAGTGACCACGGGTGTGTCTCTACATGAATACAGACATAAGCCTACTATATATAAATCTGTTTGTATGTTTCATAACAATAAAAATTAACCGAACCGATTCGGACTACCTTTATATTTATTTCCATATTAATAATTATTTCACTAACATTATGGGATCCAGTTAATTTTTTCAAGGCTTTATTATGTCGCTAAGTACACTGGGTGCCCATTAATTGACGTATTAATTGAGAAAAACATTCGCTTGGCGTTGCAGTGAAAAGTAGTATGTTTGCTTTGTAAGCTGTGTTTGGGTTGTAACGTCAGATAAGTCAGTGAAATTACATAAGGAATATGACTTGCAAATTCCAGTCCCAGTTTGTATTTTTATATACTATCCTACTATCCCCCGAAAATGTAATACGTGAATTGTATTAGCCTATTTTATTTTATGGTATCATTATTATTAACTTTAAATGCCATGTTTATTTGATCAACAGTCTAAAAAATAGTTTCAAACATCTAGCTTTAAAAGTAGCAATACTTGCATATAAACTTTCATCTCCTCTTTTAATTCCTTACAAGCCTTTTTTCGCAATAAAAATTAGCGTATGTCCTATCTCAAAATTTGAATCAATATTTGTCCACTATCATTATTTGTATACAAATAATCCCTTGTGTACAAAATTTCGTTTAAATCGTTCAGTAATTTTGGATTGAAAGGGAGACAGACAGACAGAGTTAGTTTCGAATTTATAATATTTGTTAGGGTATATAATCGTTAAACGATAGTATTATAATACTCTTTAAATGGGTGCTCATAGGTGTACTAGTGATAACACCGTTAACTGATCGCTGTTACTTGTGCCTGATGGGTGCATTACAACTGGACCTTGGCGGAGCCCCTGCAGGGCCCGCAGGCACCGGCAAGACTGAAACCACTAAGGACTTAGCCAAGTCTCTAGCTATACAATGCGTCGTTTTCAACTGCTCTGAAGGTTATTTATATTTTTTAGAAAAAACTCTTTTACTCTTTATTATGTATTTCTAATACATGTATATTTGTATATTAATGGGTTTTTGGATGATTAAAGACAAAATTCGATTTAAAAGTGGTGCTGTTTTTCCGAGCAGAACGAAGTATCTGAGAATTTCAATAATTACAAAAAGACTTTCTTTTATACATTTAACATATTGTTAGTATATTTTCCAAATTTCTATATTGTCATCATTTTTATACAATCAAAATATATATATGACTTGTTATATGCATTAATTATTATTAGCTATTAGCAAATAATATATTGTTATACTTAAAGTACCTATGTACTATGGACATATTACAGAACGATATGTAAAAAACAGTAATAACAGTATTTTTTATATGCTTACCGCTTTCAGCGAACACTTTATAATCCGTTGCGTAATTTAAAAGGTATAAATGATCAAACAGCGCTGGCGTGTTTGTTTTATACTCTGTAAAGATTAAACTTTTTACAATTTGGTTCAGGTTTGGACTATAAAATGATGGGCCGCTTTTTCTCTGGCCTTGCGACATCCGGTGCGTGGTGCTGCTTCGACGAGTTCAATCGCATCGACATCGAGGTGCTTTCAGTTATTGCTCAGCAACTCATCACCATTAGGAACGCGAAAGTCGCTAAGCAGACGAGGTATTGTAATGATTAGTTGTATTGTCTATTTGTTTATGATATGGATGTTATTGTTATTGTAATGATTAATAAGTTGAAGACCGCATTGTAAAATCTTATTACTTACTCAAATAAGAACCGGCATTTTTTATTGTTAATTATGTATGTTATTTTTTAAATATAGTTTTAGTGTACAATAATTTGAGGTAGACATTATTTAAAACAGCCGGTCTCAACGTGTAAATTTACTTTCATTCCGGGGCATGCGGTCTTTAACGTGTTACGTTTTTTTTTTTTAATTAACTGCTGTTTATGTTTATTTTTTTTCCTTTACTCGTGCCTCATCAGTGTATACGCAGCTTAATAAAATATGCTAGTAATACAATTTATTATCATCCATTAATATGACATCAACCTAGGATCTCTCTGGAATAGGTTGCAGATGACAGAGCTGATTAGAGAGAGGAGGAGGCCTATGGCAAAAAACACCCAGTTTCAGGATATTTTGTCTACATACATACATACTACAGAATGTACCCCTTGCAAAAAAGGCTTTATTATTATTCATTCATAATTTAAAAGCCACGCTCTTGTCAGTGGAGCTCTTGCCACTTTGTACGATCTTCCATCATGCTCTTTAAATGTTGATACGACACGACTCCAATTTTGTCTCTAATTTGCTTGATGTAAACATATTGTTTAGGTATATACCTTTGTAACAACATGGTATAACGAAAACTATTAATAAGAAATGTTAAGCGAACTAATAACCTCATACATTTTCTCTTAATTAATAATAATAAGGCACAGCTATTTAGACACAAGCAAATTAGAGACAAAATTGGAGTCGTGTCGTATCAACATTTAAAGAGTATATACCTACATATATTCCTAATATTTTTTTACATAATATTTTGTCAAAATTAATAGTAGTAATAAACTTCAATTCCAAAATTTGTGTTTCTACAAAACATAATAAGTCGTTAATACATTATTTCTTGTCAGGTTCATGTTTGAGGGGCGTGAAATCAAACTAGTGCGTACGTGTGCAGCCTTTATTACTATGAATCCAGGATATGCTGGGCGGACAGAGTTGCCTGATAACTTGAAGGCACTGTTCCGACCTATATCTATGATGGTACCTGATTACGGTGAGCATATATATATATATACAGATCATATCAATATAGATCACAGCTATCGCTCCTTGCAGTTGAAACAATAAAACCACAAATTATTATTGTGGTAATTGAACAAATTGTACGTTTAAAAAAAATATTAACATATGCACAACATTTGAATTATTTTATATTAAAATATCACTTTATTGTATGTTATAAAGCATTAATAGCGGAAGTGATCCTGTACTCGGAAGGATTCGAGTCATCAAAAGGTCTCGCTAAAAAGATGGTCCAAATGTACAAACTCTCCAGTGAACAGCTCTCCAAACAGGATCACTACGATTTTGGCATGAGGGCCGTCAAAAGTGTGCTGGTAAAATATCCAACTATTTATGAATGTTACTTGAAATTAGATTATTAATATTAATTACTAGCTACGCCCGCGACTTCGATCGCGTAGTAAGTGACCTTGGATAACATTAAATGTTTAATAAATAACCCAAACAAGAAAAAAGTTTTATTGTTCTAGATTAAAAATGACGAATTTCCGTACAAACTTTCATCCCCCATTTTATTTTACATATTTATATATATTTAATAACGATACTTTCCTACAACTTATTATCTCCCCTTTCCACCCCTTACAACCCTTTTTTCCCATTAAAAAGTAACCTATACTCTTTCTCAGAATCTTGACTTAATACCAAACCAAATTTCGTTTAAATCAGTTCAGTAGTTTTGGCGGGAAAGTGCGACAGACAGATAGAGTTATTTTCGCATTTATAATATTAGTAGGATTAATAAATAAATGATTATTGTTATTATTCTTAGTTATTAATGTATGTATATGTAATAGGTAATGGCCGGTGCCCTGAAACGTGCTAGCCCAGACCAGCCCGAAGAGATGACGCTTCTTTGCGCATTAAATGATAGTAACCTACCAAAGTTTCTAGCGGCTGACGCTATCCTATTCGCTGGCATACTTTCGGATCTTTTCCCTGGAGTGAACCTCCCGGTGCGCGATTATGGTGTTATGGAAGAGACGATTAGTAAGTATATGGGCCAATAATAATATTATTACTGAACTTTATGAGCACTGTTATGTTCAATAAAAAAAAAGTTCATACATACGGCTTAAAAGTAAAGAAAAGAAACATAAAAATAATAAACATGGTCTCGATCATATTTACGAGTAGTCTTCAACTGCAACAATTAGGGTATTTTTTTTTTACTGTTTTAAAACCGTATTGTTGTCATTATCAGGCATGAGATAAATTTATCATTTATGCTTATAGTAAATATTTAGTTTTCTTACCTCATTCTCCTCTTTTTTTTTTTGTTCACAAACAGAACAAAAGTTCGTGGAGAGTAAGAAACAAATCGAGGTTTGTCAAATCCGAAAGGTGATACAACTGCATGAGACAATGATAGTACGGTGGGGTGTCATGTTGGTGGGGCCCACTGGTGGAGGGAAGACTGTAGTTTTACACGTAAATATAATAAAAATATATTTTAAAAAATACAGTCAGTACAGGGGGTTCGTTAAAACTAACCCCCTGTACTGACTTCGCTTGAGTCGACATATTTATTTTATAGTCTATATTAGGAAAAATATAGCAATCCAATGGTGATAAATTTTTTTAAATTGGATATAGGAAAAAATATTGCACAATATCATACTAAAATACACGAATAATTTTAAAATTCATCGGATCTAAAATTTTATGACATTAAATGTCATTTTATTTGTGGGTTGCCAATGTCGTGTATTTATTAATATATGTATATATAATAAAATAATATAGTTAGATAGATAATAAAATAAAGGTATAAAAGTAATAATTGAAGAAATTAAATAATGGTATTTTATAAATATAAATGTGAGATAAATCGCGGACACATAAATAGTAATAATACCTTCTCAAATTTTGCTAAACAGCGACAACTTTTCCTTAATTTATAAATTGTAATAGAGCACTTCTATGATCTACTAAAAAAACATGTACGCTGCTCTAAATATTGTAGATATTTATATAAATATATTAGTAAGTACAGAATTTTGGTTGATCGCTTATTATATGCAGCCTTTATAACAATATATAGACAGTTAGGAATCAGATATCAGACCCTCCTATTAACAATTGAAGTTTAATATGAAACTAATTAAATATGTTTTCTCATATTTATGCAGTAATAAACCTGATTGACTCGACAGGTAAAACCCAGACATAAACATTTAGTCGAATTCGCGTAAAACGGAGTGGCGTATTGCTCTATATGTCTGGCTTCTACTGTATTTACGGAATACGTATATCTTATTTATGCGAGAGGACGCTAGATGACGCTGAAATGATGACGTGAAAATTTCATAAACGCGCTATGGTTTAGTTTTCAGGAAACTATAGAAGGTGGTGATGAAAAATTTGTCTATACTGCCTTTGTAGACAGAAGTAATCCATCTCCATTTTTCACTAATATTTTTGTAAGTCTCGATATTAATTATATCGAGACTCGTATATTACATTATACATTGTGGAATGAAATTAGATATAGTCTTTCAACAACCTAATTTGCCCAAGATTTCTTTTATTTTTTATTATTCTAGAATAAAAATAAAAAATAGCACGGGTTGTAAAACTGTAATTTGTAATGCTTATCATTACAAATTACAGTTTCCAAATATTTCAAAAGTCATATATTAATATCGGAAATAAACTAACAACTGCTGAGGCCTAGCAAGGTCGTTTTCCAAATAATCGTTTCTAGTGATAGGCTTTATTAATTAAGTATTTATTAATATATTAAAAAATAAATCCAAATGTATTTTGGTAGGAATTGTAGAATTTTTATTATATTTTATTATTATAGCCCATTCCCATAAAATGTCTATCAGTTTTATCTAAACGTCTGGGGGCAGAAATTGTATCTTGTACTAATTCTTGGCTTCGCACGAGTGTACTTACTGGTCAATTAATTGTAACAACACGACGTATTAAATTTAGTAAAGGGAGACAACCTATCAATACCATCAATAATATTTTTTTAAGTTGGATGTCATCCGTAGTTAGCTGTACAGTTTCATGAAGGTGATTGTATAAGACATTTCAAATCCCCAAAGATTTACGGCGTGACTGAATGCCAACTCTTGCCAGCTCATAGATAACATCAGTCTGAGCGTACTTGTAGGAGTTGCCCAAGCTATAATATTTCCACTATACGTTTGGGTGGGACCTATTGAGAAAGGGGTCGATTGGGGGTTAAAAGAGCAAGTGTGCAAATATTTATGTCATGTAAAGAAATCATAACGTGATTTGGGAGTGATACTACTCATAAGTTAAAAACTAGATTTATTCGCTTGATATATTTTCCCAAATTAGATATTAGCGGATACGTACACTCAACTCTGTGAGAACGGGGTGCAGGGACCGCAGTACCAGCTAGTCCACAAATATATCATGAACCCGAAGAGTTTGACCATTGGTGAACTGTACGGTGAGGTGAACTTACAAACTCTTGAATGGCACGATGGCATATTGCCACTGTCTCTAAGGACAGCAGTACAGGTATGTATGGTAGTTCTCTCTTTTGCTAATATACGTCAACTAAAGCTTATCTTTAGATATCTTAATAACTCTGGGTAAGTATATTCAGTGCTTCGAAATTTATAGTCTCTTTTATTTATTCAATAAAAAGGACGTAAAAATAATTTATTCTTTGCACCTCTAGAGCTCACCTCACCTCTACACTTACTACCCGCCGTAGTGTTTGATAAATTAAAATTATATTGTTAAATACAAAAGGTTTTCCTTTTACCATCACTTTCCTTCAACTGCATTTTGTTTTGTAATCAATGATTAACTGGTAGAGGTTGTCATATTGCATTCAAGTAACCAAGTGTACATATCGATAAATAAATAAATAAATTACTATATAAATTAATTAATTAATAATTATTTGCAATTTATATTAAAATTATAATATCTACTCAGTGTGAAAAACCAGATCATCAGTGGTTAATCTGCGATGGTCCAGTTGATGCTGTTTGGATAGAAAACATGAACACAGTGCTCGATGACAACAAGATGCTCTGTCTCTCCAACTCCGAACGAATCAAACTCACACCATACATTCATATGGTTTTTGAGGTAGGTTTTTTTTACTTTTTTATGTAATATGAATGGCAAAAGCTGACAGACCGTCATTGTAAGCGATAATCATCGCCTATGTACATTGTTATATACGTTGGTATTACTACGTACATCACGTTATCATGTAAACCTTATGTTACACCCATGCGTTGACATTGCAGAGGAGTATGATATGATGCGTCTTATCCTGTAATTTCTGTCTAATCTGACTCTAGCACCGAAACACAGCTTACAATGCAAGCTACGCTATGCTAATAAGGTAATAAGTGAAAAATAAAGTAAAGAAAAGAAACAAGAAAAAATAAACAGACAGTAGATTTGACTGAAAGTAACAACGACTATAAACAATACATGGTATAGAATACTGATAACACGTCGTCATGTGATGCCCGTGATACAGCATTGAGACTGAATGTCGCTATTTCTTAGGCCTAAGGTTTGATGCAGCCTTTCATGTCTTTATATAAATTTTTTTGGTAGCAGTTATTAGTGATATTTTCCGTTTCTGTAAAAAGCTGTATATGATAATGGAACTTTTGTTATCAAATACCGATCTTGCAAAATTTATAGACATATGAAAAGATTCGGTGCCCTTTAATATCTTTTAATTATGGGATATATAGTGAGTCACGTTTTATTCAGGTGGCAGATTTAGCGCAAGCTTCCCCAGCGACAGTTTCCCGCTGTGGTATGGTCTATATAGATCCTAATGAACTGGGTTATCTACCATATGTACGGTCCTGGTTAGAGGAATCTATAGAAAAGAACCTATTTAACCAAGAGAATGCTGATTTCCTCTATGAATTATTTCAAATGGTTGACGTTGGAGTGTCTTTCGTTAAAACTAAGTGCAGCGTTGGTATACAACAGGTAACTTTGCTACTTACAGTTTCTATGCAGGTACACAGTTCTTTATAATATATTATTAGGTATGCCCACTATATTTTTAAACAAAATTAATTTGTATCTACACCATTATTCAATGCTAAAATAATAATAATCTGCTATTACTTGCGGCTTCGCTCACGATATTGTCCTGCTCTAAATTTTCTTTACTATTCTCTTTCATCCCCTTTTATAAAAAGTTTCAAAAATTCAAATACTAATTATTACTATATTAATTATTAGTATTATAAAGAATATGTACCTTTAATTAAAGGTTCCATCTGCCTTTTAACTAAAATTTATCATAATGGATTCAGTTCAAAGTGTAACTAATATAACAAACAAATTCATTTTAGAAAGATATATATTATAGATGCAAAACTTCTAGAACTAATGAAATACAGGTGGAGATAAGTAAAGTGTCAGCGTTATGTTACTTGATGGGAGCTTTACTCGGCGAGCCTGGCGAACGGTTTCCTGATAAAGCCGCTATTAAACTCTACATTGCTCACTGCTTCATATTTTGCTACGTATGGTGCATTGGCGGCAACATATTAGAGATGAACAGGAAAGCTTTCGAAGAAATTATTAAAAGGCAGTTCGAGGCATATGAGGAGGCTGAATAGTTTGTATTAATTAATTTATTTATATATGAGAAATAGAGCCTAGAATTGTTTGTACTTTGCATAATAAATTATGTATTATATATAAATGCCATAAATACTATGATTAACCTATTAATTGTATAAAGACACCAAAAAATCAATCTAAAGGTTGTTTTGCAGTATTATTTATACTCCAAAGTTACTGCTATTTAAATTTTAATATTTTTTAAGATAGTATTAGAATTGTAAACATTATTGTAAGTGTATCGAAATACGATATTGTCAGAAAACTGAGGCAATCCGCATAAAATTTACATAAACAGAATACCTCAGTTCAAAAGTTTAAGTTATTTGCATGTTTCTATACGACTTATAAATGTGGTAGAAACTGTAACCAACATTACTGTTCTTAATCGAAATAAGATATTTTAGGCATCCATATTTTACTATAACAATTTACCGTCAGATGGGGTTTCATGTTTTTCTCCATTGTATAAGAAAAATACTACATTTATTTTCAGTTTTCCACAAGGTTTCAATTTCTTTGATATGTACATGGATACAAAACAAAGAAAACTAAAAGTATGGGCGGAAATTATACCGGAGTTTGTATATGATTGCAATAGGCCCTTTTTTGAAACACTTGTACCTACCATCGATACAGTACGCTATGGATATTTGTTTGAAAAGCTGTTGGGTTCCGGAAAACCTGTAATGTTTACGGGGAGCACGGGTAATACATAGTTTCTTATATTTTTTCTTTTTTTATTGCTATGTATTATGTTTCTAACTCATATGATTTATTATTATGTTTTGATATAAACGAATGAATATAAATTAAAATATGAAAATAGTTAGTCTAGGTAAGTCTATATTATTGAGCATGGCGACTGTCAACACAGACTGTTCACACAGACATGTCAACTACGTTGTGGTGAAATTGTCACTTAACACTCACTTAGCACTTATTTCGCTCAGTATACTTTAAATTCAACGTGGCAGAGGGCTAGGCTTCCGCTTTGCCTTGAATTATTTGTTTAGTCTTACCAATCAAAAATATATGCAGACACCCATAGTTTTTTTATGTTATCCAGATATGAAATTACTATACCTTGAGCGTAACTTATCAAACCTCTGAGTTACGATGCTTATTTGAACTTTTGCCTAATTACCATGCTAAGGCGTTTGTTACAGTTAATATTTTTTTGATAAAGCGATTAATGAAATTGTTACTCATGTTTTCGTTTTTATCTTCAATTTTTATAAAACGAAATAACCCTCGGCGTCGGTGAATATTAATCACAAAACCTACTGAACGAAACAGATTTCATCCTTCACCAGAGATTTTTTTAGGAAGATTTTGCTAAAGTGTGATATTATGCTCATCTGAACTTGATTATTTCATTATTAAATACGAAATTAAATTTAGGTCTATTTAATGCCGTGAATTTAAAAAATTCAGCAAAGATGGGAAATAACAATTTACACGTCGACAAAGGCCTAGTTATAATAAATAGTATTAAAACAATAGAATCACTATAAACATACTTATACTAAACCACTAAATTTAGAATACTGTATTGATTTTAGGCGTGGGCAAAACTTGCATCGCAGCTGAAATACTGAACCGAATGTCAGCAACTGGGTACTACATACCGATCATATTGAATTTTTCAGCACAAACCAGTAGCACCCGAACACAGGTTTATAATTTAAATTTAAAGTTTAACTATTTTATTCATAATTAGTCATAGTCTTATTATGTTAATGAATTAGAAGACTGTAAAGTTTTGGTTTGTCTATAATAGTCTGAGTTCACATATATATATCTTGAGCTTTGGAAAGAATAACTTAGTTATTATCTATTTATCGTAATTGAAAAATGCTGAGTAGGTTAAGAATAACATTAACAGGCAAAAATTACTCCATACTATGATAGCTACTTGTCATGATACAAATCGTATGGCACCCACAGAATGTAAAAAATGTACCTACATGAATTATTTATATTGTCATTAGGAAGTTATAGAACTCCGATTAGATAAAAGGCCACGGAAAGCTATTGGCGCTCCACTTGGAAAGAAAGTGATCATATTTATAGACGACGTGAATATGCCACGACTTGATGTATACGGAGCGCAGCCAACTATAGAGCTGCTAAGGTAAGGTTAAAGGATAAAGTTAAGATAAACAGGTTACAACAGAAAATTCAATTGCATAATACAATTATTACTTTATTTTTTTAAATACAGTTATACTTTTCTTTACTTTTAATCAGACTACTAAGGTATACTTTTGCCAAGTTTATAAGATATCATGACCATATAACCATACCATTCCACTCATATCAACTAAATAGTGTATTTACATTTTTTTACATGCTTCAACAGATGATAAAAATGCACCTCCTGCCTAAATTCAGCACCACATATTTCATGTAACTTCCATGGTACCCTTCATAGGTTGCCATTATAGGCTGACTACCTTAGTCAGCCCATAATCAAGGGTCGATACTCTGTAATTTTACTGGAATCCAAACCTTCATTTTGTGGTCTAATTTTGTACAACTATATTGTTGTAAATGTATGTGTGCAAAACAATGATTGATAACATGTTTTAGATTTTTTATTAGCGAATACAAAAAAATAAACTTTAAATATATTAATAGAATAGTAAAGCATTTATTCAAATAAACTTACATTAAAGCTTTTGAATAGTCATTACATACATTCGGAAAGCTGTCTCTTCACTAAGCAATAAACTCGAGAAGAATGAGCAAGAAACTTGCGTGTTGATTTAGTATTAAGTTTCTCAACATATGTTAACTTGTTATTAATGATAATTAAATGCAGACAATTTTTGGATTTCGGTGGTTTCTACGATCGTGATAAGCTGTACTGGAAGGAAATCTTAGATGTGGTACTGTCGTGTGCCTGTGCACCACCCGGCGGTGGTCGTAATCCGCTGACTGCACGATTCGTAAGACACTTCGCAATGTTTTATATTTCGGCGCCTAATGCTGATGCTATGAAGACTATATTCAAGGTTGGTATTTAATTAATTCAAAACGTAGGCGATTGTTAGTAATCGACTCAAATGCTAGCAATATTCAGAACGTCCTATTGGCAGTTATATCTGGAAACTATCGTGATTAAATCATGATAAAAAATTATGGATGCATAGAATTAGAAGTTCTGAATCTTTCTTTCTTACTCAACTTTTTCTACAGAAAAACGTTTTAAGAAACTGATTATTGCTTTTACGATATACTAAATTTGTTTGTATCCCTTAATTATGTACCCGAACTTTTTAATGTTACATCGTTTTATTAGTTTATATATAGGTTCGATCTACATACAAGACTAAGTTCAAAAGTTTCTGAATTTCTGCAGTTCATCATTTATATGATGAACTGCAGAAATTTAGAAACGACCAGTAAGCACAACGAGCTTTAAATAAAATACTTCAATAATACTCTGCTTTAACTGAACTAATTTCACTATTTCCATTTGAAATTATTATTTTACTGTAAATAAAATAATATATCTACAATAATCTTTACGTGCGTAAAATGTCCTGAAAATGAATAATTTATTTAAAATGTTTTTTTTATTGTCAAGGCAATTCTGAAAGGGCACATGGAGGACTTTGTACCCGAAGTGTCGGTCCTCGGTGAACCAATAGTGAATGCGGCAGTTGAAGTATACTTGAAGATATGTGCTGAACTCCTGCCCACGCCGGCCAAGTCCCACTACGTATTCAATTTGCGAGATCTGTCCAAGTCTATGCAGGGAGTGTTACAGGCCAACGCGGCCTACATGCGTGCACCACAGGGCATGTTGAGGTAAGTTTTATATTATACTAGATGAGCCCGCGGTTTCACCCGTATTAAAATAAAATATATATTTCAATAAAAAATATAAAAAATAATGTAAAGTTGCATCAAAATCCGTTCAGTAGTTTTTGCATGAAAGAGTAACAAACATCCATACTTACAAACTATCGCATTTATAATATTATTATATATTATGTATGAGAATGAAGATTTATATAGAAAAATTAAGAAATTCAATGATTTGTTTTGTATTCGTGCGGAGCCGGGACCCGTCGTTAGTTTATTATAACTAAATGTAATATTCATTTAGAACGAAATGTTGATTTATTCTCATTCTTATCAGTATTGCTCTATTAAGTATCCACTCGTATACTCGTATGCATGATTTTCGAAATAACAATACTTTAACGTATTATTTTTTGAACCAGTTGTAATGTAGTGAACGTCAATAACCGGCTATGTGTTGGCATTCCGGAGGACTAAACTGTAATAACTCTTATCCTGTAATTTGCACTGCCTTATGTCACACTCGTACAAGTACAAAAATACGGCTTAGCAATATGCTTGGCTGCAGAGACAAGCAGATAGAGGTACTTAGGCAGAGGACTTGTTGCTAAGCTTACCTCGATGAAGTTTAATATACTGACACGTCTGATTTGTGGTTTTATTATATGACGAATAATCATATTAAGGTTGTTCTACCACGAGTGTCTGCGGGTTTTCCACGACCGTCTGATTAATATACAAGACAAGAGCTATTTCTACCACCTTATGAGTACCATTTGTCAGAAGAACTTCCAGCAACCCATTCTCGATGTACCAGATGATCCCATTATAGAGCATCCGCCGCTTCTTCTTTTTGGAGACTTCCTGAATTCAGCAGTACCAAAAGAAAATAGAATATATCAAGAGATACCAGATATGCAGAAACTTATGATAGTTTTGAAGGTAGGTAAGACAGTGACACCGATGTCATATAACTTATTATTTTGATTAGAATTTACTTAATAGAAAACTATTTCCATCATGTATCACACCGTTGTTTAAATAAAATTCAGTTTAAGCACTTTAGGATAGTAATTTTCTTCTTCTTTCTACTACTCGTTTTCTATGCAAATAGAGACAAGAAAAAGATACTAAAAATTTGCCTGATGTTCATTTTAACAAATGATAATTATAATATTATACAATAATTTAACAAATTTCATTGAAATCCATTCGGTGGTTTTTGCGTGAAAGAGTAACAAACATCGATCTATCCATACTCATAAATTCCTGCGTTTATAATATTATTAAGATGTGTTTTTGTAATGTTATCAGCTGCTTAGTGTAATATATATAGCAAATACTTTAGTAAAGTTGTTGTTGTTGTGTTATGGTTAATTGTCTATGTCATCTAAAATTGTTTATTTATGCTCAGCTCCTATTGGTTAAAGCGTGATCTTAATAGCCTGATAGCCTTTAATAAATGGGTTACGCAATGCTAAAACGATATTTGTAATTATATAGTAGATTAGCGCATTAAACTAATTATATTATTCAGCTGTATAATAGTAGTTGTATACTAATAGTTTAATGTACTAGGAATATCTGGAGGAGTATAACTCGACTGCGCGTGCGGAAATGCACCTAGTGCTGTTCCAGGATGCAGTAGAGCATGTTGTGAGAGTGGCAAGGGTGTTAAGAGCTGAGAGGGGACACTGCTTGATGGTGGGCCCTGGAGGTTCCGGCCGCAGGAGTGTTGCCACTCTCGCCGGACATGTCAATGAGTGCAAGTAAATATCACATAATAATAATATCTCAGGATAGTTCACACAGCGCCATCTGGTCCCAACTAAACAGAACTTGTTATATAGATACTAGACAACTGATATAAATACATCGATATTTGTGTTTTATAAATACACATTATAATAATAATATCCCTGGACAACACGTTAGTCCCATGTAAGGTAAACCGAGCTTGTGTTGTGGATATTGTTTTTGTAAATACATAAATAATATAGATAAACAACATCCAAACCGACACTCATACCTATGAATACAAATTCATACTTATTGCAAATTACCGCCCTTGGTTGTCCAGAGGTTTCGCACACCGCTTTAATGCTAATCATACCAAGTTAGAATCCTCGCTGATGTTAAAATTTGATTTCATAGATTTGTGTTTTTTGTATGCAAAAAAAAATGATTTTATATCAGTTCTCTAGGACCCATAACAAAGCTCTGCTTAGCTTGGGATTTCATGGAGCTGTGTTAATTGTCATGGGTTATTGTTATTATTAATAACTATTTGATGAAACCATTCTATGACACGATATCAACAATTAAATGAACTTGTAAAGCATTTCTTATTAAATATTTCGTTATTATTATATTAATAGGGAAGTAAAAACTTTGTACCCCTTTTTACGAATATAACTTCCATAAATGTAAAAACTTTTAAATTAACTTTTTGTGTGTAGATGTATGGGAATGGAATTGAAGCGCAATTACGATACACCAGAATTTCACGACGATTTAAGAAAGATGTACATGCGCGCCGGATTCAACTACGAGGACACTGTATTTCTGTTTACCGACACACAGATTACCAAAGAGGAGTTTCTTGAAGATATCAACAACATGCTTAATTCGGGTATTTTAGTTATAAGATTATGCTTTCTAAATATTCAAGTCCCCTCGCAAACTACTATAAAAACATTCTTATTTGTTTAAATTTGTTCCTGAAATGGCCCTCAATTTTACGATTTAATATCAGAATAGTTACATTTTAATGGAATTACTAAGTACTTCTTCACGTCATCGTCACTACGAGTAAGTATACTCTCCAAATCGTCAGCGTAGACGGAGAACATTGAGTAATTTTTTGTTTATATTTTGTGATTGCCATGAATATAATTGTTGTCAATTTATGAATTCATTGTACTCTGTGAAATTATTTTCTAGTAAATATAGAACCTATAAAACTATGCAACAAACAGCGACTATGCCACAATTTAAGGTGGTATAACGATTTATTTTATCATTAACGTTTACATAATGTCCTTTACCAGTGTCTTATATATACAGTAATATATATCTCAGGTGAAGTCCCGAATCTCTTCGAGGGCGATACATATGAGCAAGTACAGACCGGTTGCCGCTCTGACGCTGGCAATTGTGGCGTAAATCCAGCAGATCGCGATGCAGTTTACTATTTTTTTATCAATCGAGTCCGCTCCAAATTGCACCTTTGTATATGTATGAGTCCTGTCGGCGAAGCTTTCAGGTACGTCTCTTTAACTTCCACGTGTAATGTGCTAATAACTTTGTCTTTTAATAATTTAAGAAGTAAATCGGAATTCCGCTTAATTACTCGATTTATTTAAGAAAATTGAAAATAGTTCATTATATTAATTAGAAAGTAATACTTGTAATCGAAGAGAATGTAGTATTTTTTGTTTACATAAAATGTACCTATCTATTTTTAATATAATTTAAAACCAGATACGGTCGTATATTTTTCTAACGTTACTCAATTGTATTTAACATTTTTCTATGAGCACATAGTGTATACGGCAGCGTTATTTTTATAACCAGTGGTCATATTTTTCATTTACATAGTATTGTATACTACTAGAACTAACTTTTACGTTTAGTGATTTTTCACTACGGGTAAAAATTCGTTCTAATAACAAACAAACTTTTATAGTATTTTCTGAGTATTTTCTTAGTTAGAACAGAATACATATAGTAAACGGGAGTCGTGGTAAAAATATATAATTTAGCGACTACAATCCCTGTACGTTGTTCAGTCAAGTTTTTAAAAATCAATAACAATCAAATTGCCTATTGCTCTATCATTAGTTATAAGTCTGTTATTAGTTATAATATATTTTACTACATGCAACAAAACTTGTATGCCTAGGCGCCGCTGTCGAATGTTCCCGTCTTTGGTCAACTGCTGTACAATCGATTGGTTTACAAAATGGCCAGCGGAGGCTTTGTTATCAGTAGCGCAACAGTCCCTGCAACCGCTGGGAAACCGAGATATTATTGAGAAGATATCACCGCTGTGTGTGACTATGCATGAAGTAATTATTATTTTAAATTCCTATTTTTTATTTTGTGTAAATTAAATAGCAATCAATATGATGACTCATTTCATGGTAATTGGAAACTGTCACTAATAAGTATTAACAGCACCACGGACATTAGGACAATATTTTTTTTATAATTCTTTATTAATGACTAATGATACAAGTCCTTCAGTTAAACACATTTTTGAACAAATAACATGAAAATTCAAACTTACAAATCAACCCTCATGTGTTGCCATACCAGAGGATTAATGTGTCATAAATCCGTATCCTATAATTACATACCTACCATATTTCACTCTCCGGCAGAAACACAGTTTACATAGAATGAAATACTTAGATGACAAGTTATGTACAGTCAAAGTCTACCTTTGATAATCTTAAAGAACAAAGTTCCAATGTACGAGAAACTCTCGCCTAATAACCAAATAAAAACCTACACAACCTTTTTTTTATTTTTATTTTAATAATATTTTCTACCACTTTTATTTTATGTATTGGACTTAAAAAATAAATAGCTATTTGATGATATCTTACGATGAACAGGATGTTGATGGTATGACGGATCGACTGTACCAAGAAATGAAACGCTACTTCTACACAACACCCAGTAGTTACTTGGATCTCTTAAAACTATATCTATCTCTACTTGACAAAAAACAACAACAAATCATACGAGGGCGAGACAGAATATCATGCGGATTGCAGGTTACTTGTTTAAATTATAACATACTGATTGTAGGTACTGAATAGTAAATATTAATAAAGATATGTTATTAATTTATACAAAATATTATGAATAAATTTTGTTTCTTTCCACATATTTTAGGTAGAAAATAAGAGATTAATTAGTACAGATTGGTCTCCTGATCAAATACTGAAACATATAAATCCATAGGCTTTTATGTAGTGTATATGGGCCAACAGATCGAATTAGTTCTAACATATATCATATGTATATATAGTTGAATGTTGTATATAAATGAAATAAATATAAATAGAAAATATCTCATTGTGTTTAATCTGCCATATGTAGGTACTGTATGCATTAAAGTATATAAATAAATTAGAAAAATACACGAAGTAAAAATTCAGAATTGGTGGTAATGAATTTTTAAAAACTGAGAATATATACATACACTAATTTACAGAGCGACTTAACACCTTTTATAGCATAGTACACATTATATTATTCAGTGTTAATTAAAGTAAAACCAGCTTTCCGTTAATACAGAAACTTTACGAAACATACGACGTGGTTGGCGTGATGGAACAGCAAGTGCGCGATATGGAGCCCATACTGGCTAAGAAGGCAGACGAGGGCATCGCTCTAGTTAACAAACTTAAGATTGAACAAAAGGCGGCAGATGAAGTTAAACAGGCTGTAATGAAAGATGAAGCTGAAGCAAAGGTGAGCTTGCAAATTTCCTGCTTTATATTATATACATTAATTTTATTTTAAGAAGATTATCGGTGTAATTTTACATGTTACTGATCATATTGAATTGTTCGATGCCATTTAATAAACTTCCCCAATAGAATTACTAAATTAAATTTTACATGCCCTAGATATAATAAATCAAAGTAATTACGTTACAGTGTTATAGTTATACAAGTAAACAGATTAACATACCCATAAATAATGAGGTATCTAAAGAAAATACAATTAAATATACTATGGTATGGCCATGTACCATTAAAGAATTGGTTATATATGAGGTTTCTAACTGTGGTAGTGCAATGCAAATATCATGTGAATAATTGCCCACCTTGCTATATGTTTTTATAATAAAATTCACTAATTTAATTTTAAATAAAAAGTCTGGCTTTCCAGATTCTTAATTTATATTATATATATATATGAACTAGTCTAATTCAGATTGTATATATAGACAGGCACGATTTATGTTTCAATTGGCCTAAATTGCAGTAAACATTATGTGTATCATCGATGTAATTTGTCTATCATTGTTATATAGTTCAAATATTGCATCGAGAAACAAAGAAAGATATACCCTTCTTTAGTTTGCTTTACTGTTTTGTTTTATAGTAATGAAGAAAACTAAATAAAAATACAAAATACCTTTTTAAGTAAATTTTCTATGCATAGTGTGTTATCAGATTACTATCGTACTAAACTACTAATGCGTATTGCCTTTCATTTTGTATCTGCGATATAATAGATACGATTGTGTATAATCAATAGAAAATCATTATAATTCACAAGGTGAAAGCTGAAGAAGTAAAAGCAATCGCAGACGAGGCCAAAGCTGATCTTGCACTAGCCATGCCAGCGATGGATGCGGCTCAGAATGCACTTAAGGCACTCAACAAAGCGGATATAAACGAATTAAAGGCTTTTCAGAAACCCCCTGCACTTGTTCGTTTTGTAATGGAGCCCGTTTGCATTCTCCTTGGCGCGAAGTAAGTGACGAAGTAGGAGACACTATCGTGATTAACATAAAATACCGTTAGAAACGATTGAATATAAAACCTTTTATTGGAATTTTCGAATATTAGAATATTTTTCTTGGTCTCCTGCATGTATGGGAAGTTACTTACGAGGTGTTAAATTACTACTTTGTAGTACATAATTTAACTAATCCAATTTGTATATGTAATAAATATAAAAAGATACTAGATCGAGTAATGCCGTCATTTGAATTATGTCGGTACTAACTGCAACTTTCCAAAAAGTAAGACTTCAATTACCGAAACAATCTGTTTTCATTTACCGCAACATACGAAACAAAAGGGTGAATTTCTTTTCTTACGGATATTGCGGACTCCTGCACAGTACAAATATTTTCATGATTGTCTCTTTGTATTGGTTTGAAAGCTATGTATGTACATTGTAAATTCAGTTTTCTCTCAGTTAATTAGTAAAGACCAATATATAATATTGCCTATTTAACGCTGGTGAATTTGATATAACTTTAATGCCTTTTGTAGACCAGACTGGGATTCCACTAAAAAACTTCTAGCAGACGTGAATTTCATCCGTAATCTAGAAGAGTACGACAAAGATCATATACCTGATGCTACACTTAAGAAGATCAAAGTTTATCTCACACACAAAGATTTTAACCCAGAAACTGTAGTTAAAGTATCAAAGGTAAAATGAGATTACATAACAACCAATTATAACTATTATTTCCTTAGATCGAATCGATACAAAATAAAATGAATATACTTAATTAAATATATTAATCTCAAAGTATGTTGTAAGAACATTATGATCTAGTAGTTTACTATCCTTAATAGAGGCATAGAGTTGAAATATCTCAGACACCTTGAAGAAAATTTGTGTGTTAATGTAGACTGCCTCTAAGAAAGCAACACGGATTAAAAATATATAAATTAGAGACGCCGGTAGCTTTGCTGCACGCTACATTAATATCTCGCAACTGCCCCATCTAGGATAACAAACAAAAATAACAGTCGTGACAGTATGTGTGTTTACTTATATAAAGTTGTTTATTTGATATTTGTAGGTGTGTCGCTCTATGGTACTCTGGGTTCAAGCAATTGATATGTATGCGAAGGTGTTCCGAGTAGTCGAACCCAAGATATTAGCGTAAGTATCTATTTATTTCTAGCCGTTACAGGGACTTCGTGGTATTCGGAATAACAATCTTTATTACTAACTCAAAAAGTTACGGTAAGGTTTTCTTCAAATTAGTACTATACGAATGGAAAATCCTGAATAATATATTTAAACATAGTGTACAATATTTTTTAATGTTTAAAGCAGACACGATTTCTTTAAGATTTTGTTGTGGTAGGATTTATATACTAGCTTGTATTATTACATGACTTGATGTAAATGTAACATCTGCTCGTTAGCAATATCTAGTTTAACGGTAATGAAAATATGACCAGGCATAAAGAAGCAGCCGCTGTATTGAAGAGTGTGATGGCAGTATTAAGGGCCAAACAAAAGGAAGTAGAAGCTATCGAAGCGCAACTTGCCAAAATGTTGGATGAATTAAGGGTAATTATTATATACCTGTTATCACATCCAAGGAGAAAATGCTTTGTCCATTTTGGTAAATTTGTTTTGCAGAGTAGTAAGTAAATTAGTAAATTTGTTTGTATTTGCGGAGTTCTTCTCTTAGTATTTAGACTATTATTATAAAATATAAAAAACTCGTACTAATTTGTTATTTATATATTTAGAAACTATTAGTTAAAACGTACTGATTAAAATCAATTTTAATTTTATATTCACCCGAACAATATTATAGAATAAAATATATAGGTACAAATCACTAAAATGTAAATGATAAAATTTATTTGTATTGAACAAAGACATTCAACACAAACCAAATCATTGTGGGTAAGTGATAAATATAAATTTTATATTAATTAAAAGAGTTCAAAAATCTTACGAAACATAGTACCTAAGTTTCGTAAATACGTATTATGGAAGCGTGTACCACAGAGCCTGAATACTATATTCATACTCACGTAGACTGAGTCAAAGTGAATAAATATAATTTAATCATTATTTATAAGCATATTATTTGAGACGCGGTTACGGAAAAATATTTAACATAGAGAAGAGTTCAGTTCGGTTAGCTACCTAATTCAGTTGGGAGGGACTGACATAAAACTCAACTGGTACTGGTTTTCTTGTCATAAAGTTGCTCTTAAGGAAAGTCGTTGTCATATGCAGGTCGTGGAAGATGAACGCATAAAACTCCAAGCGGATGTAGACCTGGCCGCCGCGAGATTGTCTCGTGCCGGCAAACTTACACAGGCGTTGGCCGACGAGAAAACGCGATGGGAGCTTAGTGTTAAGGTAAAATAATAATCATATCTAGTTCCAAATTAAGTTAAGCCTTTACTATACCCTTGACACGCCTATCGATCGAAACCTTATTAAAAATTAACCCACTCATTTATAAGAAGCAAAACCCACAAAAGTATTTTATGCAGTGTTACAAGACATAGCAAAAGAAAAAAATGTTTCAAAATAAAAGGACGAAACAGATCATTATATAAAACATGTACAAATATTATCTACTAATGAAGATATCTATTAAAGGTCTCTGATTTTCTGATAAATGAAATGGTTATGCAGTGGTAGTATGATGTATTACGGCCATTGTCTAGGTATCAGGTAGGTATTGACGGTACAGGATAATGGTTCTAAGTTTAGTTATTTTCTAGTGACTGATTTTATATATTCGACTTACTAAGTGCTAAATCTGTGTAATGGATCAAAAATTTCGCAATTATAATATAATGCTCTAAATATAGGCATGATCAAACAATTATTAAATATTTAAATTAACGCCATCTGATATCTTATATATAAAAATGAATCGCTAAATGTGTTGGTAAGCGCTAATCTCGAGAACTACCGAACCGATTTCGATAATTCTTTTTTTATAATATTCCTTGAGGTACGAAGTTGGTTCTGACGGAGAGAAAAATTTAAAAAATTGCCTAAAAATGCCTAAAAACAACAGTTTTCTGTAAACCCATACAAACAATTCTTAATGATACTTAAAAGTAAATTTGAACTTTAATACCATACCATAAAGTTCAAATGTTAGTGGAGAGGTTCCGGGAACTTATATAAAAATTCTCGTGTCATAATGTTAGTTACCATACTCCTCCCAAACGGCTTAACAGATTTTTATGAAATTTTATATGTATATTCAGTAGGTCTGAGAATCGGCTACTAACTATTTTTTATACCCCTAAGTGATAAGGGTTGACATGTAACAATCTTGCTATAATAATAGTATAATACTCGATAACGAATAATTTCAACTAAAACTATGTTTATAGAGCATACAATTCTTTGTATAACATCATTCTTAAATATTTAAATATATCTTTAAAGAATAACTGATATTTTTTTGCAAGTACGTATCTATTAGTATATCTATTCACATAGAATAACTTAATTCCACTTGTGACCAAATTAATATAGGACCAGCACAAAGGTAAATCAACTTTATCGATTTTAATAAAAGTAATCACAAGATAACGAGACATAACACGTAACAAACTACATTCGAATTGAGAACTTATTCCATTGGAATAAGCTATTTTGTGCACTGTACAGACTGCGACGCATCAACTGTATTGCACGACGGGCGATGTAATCATCGCATCAGGGTGCATTGCATACTTCGGCGCTTTCCCTTCCCATTACAGACGTGAGCTGGAAGAGAAATGGATAAAACAGTGCAGAGAACTGGAAATACCGTCGTCTGATACATTCGAGTTTGTATACTGTATACATTAGTATTTTATACCTTGGACAGATTACACAGTCCCAAGGTGAAGAGAATAATGCGTAATACTACTAATATTAATAACGGGAATTTTTTTTAGGGTTGATGTTTTATTTTACTTTTTTACGCTAAAAAGTGCTGAACTGATTCGAATGAAATTTAAACAGAAAATGTAGATTAACACAAGATTCTTCTACCGGAACTTATTGGCAGCTCTATGGGAGAGATACTAACACAAGCTATGTAGATATTGATCCTAGTATCGTATATTATACATGTAGACAATGTACAGATTATATACAACAACCAGACCGACCGTCACGTTAATTAATAAAAGTAAATATCTTGTGCTCGAATCCACGACCATTTGGAAGTCTAGCGGTGTGTTTACCAGCTACAGCCCTTAATGGTCTTATCAGTTGTCAGCTTTAAGATGTTTCAGTAGCTTAAGAAGCTATATAGACCTCTGATATGATTTATAACTTTTGTCTGATAGTTTTTAGAAATGAGTAACACTACGGATAGAACAAATTCATATTCAAATGATGTGGATGGTAATACTAATGTTATTTATAATTCTATTTCGCAAAGTATTTCACGTTTTGTTTTTTTTTTTAATTAAATAATGGTCTAGAAAAGAATACGTAGCGACTCAATACTACACAATAGACTAGACTTTAGTAAAGTTAGGCACAGGGAACTACTAAGTATATATTTATTGTAAGTTATATTTCCGACAGTTTAATATCAATAATGGCGGATTCCTATACTGTGCGGACATGGAATTCACAAGGTTTGCCGCGCGATGCCGTCTCTACAGAGAATGGGATATTAGTGACACGTGCGGGAAGATGGCCACTTACCATAGATCCACAGGAGCAAGTGCGTTTATTTACAAATTGATTTAGTAATCTTAAATATATCTATAGGTATATTTATTTCATAGAAAAAGATTGAAATCACATAGTTACAATATTGAATAGAAAAAAAAAATCCAGTAATTTATGATTGACTACTATAAAATGTTCAGCTTGTCAGGATGCCTAACGAATGCCACAAGAACTATATTTCCTTCAAAGATGTTATTTATTCGATACGCTTTCAATTTAATATTGATTCCATTACGTCAATATCCTGCCTGCAGTAGGTAACCCTATATACGATTCCTTTAATACAAACTGAAATATTAATTTCTATTGAAATAATTTTCAAGGCAAATAGATGGATAAAAAATATGGAGCGCGACAATGGCCTACAGATAACAAAATTAAGTGATTCGTCGTACTTGCGTGTACTAGAAAATTGCATCCGACTCGGATGGCCCATGCTCATAGAGGACTTGGGCGAAACTCTCGAGGCTACGCTGTCGCCTGTGCTACTCAAACAAACTTTCCTACAGGTAATTACACATAGTAATTTTAAAGACACCTACAAGTGTATAAACTACAGTATATACACACACAATCATACCGTCATTACTATTCGAGATGGGATAGTCATAGATATTGCCAATTATCGATGTTGTGGTAAATGCAACACTGACATGCCCATTATATTAGAGTTGAACCGAACGTGGCAGTGGACAAGCCTACCACCGTCTCTCGGATTAGTTTTTGGTTTCATAGTAATAATAATATTTGTCTCAAATAAAGAACTGTTACAATAGGTGTTTATAACCAAATTAAAAGATATTAATTTAAACAAAACGGTCTATAATTCAGAGGGAGCAGCATTTAAGTTGACATCGGTATTTCTTTCACCAGAAAGTCAGTTGGAAATATAAATCAATTTTTGTTTTCCGTCGGTCAGTTTTAAACTCAGCCGGAATTCGGAATAGTAAACGACTACTTTATTTATAAACGAACTCTGGTATTCATAAACGAATAGGAAATATGCTAATATTAAGTTCTAGAAAAGCAAATACCTTAACAAATATTAAATATATTCCACTAAGTAAAAGGATTTACCGTCTAAATCCTTAGTGGAATATATTTAATATTTGTTAAGGTATAATGATTAAAAAAATTTAAAAGCTTTCACCTATGTTTAGAAAATGTCTGTTCATTTCAAGAGATAATTTTTCAAAATATTCGAGCTTACATTAAATTTGTGCCCAGTTTATTATGAAAGTCTGAAAAATATTTAATGCAATTGCTTTTAACGAAATTAAAAAGTCGAACAAAGGTTGCCGTTGGGTTGTACGATGCTGTAGAATATTCTGAATGACTAAAAAGTACAATATACAAAGCTTATACGTAGAATCGTATTATTAATAGTACGGTTGAAGGCGACAACAAATATAGGTGGAGTTATACAAAATCAATAGTCACGGCACAATGGTGAGATGGATGCCGACACAGCACTCTAGTAGATGACCTATATATCATAATTTATGTTGCAACTGTTGTTCATTGTTTATGTACCTACACTGATAAATTATTTATTTTCTATGAGCGTTATTATTGTGTCGTGTTAAGAGGTTTCAATACCGGGATCTCGGCCATTATGTCCCGAAATTATCGGAATTAAATTTAATGCGGCATTAATTTTCGTTTTTCAGGTTGATATTTTTTTTTATATATGCTACGAAAAATTTGCGTGAAACGAATGGCACTTACTTTGGTATCAATAGTATTTTAAAATCTGATGTCGATTTATTGTAAAATAAAATAAACAAACTAGGCAATTCTGTAAATAATTTATGAAACTATTTCATAAATTATTTACAAAAGGTTGTTTATTTTATCAGAAGAAAGTATAATAATGTTTTATTATTTTTAAGATTTAACTAAAGATAGATTTTGATTTGTTTTATAGTATTTTTATCACCAATACTAACCCCGGATTAACTGTATATTATCCTGAAATCCCAGGTATAGAAAAATCGATCGGATCGAATCCTCTAGTCGTTGTGTGTTGTAATAAATTTATTCTATTCTATTTTATTTAAATTGTTATTGACAGGCGGGTCGGTTGCTAATCCACTTGGGCGACAGTGACATCGAATATGATACGAATTTCCGCCTATACTTAACAACTAAGCTCGCAAATCCTCACTACCTGCCCGAGATCTGCATCCAAGTCACACTTGTTAATTTCACTGTCACGCAGTCCGGTCTCGAAGATCAACTATTAGCGTTAGTACATTAATCAATTAATTATTTACATTCCTTATATATTAATTATTTAAAACATGTTGGATATTTGATTACTATTAGAAATCGATTTCTATCAAATCTAGAATTAATATGATTGTAAAAACTAAGTCTCGATTAACACACAGCCAATTAATTAATAACAAAAATCTTATACTAACTAAATGTTATCATAAATTATTATTTATAAAATCATTTTGTTAAAGAATATATGATAGGTTCTCTAGTACAAAATTGTAAAAATATTTATTAATATTATATTAGTAATTGTTGCGGAAGTTTCACGAATGTGATCAGTTACGATAAGAGAGAAAGTCCGAACATCTTATTCGTGTGACGTAATTTGTGGATTATCGATCACTAAGTTTTATTATAATATTCTGAAAGTTCCCTAGAACACAGACAAAGACCAAAGACTTCGTGTGGACGTAGCCGTGGATGGCGATATAGATGATAAGGATATGTATCTACCTACATTTATCGTTTTTTATTATTTTTTAATATCGTTTCATAATTTAGACTAATGAACGATTCTGATGCAGCGATGTGGTGAGACTGGAAAGACCCGATTTGGAATTGTTGCGTACAGAGTTGATTGTACGCATCAATACTGACAAGGCGACGCTGCTAGAAATAGAGGATAAAATCTTACGCCTACTATATGCCTCCTCCGGAAATATACTTGACGATGAAGAGCTTATTGAAACACTTAATGAGAGTAAAGTGAGTTTGAATTTATTTATTACTTTGTTGATTTTAATGTACCCCTATACCTAGTATTTATCATAGTTTAGATTAGATGTCTATTTAGGCGAGTAAAATGTAAAGTATAGGGCCTACCGACCGAGAACAAACTGAAACATCATTAATAAAAAACAGTATTGTGTACATTATATACCTACTATAGATATAGATACAGAATTTAATTAATTATATTAATATCAGAATTTAACTAACTTTAATAACGCATGACACGTGATAAAATTATAGGAAACTTCAGAAATAATTAACGCCCGACTAGAAGAGACTGAAGCGACAGAGATCAATATATCGGCAGCCCGGGAAAAATATCGTACAGTAGCCACCCGGGGCGCTGTACTTTATTTTGCAGTGGCACAGTTGGCGGACATAGATCCTATGTACCAGTTTTCATTAAAATATTTCAACCAGGTAGGAATCGAACATTCAAATTCCCGTAAAATTAAAAAAAAAGCAAATAATGATTATTATTCGCAGAATCGAATACAGAGGACAATTTTGATAACGAAATATTACTACTAATATTAATACTACTATAGTGTATGAATCAATTGAATTCAAAACATTCCAACTAAATAATATATTTTCCTACTCCAAGACAAATATGAATTCTAATATAAATATAATTGACTCTTAGTCAAGAAATTATATTATTTATCTCTTAATTATATAAATCCCTTATCTTATTATTTATCTTATTTTAGTTTAGTTTTAGTTTTTAATAAAATGCTTAATCAATAATAATAACTTCTTTAGTCACCTATAGACACCTACTAAACATGTAAAATAATGAACGAGCGTAGAGGTCTGATGTGAAAACAAAGACAGCCTTCCAATATTCCGGTACATTGTAATATACTTTTTTATATTACAAAAATGTTAACAGGTATTTAATTTGGTGATTGAGAAAAGTGAAAAGTGCAACGTTCTTGAGACAAGACTAGAGATCCTTCTCCGCGAGATAACGCTTTCAGTGTACAGAAATGTCTCGCGAGGTCTGTTCGAACGACACAAACTTGTATTCAGCTTCCTGCTGAATATGGCCGTGTACCTTAATATCGGATTGGTCGAATATGACCAATGGAATTTTATACTGCGTGGGCCAGCTGGAACTAAAGTAGTTTGTATCTTTTTTATTCAATACTTTACATATTCTGAGGCTATTATAAAACCTATTTACAGATCTACGGCTTTTTCTCCGCCTCATCTCCGAATCAAAACCGTAACATTTTTTATCAACATTTATCAGTACCTAAACTTATGTTACTTGCAGAATTGTTACTTTTTTGTACAAAAACTCGTGTACAAAAGGCGTATATAACGGCTTAATGCCATAAGGCATTCTCTACAGCTACCTTTAGGTACAAATAGCAAGCGTTGTAGGGTAGTAGTTAAAACTGTGATAATATAAAAACTATAATATATATTTAAAATATACATAAATAAATAAAAATACATAAATATGTATGTATCATGTTGGTTACATATTAATTTAGCGAAATACTATAAAATTACCATAAATTCCTCTTCTAAATTTTAAAAAGGTGCCACCTAAAAAGCCGCCGATAGAAACCCTAACAGATCAAATGTGGTTGGCTGCCAATCATTTAAATGAAATGGATCTACACTTCGCGGGACTAGTTGACGACTGTATCAAGAAAATACCAATTACACTGGGCTCATTCAGTGTGGTAAGTCTTATATAATTTCCTAAAATTACCAATTCATACTTATATCTATATTAAGTAATAGCTGCAGCCGCAACTTCGTCTGTGTGGAATTTAACTATATTTTTCTAAAATAAAAGATGCTTACGTTTTTCCTTCTTACATCAGCTACCTGCCACTAAAAGTCCCGTCAAAATACTTCCAGCCTTTTCACAGATTAGCAGGAACAAACAGACAGACAAACAAAAATTTTATTTGTTTGTAATGGATTATGTAGTATGGTATGGTACATGTACCCATCTGCGCTAACGGTATACGCTGACGGTGCCCAATAAAAGGTGATAGAATAAGAATGATACTCAGATTGGTTAGCCCATAGATTCACTAAGATTTAACGACGATGGCTTTGAAGAGGGACCGCGTAATGGTTCACCTGACATGGTACATTACTAGCAATGGAGCCAACGGTTCCCATTACTAACGATCCCTACTCCCCATTGTTTCGTTGTTTGAAAGGTACATTTTTGTAGAGTGCCATAGGCTATATATTATATATAATTAATATAAAATATAAAAGTTATAAACCAATGAGCACCCGGGCGAAGCGAATACTCTCGCTATAAGCTAATAGAAAAAGTATATTAATGAAAATTTAAAACTGGAATGTAACTCTAAAGTCGATCATTAGAGCAGTTTAGGCAACCTACATTTTGTGGTGGGATCGTCTGTTGACTGCGCATGTACGCCGCTGAGCCACGCCAAAGACTAGTGTCTTTGTTATGCTACTAAAATTGTACCGAATAGATGCTATACAACCTCATCGATAAATATCTAACCACACAAGGTTTAAAAACAACAAATTATATAAGTATTACAGATACACCTATACAATTACACGCTCCGCACTACACTTACATATGAAGCTTGGCTATTGATTACTTTATAAAAGAATTCGAGACGGCGCAGTATGCACAATTTTTCATTTATTTTTTATACGTACCGGGTATGTACAGACTAGGTAATTGTCGATAACTTGATAATAATAATTCGTAAAACGACGTCTGCTTAGGCACAACCTATGTCTGACATGTTTCAGCCCTTATACAGCTTGCTTTGTATGCTATGTTTCGATTGAAGGGTTAGCAATTACAGGATATAGAGGCATCTCAGTCTTCCGGAATAGCAATGCAGGAGTGGTATCACGGGCATCACATGTTGTGATGTCCTTGATTTATAAGCAACAGTTACCACTTACCATCAGGACGGCTGTCAGCTTTTTACCATTCCCGTAAAAATAGAGTCAAGAAAAGTATATTCAATGTTCCTTGAATAAATTCCATCGCGCAGTAACTTTCAGTCGCTAGATAACTAGGATGTATAATTTCGCTGCTTAAAAGTATCAGAAGTGACGCACTTACTTATTTGTACGTATATTACAGGATATTCATGTGAATAAACAAGAGAACGCACAGCCAAAAGTAGACTGGAATGAACGACTGACAAGTTTCGAGAAGCTCATGATCATAAAGTGTTTGAGAGAAGAAAAATTGGTGTTCGCAATAGCACAATATGTGAGCACCAGTCTAGGTTCAGTGTTCATAGAGAGTCCTACAGTACAACTCAATACGCTGCAAGTATACTTTTTACCATTTGTATCTTGAGACAAATGATGAACTATTCAAAATATAAAGTTTATTTTAAATGTTTGTAGTATACAAGGGTCTATTCGTAGTATTTCATTGTGTTATGAATTATAATGTAGTATATAATTTATAATATACATATATTATGAGAATATGTGGACTAAAAAAGAAATATTTAAATCAACATCGTGTAACAAAGAAGCTATACGGCTATATCTTAGTAATACTATAAATGCGAATGTTTATGTTTATGGATGGATAGGGATGGTTGTTACTCTTACACACATACATTACTGAACGGATTTTGATGAAACTTTAAGAGTTATGTAGCTTACACATCAGTATAACACATAGGTTATAAATTTCTTGCGGATGAAACCACGAGCACAGCTGGTGACAATATTTCACAGAGATAATTGCCTAGGACAATAAACTGTTTCATTCAAATTAATAAAAATAAAAAATTTAGAGCAAAAGACCATTGTAATGATAATAATCATACTTTATTGAGTATATCCGACCATTTATCAACTTCATCTTCCGTCATCGTAAACATTTGCTAAGCATTAAATTACATAATTAATTTAATGACCCTGCTTATTGTCGTACGTTATGTACGACCATATCACACACATTTAATTAATAAAGGATATAAGAATGTAAATGTTATTAAGCTACAACACTAGGATCCCAAGCATATTTAATATTGCGTTCTCCAAGTGCATTAAGGGCTATGATATCCCCATTTGGTATAGTAAAATTTAGCGAAATATTTTCTTTGATACGTTGGGGATCAGTGGATTTCGGGATCACAGCAACACCTTGTTGAAGAGCCCATTTCAAAAGTACTTGGGCACAAGTAACATCAAATTTTTTAGCTATGCTGTTCACCACTGGATCTTGCATTAAATTCATGTTTGAAGATGAAGTACCACCAAACGAGCAGTAAGCTTGAAGAACAATACCATTCCTCTTACAATATTCCATGAGATCATGTTGGAAGTAGTAAGGATGCCATTCAACCTGAAAAGTATTACTGATTAATATACACAGGCAATATGTATTTCAAATATCATAGCAATAATATATAAATATCATATCATAGCATTTACTATATAATAGCAAAAGGAAGACAATTTGAAATACCTGATTAACAGCTGGTACAACACCATGAGTAGCAGAGATTACTTGTTGTAGATGTCTAACTGTAAAGTTCGACACACCAATAGCTTTAATTAGACCTTCATCATAAAGTGAAGCCAATCCAGCCCAAGTCTGATCACGGATTTTTACATTTAAAATATCATCAGCGGCAGTATTAGCAGTACCAGGAAAGTGAATTAAGTACAAATCCACATAGTCTAACCCAAGGTTCTGCAGTGATTTCCTATAAGCTCTTTCAGTAACATCTCGGTTCCCATGATTAGATGGTGCTATAAAAAAATATATTTTAATAACAAACATATATATAAATAAATTATTATAATTTATTTATTGTTACAATGTGTAGAAAAAAGTGTATAATACATACACAGCTTGGTTGTCACAAAAATATCCTCTCTTCTAAGACCATACTTTGGTAGTAAAGTTCGAAATGCATTTTTCAAATAGAATTCATTTCCGTAGACCGCAGCAGTATCTTTAAATAACAGATTTTTTTAAAACATATAAAAATATGTAGACATATTTTATAAATAAATATAAAATCACCAGATACATTTATTACCATAAGATATCTATAAAGATAACTTACCAAACAAACGATATCCAGCAGCCAGGGCGGAATCAACAGTACTCATTATGGCATTTTCAGTTTTGATACGGAAAGTGCCTACTGTAATTAAATATTTGGTAATGAAAATGGTGTAATTACAACTTTTCTTTCTATAATCAAGTGCCAGATATGTTGTTCATACAATAGCAGTCCCATTATATACTACAGCTAATTAAAATTGTCACCCACAGAACTTTATTGTTCATTTTTTCATAAAAAATATTAGCCCTAATTAAGAATTGGAATGGGTGTGGTTAATTAATTTGTAGTAACTATTAAAGGAACCATTGTATATTACTTAAATCATATTACATTAAAACAGGTGTGTTATGAATTAAGTTATACTGTAAAGAGTATCAGTGTATACTTACATCCAATAGCTGGCATTTCTGTCCCGTTGTTTAATGTAAATTTCGTCTTAGATACATTTGTATTTGACGCCATGATCGCTTCAAATTCTTGTTACTACAGACAAATCTTCATAAATCTGTTATTAAAACAGTCAAGTAAGCAGCTATCCTTAGTATTGCTAAGATAACTAATTATTCAATAATTCTCATTAAGAAGATCTTTTAAATATGTACAATCACAAATATAATATTATTGTAGGTATTATATATAGTCGCTTTTCAGTAACATGGATAGATACGATAAAATACAAAATTTTAATTATGTAGGACTTCTACATTTTTGAATAAAATTTAGATACTTACTATTAGGACCAAATCCCAAATATGTCTACAGATGTAATAAAACTAAGATTGAAGTGAAAGGTCTCATTAATTCTATCATTCTATGAACAATTAACACAAACTAAATTATTGATACCCTCTTCGATGAATCGACGATTCCTTTATTTGAGTTTGACTATGACTTGACCACAGATCAGATAGAATTTATTCTCATAATCAATGAAGTCATTGTTGCAGTGTTGCCAATATAGTGTCAGATATTCGAGCTAAAAACGTAAAGCTTCATTAAAATAAAATTGTTGTGTAAATAAAATAATTTAATATTGATTAGAAATAAAACACTAAACATAACTATAAAATTACAAGACTCCACAAAGTTTTAGTAAAATATGAAATTACAACTAATTTGTAAAATATTAAATATATTTACTGATAATAATACTCTTAAGTGGCCTAAATATCAAGTAGCCCTAAATCTCATTCGCCAAATAGAAATTAAAAATACAGGCCGTATATTAATGGAAAAAGGTGTTACCAAGGTGTTAAAACTGGCACATTCTTAGGTACAATTGTACATACATTATTGATTTTTGCCATAGAGGTAACACTAACACTATGATTTATAGATAATATACATAAACATATAAATATAAAATTGAGTAATGGAATATGTACCTACAGGGCATCACTTTTAGGTATAATTTGGTAGAGCAACAGTAGTTAACGGGCAAATTAAGATGAAGAGAGGTCAGACAGCGAATAGCTCATTGTAGCGAATTCAACAGATCCTACCTACGATCCATCCACAGTTGTGGATCGTAGGTATCTGATTAACGCTGACTATGAATGAAGGAATGAAAAAATTGTACTGTTCCTCTCACAGAAAGAAAATAACAATTAGGTACTTACATAAATTATGTTCACCCGATCATCCTCCACTGGTGTCCCGCCAGCGTAAGTCGTTAGCGCAGGCGGGTGCAACATTCATCAATAACATCATACTCAAAAAAATATACATGTATTTTTTTGTGTATAAAAATATACATATATTTTTTGTGTATGATAATGGAATGATGAATATAAAAAAACAACAAATTTACAATATATAGATAACAATGGGCGGCCTTATCGCTAAATAGATATCTAGCTCGCTATCTCTACGGAAACATAATATTAGGGGAATTTGTTAAAATAATATTTTTTTAGAAGTTCTGTCTGTGTGTTTATATATACTAATCCTAAGCCTTTTTCTGTTTGCGATTTTCATTAATATATTGCTGTAACCTTCTAATGTAGTGCTTGTTTTATTCCAATCGGTTTACCAACAATAAAATCTATCATTTTAGTTATTTTTATTAGTATATACATTTTCAGATATGCCGACACTTCATCGACTATTCCCCTAGTTTTTGTGCTGAGCACTGGCTCTGACCCATTTGGTGCATTTCAAAAATTTGCGACTGAGATGGGTATGCGTGATCGCGTTAGATCTATCTCGTTAGGACAAGGGCAGGGTCCAGTAGCTGAAAAAATGATCAATTCTGGTAAACCGAGGGGTGATTGGATTTTCCTGCAGGTGTGTTTAATGTTACATAAAAATATATAAATGACACCAGACATATTTATAAATATGTCTGGTTATATATATATATATATATATGTATATTATCGGAAATTATTAACAAACACTGCATTAAGTAAATGGTGCTATTGCATTGTGTATAATTTAATAACATATACATTTTTTTTCAATTTAACTGTATATACAATAATAATATCTCTGGACAATTCACACAGCGGCATCTAGTCCCAAGCTAAGCAGAGCTTGTGTTACAGGTACTAGGAAATACTTAGATACATTTAATTAAAAACATACATAAATACATATAAAACACCCAGACCAACACACACAGTCATACTCAAATGTTTGTACAGTGGAAGGTATCGAACCTGCGACCATCGGAAGTTAAGCGGTGTGCTAAACCACTAAACCACCGAGGTCATCTTATGTTATACCTACTCGGTATGTATATGTTACGTCTATATGCTAGTTATTTATACATAAAGCGTTGTTTTGATTATTTTATAGAATTGCCACTTAGCTGCATCTTGGATGTTGAACCTAGAGCTCATAGTTGCAAATCTTAGCAGTGAACTAAGTGTGACTCATCCAGAGTTTCGTCTCTACCTGAGTTCCATGCCTACTGCAAAATTCCCGGTGTCAGTATTACAAAACTCAGTGAAAGTTACCAATGAGCCGCCGAAAGGTCTGAAAGCAAACGTCAAACGAGCTCTTATAGAGATGGACGAAGACTTTTTTGAAAACCACGGTAAATTTAACCATCTTTAAATTCCCTATGGAGGTATTATATAATATAATACATATAAAAATAGAAACTTTTTGTTAATATCGAAATAAAGTAATTAATATATGTAGGTATATAGTAGGCTAGGTACCTACTATATACCTACATATATTAATTATCATTACAATTATTATAATTAGTATTTGAAATAATATTCAAGCAGACCAACGATGCCAAATTTACGTCTCATCTCATCGTCAACATATAGGTACTTACATATATATATACATGTAAGTGTATGTGAAGATTTAGAATTACCAGATGATTTTAATATTCCAACCCTATCATCAAAACATTCCAACAAATTATGTCCGAAAATGTGAGTTATGTTAATCAAATAAAGCATTAAGAAAAACTAAAAATTTAATACCAATCCAAATGCTCTCTCAAGATATCCAGTGAATCCAAATAACACATCAAAATGTATTGTTATAAATACCACAAAAAACAATTTTTTACTCATTATCTATGTATGCATTCCGAAAACTTGATTTTCTCTCAAGTATATAAATTCATCTGAATACCAGAAATAACTAACGGAATAAATAATGGTAACGAAAAATATTTAAATTCCAGTGTTAGAACAAGATTGGCGTACGATGCTATTTGGAATTTGTATGTTCCATGCAATAATACAGGAACGAAAAAAATTTGGACCGTTGGGTTGGAATATTACGTATGAATTCAACAACAGCGATCGTGAATGCGCTATGTTGAATTTACAAATGTTTTGTGAAGATGGTCATATTCCTTGGGATGCATTGGAATATATTACAAGTTGGTATTCTCACTTATTTTCTAAGTTACTAATTTATCTCTAAATTTATGAATGAAGTCAGCATTAAAAATTATGTTTATTAGCAAATACTTTTTAGTTATATTTTTGAAGCATTTCGTTATGTCTTAGGTATGATTACAATTAGTATTTGGTTCGGTCCCTGATTTTATGTCAGGACTAGCAACATATGATGAAGAAATAAATTGGACTATTGTCAGGTACTTGAACCTGTAGCACTGTGACCTACATATGTACATTAATTTATAGATATGAAGGAACAATGGACGTCGCTTTATTTTGTACCTATTACTTCTATATCTAAAGGGGACGGTTACTACTTTTCGTTAGGTAGTCCATCCATTCTCTAGAATAATTATTTGTCAATTCTGTAGTATAAAAAATCGGAGCCAGATACTTTAAAATAGTATATTCGATATACTTGAGAGACTTTGACTACTCCAACTGGAATATTAGTCATGAAGGGATATAATTATTTAATACTATTTATGTATAGGTTCGATCACGTATGGAGGACGAGTAACCGACATGTGGGACCAACGGTGTTTGACCACAATCTTGAAATTATTTTTCTCACCGCCCATCTTAGAAGAAGGGTATGCTTATTCACGTTCTGGCATTTACTATTGTCCCAGAGCTGAAAAGTTAGAAAAGTACCGTGAATATATTGAAACATTACCAGTTATAGAAAGCCCAGAGGTGTTTGGTATGCACGAGAATGCCAACATCGCATTTGAGGTGAGATTTCTACCGATATGCTAATTTAATTAATTACAGCATCGAGGAATAGTAGTTCACTACCTCAACTTACACCCAAAAGATCCTAAGTTTAGACACTGGAGGGCACAAAAATGACCTTTGTTAGGTACCTTGACAACTGTATATATTTTTTATTTTAATTCAATTATAATGGAATGCTCCTCCACCTAAGTTAATGGTTTACGCTGGCGGGGCAGCAGTGCAGTATGATAAGATGAGTAATTAGGTCAAGTTATTTAGCCCATCGAGATAAATTCACTAGGAAATAAAACAATTATTTCTAGGGCAAATGGAAGTCAACCTGACATGGTACATTGCTAATACGTGATCACTAGTCCACTTTTCTAATAATCCCCTTCCTCTGACTGTACATTATTATTTTTGAATAATTTATGTAATTATTCATTGATTACATTTTTTTATATAGAATAAAGAGACAAATACATTGGTTCAAACTATAGTGGATGTACAACCGCGATCGAGTGGTGGCGGCACCGGTGAAACACCAGATCAAATCGTATGGCGTATCTGTGACCAGACTCGCACGAGTATCGCCCCTAAGATTGACAAGTCGCTCATCAACCCCGACCTTATTAAACCTGACGATATGGGACAGTTGGATTCACTGACAACTGTGCTCATACACGAAACTGACAGATATAACACGCTTCTTGGTTTAATACATTCTTCGCTAAATGAACTACAGAAAGCCATAAAGGTAACTATGTAATGTTCGCACCAAAGTTTTTCTTCCTTATGAGTAATGTTGGAATGGTTCACTCGTCTTCGCTAACGGTTTTCGCCGGCGCGGCGGGGCACCATTGGGTAAGATGAGTATTAGGTCAGGTCAGTTCGCCCATCGTGGTAAATTCACCATAAGTAGTTCACGATGGTTTCCAAAGGGAACCGCGTGCAGGATGACCTGACATGGTACATTGCTAGCATTGGGATTATTAATGCACTTTAATAACAATCTACTTCCACCCATGAACGAAGTTCTAAAAATATTTTTAAAGTCCTATTATCTTCTAAGTCGTCGTAGGTACATACTCACTTCGGCCTCTATCATAGAACTGTGGAGGTGTAAAATCACTCGGGTACTCTGTGCCACCTATGGTACAAGTATATAGCGAATACGGGCTATTATCTTCTAAGCGTACAGTATCTGTAGTGTCCGGTAGGACGTGGCTTGTTACCGTAATGGGGCCAACGTGGTCCTAGGTCATCGGTATATTAGAATAGCACTACTGTAATACTTCTTGATACAAGAAGTAAGTTTTTAACTCTTGTATCTAAGCACAAGTAGATAAAAATATTGTTATAAAAGGAACTGTTTCATCATCATCATCATTGCCTTACCATTATCCCATTATTTGGAGTCAACGTATAAAATTAAAAAAATATTTATTTAGAAAGAGTTAAGAAAACTACCTAAAACAAATAAATGAACTTGTACTTATGAATACTTATCTAATATCTACTTATTCTTCTTTAAATTGCAGGGCGTGGTTGTTATGTCGGAAGCTTTTGAAGAAGTATTCAATGCCTTTTTAAATAATAGAGTTCCCGCGTTGTGGCATAAGAAAGGTTACAACTCATTGAAGTCACTTGGCAGTTGGATTCACGACTTAATTCTTAGAGTAGATTTCATTGAGGTCATTACCTACGTATTAATAACTTATTGTAATTGTATATGTAATATTTGATTCCTATTTAATTATAGTTTATATATTACAGAAATGGCTGATAGATGGCAAGCAACCTAGTAGCTGGGTATCGGGGTTATTCTTTCCACAAGGTCTCCTGACTGGGTCACTGCAGTCATATGCGCGTCGATATCGTGTGCCCATTGATGCACTTATGTTTGATTTTGAGCCAATTAGTTTTTTACTTTCTCAAGAGGATATATACAAGCAGAATAAGAAAAAAACAAAAGTAACTTTTTGGATATTCCTATTGTTTTCTAAGTAGTTAATTGATATGGATGTTTTTTTACATATATAGTATTTTTAATGGATGGTAATGGAATGGTCACCCGTCTGATCTAACGGTTCACGCCGGGCATCAGTAGGCGATGATAAGATAATCATGAGGTCTGGTCAGTTAGCCCATCGTGACAAATTCACCTGGAATTTATCATAATGGTTTCCAGAAGAAATCGTGTAGATGTCAACCTGACATTAAGTTAAACCATACAGTAAGAAAAAAAAATATAGTACAAAAATTTTAAAGGCTAAAATGTCCTACATGGATAAATGATTTATTTTATTTTATTTACATTGGTTGAGTCATGATAATTAATTTATTCGGTCCAATTTATTGAGATTTCAAAAGAACAATACTAAAAGTGGATTGGATTCAAATTAGAGTACAGTCCTAGTTGGTTTGCTGGCCACCTTTCATAGTCTTCCCATCAATTTTTTCTGATCGTACATATTAATCACACGTATAATCTTTATATATAAAAACGTACGTGTCACATTATTGTCCACGATTTGACTTTGACAGCCTCGGTGGTCTAGTGGTTTAGCACACCGCTTTACTATCCGATGATCGTGGGTTCGATTCCTCGCACGGTACAAACATTTGTATTCATGAGTATGATTGTGGGTGGGTGTTTTCTATGTATAATATGTATTTATTTACAAAAAAAATGTATCCATGTATTTAAATCAGTTGTCTAGTATCCATAACACAAGCTCTGCTTAGCTTGGGACTAGATGGCGCTGTGTGAATTGTCCTGAAATATTATTATTATTATTATTACGATGGGCTACTCAACTACTGAACCTATGGAAAATCAACGCGTGGTCTGCTAGTGTAGTATATAATATTAAAATATGACTCTGAGTTCCTCCTTAAAAAAATGTGGTTTCTTTATACAGGATGAAGGACCAGCTGTGTACGGGAAATTGGTACTGCCACAAGACGGTGTAAATATTCATGGTCTATTTATTGATGCCGGCCGTTGGGATATGCAGAACAATTGCCTAGTGGATGCTCTGCCAGGTTTGATTACTTGTTATATATTATACATTAAATAACGGCAGTTAAAATGATCCATGATGAGATTGTCATAGTTTGGACGTCACTACATCCAGTTACTACCGAAAAAAAATAATTTTCCGGTGTTGAAAAAATTTACAACAAACTGCTGCTTACTAGTAGTAGTAGTACCTATATTATTTTCTTTGTACCACTGAAAACTATTACGAATATTTTAACGTCGTCACATTTTTCATGGTTCATATCCTTGAACGCCTCTCTCCATTTTATTCATAATTATTAGCTGACTTGTATTGGACATTGTAAATATAAAGTATTAAATGTACAGGACAAATGAATCCACCTTTGCCCGTGGTGTGGTTCAAACCAGTATTGGAGTTGCCGAAGCCAGATCCACGGTATGACGCTCCGCTATACAAGACTTCAGAGAGAGCCGGCACGCTTTCTACAACAGGCCACAGTACCAACTTTGTGCTGCCAGTTTTACTACCTGCCAACGAACCCCCACCTTTCTGGATTATAAGGGGTACCGCCTTACTCACACAGATCACTGACTGAATTTCATCTTGATTTTCTAGATTTCGAGATAAATTCTAAAGATTAAACAGTTGTCCTAGTATTATTATTATGTTACACATATGTATATTTATATAGTTATACTACTTGTAAAACGTTTATGAGACTGTCTATATACACAGTTGCAATTTATGATTTCTCAAATACCTACGTTAATTATACATAACCAAACAGTTTATCATTCGATGACCTCGATTGACAATATCGTCTGAGATGCATGTTTATGAAGATAGGCACTTTACTATTTGTGTACTTTGTACGTGGCCTAGATACCTAATTAGCAAAGTTAAAATGTCCTAAAGCTAAAACTTGTAGATGGAATGATGGACGGTTCCTGTAGGCATACTATAATCTACAAATAACCTGAGTTGATTATCATGACCTGTCGAAAAGCCCATAGTATTACTACATAATACATGGCTGGGCAAGCTGGACTATTAGAAGCCATTGCTCTTCTCATATTGCTGCATCATAATACACTAAGGCTAAAATTATTTACTAATGTTTATGCAAATATTTTGAGTCCTTGTGTACACGTTTTTGCTTTAAATTTCGTGTCTCTCTGTGCATTTAAGCACAATAATCTAAGAAAACGATTTATATGGGTTTTTCAGTAATATACACATGTGGCAACAATATTCCTGAATTACTTTTCCAATTTATGGATCGCCATGATCGTAGTATGTTCTGTCTCTCTATATAAATGCAAATATGAGGTTATCTGCCGTAGTCACTTCTATGGCATAAAGCAACAATTAGTAGGACAATCATAAACCAATAGTAGATTAAAGGCGGAAATTGATACAAGGATTTTATTTGAAACTGATTTATTTAAACTGATTAAATCTTCGTATCTTGAACATATCAGAAAATAATATAATTATGGAAAAATAAAATGAAAACAGATGATCTGTGTGGAGGAGACGAAGTCGCTTTCGTCGTATCAAAAGAATTCATAGTGGGAAGATTACAAATTCACGTTCTGATACTCCGGTTGGTACATTTGTTTGCCTGTCCTCCCGAAGTCATTAGGGGCACCAAGGGCACGTTACAGAACGTTAGTAACTATTAATATATAGTACGCTACAACACTAATATATATTCGGTGGCTACACAACACCTGCTTCGAAAAAAGATGCCCCAATAAGAGTCAATCAGAATGTGCCATTAAAGCAACCTGACAACTGGCCGACTATATATAAGCAAAGGATTAAACCTATATAAAGAGTTCATACGGCTTGATTTTGATTATTTTAATTATAAATCGACGAATTTAAAAATAATAATGACAACAATGTATGCATTGTATGTTCGGTTAATTTACTGTGAGACTGAAACTCTGTGACCTGAAATTGGTCATTTTTATTTGGTATGTTGAAAATATATTACAATAACACAAATAATATTATGAGATTGGTAACAAGAATTTGGAATGTAAGAACTGACATCACACTTGTCGAGTGGATTTATATCTAATTCAATTCTGTTTACATGTGTTACGATTTGTTTAGCTTTCATTTTGTTAGATAGATTATTTGTAAGCGGTAATTATTTGGATTTTATAGCATTGGACAGTCTCGGTATTTTCTAAAAGTAGAAACAACGGAAAGTTCTAAATGCAAGCAAAAATAAATTAATCATCCTAACGTATTAAAAAATCTATAAGGTTCCATCACATTCTATTATTTTTTATAAGAGACCAGCATCAGAGGCTCGTAAAATGAAAAATCAATACTAAATGCCCTCCACACAGAGCTACATATAACTACTATTACATGTGAAACGAATGAATATCACAGTACTTCTGTTAATTTACAATAGATTGCATTTGAAATGTAAAATGGTTAAATTATAAAGTAATGAAATAAAAATCTAGACTGGAGCTTGTTTTACCTATCTAACGATTCACTAACGTTACTTGTGTAAAGAAATACAGTTTCTCTTAGCTTCACTTTCGTTTGTGTCGCCCTTATTCAAAATATTAATTAAGCTTACATTATTTATAAAATGAACTAATATAAAACTACTCTTTTTGACTGCTATATTTATTATTATAAAATACCAGATTTTTACAAAGTTTATACATTATTTGATTACAAATTAAAATTGGTTGATAAAATAAATTCCCTGTGTTGAGTGAGCAAAATTAAACGAAGTGGTTTCTATTGCCTTACGACATGCATAACGGCTATATAAGAACTATAGGAAAAGAATAATTCCCTAAGAAAGTATCATTTTAATAATTTAAATAAACTTTACAATAAACACATTACAAAACACTGTACCCTTAAAAGTGACCAATGCTTTAAAAGTTGTAATAAACTGACTGTATAATTAATGAAGTGGGAAATTTATCAGCCACTTGTATTTTAGTAAAGTGTAGAAAAGGATTAAAATATCACCAAATATTACAGTAGTGTAGAAAAGTTGCAACTTCATGCGCTCCTCAACTTGTAACGCGCGCCGCGTCAAGTTCCATATTAACTTAACCTAACAATTAAAAAATAATTTCTTTACCATATTTTTGATTAACAGTAATAAATGAAAAATTACTACAATTTCAATATAAAGGGCAAATGGTTCCGGTAAACTTATGTGGCAATACAGTCTTGAAACACTGATGCGTGGATTTGATAATATTCTCAGTATTTCTCCGTTTAGAATAGTAGATGTAATTTCCATGTTAATATTATTTATAACAATGTAGTCGCTGAGGTGCATTAATATTCATTTAATATACGCATAATAAGGCTGCATTCAAATTGACAGCTTCATTGCGCAAATCTAATATAATTAGTTAATATATAAATAATACATTAAAACTTAATCTTGAATAACGCAGGCTGCATAAGCAGTCCGAAATGATCTATAATTTGTGTTATTGTTTAAAAAACTAATCAGCTAAAATATTGGCTGTATTTTAGCAGAAAGTCCTAAAACAATTACATGTTAATAACATTTTTGGTTTTCATCGCCTGAGAAATGGATATGGTAGAAAATCAGAAACACATATACTCTTGTATCTCTTTTTTATATATCCATATAACGCAATCACAGGTACTCTTTTATCTCTTTTTTATATATCCATATAACGCAATCACAGGTAATGTATGATTATGAAGTTGTAAATAATCTGTTGTAATGTCTGGGTTAATAATAGAACCACCAAGCAGTACTCGAGCGAAAACTTTACTTATAATTGGACATTACCGAATCTCAGTTCGAACATGTAATGTCATGGTATCATTTTAAAATTCTTGTTACTTACTTCATTTATCAAAGCTACGTAATACAGTTTGAACAGACATCTCTATGTCGAAGCGATCTAGAAACACTCGACATTAGAGAACGCCTCTCCCAAGATAACAAGTTCTCTACGTTAAAGCTAATGATACTCTTGGCAATTTATTTATTACTTATTTATTTATATACCAAGTTATTTATTACTTGAATGGAAGCTGCCAACAGTATCATCAATGTATTAATCAATTTAATAATCAATCCAATTGTTAGAAAAAATATATTTTAAAATTTCATTTTAGAGTAGCGTTAAATACCACAATAATACAAAATTATATGTACATACGTATTAAAGAACATAGCAAATACTTGATTGCACTGATTGATATTGACAAAGAGTGTATGTGTCTCTCGACTGACTGTACCGCTGCCACTACCTGATAGCATGCATGTAATTCTTGAGAATCAAGTCAAGTCCGTTGCCCTTGTGCAGCGATGCAATTTAAAATACTATTAAAACTGATGACTTTCGGTAAATGACACAAGAATGAATACTTAAATGTTAACACCAAATCACACAACACAACAGTAACCATTCGATCTTAAATTACATTGAAAATCATCATTGAAAATCATCACTAAAAATCATCATAACGGAATGAACCATGTCTAGCATTGATGGATGAAAATGCTCTCGAGGAGGGGAGGAAATCAGCGCGCGTAGGCGGTGCTGGGAACTGTTGATACGTGGGGGGTGACGCTGGGGGAGGGCGATTTTTCGCACTCGTCACCCCCCACCACGAACCCTAGTCTTCCGACATAAAGGAGTTTTGCGACTTGAGCTCCTCCAACCGCGAGATCTGCTGCCGCAGATACATTATCCTGCATTTAACAAAATTATAATTTTAGTCTACCAAAACACTGGTAAAATAAGAATGTACATCAAGTATGAAGTTTATGTATATAACCATATAATTTTTAGTTTTCAAAAATAAAATCATATATTTTGTATTAATTATTAATCATATATTTATTAAATAGTTCAGTAATGTACAGTGTAAAATGTAACAAGTAGAAAGTGCACTAACTTTTGCTCCTGTAGTGTGGCCTGTATCTCTGTGTGGCGTACAAGCGAACGCGAACACTTCAATTCAGCAGACACTCGCGTGCACTGCAAACAACCTAGTTGATATGCCTCCTCTGTGAACTTATTGGCCTGTAAAAGAAAGGTCACAAATATCACTGTCGATTTCATAGAAGATTAGTAATTGATTTTTCATAATGTGAATTATAGAAGTGTACTCAAATGAGGTAGAGTCTACTTTTCAACCTTATGATTAATAAAAACTCTACAAAACAAAAAAAAAAATACTTTTTTTCACCTATGTACAGCAAAACTCACTGTCCTGTATACGTCGTTAACACCTAGTCTTAATTACCTTGCACAGTTTATCGTCATTACCAGTGCTTAAAACAAATTCCGTACTTTAGGTTTAAAAAACACATACGCAAAGTGAAGTTAATATGTAGTATAGCTTTTTTATGTTAGTGGCGTGTTAGCTACACATGTTTCCAGTTATTAAAAATCGAATTTATTACCTGCTTCTCTAGAATATCAGCTGGCCAACCCGTGACGTGAGTTGTGAGTTCACTACGTACGTAGTTCACTAATGAAGGCGTCAACATTGGAGGTGCATGCGGCAGTGAACTGCCAACCACTGACGAATAACTGCCCAGGCATTCCACTGTCACAACATTTTATATTATAAGTGGGCTATTGAGTCATGATAAATTTATATCAGAGGATTTTAGTTTTTTACATGTGCAAAGTGAGACTTGAAAGAGAACTTGGGAGTAGTAATGATATGTTCAGAAATTATTCAGTATTGTTTATGTTTTATTTGACAAATAGCAACTTCTGATACTACTAAGTTTAAACTCTGTATATATATCCTCTGGGAATATACTCACTTTTCCTAGGCAAAGCCTGGTCTAAATGGAGAGGTGGAGCATGTGGGTCGGTATTCTCCGAGTGCGTGGGCGTGGGCGGACCCGCGTCCCGGTGTGGTGTACCAGCGCCACTGCCTGCGCCCCCCTCGCAGGTCGGGGTAGCACCGCCGTTGTTGGCAATTGCCACTGTCGTCACCGGTAGCGGCGCAGCCAAAATTCGAGGAAGCGCTGCCGCCAGCAAGGACCCACTCTATACAACAAATTATTTTAATAATAGTTCAAATATATAGGCAATGCACATGTTGTAAACGACATGTTCAATATCCATTTATAAATATTACTTAAATTATTATGAAGATGCAAGTCTATTTACAACTGCTATCCATTTTGATACAATTTGTTATTTTCCCTTTTTTTGTAGTTTAGTTTTAATGGACTGATATTACTTCAAAAATGGCATACATGGACTTGTGTAATACAAGTGAGGACGGTTGCGTCATTGCTACGAATATGCCATCTGTCTGTATTAGAATAAAAACCTCACCGGTTGGTTAGAGTTGTCGAGCACGACGACGGGAGGAACAGAATTACTTTCAGATATATTCCGAACCGTCGAATTCGCTTCTCTGGCTCCATATGAATTCTCTGAAAGGGGTGTACTCCTATCTGGAGATATGTCCATATCTTGTAACGACTGTCCGTCTGGAAAAGAGAAATTAACCTATTAAACCTATTAAATGTGGCAATAAATAAATCCTATTTTTTGCGCTAACGCACCTTTACCTTCGTGAGTAGACGCCGAATGTTTTGGTCTTGTTCGGTCATGAGCTTCTTCATCTCTATTATTCCAATATCTATCTGATGTACTATTTGTTCTTTTACTAGATTTATCAGACTCCCTTCTCCCAGAACGCGATCTTGATCTCTTTTCGCGATCTAAAAACAATTCGCTTGGGTGTTATTAAGCCAAAAAGCAAGCAATGCATTGTATGGACTACTTTTTATTCAGTCTATAGTCTGTTTTTTAATCTCGGATATTAAATTAACAGATAAAATGACAAACTATCAAATATTACCAGCTGTAGCGGGGTAGTGCAAACTTACTATTAAACAAATCGGTATCGCATATTTGTATCTGCGATATCGATTTTCTATTTTAGAATATCTTAACAAAGTTTCCTCAACATGTTTCTGTTACTGTCGTTGTATATTATATAGTTGTATACAACACAAAAATACATTTTGGTGGTTATCATTTTTTCTTTCAAACAGTTAAATAATTTATACAGATGTATGTTTTATAAGTAAGGCAGTTTTATCTTTGTTTTAGTGAAATATAATTCAATTAAAAAATCTATTTGGATACAACAACTTTCTACTCATTATTACCAATGATTTGTAAATTTTGTATTAATGCGTTTTAAATAAACACCTTATTTCGAAGCAACATATAAATGTAGGTAATTAATATTAATTTTCGATAGTGCCACAACCCTATTCAAAAATTGCAAAAAGCTGGTGACGGCTCACGGAGCCAAAAAAGATAAAAAATAGACAATAACAAAAAAGCAAGTGCCCAGTGATAAGTATGATTTAACGTTTGGGCACCTTCATACCTATTACTAGAAAATAAATCCTATATGTATGTTTGGTGTGTTTCGTTTTAATATTTTTCATACGTGTATCGATATCCGAGGCCTTAAATTAAAGGAATATAATACAACGAAAGAAGGGTATATTGTTATTGTTATAATATATATAACAAACAGGATATTCACTATTGCCTAAAAATAATAAATAAAACATCGATTTCGCAATTAAATACTTTTTATATCTACCACCCGGTAGATAAAAAAAATTGGCATGAAACTGAGAAAACACAATGAACATTCATAAAAGACTCATTCTTTTTCAAATTCCAAATTCAAATGTAAATTTTTGTTTATTTTTAATGCTAACAGTATCAGCAGGCTATGTATATTAATAAACACTTGCTTGTCCATTTCATTCATTAATGTATTCATATTTGTTTTGTTTAGGGTAGCGGAATTGAACAAAATACTATATATTCATTAAATAACGATATGGCAATTACCATAGAAAACATATTTCTTTTTTAACAGTAGTAAAAAACATGCAACATAGAATTATTTATGAACCTTAAACAGATGTAATTAAAGAGACGGCGAATGGCATCAATACACCACCTGCATAGTTTAAAGACGCCTGCGTTCATCATTTGAAAGATAGGCTGCCAGTAAGTACAGTACATATCAAATCACGACGTGTAGAACCATCTCATACAGTATCTCATGTGGGCTACGACATTTATTGAAGACTATCGTTTTATAAAGCTATAGTCCTGTATAACGTCTTTTAAAGTTCAATGACATTATAACACAAGTTTTTGATGAATCGATCAACAATGCTTCTAATTATGCGTACTTTACTACTCAATATTGACCAAAGTCGTTTAAATTATCGATTCTAGTTTATCTTGGTAGATGTGCTAGTTTAAAGGGGACGCAAACAGCCGTGCGGTTGTTCTGCACTTATCAATTTGCATACATTGAGTTTCGTGTTATCTGCGTTATTTCTGCAGTCTTATTAACTATATCGGCACCGTAAGGCCACGAGCTTACAACAAACTGTTACAATAACAAATGTTTAGAATACGAACAGATATATAACAATGGCGTCTTTGGGCCATAAACAAAAAGACTTAATCAGGATTACTCAATATTAAAACTCTATAAAATATATGTATATAAGAAACTCATGAGAAGCAAACCAGCTCTCAAATATGTAATAATCATCAAAGTCTATCTATGTAAGAAACAGTTCTGTAGTAACACGTAAAAAAACAATCGTATTAAGCTAATCCTCCCTTTTTGAAGTCTGTTACAAAAAGAAAAAGAATTTCACAACCGGAATCTAATTAAATTGCAATAATAATACACTCATCTATAAGTACATAAAGAGTAAATAAACCGGTAATGTGATAATCAGATTCGCATATTCCTGGTTCTGGGAACCCAGAGTATGCGCGGTGTTGACAAAATACCTACAATAGATTCTTATTTTCTTTATACCACAACAGTAGTACAGATGTAGTACAGATGCCTAACAATAGGATGTCTTTATATGCAACGGTTAGAGCTATTTTGTCATTAGACCACACTAACACATACACGGGGACGGGCTACATATTTACGTATACGAGTATGTATAGACTGCATCTGTGCCGGCCCCGTGTGTGAGAGAAGGGTTAACAATTTTAAATCTGTGAAATTTTCTAAAATGTTTATTCTAATGTAAAGGCCAAGTTTGAGTCACATTATTAAATACAATAATAAACAGATTGAATTTTATAAGAATTCGTTCTGTATTGTTTTAAAATTTACAGTGAATAAATATACATATAGTATAATGAAGAAAGAAAAAGAAAGTGATTCCTTTATGCACTATCCGTAGGAGATAACATAAACTATAGCTCATTCTAAAAATATGATTAATATTTAATGTAACCTAATACATTATAACAATTTATCTCTCATTGACATGCGCACATTTCGCTGGGTATATTTGAATCCACCGTGGTAGGCTTTCTCGGATTAATATAGTTGGTTATCAATTTTATCATCACATCAGTTAGAAATGTTTAAAATATAAAAACATAACTTTAGATATTATATATTAATATAAATCATTTACTGTAGCTATAATATTATAAACTAATTTTAGATTTCTGTTCAAATAAAATGCGCAATTAATACTTGGACACAGTTTAATTTAGAACCTCTTCCTTCTAAAGCCGATGACATAAAATCATCATTAAATTAAGCGCTTCTAAATAAAGAAATGCAATTAACGCCATCAGCTTACATTTCTATAAGCAGCACTAGTTTCTCAACTAACAACATAACTAGTTTCTCAACTAGATAAATAGAACCGTCAACCGGCACAAGGCCGCTAGTAAGCATTATGTTCATTATAGGAATTGAATTATCGTTAAAATAATTGTGTTAGTTGAATTAAACAGTTCAATTCAATATCCAGTGCAATTACATCATTGGTATTAGGCGCTGGCCAATACAGATACATGCTGTTTTGGTGTGTATAAAAAACTAATATAATCATAGTGACTAACAAGTAAGAATAAAGTAGGTTAGAAAACTTAATAAAAACAACTTTTTTACTAAATTTGTATTATGTAATTAGGAGTTACACTAACTAAATTTGGAGTATTACAACTTTTTTACTAATATGTGAAGGGTATAACCCTTTTTCTCCCATAGCATTAACCTACCGTAATTTAATTTATTTACTGAATATGTATACAAAACGATAGTAGTGTAAGTAATAATAGATCACTGTTCGCGACAATGAAACACTATTTGTCATCCGGTCGCTAATTCGACATTTCATATTCAATCATGAGATCAGGAATAAAGTCAACAAGAGCTTAAGCAAGCAAGCGAGCAAGGTATACTTCAGTACCAGCATCGACTGGAGACAAACCTAATTATATTAATATATTAGCTATAATTTCGGTTATTAAATTTATTATAAGCATTTCGGTTTTTTTCTTTCACCACACGCCAAACATTTAATTTGTATGACAAAAGCACGAAATGACTAATAAAATAAGTTGACGAACAGTGGCACTTTTGTTTAATCCTATTTCTATCTGATTGCACAGACAGCAGAGCTGAGTCTACTAATTAATTCTGAAACTTTGTCCCCAAATTCCATATGGCGTTCATATATTTTACTATTCTCTCATGAAGTAATATTAGTGTAACTACATATCTGCCTTACATTGGGAAGTGTTAATTTAGTGCACTTTACATAAGTTTAGAGGATGAATCAGGATTAACTTGCCAATCAATATATTTATGAAGTAGAGAAATATCAAACAATCTCGTTTCTTTAAATTTGTGCCAGTAATAACTTGACTGTTTTACAAGATAAAGATAGTCCATGACCTTTCTCCTGGTATAATCTGCCTTTACATTGAATTTTAATTATCCGTTTAATCGTGAAAAATAAACAAATATACAGTCACAATACTGACACAGTAGTGTCCGATTTCAAAAAACCATATAAACCAAATGTGATATGTAGAATCGAACCTACTAACTTGTTTTTTATATCACATTTGAAGCAATGTAAGAATATTCTAATCACATTCACATAGGAATAAAAGAAAAGGTATAGATACTTAGGTATTGCTACGATTTTTGTACATTTTAAAATTAAATATTTAAAGTAATATTCTGTGATCAAATAATTAGTCAATGTTTCCATTTTTGAGCCAAATACTAAAACATATCTAATTACGAAAAATGGCATAAGCCGATATTCAAGGTCCCAATCGAAACAGGCTCATTCTAGTTTTTTCTTAATAGATAGTGTGATTCAAGAAGTACTTTTATATATATAATAATACATGTACACTCCGTGCGTAGCCAGGGCGAGTAGCTAGTTAAAAAAATAGATAACTCATAACTTATTTTACGTTATAATGATTAACATGTTGTGATCAGTTAAATAATTACCTTTAAGTATTAAACTGAACTAGCCGTAATAGGTGACGCCATAAGCTGTATTAAGCCCTACATTGTTAAGGAGACGTGTTCACAGAGACCAGTTGCTGACAGTACATTGCATTAGTCGATTACGAGATCGTACACAAGTTTGGAGAAATAGCTACAAATATACTATGGCAGATTGCATTCCTCCTTGAGAGTTGTTTAAAGGATATTTCAAATTAAATGAACTCACTGTGCCCGTGCCTAGCGTCTACATTCAGTTTATTTCGAATGACTCGGTTAGAAACAGGCATAACAGGTAGTAGGTATAGGAATTAATCTATGGATAAATACATTTAGAAGAATACTAATACGTTTAGAAGAATATAGAAGTCACTGTTA